TTGTAGTAGTCAAATTATGGTCAGTGTGTTGGTTGGTCATTAGGACATGCCAGAACGCCCCAGCAATCTTTGGATGTCTATCCTTATTGCTACTTCTGTGGAATTGCGAAGCTTGAACACATGAGGGGAAAAGTATTGAGCGACTTCCTGAGCCTTGATAGAGATGGAGGAGGGGATGAAACGAGCATATTCGCTGTTCAGATGTCATCCAAATGCTTAGCTTCCAGCGGCTTAACAATACCATTTAAAGTCAGATCAGTCCAATTCCTTTTGAAGCAGGACGGGTTTGTAGAAGAGTTGCGATAGCAAGATTGCGCGGCCTCAGCTGCAGACAATCTAGGCCAAATAGTGCATGCTCCTTTGCCATGGGGGGCACTCCACGCCACCAGAAGGGCGAGAACTCTTTCACTGTAGTGTAAATCCCATCATGGCCCAATAAAACATTATGGCGTGCTTTCAGCAAAGCAGCGATGTGGAACCAAGTTGCCTTGTACTACCGACACTGTCCGCTTGAATTTGAGCCATAGCTAGGCATCCTCATCGTGGTAGAGTTTCACTTTTTTGCAATGCGGAATTTTGGCAGGGATATGGAATGCATGGGTGTTAAAAGCATACGAATCGTGCAATTCGGATAGGACTTTGAATAATCAGAGACGAGACTGACTGTGTTGAGCAATAGTGAAGTGCTGAGGCGTCTCGCAGGAATGCGTCGACGTCCATGATGGTGACGCCTTGTGTGTGGGTCACTGCATAGTGGTACTGTGAAAGGCATCTAAGCCAGCACAACCCTACAGGATTATCAGAGCCCGTATAACTCTTCGTAAGATACAATGGAGTGGAGCATGATATGTCTAGATAGCATACTGGCGCCCACATAAATAGTGCAGGCTCTTAGCACGTCCCACCACAGCACCTAGCGTTCCTATTACCGCCCTGACTACCGCTGCTCGGCTTAGATGAAATTTCAAAAACAACCGGCAAAAATTTTGCTCTTGTAGGAAGCCCACAGCCTGTTGGAAGAGAGGATTACCTACCGCTGCATCGCTAGCCTTGGTTGCTGAGAAGAAATGTTGCTCTATCGGGCAGCGCGGGTACCGGAAAAGTTGTATTGCGGCTAACAAGGGTACTTGCTGAGGCATTAGCCCCCCTTTCTAGGTCGCAGACTGCGTTTTCGAAAGTAGAGCAGTCGAAGGAGCAGCAATCCGAGCAAATCCAGAACTGAAATCTCGACAAGTCGCAAGCTACTAAAAGTGTGCAACGACCTTGCGGGTGCGTTAACGTAACGCTCATGCAGGGCTCGATTTGCAATAGCGCGTGTAAAACGGGGCTAGAATTTTGTGCAATCCCTTTGTAATAAAATGGTTATGAAAAGCCGAGCTGCTGCCATATTCGAATGAAGCAGTATAAAAGGCAGCTTAGTAAGGGAACGGCTAATACCAGTCTTACCAGTGTAAAGTTTGCGTTTTCTGGTTGCCCGTCCTCGTTTGCAGCCAAAATTACCATACAATATACACAGCAGGATATTTGCTCGTGAAAAAGCCAATTTGCGTTGTTCGCCTCTACCCCTTCATGAAATCTTTCACATTTGAACAAGATTCATGCAATCAGCAAAGCTCTTTTCGCCTAGAGTTTTCACTTCAGCAGTGGATGCTTATTTTTATCAAGTGATGATACCAAGCCTAAGGAAAGGGCTTCACATATGACATAAATAACCTTGAGGAGAAGAAACATTGGCTGTAATTGTCCGATGCAAACCCAAAATCACTGGCAGCCGCCAGCTCGACCGGTCTGCAACAATACCCGACCATAGGGAGATCCTTCATGCTAATCCACAACAATTTTTCACGCATCTATAAGCCTGGACCACTTGCAGCTAGCTGAGAAACACACAATATTAGTGGGTCTGCAGGTGTCCGCTGCCCTTCCTTTTCGTTTGTTGTGTCTCGACTCGGAAAGAGCAGCGGCAACAGTGATGCACCATCGAGGGCAAATGGCAGTCACTCAGTAACATGCAAGTCTAGCCATCAGCCCTGGAGCCCCATGGAATCGCTGACAAAAAAGGGAGACAGATTATTAGATCGTTTTTCATGGAAAAAAGAACCTGGCAGAGGCTGCCGAGAAAAAATCCCGATCCCGGTAGAGGAGAAGTTCCCCAAGCAAAGCCGTACAATAGCGCGGCACTTTGGTAGCCCCTCTTGAGGGATCCACTCAGCGCCCTGCCTCAAGTAAGTACAGAGCCGTGTTCACGCTGCCACGCAGCCGGGTGCTCTCCGTGAAGGTACAGTGCACTGAGATACAGTCTAACGCGCGCATTTGGTAGCTCAAACAAATATGCAATATCCCTTAGTAGCAATCCAGCATGAAATACATCTTTACGCCATATATCTCAGTTTGTATACAGAACAACGCACTGATCCGGTACCAGCGAAAGTACGCGAAAGAACAACAGCTCCAACAATCAATTATTCCATCCCTCTTATACCACCCTTAATCAATTCTAAGAATGGACTGATCATTCAATTTGCAAGCACGCCTTCTGGCATCAAAGCCGGGACCGACTGTGCGAGTGCCATCCATGGTCTTCGAGTTGTTCCCAAAGACCCGCCGCAGCGTCGCTGCTTCCAGGCTTTCTCAGTTGTGCTTGTTGTTTCAAGACTCTGAATCCCACGTCTGTAGGTTCCTCGTGCGTTTCGTGCACAAGGCACTGACACAGGGCAGATGCTTCTTGCTGGGAAGCCTGCTGCTGATGCTTTAGGATCAGCGGCATTCGATCCTGTGCACCTTCATCGGCGAGCTGCCGAAAGCCCAAGCCATCTTTGTTACTCTCCCCTGCTATGACACGCGCTTCATCCGCTGCATAAGTGTTTGACGCGGCGAACAGTGCGGCGGCGCTCAACAACCACAGACTGAAGAAAAACGCTCATATTAGTGCAACACACTCCGGCCCATTTTTAAGCATCGCCATCAATTCCTCCTCGAGCGAGCAGAAACTTCAGCACAAACGCCGGTAAGAACAAAATTGCTCCAGGGCGCCGAGAATGAACTGCAACAGGGTTTTTTGTTTCCACCTAGCCGGTGGAAACCCAGGGGCGATGAATAACGGATGCGACGCGTGAGCACCGGTTCAGGAATACAAGATATTTCTTGACACTGTGGCTACACACTTAGGTACTAGAAGGTTGCTAGATGATTGCAATGGTGTAAAGTCTTGTCTTCTTGCGCCCCATAACTTACCTCATAGACAACTGGAAGGCGAGGGCCCTGGAGCCCACGAGTGCTCCAAGAAGGGATGCAACCACCGTTCCAAGGGCTTTGGATACGTCATCCAGCACCGTGTAAATGGCGCATATTGTGCCCCTAACCTGAGAATAACCCCGTGGAAAACACGCACCTAGACAGTCAGCTGCAGTCATTAACTTCACCTTGATCTTTTGGTAGTTCCGGTACGCAACGAAAACAATGTCAACACGCGAAACACCAGTGTCAAACACGCAAACCACCAGTGTCAAGGCACGTCCAACAGGCTAGTCCACAAAACTGGAGATATAATATTGGATTTAGGGTTCAAAGCTTTGATCAAAGGGATAAAATCACCTCTGCGGTGTTGACATTGAGCAAGACAGCTCCAATATTCGCTGTGGGCAAAGTTGAACCAAAGGCAGCAGCTAACAACAGCAGCAGGAGCAGCAGAAGGGTTGGCCCTTCAGGTGCCTTCCCCATAATGGCAGGGAAGGCGAAAATCATTACGCACGGTACACACCTGTGGCAGTTCACATAGTGGGTGCAAATAAGAGTGGGATAAGGACGGATTTTACGATGGTTCTACTCCCTCCCTTTCAGGAGGGAAAAATTAAGAATCCGTCTGTTATCCGCTGTCTAAACACTTAACTATAGTACGTCCGGTGACGCTCTGCACAATGCCCTAAATGGGAGCACGCATACTTCAGCTAAACTCGAGGCAAGCGTCAGCGGTAAGGTAGCATTGTGACCCCTAAGGCCTACCGAAGGACGCAAGTTGTTGCACAGAAGCGGAGAAGTCTCTTGCCACTTTGGGCATAGAGATGTCCCCCAATCATCCCACCCACAATCATTCCGCAGAAGGACGCCGCAGCAACCGCAACGATCTGGCCATTGAACACGCACAAAGAAAAGACCCAGCAGTTCTCTCAAAGAAAGCGAGTTCGTGGCCACAGTTTCAAAAAGCTAAAGTAAGCCATGGCAGACTAACTGACAATACGAAGCAGAGTAAACAAATTCGTGAGGGAAAGAGAACTTACTGCTGCAATGGCTGCCGTGTCGGTGAGCCCGATGTCAGTTCTCAAGAAGTCATGAAGATAAACCACCAACACCCCCCATGGCACGTTGCCAGGAAATGCCTGAAAAAGACATAGTAGTTAAGGACGCAACTCAGTCTCCCCCAAACCAATTATTGGAAGGAAGAAAGGTATCATGTGGCTACGTTGTAGCGAATGTCGTTCGTGCTTTTACATCTGCTACAGCCTAATAAATGCATATGTGCAATCTTTTGCTTCATGCAATCATCAAAGAAGGCCTACATCAAACAGGGCTTTTGGAACCGCACGGATGCCGACATGTACGTGAACGTTGTATCCATGAATAGACGCAGTTACAGATGCACAACTGCATATACTGGATTCACTCCCGCCGATATACAACAGATGTGCAGCTGTTTTGATCAAAATTGCTGCACATCCGACACAACACCAGAATAATCAGAGCACTCTGCAGGATTCGCTTCCAAAATAATTGGATTCTAAAAAGATCCGGGTGCCTTGTGGCCCTTGTCAGTATATCCAATTGACACACCTGCAAAAGCATCAGGATGTTTGTCTTGGACTTGGCCATTCCCTTGAGTCCTTCAAGCGATAATTCTTGCTGCTCACGGGCTCCCATGAATTCCATATGATGAGTCAAAGGACCCTCTGGCCTGCCATTTGCTAGGTAATAAAAGTGTGCCATGAACAATAAAGGTGCAGCAAGTATCAGAAACACCCAGCGCCAGTCCAAGGACCCTAAAAGGGCCGCAAGGCACTGGCCGCAGAAGGTGCCGAAACCTGCTGCCCCCAGAACAAATGCAGAGGCACAGGACCTTAAGGAAGGCCCAAACCAATCACCGACCAAAGAATACGCCAAGGGATGAACTCCTCCGCTCGCAAGGCCAGCAACCAAACGAAGAGCAGCCAGTTGCCAGTAAGCTGGGCGCAGCGTACAACAGCAAACGCACAGTACCAGAAGATATATCACAGTAATGAAGAAATGAGACAACAAAGCAGAAGACACGGATGTGGTATGACACCACAGATATCAATCCTGGCAGATGATAATTAAAGGGCAGTACAGTTGAGCGTTGTAGGCTAACCAAATAGAAAGATTTGTGCAAATACATAGATAATCTTCACAAGAGAAAAAGCATAGTGCAAAAGTGCATAGTGGCAGCGAAATCTATACACATTGGGCTCTTTAAACAAAAGCACTTCAAGTTGCAACTTAGTATGCAAAAAGTTCTATAAGAAGGTTGACGAGCTACAAGTACTAAATAAGTCGATGCTTGTCCTGTGAAAAGTGATAATGACAATCCATGGGAGTGATACGTTGACCGAGACTACAGACTAATTAAACGAATAATTTTCTGCATACCGTTGACAAAGAATGTGCATAATGAAGCAAGCCCAGAGAGGAGTAGAACAGCCGAGACAAGTTTGTTTCTATCCAAAACGCCAGCACAGAGACCAACAGTGAGGGCCCCAATACACCCCGGAATGTAGTAAAGGAACCTGCACGCGCAACATTCGCAAAAACCAAAAGGCTTTTCTTGTAAGAGGCATACCTATTCCATACCGTCTAGACATTTGCTTTCTAGGAATATTTACCAAAAACAGAGCAGACAAAAAGCAAAAAAATACCAAGTATTTAACAGGACGCCACAACAAAGAGCTCTTACCAAGGCATCATCTAAATCCTGCCGCACTACATACTGTAGTTAAGTTAGTAGCTTTTATTCAGTCAGCGCACTCCAAGCAAACATCCACAGCTAGAGGCATGCCTAACGAGGCTTCAGGCTAAAGGAATCCAGCACTGCATATCAGCTGAGGATCTGTGCCTCACGCGAGCTCGCCTCCCACACGGATGTCTCTCTCCGCCTCCGAGAAATGGAAGGTATCAGCGATGCGCGACAGATTGGGTGCCAGAGAATTCTGGGTACCAAACGCGACAGTCACCGCCAGAATCAGTACTACAAACACAAGAACATTCAGGCTAGCAGAACTGTATGAAAAATAAGAAAATTACTGACATGCTCTATGGAATACAATAGACTAGAAAGTTGTTATTAATCCTACAAGCTCACAGAAGTAGACACTATCAAAGTATTCATTGAAAACTCGTATAACGAAGAAATTTCGTTAAATAGCTCAGGCACTGAAAAATCTTGAGTCTGACAGAACCGTTGCAATTATGTACAATAAGTTCGTCACAGGTTCTAAAATGGGGAAAACAAGTAAGATATGTGGAAATATGGATTGCATTCTTTACAAGTGACAAAATTTGGCTGCTTGAAAAATAGAGAAAGTTATTGCTTAGCCCAGTAGAATTCGGTGATTAGCTGTAGGTCCAATACTACCAATTCCAGCCTCTCAGCAAAACTTTAGTGTGAGCCAACAACTGATAGCTGTAAAGTAATACCCCATGTTAAAAGAAAATACAGCTTCAGGGTCTTGATTATAAACAAAAGTCAATATTTATCTACCAACTCGCGTAAACGATCATCAACTTCGATAGATAGGTGCTGAGCAGCGTAGAGGAAAAGGCATTCTATGTACTGCAACGGCAACGGATCATATGTAACAGCAGCAAAAACGTGCATCGCACACAAGCCAAAAATATAGGCGAATATTGCAGAGATACTCGTATCTGTGTAAAAGCAGCACATATCGTTGAAGGGAGCTTGAGCTTACTCATGAAATGATATTGCAGCAGCTCGGTAGCTCGCCCTCTCTGGTGGAACGCCATGGCCACATCGGGATACTTCAGATCTTCTTCATCCATATGTTTGTGGCTTCCCTCGCCCGGCAGTGCCTTCGACCTGGTTGCCAGCAGACGCGAAATGAATGCCTGCATCCAGATGAGCCGCCGCGTCACCGCAGATGCTGTAACTGACGCTGTTGAGGAAGCAGAGGCTGTAGCCGCCTTCACAGTCCTCTTCCATACCCCAGCCTCCGCGTTGGTAGTGAAACATGTACCTCCAGGGTCCTGTGCAGCGTCATGGGGGGGAACTTCTTTAAATGTATTCCCGGTGCCACCAACGTCTGCAGCCAAGAATGTGCCACATTCTGGCCCCGATTTTTGCCGAACTCTTGCGGGAAAGCTCAAACGACTTGGAGCTAGTGCTTCCTTAGGATCTGCATACGTGGCTGACACGCCGATGTACCCCTCTGATGAATCTGCCATGCCATCTGGTAACGTATCAGCCTCCCGATCACTTGTGGGATTCTCTTCAGCGTCTGTGGCCACATGATCATGGGAGTGGGTTAACGTTGTGGGATCAGCAAGGACAGGTCCCTCAGAAACCCCTGAGGAGGCGTCGTAGCATTCAGGCTCCCCGATACTGCATTCATCCTCTGCACCCATCAGGGCAGAAGGTACAGCAAAGCGAGCCGCCATTCCCCTCCAACTTTGATTTGCCTACGCCAGAATGAGCCGCAACACCTGCGAGAGCCGTACTCCGGTTGTTGCGTACTGCGAAGGAGGCGATTCCCCCAAGTAATTTATCTTGTTAGGCTAGTAGAGTGTGTTGACCCAATGGCGGAAAAAGAGTGATCTAAATAGAGGGGAGAACGGCAGATTGTTAAAATTCGGAGGACTGCGGGCTGCTGACGGATCGATTAAAAAGCTCTGGTAAACCTAAAGCGTAAGAAGTCATCGATGCCAGCTGTCCCGAGCTGTGGCGCGTCGATAGGCTCAGGCGTAGGTATAACCCTTCGTTCGTTGCTTGCTGCATCGCAAAGTTCCCACTTTGCTGCAGAAGAGAGGGTTGCTAGATGGGAATGATGAATTCAATTACGCGCGCTTTATCGTGCGTGTATAGCTGGGCGATTCGATGTCTAAAGAACGGGATGCTGAGCAGCTGCAGTTGAGGGGAGAGCAGCAAAGGAACGAAAAAAGCTTGATATTTGAGAGGAAGATAATAAATCTAAAGGAAAAGTGAAAGAAGGAAGGGAGAAGAGGGATCAATCCAAGAAACTCCATAAGCTGCTCACCCCGCTAGTGCAAGAGGTGAGGCCCGCGTCATGCGTTCTTGCCTCTTAGCAAAGCGCGAAGCATGTCCATTCCAGAATGTAGATCCAAATGTATTTATGATTAGTAATACCCAATACTGTTTTACCTAGCAAGAGAGCAAACGCACTCTTGGGAGGAGTAATCGACTTACAATGATGCGTTCGTTCACTCGCATCGCCATCCCGCAAGTTGCAGTATTCCCTTAACCTTTTGCTAGAAAAAGCCAATTCAATGAAGGAACAACGTTTGCCCTTCGTCGAGCTCAGCGCTTGGTTTTTTTAGTAGGCAAGCATAGACTCTCCGAGCCGAGGGCGCCTTTCTCTGTAAGTACTAAATGTGAACTAGTTATCACCGATGGTGACATGGGACTCGTGCAAAAAACATTCTGGCATACAGCCTGTTAAAAGCATATTGACAAATGGTATGCTCGCTGAAGTGTGCGTGCTATGATCAAACAGTTATGGCTTGAAAGAATTACCAAGGTACCATTCTATTACTCAATATTTCAGTTTTGGGCCAGAGCTTGTAGCGGGGTGAACTGTAGTTGGGCATGCTTCTAATGAAACTGGTTACCAACAAGTGACAAAGCACTGCCTAGCTTGTTTTCCTGTTCATATGTCGCCTTAATTGCAGAATGGCACGAGCTTGGCTGCGCGCGTTTACACTACACGCTTCGTGCAAATAGCTATGATTATTTGGCGTACCTGGAGAGTGAAGGCACGTGCATACTAGCCTTCTCTCCCGCTTGATATCGGGAACTCTAGACGTCGCATGCACTGGAAGGAAATAGATCCTGGGGGATACAGATAGACCTAAGAAGTTTGTATCGAGTCGGCAGTTAAGTGCCTCCATACGCAAACCATAGATGGAGCTTTTCATTTGGTAGCACCACACAGTTCGGTGCAGCTGTTTCCTGCTCCTTCATTGGCTGCGTATGCATTGGGATGTCACCTGTGCCAACAACAGTTGTCGGGTTCAATCGTTATTTGATCAGTAAATAACTCGCTTTTCTCAAGCAACAGACTGACAAGAGCATGATTTGGCGATGCAAGTATACGGGGGCAGAACGCTGTTAATTTGGCAAAGGCCAGCCTGCAAGCTGATGTGAGTCCACGTGCTTCACAGCTCATACAACAGCATACTGTGTCAGCCCGTAAAATGTTCCTGGAGGGGTCGGTGAGGCTACGCTGAGCCAAAAACTATGCCAGCTGCAAGGATGGTCAAGTAAACGGAGATGCCATCAGTTGCTTGGTGGCGTACCATTCTTTGCATCCCCCATTTGAAGAGCAACGAGCGCTTGTTGTGCCACGGTTATCGGGAAGCGAAACATTGAAATGGTGGCCATATCCATGCAGAGACAGTCGCCCGCGTCGAGGTATTACTACAGTTCAAGCCTTACCACATGCCGTGACTCATCGGCTCATCCAGAGATCTCTACAGAAGCAAGCTTTGGAAAAATAAGGAATGCCAAAGCAGTGAAATCTATCGAGATCGTTCAATCAACAAAATAATATGGGGCTTCGATTCTCAAACTCCACGACATATATGAACAGCTGCTTTACAAGTGATTTATCTTCGGTTTACCCCACATGACGTCAGGTGATCGCAGGCCAGTAGCGTTTTACCGCTTTACACCTGACCGGTGGAGCTCCCGCAAATGATGGACCACTTGAGGTTTAGAAGGCAGATGAGCCCAAGTCCTACGTGTTTTGCTGGAATGCGATGGATCAAGTCGGACCTGTGGATGGTGGAACTGTGTCAACCGACCTTAGCCAACTATCGAGGTTGAATGTGGGGACAAGTTTCGAAGGAAGCAGCGGTCCCAGGCTACCCCATACAGCCCGTCAGCAATGCATCTGCTTCTATTGTGGAAAAACGGGTCATATTTTGTGGAGCTGCAAACGCATGCAAAAGGCCAGAGTTTGAACAATGAGACTGGGCGACGCGAAGGTCGACTACATGACGAACAAATCAGATGCTTCAGGGGAACGGCAAGACCCCCAAGAGGCGCAAAGGAGGCTATAGAGATTCGAGCCGCAACTGGCGACCCACCACGCATCAGTTCTGCCCTGATACGAGTGCACACTGATGGGCAAAAGCTGCTATTCTTCCTTCACACTAGATGTGGATTCGCCACCCGAAGAGAAGGCGCGGAAATGCAAGTGGCCTGTACACGGTGTAGCGCAGTCCATGAGTCCTGGGTTTGCTCACAGGTGGCAGAATGCAGGGGTTGAAAATCCTGTGGCAGCTAATTGCTAGCTGAAATCGGAATAGGGTCCTATAATCATGCACCCTCACTTATTTATTGGACCCTTGCACCATGACGAAGTCCTAGGCATGCCATGGGCAGCCTAATGAAGGGTATGCATGCGGCCACAAGTGCACGCCGTAAACTTTAGTGTACCAGGAGGCGCTGGGATGGATCAACCCGAGACACCTTAATAACGTGCATTTTCCCTCTGGTGCGCAGGGTTTTATCGGTGCCTCAACAATGAGCGGCGGATTTTTCATGTGGTTAGTTGAGCAGCTCAGTATTCCGGTCCTGAGCAAAAATCCATCTGAGTCTCTGTGCAATAGATTCGGTTTACAGACTTCGAGTGAGTATTCCACGAAGGACGATGGTGCGAATATCAAGAGGCAGTCAGAGAATGTGCTAAAGCATGACAAGCTGCTAAGAGGCCGGCCCTGCTGGTTATCCAGCAAACCGTGTTCAGCTATTCTTTGAGTCGGTATCGAACTATGTTCCACAGTATCGGCAACCAGCACAGCAGGAAGAGGATATTGAGCGGCAAGAAAAATATTTGCTGGAAAAAGGCAAAATGCAGGAAGGTTTCGGCGCCTTTAGGCCTAACCCGGTGTTGTTGCCCACAATGGAAGGGAGGTGATGCATGTGCATTAATCTTAAGTCCCTGAGCACGATCACTATTATATACTGTGAAAAACCAATTTCCCGATGCTTAAACTGGCGAATAACTTGACAAGCTTCACAAATTACCAGTCTACTCGGCATTTGATTTCACGGACGCCTTCCTACCAATTCTTCCAATGGCCGGAATGACAGGCACAAAACGACATCTCACGCTTGCTCTCAAACTCAAGTATACCTGCATTTGCTTGGACATGTTAGAAACCGCGGCTGATATGCAGCGGCAAATGAAGAATCTTCTAGAATAGGCCTAGCAAGGAGGGCTTGATGGCTGTGTACATGGAAGGAGTCATGGGTTTCAGCCGAAACGTTGAAGGGCACCTGATGACGCGGGCTATACCTCTGCGCAACCGCCGCAAAGTTGCGAAGTCCGATGGCTGTACATTATTACAGAAATTCGAGTCGCAGATATGCTTGGATTGTTGCTCCTTTAAGTGCATTACAGACTAAGATTTCGTAGGTGAACTGGACATAGTAGGCGGGTGCCCCAGCAAATTCGTTTGTAGGCCGCATTCCAGCGCTTCCGAAACGCTCTGCGGATACAGAGCAATTCCTTTCTAATACACAATGTACGTGACTCCTCTCTCTCCAAAGGGCTTCGGGTTATCCAGAGCAACAAATTATGGTTTGTTACTTTCATAGCTTTACCGGAGCTGGGCAGCGGTAACCAGTGCGGGAGAAGAAGCTCGATGACATCGAGTGGGACGTGAAGAGCCAGCCTTATTTATGTGGCCGTAGCTGAACTGTCCAACCGACAATTATTTCACTTTTTGCTACTCTTTACAAGCCAGGATATATTATCCTGGACTTGTTCTGCTGGGCTTGAATGCCTTCTGCAGCACTGTTCAGTCATGCATTTTAGGGAGGTCACCATCATGGTAGCCGGCACGCTCTCACGGTGGTCCGGAGATGCTTTATTGTGCAGCACAACGGTTTGTTTATCTGGTTGTTCAATGCATTTATGAAAATTGCGCCAGTTTTATATGCTTGAGACCCATCCGATCTCTATTATAGCCAGAATTCAGGATAGCAAAACAGTGAATCTCCACAGAGTTAAGGATGACCTACTGTGGCTCACATGAAGGCGGACTCCGTCGCTTGTACATTCCAATTTGCCTCCGCATTTCTGCTTTACGCAAACCACAAGCTCCTGTTATTCTGGGTCATTGTGGGACTTACATTACAGCAAAAAAGGCCTGCGTCACCCTTCTGGTGGCCTGGGATGCGTGCCGCGGCCGAGGAGTATGCACAGTTCTGTCTAGACTCTTTGCAGCAAACATGCACAATTCTAAATAGCTCAAGGCCGTCCGGTTCCAGAAAAAATTAGGACTGATCCGACCATGGATTCTATTGTTGGACTACTGGAGGTCAAGGATTTGGATGGCATCCACGTCAATGTCGGCAGCCTCAGCACAAACGCCCACTTCATCCCTTGCTACAGGTTTGTCACTGCTCGGGAGCTCAGTCAATATTTTTTACTCAGGCCTTCAGGCTTCTTAGACTCCACAGAAGTAACAATGCAAATAGGGAACCGAAGTTCGTTAGTGTGATATGGAGTGCCTTTATGACCCGCCAACATATTGACCGTAATATGACCTCTGCGAACCACCCAAAGGCAGATTCACAAGTGGAGTGCATCAACCGCACTTTTCTGCCGTATATGCAATGTATGCTCACAATCTCCAACTTCTCGACTTGATTTTTTTCTTTGTACTAAGCGGGTTTATAAGATGACGAAGCACTCGACAGGTTCCTCTTCCGCATCCCCAGTCTATGCTGAGTGGCCTCTCTCGCCTTCGGATCTGGACCTGATGGTCCGGGGTCAGCAGCCACCCTTAGCAGCAGAGATATTCAGAGGACAGGTGGCTAGTGCGTGAGGGTGTACGCACACATTTCAAGCGAACAAGAAAGTTATTACGGTAAGCGACGGTCGGTGCTTTGAGCCTGAAGGACGGCCTTGGTGGATCTACGAGCATTGTGAGGCGCATCCGAAGATGACCATACAGCGAGCGTTGCGGCAAAGTGGCAGGATAATTTAGCTATCCTATAACTAACCAATGGTATTCTTGCTCTATCAGCTTTACAAAACGTCAGAGGTACCGCAGAATGGTCAGTATTGGCTTCACAAAGATTTTAAAAGCTGCTTGAACTCTTCGCAGAATTTGCCTTGCAAAGCAAGTGACCCGCGCGGAGGCAGCAAGTTTACATTGAGTCGTAGAGGTGTTGCGTTCTAGGACCAATGGGCGCCAGGGACACAAAAGACGGGAGATTTCAGTGAAATGTAGCCGGAAACGTCAAGCCCATTGGTCGGTAACGAAGCGGCTAGCTGTTTTGTAGCCTGCGGGAGAATTCGCGGCTTTGCATAACTAGCATTGCAAGGTTCCGTTGACAAGCTCCTCGACTTCCTTGAAAAGTATTCTTTCTTAACGCGTGTTCTGCTTCAAATCGGCAGTTACATCTACAGCTACTGCTTGAAACGGCGCCAGGCTTTTACTGGTCAGGTACTCAGACACTCAGGATGTTGTCTCTGCATTCTTTCTTCCGGGGTTGGAAATGGACAATGCTGCGTACACCAGCTATATTTGTACACAGAGACTGCTCAGTGAGGCTTAGAGGCACTGCTTGGCTTCCGTGTGTCTTGAAATTCCTTTGCATGTTTTACTGCTTCTGTTTTATCGAAGCAGGAGGCTCACATATTTCAGAGTTCCGATGACAGCAAGCCACCGCTACACCATGATCGTGTTAAAGTAGTCTCCTGTTTGTTGTTGGCTAGTGTGTGAGCCTTTCTCCGTCCAGATTTCTCTTGACGGGTTGATGCACAGTGTTGCTATTCTCATCAGCACAGTTTCGCATATCTTCTTGCATGAACAGCGGCGAATAAATGCAACCCTTCAGCTCCTATGCAAGCGATTGGTGTCGATGGACAGAAAACGAACCCACACGAGCTTTCTTCGAGGTGGGGAGGCAGAATATGTGACAAGATACGCTACATGTGAACACTTCATTATACACTGGTTATGTAACTAGGAACTAACGGAGAACTGTTTGACATGCCTGCAATAACTTGTTTTTTCGCAAAGCACTCATAGCTCAATACAGCAACACGCAATTTTATGTGTATCTGTGCTAGACGCTATATGGAACCAGCTGTAGGTGCTTTAACTGCTACAAGGGTGCAAGTATACCCACTCAGGTGGCCCGGTTCCTTAGTATCTAGAAGAGAGGGAGGCACAGGCAAGGCGGGCTGGGCATAATTTTGGGAAACAATCACGTTCTACTCATTTTGTATCGAGTCTGTAGCTATATGTCTGGTTGCGGAAACCGTAGCTGGAGAGTTGAAATTCTTCTCACCTAATCCCTGAAAACTCAGAGAGGCGAGAGCAGGAACAAGATATAGATCCTTTTAAACACATACAATACCTGCCTCTCACGTTTGTAATGCTTTTGGTCTTCACTGTCTCGCCACGCAGACCTCAGATGGAGCGTTACAATTTGTCCCTTTCTTCAGGGTGCATCTTGCGCGAAGACTAACTTACGTGTCAGAACTGACCCAGTGAATGATAGGCACTTTTCTATCTCAAGCTATAATATCATACACAAGAAGAACACTATAAGCACACAGTAGGAAGGGTGTGCGTACACAGACCACGGTGGTTTTGTAGCTACAGTGAGACCACCTGCTTGTTCCTGCTGCCAAAGAAAACATAAGAGTGCTCAAGAAAATTCTCCCACAAGCTCAAACGTATAGTTTCCTAGCAATCTGGTTTGAAAATATTAAATGAAAGTAGCAAAAGCTCCCTTTCAAGTAGCATTCCTCTTCACCGCCGCCTGCATGCGGCGTGAGCCAGCGTCCTAGCGCTGGTCGGCTCAGTTCATTTGCAAGCGGGAAAAGATGCGGCGCGTTGCCATTTTCTGTAATTCCAAGCACCCGATTTATCAGGAGGGCCTATCGTCTCAGACATCATATAGGCACCTCCGTAATAACCAGCAGACCGCCCTGTAGTTTGAACCTCAGTATCGCACACTCAACTATATGGTAGCGCGAGGGAGTCAGAGCAGCAGCTTATTTGCTTGGCTTCGTCATGCATCTTCAATTACTGGGGGCTGCCACAACGTCGTAGACGAAGAGCCCAGGGGCTCGCGAGCACCAATGCCTGGTAAAAAAGAGCAGGCCAGTGAGGATGGCCGTGAACTGCACCAGCGGCGGCGTGTCCTAGCTGATCCCAGATATTCGGATTGTATGTCAGGGAAGTCTACGTCGGATGGGGACAGTTCCAGGGGTTCCGGTCACCCTCGACTTGCTGTGGCGGACGCTGATGCGCATACTGAAGCCTATGCCAACTCAGTGTACTGCAAGCATGCGGAGGAGTTTCCAGAAAAGTTCCGGGCTGACATTGACTACAGTATTCAGGAGAACCCGAGGCAAGTCTTATGCAGTCTTGCCATTCTTCTGACGCTCGTGATTCTGGCCAGTGGACCAAACTGGTTCTGGAAGTCTGACGGGGGTTACAGACTGTTTGAACAATCATTTGATGATCTGGGCGAACACAGGAAGCATGAGCTCAGATTTTGTGCCCTTCAGGCCATAGTGTGCTTGGCAGTGGCTATATCAGGATACTGCTTCTTGGAGAGCAGAGACGGTCTGCTTGTCCGGCCCCACCCGGGCTTTTGGCGGCTTGTTCACGGCTTATGCTTGCTATACTTTCTTTTTCTCGTCTGTCTTCTGGCCATTAACCGGGATGATGGTCGGTTTCTGCTTCGTTTGCTGGTTCCTGGATTTGGCACGAGGAAGCAGAATATCTTCTCTGGAACGTTGGTGCTGGATTGCTCTTTAAGCGCTAGCACACTTAAGCGGCAGCTAACTTCTGTGTGGTTTATCAGTCATGTTATTGGGTGGTTTTTGAAAATGTGTATTTTCCGCAGCTGGATGTTCAATTTGACATTTTCAATCCTCTTTGAGTTCTGCGAGATGTCTTTACAGTGGCTTATTCCAGAGTTCCAAGAATGCTGGTGGGACAGCATATTTATCGATGCCATATTTTCTAATCTTATGGGTATGTTATTCGGCTGCGTAGTGATGCGCTGGTGTGGGAAACGGCATTTCGATTGGTTGGGGGCCTACCCGCGGTATCAGAAGATCATGCTAAAATTCACCCCCTTTTCAAGCTGTGAGTACGAATGGTCATTCTTTCGGACGGTGCGGCACCTCTTCATGACCAGTATTCTATTGTTTTTATCCCTTCTGGCTGAAGTGAATGTTTTCCTCCTCATGACAGTCTTGGACATACCTGCGGCACACTGGATCAACCCGGCACGACTTGGGCTTCTAGGGCTCCTTGCTTTCCCTGCAGTCGCAGAGTTCGATGCGCAGCTTCACTTCAAATACGACCGCATAGGTGGTAACGTATTCCTGTTCGTCATGATCTTGACGGTGGAACTGCTGGTCGGTATTAAGTACGGGGTGGATCGGTACTTTTCCAGTTCACCTGGTGCGGATGTTGTTCTTCCCTGGATCTTGGCAGGGCTCTTTTTCGGGGCTTGGTGCTGCTGCTACTTCGCACAAATTTCCAAAGAAGGGCGCAAGGACAGTGTAGTACGAAATGAAGCAAATTCGCAACGACGGACGTTGCGAGATACAGCAGGCGCAGTTTTGCTCAAGATACCTCCACAAGCATGCTTCCTGCCACTACTGTACCTCGCAAAGCACTACTACTACGGACCGTCAACTTGATTGTTTCTCACCTTTGCCATAGTTCCTGGTGTATACCTTTACAGCGAACGGAGCCTTACTGAATTCGCCTGCAGAGCGTGGTCGTGACGTGACTAGTTCTGCTGCTTCGCATAGCCGCACATTATAGATTTGGCAGGGAATACCTAAATGCGGGCAATATGTGCCCATAATAGGGTTCATGCAACTGTGATTGTAGCACGGGCGCAATAGGCGTTGTGTATTGCATCATCCACAAAACCTGACTCATTCAAGGGTTTGTCATTTGCTTGTAGCTGGTAGCCATAGATCGCCTTCAGATTCTGTAGTCCCGTGTCATTTGTGCACATTTCCCTTCGGATATCTCACTAAACAGTGTTATGCATCGCTGATCGGTAGGAAAACTTCTGTGGCGTATTCTTGTTTTGATCACCCTTGGGGCAGGGATTAGTGAAGAATCAGCGAGGCGTCTGCTACAATTAAGTTGTTAGGAGCTACACGTCCACGGAACATAATACAATTGGTCAGGAATCACTAGTAAAAATGTCATTTAACCTATTAGCCTGCGCTGGAACGAGTTCGATAATCCGCAGAGGAACGCTTCAATGGTGCATTCGTGGCTGAAGTTTTGAAGCTAAACCAGGCCACAAAAAGGCATTCCGAAGCTGGTGTCTCCCTGTACTCAGATGCATTAATATCAATTGATGCATCTGTCTTTAACGGGTCCAATGCTGCTGCTTGCCCTTCGGAGTTCTCAGTACAGCGGGGCGACGGTTAGCATACATGTGGAAAGCTAGATATCTCTGAAGCATACACCAACAGCTTACTGTTGACTTAAACGAGATTTTTCCGGCTATTCGGGGTAAGAGAATGCGGGCATGTGGGGTCTTTCTGGATTATTGAAGGTCAGTGGCACAACGGTTGATCTTGAACCGTTTCTAACTTAAAAGTTTTTGACCTCCGGAAGTGGACGTGAATCTACTTGAACTTTTACCTGTTCATGAGCTTACGGCATTGAATGGATCCAACGATTTAGGTCAGGAGCTTCTGAATATTGCCAGTAATAATGTTACTACATCCTTGACCGTAACTTCATTTTGGTCATTTCAACGCTTCTGATAACTTCAGTTCCGCTTCAGACTTCCTTCAGCGTAATGAGTTGGCCTGAGCTGCTTAAGAAGAGCACGAACTTACGGTAGGGGGTATTGCTGATGGAGTATTCTGAGTGGTTCCTTTCGTCCTCAGCTGCCGAAACTGGCCTGTATCAGGCGGTGCCTTGGGCTATTTCAAGAGGGTGTAATCAAATTATTACCCATAGGCCCCAAATTATCCTTACGATACGGTATTCTATGTTGAGCCTGGGCTTGCCACATAGTCTTCGAGCAGCGTGTGATTTTATCAGACGCAGTACTTACAGCCTCTTCTAATAACGAGAACCAACAGGTGCTCGGACTTTGTACTCTGTCGAAAATACCCAGGATCCGGTGTAGATGTTATTGGCCTCCTTGATGAAATCTTTTTGCACTGACCTTAGCAGAGCAGATAATCTGAAACTTGCCTCAGCACACATCCCTTGAGCTGTGATTTCGTGATCGCAGCTCAGCGTCCGTTTGCGCCATGTAAATCCCACATTAGGACAAGGAGGCGCGTTGAACGGTAACGTGCTATTGGTAGAGCCACTGAATGTTATGCTGGTTGCCTGTTGCCTGGCTCATATGCTGCGTGCTTTCGCACTGCAGTAGGAAGTGCCAAAGCTTGGCATAACTCGCTGTACAGTCTTCATCAACCCACCGGCACAATGACGCTTCCTAGAATTATCTCAACTAGCTCTATGGCTGCTTTTGAGTCTTGATTGTACGTACGATTTTTTGTGCAGACAACCAATTTGGACCCTTTATAGATATTTCACTTCCATTACCGCCATGTGCAGCTCGCCACGGCTTGTTTATCGGACTTCCCATAGTGCAGCTGGGCTAGAAACACTGTGGATCTACACTGTAGGATAGCATGGCCTTGTTACACTTTATCACGGGACCGCTTACCCTAGTGCTTCGATATTTGACTCAGTTTTAAAAAAATTCAATGTCAAATGCTCCTAACTAATGAGATATAGAATGTTTTGATATGCATCCCTAGCTGAGGGTGGAAAGCTACCAGAATGCCCAGTCCCGGAAGGCTTTCACTTGCCTACACAGTAGCAAGGCATTTAAAGACCAGGTTTTCCTTCGTATTTTAATCAGGGCGAATAGAGATAAAAGCGTTACTTTCCATTGCTCAGTGCCTGTCGGCTTGCCGGGGGTTCGACAACAAAGAAAATCCCTCAGGGCAGCCCAATCCGGACGTTCCGTTTTTGTCCATCAGTAGGTTGAAATATTTAAATGATTATTAAGCTACACCCTCATAAGCAGCTAGACACATGTACTTTCTTCGATGGTTCCAACGCCGCTGCTTGTAGGATGCCTCAGTACCAGATCGACCACCACAGGCGGCAGTGCAGACAGCGGGAAAAGCGATTCGGCTGTTGTTGCCTATGCTCTGTAACAGCACCTAAGAGATATCTGAAATTATACTAATACAATACATACTCGTCAAGGCCAAGGCACGGCACCGCGCCACCCCGTCCGCCAGGCCCTGCGTTGCCTACTTGTACGTGCACGACGATAGTAGTTCGGTCAAGTACACCATTGGCACCACCTTCCTAACATGACGAAACTATAGGCAATGCATTTCCGCAGAAGCAACCGCCAAAAAGTCGCTGCTCACACAGCCGACGGGCCCGTACACTCGCTCTTCAAGGCCATCCTCCCGAGGGGAGCCGGTACCCTAGCCCGCGATTTTCACAGAAGCCAAGTGAATCGGCTGCATTGTGAACCTTCGTAGACATTTACAATGGCTCATTGATACGGACCAAACGGCCCCACTTCCCGATAGCCATATTTGTCCGCAATGCCCAGATCGCCATCGCAGCGCCTGGGAAGACTGACGATAATGAATGCAGGCAGTACCCACTCAATCAATGTTTAGTGACTTTACTTCCATATTTAAACGATTCTCTCGCGTTTATTCTCATGGCCTTTTTTTGCAGGCTAGGAACCACACAGTCGTGCCCACCGCCGCCCCCATGGCCAGCTGTGATAGTGGCCACCCAGATATCCCGAATATTCGTTTCCCTGGATTCGATTTCTATAATAAATCACCTTTCATGCCACGAATTGAACTTGACGCGCAATCTCCTGCCCCGTTGAGTAAGTGCTAAACAATTGACGCAATGACGCCACCCGGAACAATCCATATCACATTCTTGTAGTCGACGATTTCATTGTGTGAATCCAAGTGCACAGGGCCATTTTGTGTGAATATGCCTACTCAAACATATCACTTGCTCCCCGCATAGACATTTTAAAGCACGAAAGTGCGTGTGCCCACTTCTTCCCGTAAGATGCTGTAGGCCGGGTGCTCCACACGTATATAACCCTTGCTTCGTTTGCATCATGCGGACTCGTCACAAATAATAGTTTCCACCAGCAACAACTCATAAGCGCTAACTCGTCGCTCTGATCCTCAACGACACACCTATTGCGCGAACTCCAAATCTCGCAGCAGCACCGACGCTGGGACATTTGCAGAGCCGTGACTCAGCCCGAGGTGCACTCGAACTGCCGAGTGTGACGTGAAAAATAGTGAATCGGCTGCCCATATGACATGCACTGGGGGACTGGACTCACACGGCATACACCTGGAAATTGCAGAAAGGCATTACCTCTGCCTCTTGCCGATCGTTGAGTGCTCTCACTTCCTCACCTCCCTGATCAGATCTTTGGCTCTCTGGTCGGGCCGACAGTAACTGCTGCTGTTGTGCGTCTGTGGAATGTGGTTGTGTATTATGTTGCGTGGAAGCTTTGGAGTAAAGCTGCCGAATAGGCTGCTTCTCTGGCCTCCACAGGAAGATAATTTCTTCGAATGGCGATATGAGTGTGGCTCCATCACTGTATGGACCTGTACCGAGAAACTCCCTGACTGGCAACCTATCCCTTAGAGGCAGAGGATGCGCAGGAGCTACCGCAGGCGGAGGAGTGAAATCTGCCATATGCATCCAGTGATCCTTGAACGGTGCACAAGGTGGCTGGTTGTCGTATAAGGCGCACAGTGCATCAGCGTCGAAACAAGACTCTGGTGCCTTAGCCCATACGGACTCGCAGGAGAATAGCCACAACGTGTGCACCTTTTTCAAATGTTGAAACGACCCCTCCCTAACACCGCACAATGCACGAAAGAAAGCTGACACGCTGAGTCCACGCCCGGTCTGTGTACTTCGCCAACGCGCGACTGTAAGGGAAAGAGCCAATGGGGGTTCGGGGAGGTCAGGGGCTGGGTCTGGGTATAAACAATGACTCACTTCAGTGCAAGCATATTGTTCGTGTTGCTTTTCCCCGCCATAACGTGAGTTACACCAGGTTCATCAAAACGCCTATATACAGTGGCTCCTAAGCGTTGAGCCAGTTCTGCTTGCCGTTCTTCGCAATCTGCTACGAGGCTGCCAGGTGCAAAGGACTTCCTGTATCCTGTAAGGAACAGGCCTACGCCGGCCAATGTGCGTGACTGGAAACCGCTAATGATCGTCCCAACGCTGAAAACCACAAAATAGATTTACAGCACATCGTATACACCGTGTGTACACGCTGTCGGCGAAGCAACAAGCAGCGATACAAACAGCGTTGTGGCTAGTCATTCCTAACTCTAGTCAAGGTAGCTGCAGGTATGCTACATCACCACCAGGAGGATCGCACAAATCAGCACGACACAACGTTTGTCATCCATGCTGCCCACAATGCATCCGGTAGCCCTTTACTTGCCCTCACTTTGCATGCCAAGGATCTTTAAAAAACTCCTGGTGGACCTTAAGGAATATGTTAACCATGTGCTGCATGTGTCTGTCCCAATCATAGGGTCGAAACAGTTGGTGTTTCTTTGCTGCTGGCACAGGGGAAGACTTCTCCAGTGCGGTGGCACGTTGCCGTGGATTCTCTGCTATTGCAGCTATGGTTTCTTCTATTGGTAAATGGGGATAATGGGATAGCAACTCAGGTCTCGACGAGTCAAAGAAATCGTAGTGCTGAGCCTTTACCACGTGAGCCACCGGCAAGTCAGTCCAAATGTTTTGACGATCATCAAAAGCAACTACACACCGGCGATCCAGATCTCCGTACAGACATCGCACAGTTTTGTTTTCCGTCTGCTCGCCTCGGCCCGAAGACTCGCGCGCCACGATGCTGCAAAACAAGCATTTCAGGATTATATGAAGACGTTATACAGCAGTCCCTAACACATTTACCTCGGCCATGTGGGCGCGTACAGCGCGGCTGTCTTAGTGTACACGTCAACTTGATGCGCGCCAAAAAGACCGGTATATCATGTTCATCACAAAATCACCCAGAGAACACCCGACGAGACCATGTGTGATACCCAGTGCCATTACCATGGACCGGGGCGCCGTTTTGCAGCAGCTATCTCCTGTCGCCAAGCTGCATCTACCACCACGGCCTGCCAACTGGCTTGGTGGTATACTGCGTGCAAGCATGCGTATCCTGCAGCCTCCAGGATGCCAAATAACGCCTCACCACGCCCAACGGCCTACCGCATGCAGCCAGCTTTGCCCTGTTGTAACAGACGGCAGCAGCAGAACCGCGGTCCCCTGGCCTGTCAAAGCAGTTAGCCCGGCATTATGAAACTATTTCTATTGGGTGTTCGTTACGTGATTATTCCACACGGTTGCGGTGTCGGGCTGCACGGCACCGTGACCGCCTCACACGCATAACCAGTAGCGCGCTAAAATAGCATGCGCCACTACCCGACAGACTAGACCCCCTCCCTCTCCCTTCTCGAACCCATGAGCGGCACAATTCAACCCTAAAATGCCATCACCCACTGCATCAGTGTCCGCAAGAGGTCGACCAAACTCGCTCTACTCAAGCCACTGAAACGAGGCTACCGCATGCAATTTCAGTACCCCACCACTCTGGCTTCCGCACAACACATGCGGCAGGAACTGCTGAGACAAATATGTTGCGGCCTAGCCATGCCCCATAGGCCTCCACCAACGCATCATCAGCTGCAAGCTACTGCCGCATAGAATGCATTTAATTCACGCGGCGCAAAATTCCACTATTACGCAGCATCCCCTTGCCGTAAACTGAAGCTTAACCGCGGCAGCAAAACTGCAGTTGCGCCTAGCCGGGCTCGTAATCTGTACATCAATATTCCACCTGCTTGCACGGACGCGCTACGCGTCCTTTGTTGAATGCCAAACTGGCCTACATCAGCAAAAACCACCCTTTACACGAATTCCACTTGCAACAGCACCACTCATCTTATCTTACCGGTCTCCGAAGAGGGATCTGTCGGGGTCCAAGATAGCCACCACCAGGTCGGCATACTCCTGTGTCGCATTCGTGTAGATGCTGAGTTCAAAAACTGGGGCTAGGGCTTTAAGGAAGCGGCGCAGCCCTGGACGCAACTTGAGATAATAGACCTTGCGGTTGCACGGCAGTTCAAACTTGTAAGCCTCCGGCAGCCCATCCTCATCCAACCAGTCTTCCAATGCTAACCGGTACCCAGCCACGCCAACTGCCTGTGCGTGAAGCAAAGTGTTATCTAAATCAAGAAGAAGCGGCAGCTTCCCCGACAACAATGGCTGCCGCCGCAGCGCAGGCGGCAGACTAGTAGGATCCGATTTTGGCAGCTGTTGCTGCTGCTGCTGGGCCTCAATGCTGCCTTGCCCTTCTGGCTGAGGCTTCTGCAGCTCTGTCACTACGGGCACCTGCACCGGTACCGCGTCCTGCTGCTGCCCACATACCTCAGCGCGCGCCCTTGCTGCTAAGCGAGGGTCCCTCCTAGAGGTATTAAGCCCAATATTACCCTGATGCTGAAGCGATGGTGTTACAGGGCTCACGCCTTGCATTACACGTTGCGAGGCGTCTGTTGAAACGTGGGAAGCAGCACGGCTTGTTATGCCTTGCTCTAGCGGCGTACCTCCCAAGTTCCCAGCCTGCGAGGGCGGGTTATGATGCGCCCCATGAACTCCTGGTGCCTCTTCGTCAACTTCTCCTTCTTCCACTTGTGAGACCTCGCTCATCTCATCAGCCTCAAGCATGGAGCCCTGCGGTACTCCCCCATTTGGTGGCGAGATATCATACGTCACTTGCTCAGCGTCCCCAGCATCCGGAGCCCCCCTTGTGCTGGAGGTCGGTGGGAACACTGAGCCTGCAGGTCTGGGTGGTACTTCAGACAATCGCAAAAGCTTGCAAACTTCTTTGTAAGCTGCGCAGAAACGCCTAGGGCATATTTTACCCGTGTAGTAATCAATAAGCTGATCTGCATAACTGATGCAGCATACGGACGGAGGCACGCAGGCGGACAATGTGGCCCCGTCAGCCAACGTCCCGGAGACTGCTTCCACCTCTGCCCCGCCCGAACTGCCCACAACCAATGAAGGCCCCCGTGCCCCCGTTGATGGCCCTCCATGAGCACCAAGAGCCGCTCTTGGCTCGTATGGGGCAGTGCGCTCCCTACGGAGGCCTTGACCCTGCTGTCGTCGCCTATGAGGCACACTGGGATGCAGCGGCAGTGCTCCGTGTGGCGGCTCCGCCTCCCTCTCGGGCCGGGCGCGGGCCTCTCGCGGGTTAAAGTGGCGAGTATCTGACCCAGTGACTAACCCAAAGCCACCTTTCCACTGCTGTTGATGCGGTTCAGCGACTGTTGTGCGCTGGCTGCCCCGCCACCCCCCACCACCGCGGCCCCTGCCTCGGGCTCTGAAAGCATCCCTCATCTGCTCGAGCAAACCTTAAGTGCATCTATGTTTATGTTCGACCTATAAAGCATCTGAGCAACCCAAACTCTCTCCAACAGTTCCTAAGAAATGCACTTGGACCCCTGCACACTAAGCTGCCACACCACAGGCAAGCGTAAGAGCAGAGCTCGCTACAGTACCACGAAGCGCCCCAAGGGCGTCCTTACCAGACATCCACGTGTCTCTGCTGAGCCATCACTTTATGGTTACTTTATAATTTTGAAGATCATTCTCATGGACACGCGATCGATATCCAAGGGGCTGCGTGCCCCGCTTCAGTCAGGCCGGTGCACCTGCTTCCATGCATACAGCCCCGCATCCCGCGGTTGTAGGCTTCCATCTACAACTCTAGACTCGTATAGGCAACAATATTCGCGCAAGTCTACATCATATAGAGTTATATACAGTTAAATTAGTATTTTATGCTCAACAGAAGCCGAACAAGCTTGTTTGAGGCTGGATAAAACGGTGCAGAGCCACCTTGCTGCGTCCTGCTCTATCGGAATGTGGGTCGCAGTAAGGTCTGTACTTCTGCTCCATGCATGAAACACGTCGAAAATTACATCCTCTTCTGGTTGGTTGAGCGTGGATTGCTTGGTCGCCAGAGAGTCGTGTTACTTATTCCACCACAGCGCTCAGATTGTATTCAGTGTAACGCTCCATCTAGGGTCGTCGTGGGAAAGCATATAACTCCACACTTAATGCAGAGCTACTAAAAAGATGTTGGAGGCTTTCAAAAAAGCTCCGGCCTTGCCTTCCTCGCGCCACTTAGGGTTTCGACGTGAGTGGGGAAGGACAACTAGGGTTTACTAGGGTATGCAACACGTCGACGCTTTCTACTACACTAGTAAACTTTCAACCAAGAATAACTAGAGAATTGAACAACTATTTTGGCTGTTCGTATCTTTTATTTATTGTACATTGATGGTAGCCTGACGTCATAAGACTGCAGTGTCGTGCGTGTGCGCTAGATGCTGTGTTCAGCTAGCTGTGCATGCTCAGATTCCTCACAAAGGTCAGCTATGAGCACCGTAGTTGTCTTTCTCTCGGCATTTATAGAGCCAGAAGGGCGCGGGAAAGGGAAGGCGGGAGTCGTTGCGCTACGTGGAAGGTCTGCGTACGCATCCGTTTAATTCTAGATTCAAAAAGAACTTGATAGGTTATTAGGTGCAACTCAAAAAACTTCTACATTACCCTGCTCGTGCCCCTCAGAGTTTCCGGCTTACGGAAAGAGGCACAGTGAAGCTGCACGCAGCAGCCTAGGGTTGGAAGTCTTCACAGGTGCCTACACACAGCGTCTAGCGCCTATGCACATAACAGTGCACCTTCTTGTATCGAGGGAGCAGTACGTTGCAAGAAACAAGCTCTTTAAGCAAGCAAAACCACTGGTCAACTGAGCCCTATATATTTAGTATAGTGGAAGGTGCTCAAGAGTAGCCTAGCCCTCGACAGCTTCCCTCCGGTTGCAAAATAAATTGCTTCATGTTACCTATCCGTCCGTTAAGACCATCTGCATACAAGATAGCAAAGAATGCCAGCTTTATATTCACTCCTTTGACACGCAGCCATGTGGAATAAATGAGTAAAACAACTGCAGAGCCGAAAGGAAGAGACGCCTACACACGAGCCAACAACGAAAGTAGACCAAAGTATCACGGCCACTAAGGCCCGATTCCTTGAAAGGCGCTCAAATATATTGATTTCCTGCTAAAAGAAATAAGAGAACAAGTACAATGTACAATGATAGTCAAACTACACACTTTGGGCAGTGCCTCATCGCATGGTAGAGCTCTGCATGCGGATACAGCCGTTTCCTGCAGCGAAGTCGCTTTTAAGGCTCCCCAAAGCATAAAGGCGAATGCAGGGACAGCAGACCCAAGAAAACCCCAGCATAAGTTTGAGTGCAGACAGCTGAGTGATTGCCTATCCGTGACGGTGCTGGAGCAAGGGATGAAATAAACATTTTTCCCGAGACTATCTACAACGACGTGAAAGCCATCAAAATCCTTGGCCTGTGGCAATCCAAATAAAGTCCGTACTAGAGCACGCCGATTCTACCTGGACCCGCGTATCATTGCAAGAGACCCGTTTCAGGATATTCATGCACTTTAGCTGCTGGCAATCTAAGTCATACAGTGCACACTTGTCTGCCGCAGGATGCATTTCAGCCTACCAGAAGGACTGTGAGAGCCTCTTCACTGTAGTTCAATCCCACTAAGGCCAGAAAAAACACGATAGCGTGCTTTGAGCACGGTGGCGGAGGGGAGAAAAGCTGGAATGTACAAGCAAAGGAGTCCCTGGTTCGGTTTAAGCCACAGCAGATCATCCTCATCGTGCTACTGGGTCACCCTTTTGCTATTCTAATTCTAAACATTCGCAAGCAAAGGGAATGCACGGGTATCAAAGGCGCAAGATCAGTGCAAACTTGATATGCACCATGGATTATCAGAGTAAGCGATTGTGCTGCACGTAGAATCGCGTTGACGACTCCACTGCGTTCTAATTTGAACTGCAGGAGGCACCCAGACCAGAAAATAGGTTTGGGCTTATCAAAGATTTTGACACGCTTCGTAAGATACAATAATGTGGTCATGGCTGCTCTGGACATGTCAGATACACGTATAGTGTCAGCATTTCATCGTCCTCGATACCGCTGCTGGCTTTTGCTGAAGTGATGAGAATAACAAACAATAATTATGCTTTGCTGGAAAGCCCTCAGCTTGTTGTAAGAGAACCCACCACTACATCGCTGCTATTTATCCGGTGCCGGTAGTACTGGAGGAGTTTTGAAGGGGGCAATTAGGGCCCATGCGGTCAGCCTCCATGTCTGCAGGTCACAGACTGTGTTCATGGAAGTAGGACATTCAAAGAAGAAGATATAAGGGCATGCTCAGGAATATAGGTTCAGTAGCGAGATACAAGTCACAGAATGCTGCTATATCCTAATGGTTGCATAAAGGTGAAGGCCGCGGCTCGATAACGTCTATTTTCGCCTGACCTAGGTCGATTCCTGCAACTGAAAAACACGCTGAGCAACACATTTCTTCCGATGAAAAACAAATACTTCGATGCTTTCGCACATCGCTGCCCCCACAACAGCTGCAGCGCACGCCGTAGGTGGTGCGGGAACTTCTGAACCTTCCCAGAAAATAACACGACTTCTTCCATGTGCACAGCCATCCGGCCCTTATTAAAACCGGTTTCAGTTCAACTAAACCATTCATAGGTTTTAGCGGCATAGGGAATACTGGAATACTCGAGTTTGCTAGTGCGTGTATGAAATGCCATTGTCGTGTCTGTCATTTGGATGGGGAATTTCTATGGAGTATGAGAAGCCGAATGCTAAGGTGACTGTTGGTGCTTTTATTTTGTCGAGTGATTCGCCAGTACAAAGCATCGCAAACTTTTGCTTCACAGGGAGCTTGTTCAGGAGGTTAAAGGCAACACACATGCGCCACCTCCTGTCGCCTGGTAGCGCCAACATTAGACCGAAAAGGCTAATACATCCCTACACCTTGCCATTCTACAGCAACTCATGAGTGTGCCGCTCAATCTACGCTTCATGTTAGAAGGGCTTTTAATGCCGTGAAACATACCTTCGGGCTGACCCCAGGACTAGTGGAATATGATGCGCTGAATGACCAGGAGGCGGCCAACGTGCTGGCAGCTCGTCGTTGTTGAGCACATTCGACAAGTCCTAGATATCCGCGTATTCCCGCTGTTCCTTAGGGGACTGATTAGCTGAGGTGTGTAATAAGGGAGCTGTTACACAGCCAGTCAAATGAGATGCACGCTCAGAATCGTCTCCTCTCACTGCCGTGCTGGGCCGCCTGCAGGGAGACGTTGCATGAGCCAGTTGAGGTACCGACTGTTTCCCGCTCTTATAGAGGGAATGCGCATTGTTGATACAATCAGGAGCTGCTCCTCCCTTGCGGTATTCAGCGCACTAACGTTTACGCTGCGCGACTGTGGCCGCGTGAGGGCTTCCCATTGGGTCACCCATGGCGTGTTTCGAACTTCGTCATGATGCAGGGGTCCAGCATACGCTACGGACCATGCCGATAGGATCTAAATTTTTATGGATTTGAATTAGCATTAAAGTGCTTTAGCCCTGCTAATCCTTGCATTCTCCCACCCGTCAGCAGACATTCGTTCTGGCGGCTGCGCTACAGACTGCACAGCCAGATTGAGCTTCTGGCCATTTTCTCAGATAACAGACTCACTTCATGACCAGTGTCAGAAAAGCGCAGCCGTAATTCGACCGCCAAGGCGAGCTTGTATCAGCGCATAATTGATTTCTAGTGGGTCGCTATGGGCGGTTCGCTCCTGTGGCCCGCTTCACTACGCCGCGTGAGGGGCTTGCCGTTTCCCTGGGGCGTCTTCTCTGCTAGCCAAGCAGCCTGTTTCTGCCATGCTCAATTTTATTTATCCGAGACTGTGGCCTAGGGCTGGGTAACCCAGTTTAACTCTCCGTAGACTCTAGAATCCACCTCGCGCCTCCTATTTCAGCTGCATACGCTTGGGTTGCGCCCATTTGCTCCTGAGACCTCAAGTTGTCAATTATTTGCGGGGTTCCATCGTGGACTTTTAATATGCTCAGTTGATATTCTTTCTGCGACCACATGAAGCAACAATGGGTGGCCCCAAAATATAACCACCGTGAAAGTAGCTCCGTTCGTCTGCGTCGTGGCTTTTGCGAATCGAAGCTTCATAGTCTCGTTATGCCGAAGAGTTGGTAAATCCCTCCGATCTAGTTTGCTCAAGCTGCCCAGAGCTTGCTCTTGAGCTCATCCAAGCATCAGCCACTGGGAGAGTGTTTGTATCAAGGCCTGAACTGTGGTAATCTCTGCATGGAGACGAATGCCTCTTCATGAATATAGCCACCATTGGTGTGCTTCACTGTCCAATAAGCACGTTACAACAAGTGCTCCCTTTCCTTTATCTAGCGATCAAAAACGAGTTACGTCCCCAACCGCTGGTGCAGTCTTAGAGTGCTTGCCCATCCTTACGGCCGTCAAGCTCTTCTGGTCGGCATAGCCACATCACCGCATCCACACCCAGTTAATTCGCTAAAGTGTCGTGTTGACTTATCAATACCGCCTTTACACCCGCTAACAGGCCGGCCGCTGCCGCCCCTACAACTGTTGTGCCGCCGTACACTTTGATCGCCAGAGAGTTTCATTATCCTGAGCTCTTGCCAGCGAGAACAACATGAAATACCACATGGATTGGTTTGCTGACAACTTTTGTAGGAAATCCTATCACTCCACTGCATTCACAACCACTGGACGAGTGGAGCACAGCTGCATCGAACCAAGCTATGCTACAGAAGGTCACGCTCCATTTAAGGTCGCTCTAGGAGGACTTTCAACTACCGAGTCGATACAGACTCAATAGAAGTATTCAAGTGCTTCCCAAAACAGCTTCCATCTCCCCCTGCTTGAGTCCCTAAAAGTTTCTACGAAAGGCAAGTGCGACAACTAGGGTGAGAGCAGGTGCACCCTTGAAGGATCCCGAGCATTCACAGCTTGCACATAGCATCTTGCGCACACTCGCATAAGAGTGCAACTACTTCCACGCCAAAATTTAAAAGAACTTCCTATCATTTGAACATACATGTGATTGCAAATGTGATCCCAGTGGACCCGATAGAAAAACAAAACGTTCAGTTTGCCTGGTATCCGCTTCTTTTCATAACGCATGCACTTTTGCGAATGGAATGGATGAATAACACTAGGCGCCTAAATAGTACGACCGCCACTGTTGAGACTTAATTCTTTGTTACTTTCAAACTAATAAAGAAACTGGTTCCTAGAACACGAACGATACCTTGGGCAAAGGTAGTGTGCTGGATGAGCTTACTGCATATTTAAATTTCAGGGAGTACTATTTAAGACAGTGTGTCGTACAGAAAAGCCAACAATACTTGCAGTAAACAAGATATATGAACAGAGAAAAACTTAAATCTGACCGATTTTCCGACTAGTATGTTTAGTGTAGTTGAGAGGAATCAAGAGTAAATTAGCCGCTTACACTTCTCAGGGGGCTCCTAGGGGTAGGCATAGTGTGAGTTGGAAGCCTGAGGGGTTGGATGGGAAACATCGTGGGAGGACAGCCAATAACCTGTTAGCTTTTGTGTTCGGCTTTAGGAAAAGTCTTCCTAGGGAGACTCTATTCGGATCTCTACAACATGAGTTTCCTTTTGGAATACTGGAAAAGCATTACCCTCAAATCCTCTTCTTTGTCCAAGGTTAACTACCCACTATTATATTACAGCGAAGCTATTCAGTTACTTCGTAGAATATCCTGGCAAGTTCTGGGCCAGTACAGCGCCAGCTGTATAATTTGATGTAAGCCCGCTAGAATTCTTGTCCCCCCAGCGTGTCCCAGGGGATCCAATCACTCAACAGCGCACCAAAAAACAGTCCAAATCTTTAAGATAGATTGATTTTGATATCTCACGAGCATTCAATTTGTGTCTGGGCTTGAGAGAATTGAGCACAGTGGCTAGCCACTGTGCTGACCCCCAACACAGACCACTTGTGCTGTCGTTGTTCTTGCAGTGCACTTCCAGTACATTCAGCCCACACCTATACTATTTCAAAATAAATCGTAGCACAGCTACATTCGGGATCAAACTAAGTTGTTTTTTTGCTCGTCAGTGACTGAAAAGCTATGTGGCCTTGTACGTACTGAACCTTTCATTCGCATGCGCCACCGCGGGGCTGAACTTGCGAACAGCCCATTTCCTGGGTGAGGAAAACGATCCAGCACAAAAGATGATTCCCAGCTTATTGGTGTTTTATGAAAGGAGTCGTTTCTCCCCTAGAGAGACGCATGTAACATGCGCTATGCTACTTGGCAACCCCGGTTTACATTAGAGGGCCCCAGCATCGGGTTGTCCCTTATTGATACCGTGGTGCTACTGTGGCAAGTTCTTCGCGAGTTTGGCAACGCATTGTACTAGTGGAGCTCAGCAACCTGCGTTGATACGGTGTATGGCAGCCCCAGCTTCAAGGGGCCCAGCCCTGCTCGGAATGCCGCAAATCAAGCCACTCTATTCTCCATTTTCTGTGTGTCAGCACCTTTGTTGCTGCATCAATGGGGAATTCCTGCTCCCCTAGCTGCATCCCTGCCATACCAGCAAGCCGACGCGGAGTCGATGATATTCGCCGGTACTACAAGATCGGCCGGATAATTGGATGCGGATCGTTTGGCCAGGTTAGAGAATGCGTCGACCGAGAAACAGGGCAGGTTTATGCAGTGAAGGTCATGGAACGGCGGATGAGCGGCAAGGAGAAGATGACTCCTGGGCGTCCTTCGAACGAAGCCATGATTCGCTCAGAGGTTGACATCCTTAAGTCATTGAATCACGAAAACATAGTGGCGTTTGTGAAGTTTTTCCAGGACAAGCATTTCTTCTATGCCATTCTTGAAAGATGCGATGGCGGCGAGCTCTTCCACCAGATTGTTAGCCGCAGACAGTTCACGGAGGAGGATGCTTCTTTCCTCTGCAGGCAGATGGCCTCAGCACTTGCATATCTGCATGCCCAAGGGGTTGTTCATCGCGATGTGAAGGTAGGGAGCGTTGCAAGGTTCAATGTGCATAGGCTTTGCTGGTGGAGCTTAAAGCCGTGACGTGTTTGGTAGAAAATAGTCGGAAGCTCCTCTGTTGTGTATGGTCAGGCCGAGAACTTTCTTTTCAAAGGCAAAGGGATAGACTCAACTATCAAGCTTATTGATTTTGGAATGTCTGCTCGAGTGAGCATCTGCTCTTGATGTTTCGTAGGGCCCTGTATAGCTTGTTTCCACCAGTCACTTTTGGACATGCTATATCATCCACGATGAATGTGTCCAACCACACACAAAAACATTTGGAGTGTTTGTTGCTGCAGTTGCCAGAGTGCGGCTACCTTACGGATCTGTGTGGCAGTCCGCACTACATATCGCCCGAGCTTATTAGGTGTGAACCCCTTTTTCTACCCCAGGTTCTGTTCGTAGGTTACTTCGTAGTGAATTTGGAGCTGTGATATTATTCTCGACGAACACGTGCTGGTGACTTTTTTGTATAATTTCCCTTTCAGCAAGCGGTATGACCAGGGGGCGGATATGTGGGCATTTGGTGTAATGATATACTTAATGCTCTTCGGCAGATATCCATTTGAGGGCAGCAAGGCCAGTGCGATTGCGGTGAGTGTAGTAGATAATGTTGCTTAAAGACTGAACTTGGAGTAAATTCTGAATGCATTTTGGTAGGCTTTAGAGCTAATTCGATAGCGGCTTCAAAGCACACAGCTACCTTAGAATGAATACTTTATGTTGTGCGGGGAAAAGCTGCCCAAGTGGAATCATTGGTGCTAGCGTAGGCTAATGAGCGGATGGTAGTGCCAGTTTAAAGGATAAGCAAGTAAGGCCTTACTTTTTCTTTGTGTACTATTGTGCAGCAAGATGTGCTTGCCATTAGTTAAATTAGCTTCGGCGCTGCTGTTCATGTGCTCTGTGCTACAGAGGGAGGTTCAAAACAAGCAGCTAAACTGGTCCAAGGCCGCCTGCCCATTTTTGACAGAAGCAGCCATTGACTTCTTGAGCCGTTTGCTGGACAGGAATGAGAAAACGCGACTAACTGCAGCGCAAGGTGAGACTTGGGGGCTTCTGAGCCTTTTTTCCTCCAGACATGGGGAAGAACAGTGCAATGGCACGCATTATCGTAGATGTAGCAGCATGGCTATTTTGGAATCTGCCGTGATTGAACCTGACAATGATGCATGCCCTGCCATCTCAGCATTAGCGCATCCATGGATCTGCCAACCATCCTCAGACAAGGCGCAATCTGTGATAGATAAAGATAAACTGGAGGTAGCCAGGTGAGCCCAAGTGACTGTTTTTAGACTCCTAGTGCCAGTGGGGCAAGGAGGGTCTCCGATGGTTCCCCTGTCGTCACGTGTTACAGAACTAATACGAAGAAGTCTCTTCTCTGGCGATCGATGCGCAGCAAGCTGTCATGTATCCATCAATAGAGCTCGTTTTGACCATCCTGGTGGCTGGTCATATCGTGTTCATAATTTGTTGCGGTTGATGCAGACGGCTTTCTATTGACTGCGATCGCCAAGGCAGTCAAACGTTCACGAGGAAAACTTTTAAGATCGATAAGCTGCCAAAGCCTGCATAATTGTTGCCGTCATCGGGAGTGAGGAAGCAGGGTCTCTGCAGCTTCAGCAGCCGTTAACCGTGACGTCTCACTGCTGCGCCCACGGACGGTCACCGCAGCGATTCTGCTAGCCCATCTCACAGGGTGTTGATCATAGTAGTATTGACAGAAAGAGAATATGACTTGGAATGCATATCCAATGATCTACCGAGCAGGCTAGTCACCGAGGACAAAGTGGCTTGCGATGCCTGTGCTGCAGCCAAAGCCCTGCGGATATTGGGAACATGTGGATACCGCACATGCGGCGGCTGTAGAACTCTGGTGGCTAAACTGGAGCTCAGCGAGAACTTTGGAACCTGGCATTTAAATAACGCCCGGCAAAGTCCAAGACGCTGGGGTGGAAGTGCCAGTGAATGCAATTGGCTCCACTACTGCTGTTTGGGGTAGCAATGCGTTGTACGAGGCCTGCCATAGCTGTTGCCTTCGTTAACAATGATATGCGTTTGGCGTCTCCACGATGCATGGGAACTACCCATGCAAATTTCCCAGCGTATCAGCTCGTATGCTGTGGCGGCGCAAGTGGTGTCGCTAGGACTTGGGTAGCCCAGGAGTGTACAGCCTGGCGCTCCATAAATTCGGTAACAAGCGGCGGAAGCCTTTTCCCGCAGACCAAATGATCTCTTGTCCTGTTTGTTTCACACCTTGTTACTTTCCTTCCCACTTCCTTCTGCACTAGGCCTCATTTGCTTGATATTGGGGAGGGTCGGTTTCGAATAGCAAGGCCACAAAATAATGGCTCCTTTTGCAGAGACTAACAACATTCCTTGTCCTTTACCTGCGAGTGCCCGGGCACGTGAAGATCTCGCAAGTTTTTCTCTCCTGCAAGTGTGCTTATTCTTACGGGCTCGGTCGCTTCCGAGTCTCGCAGTCGCATGGCGGCTGACCGACGGAACCCACAGACCAGTAGAAGGGCATGACAGCTAAATTACGATCAAGCGCAAATAATACTGGAGCGTGAAACTCTTGGGGGCAGCCAGTGTTCAATGCAGAGGCAACGTTACTACTGTTAATACAAAGGAACCTGAACTGGAAGGCTGGCCAGTGCAGCAAAAACAACCAACCAAAGTGGAAATACTCTGCCAAATCTTTTAAGAGCATTGCTGTAGACAATGCAAAGACCGGCCTCTGGTGCCAGTAGGAATAAACACCGCCATCCACTGCAAGTGACATGCCCCATATTGCGTAGGGACTAAGCGAGCGGGAGCTGACCCGTATGGGAGACAGTCGGACCTCGGACCGAGATGTCATCTCTGCCGTGTAGCCCGGACCTGCTCATCCTTCTCGTATGCGCATGAGAACACATTAATCCATGTGCTCCCATAATTGTATTTAGTGTGAGCCTGATGGGGGCCGTCTGCTATAGTCTTCGTTGCCGTCCTTGTCGTGATGGCGGGAGTAGCGTCCTTCCCTGCGTCACAGTCCCACACACGCTGGTGTGTGAAGATCTCCCAATCAAATTTGCTCTACCTCTAAAAGGACACCATGCTCAAAGATGCGTTCGCCCATGAGGCGCGATACGACAACATGCATGCAATGACCAGCTGCACCTGACAACCATCCTCTTCATTGAAGATAAAGTATTCAAAGCGACGAGAGTACTTTTCAGCAACCGTCTTATTTGTCTCCTCGCAACCTAAGCTCTCGGCGAAACAGTACTGTGGTCTACATAGATAAAAGCTTGTGCGCGGATCCGCTCACATCCAATTGAAGACCTCCACTTCACCCTGCAGCTCTTAATGGCTGCTTTCAATCATTCACCTTAGCACTCTTTCAGCTTTTGGATGAATTACGGGAGTCTTTTTTCTTCGGTGGGATCGAAGGCCCATATCAGACTCATCTTTGGCCGTTTAGACTTTCGGTTCATTGTAGCCATTGAAGTAATCATTGAGGTCACGAAATGACTGCCAAGTCAGCGCACAACTGCGATGGTCGTGCGGTGCTACCACAAAATGGCCGTACGTGGAAAGCATGATCGGCTATCAAACATGATACCGAAATGAAGCCTCCCATTGCTTGTGCCTTGATCAAATGATGTGCTCACTCTTGAGGATAGCGATAGCGGTCTCCGCGGTAGCCATCGTACGGCCGCGACCTGCTTCTGCTGCGGCCTGCGCGTGGACGTCGGTCATCGTCTATGCCACGATATTCTCGCCGCCTATCATCTGTCCCGCCGTAGCCGTCATCATAACCCTCGCGAGTTCTCCTACCGTATGAATCTCCGTTCGCACGATAGCCGCCGTCATATCCCGGACGACTGCGCTCGTAGTGACTCGACCGGCCATCATGACGACCTCCACCATATCCGTCACGACCTGCGGGCGGACCGCGGTTTGCAGGTGAGCTGCCTCGGAAGTACTTGCTGCAAGACGCCCACACAAGGCAATAAAACACAGTTGAATGATCCAGTGCCAGACGAGTGAACCTTCAAAATAGTTTGAAGAGGGCCAACGAGTTGTAAACCGGAGAGCTACTCTATTGGAAAATTAATCCTGATAAGCCAGGTATTTCTGCCATTCTCCTACCCATTCTGACGCTCTGCAAGGATTTTCCGCATAGTATGCGGCTGAGAAGACACGCAGCTCGCAATACACAAAAGAGCCTCTCATTACGACCATGCAGTCTATAAATAGCCTCACAGCTCACACACAGAAAGTGCCTCTGAAACTTCTCCTAAGGGGTGCCAATTGTACAGCAGAAGCCAGGTGCCTTCCGTTTACACTGTTCATCAGCTTACAGATTTACGCCGGTCCTGCGCGATGATCACTGAAAGTTCATTGCCGTCCAGTACAAACCTATCAAACTCACGCACTGCATCCTGGGCGTCCTTTTCATCAAAGTATTCGACAAAACCGAAGCCCCTGCAACGCACCGCGCAAGACACTGCATCGCCCTTTATTATGAAGATAGTCACATCTTCATGTACACGGCGTGGAGAGTTTATCCTCTGGCAGCTTCAACTAGACGTAGGCTGTCACTAGGTGCATGCTCTAGCTGCAACTAACATGGTTGTTCGTGCCTTTGAAGCGTACCGTGGTTCTCTAGTCGTGTGATCAATAGGCAGATATACGTCTTTCACGCGCCCGACCCGTTCGAAGACCGATCGGACCTTTTCAGGCGATGTTTCATAGCGCAGGTTGCGCACAAGAAGCGAGGTGCTACGATTTGCCATGGTGCACACAATAGAAAAAAAATGACAGAAACCTCAAAAGATACCGCCCCCACGAATGTGAATGGCCTGAAGGTTGAAGTGCTCCACCCAGCAGTTCCTATAGGTTATCGAACTTCGCAAATTTCCTCAGGAAACTAGTTTAGGCGTATGGTATTTGCGGAACTGCGACGCATGGGGTGGGGGCTCCCGACGATGCTGGGACGGAATCATGCCGCCTCGGCAACCTGTGAGCCATATACTCAAGTGTCCGACGGAACACCAAGCGCGCAAAGGGTAGCCACAAATTTCGAGCTCCAATACACAGGAATATGTAAAAGAGCAAAGACGCATTGCAGCTAATGAGCTTGATCGCTGGTCGCAGGTCACATGCAATCTGTGGTACCCATTTATTTGTGTGGCTGATGGTGCAGCCGCACGTGCACCCCGTCGATGAATAGTTCTTTACAAGTTGCTTTCTTTATGCCGATAACAAGAATGATAATGCCCATAGAATGTTATGTATCCCGGGGCGAGGTAGAGGGACTTTACAAGATGTAACTATTTGTTTCTCGACTAGAGAATGCTGGCCACATGGTGTAAGCCCCTTGAACAAAATCCAAAAAATAAACGTTGGCTAAACACCCGAAGCGCATCAGGATTTGGGCTAGGGTTGGGGCCTTGCTTATGAAAATGGCCTTTTCCTTACACTTGTGTCTTGGTAGGGGACATGAAACGACATTACCTAAGGAACTGTGCGGAGCTGTGTGCAAAGCCAAACTACAATTAGGCAGTTCCCTCTCTGCAACAACTACAATTTAACTGCAGCAGTAGACATAGTTCTATGTAAAAGATCGTCCGCAACATAGACCCACCTTCTAACGTCAGTCTACCAAGTGTATGCACGGATGCTGGTACCACATAGCTTGTCCCGCTACAGCACGAGTTTACGTGTAAGCCTTCCGATTATCTATTTATTAAAGCTAACTACAGCAAAAGCTTTCATGGATAGTGGAGTAGCAGTGTCATGGGAGCGGTATTCGAGAGCAACAAGCCACCGCATAATCCAAGGCTCCGGTCCAAATTTTTACCTGCGCCATGTACACTGAGAAAATGTGTCTAGCTTTTAATCAGACAATAATTCTTGAAGCCCTTTTGATTCCTTAGGGCCTTCAACGAGGTGAACGTATCCAAATAAGTAAGTCCATGGAATATAATTGGAATATTCGTTTGCATGCTTGATTGGTAGCGAATAATTTGCTGCCTAACAAGCCTCGTTTCCATTGGATCTTAAATGGATGATCTAAAGGCTAGTTACGCCGTTACTCGATGCCTCTGGACATCTTGGTCAATTTTGTAGCCTAAGATACACCTGCGCTGCTTTCCTACACCATGTGCATTTAGCCATTGGCTCGTTTAAGTGAGAACTCGATCTTGCTGTTCGTATATTCTGTTTGTTGTAGAGTATAGCAAGCCTTATACTATAATATTGAACGCTGTTTGTCCACGTTTTAGGTAGCAATGCTCAGCTGGGCGCGAATGCTCTGAGTGCTCAGAGCATGCGACACCGTGCATCTTAGGTGCCCTCTCCCCTTATGCCGGAGGAGTATAGAGTGAGGGCACAAGGAGGAGAGACTTTTATCGAAAAAGCAACTAACGACCTTCTCTGATCTCTTGTATTGGTTTCAACGCTAAAGATTTCCTTGTGTAGACAACAAGTGGAGCCCTACAAATGGCAAAATATCCCAAGAGTGATCTCCATATAAAAGCTGCTGTACTAGGCCCTAGGGTTTCTTGCAATCAAAGAATCGGTGCTTGCGCTTACTTACAATCCTTGCAGGCATTGTGCATCTTAAGAAGGTGAATTGCACTCCTCGTAAGACTTTTATTTCATTAGCGCTCAGTGAAGCGGAGATACCAGGATACAATGTTTTCCTCGCTGAGGCTGCAGTAAGAGTCGCTCAGATCTCTTCAAACACTTGTACGCTTACCGATCTGTAGCAAGTAATGGTGGCACACGGCGGGATATGCAAGATCATGCAAGCAGAATGGTGCTCTTTTTGCTGCTACAAAGGCCTATGGCAGACTAAATGCTGAAGTAGGTAATAACCGAGCTGTCGCCGTGCTTTCCTTACTATGGGTAGCAACGACTCATCTCATGATCATCACCCTAAAGATTGGCGCTAATATGGCCCACACCGAGCCGTTCCACCTCCCAAAATAGGAAAGCCTTCACTACTTATCTTCGGGTGCTGCTGGAGATCAAATAGGCCCCAATCCCAAACAAGGGACTTCGTGCAGCATGGACGTACTATATGCCTGTTTCCTGTGGATACAAGCCGTATAAGCTGGCCTGCAAGAGCTACATCTGTAGACTGCTGACAGGGAGGTGTCGCACAGCCTGACAATGAGCTGCTGGGGCATCTTGCGCGTGTTTAGGGTACATTTGTGACTGCATTACAGGATTTTCATCTCGCAACTCCACGAAATCATGTGCAATATCACGAATGGAGTACTTGCACCCATGGAGGAGGAGATTGCAGGCGCTTGCAAAGAGACCAGCGTCCTCTTTGCTATAACACCAGACAAAATGGCGGTGTCTGTTTGCTCTTCATTCTTCACAAGAGCCTTTCACTTTCATTCACCGATTGAATAATTCGATGAAGTAGGGAAAATTGACGAGAGGTTTACATCACGTGTCTTGTCGTGTGATTTGGCAGGCGTTTGGGAACCAAGCAGCGGTTCTCAATTCCGGAACAGCTTCCCTAACAGCATGCAAGCCATAGGCAGACAGCTGGGGAGTGGTTTGCTCGGCAAGGATTCCAGCGAGATGATGCGAACGTTTAGCACTGATCTCCCTTACAGTTGGGTAGGCACTCAAAGTGTAACTCACGAGCTAGACCCCCATTTGCCGAGGGCAAGCAATCCGGGTTGGCGAATTCCTGTTTTGCATTTATCTTGCTGCTTTCCATTTTTGTTTTTATCTCGGATGCTTCTCTCGCTTACGATATCATAGGGCATCCGGGACAGCCCCACTGCCTTATAGTTGGCAGCGAAACGGTCCACAAGAAAGCTAGTAGAAAGTAAGTTCGTGATACATTCAGGGAGAAGCAATACAGATTCAGAATCGAAGAAAAAGGGCACTTTCTGTACACAGCCACCCTCTAAGGGCAGAGCAGCTTTACGGGAGCTACTAAATATTCGTAGAGCACTTCGTTCTTAGGTCATGTAGCTTAATGCTGGGTTAGAAACTGAAGCAGATTTGTAAGCCTCTTGGTGTAGAGAATGTAGCTTAGAAGGCACAAACAAAGTTTGCGACGCGTTGCAGAGGAGCTGCATATGCTGCCAGTGGTACATTCGCACAAAAGCGCAGATGGCAACTGCAATGGGTGATAACTCACCCAGCTCGTTGGCCAGATATTTATTCTAGAGCACATTCAAGTATTCTAGAGGGAAAAGAATGACAAAACCGTGTACGGAGTATCGACACTCAATGCTGTTTGCACTTTGATGGAGTGTGTGTACTTTTGAGGCGAAACACAACAGCTTGCACCACATTGCAGTAGAGCTGCAGATGCCAGTGGTGCAGTCCCGTTGCAAAGCAGTTCGCTGCAGTAGTGGCACTTTTCAGGGCCTCGTGGTTCGCATCCATGAAGAATCACTGGGTCCATGCTATTGTTTCTCTTGAAAAAACGTAAATTCCTCTTGAGCGGCTTTGCAGGATAAGAGCTCAGGTGATTTCTCTCTTGTCACAAGGTGACGCATCCTAAGCTCCCCCCTAGAAGATAAAGAGTATAAATGCTTTCAGAATGAACTAACAAACTCTATAGCCAATTTGAACCATGCCCAAAATAAACATCATGCAAGATATATTTCACACCAAATGCAAAGTCAACTGAGAGCATGCACTCGCCTGCACTAGCCCTGCCAACAGAAGGTTCAACTATCATTAAGCAAAATAAGCATGAAGGCGAACAAAATACACTGAAGTCAGTGGTCAAAATCTGGCACCTGCAGAATATGTGATTCGTGCTGACCTCCGGTAGTGACTTCCGGAGGCCTTGTTGGGCACCCCGTTCAAACAAAGCATTACCAGTTTGGAAGGCCATGTACTTGTGCACCTGCGTGCTCTTTGACCTTAGGACAGGACAGGGTCACTTTAGCTGTGAGCAAAGATGGAGTCAAACACAATGATGAGAGTAATATTGAATATGGAGGTGTGGGGCGAATCAGCAGCCAGAGATCATTCATCAGACTTTCAAGGAATTGTTGCGAACTGGATGTTTTACCCGGAAGATAGGCCCGCAACTTCTGCCTATCTTTCACTGTCTGGAAAGTATACATGCAATTAGTTGCAAGTTGGCATCCAAAGCCCCTCTGCAGGAAAACGAAACAGCAAGGGGCTCAGCATAGCAAAGAGTCTAATAATGCTTCGTGTAGTAGCGCCGTCGTCCTGTCTACGGCGCAGCTGCTAATAGCTTGCTAGGACCTTGTACCCGTCACTGTGCTCAACGATTAGCTAGACTCGGGGTACCCTGATCCAATAAGGGCAGTGCTTAGGGGGAAACAGCAATAAGTCCCTTAATCAAAGCGTTCTACCCTCAGTACATACTAACGCAGTGCCACTGTGATTGTGTGTAACACTGTTAGAGCATGGGTAATCTACCAAATAGGCCACCCCTGTACCGCTCCATCTAAGGCCTCCGTAGGTAGGCAGGTAACACCAATCCCATTTTAGCGGGAGGAACATGAGCATGTACTTTGCGCAAAGAGGCACTGTGGAGCAAAACCAGTAAGTACAAGTGAGGGAGTCCTCGTTGTGGCCTCAACCAATGCAGGCCATCCAGAACGTGGTAGTGCTTCATCCATTTGCCGTTCTTGTTCAGGAGGTTAAAGGCAACACATATGCGCCACCTCCTGTCGCCTGGTAGAGCCAACATTAGATCGAAAAAGGCTAATACATCCCTACACCTTGCCATTCTACAGCAACTCATGAGTGTGCCGCTCAATCTACGCTTCATGTTGGGAGCGCTTTTAATGCCGTGAAGCATACCTTCGGGCTGACCCCAGGACTAGTGGAATATGATGCGCTGAATGACCAGGAGGCGGCCAACGTGCTGGCAGCTCGTCGTTGTTGAGCACATTCGACAAGTCCTAGATATCCGCGTATTCCCGCTGTTCCTTAGGGGACTGATTAGCTGAAGTGTGTAATAAGGGAGCTGTTACACAGCCAGTCAAATGAGATGCATGCTCAGAATCGTCTCCTCTCACTGCCGTGCTGGGCCGCCTGCAGGGAGACGTTGCATGAGCCGATTGAGGTACCGACTGTTTCCCGCTCTTACAGAGGGAATGCGCATTGTTGATACGATCAGGAGCTGCTCCCCCCTTGCGTTGTTCAGCGCACTAACGTTTACGCTGCGCGACTGTGGCCGCGTGAGGGCTTCCCATTGGGTCACCCATGGCGTGTTTCGAACTTCGTCATGATGCAGGGGTCCAGCATAGGCTACGGACCATGCCGATAGGATCTAAATTTTTTGGATTGTAATTGGTATTAAAGTGCTTTAGCCCTGCTAATCCTTGCATTCTCCCACCCGTCAGCAGACATTCGTTCTGGCGGCTGCGCTACAGACTGCACAGCCAGATTGAACTTCTGGCCATTTTCTCAGATAACAGACTCACTTCATGACCAGTGTCAGAAAAGCACAGCTGTTTTCGACCGCCAAGGCGAGCTTGTATCAGCGCATAATTGATTTCTAGTGGGTCGCCAGCTGTGGTTCGCCGTCGGTCAAGTTCCTTGGCTTTTGGTATACTCCGATAGTTCCGGAGTATATGACCCGATTGGCCAGAACACCATCAGGTGCACTGCTTAAGAGCTGGCTAGGATGCTTAAAACATGGTTTCCTTCTGGGTTTCTTCTCTTGCTCATCTCAAACCGCGAGCTAAGGCCGGTTGACACGGTCCAGACAATCCCTAGGCTGAAAATCTCGAGTTTGCCGCTCTATTGTAAGTAGAGACGTTGAGGTTGCTCTCGTTTCCTCTTAAAATTTCCAGTTTTCCATTGTTAGCGGATGATCCGCTGCTGGAGTGCTCCCATCTGCTGATTCGTTCCCCATCCTGCGACCACCTAACGTCATGACTCTTGAATGGACCTGACAAATCACTGCTGAAGCACCTGTTCTTCCAAGTTGTGGCTTTTACAAACCAAAGTCTCACATCTCTCAAAATTATGGTTTACTCGTAGAATCCACTGCGAAAGTTTTCCTAGTTTTTGCACAGTTTGCTGTTGAACTTTCATCATCACCCCTTTGGTTGGGGATCGTGTCAAGGCTCTAGCTGCAATAATTCCCGCTAGCAGAAGGTTCTCTATGCAAGAGTAGATCCGTAGATAAATGGATCCTTTTCCTCCTCCAAGACATTTCGCAGGGACTAGTTTTGTGTCTTCAATGTGGGGGCTTAAAACGAGGTATACCTCGAAAGCGCTCATGCAATTATCGAGCACATGCTTATTCTCACGCAGTCATAGTTGCTTGCTCAGCATAGCTTAAACTGCATATCCATAAACATTTTATCAGCAACCCAATCATCTTACACTACAACGCGTGGGCCACCGTGTTTCAGGGAGAGTAGACCGGCCTCGGCCACACTAACGGGCGTTGCGCCCCCATCAGCGTTGCTCACCAATTTTGATTCAGACCGCTGGCATAGGAGGTCAGAGTGTTGAGCTAAAATATGACTTGGTCGAAAGCAGAGGACAATTGTAGGGAAGCTTGTCATCCTACTGCATCCACAGCCAGTGGATTGGCGGAGAACCGCTGCAAAGAACTAAGCTGTGCCACTAACTCTAATGTTCCATTCACAGTCACTGTAGGAGGACACTCAAATCCCGACTCATCATAGAGATTATGCAACGTTGAAGTGGTTTTTGTTCAGTAAAGCTCACTCTTGCCCCTGTGTGCACCCTGCATGGCTTAAACGTGAGGGTAGAGGGACGGATAGCGTACACATTGCAGCACCTCTTGAAACCTCCAGGAATTCAAACCTAGCTGCACATAGCATCAAGCGCCAACGCACACACCATCAGTTCTTATTGCTTTGGGCTACCATTCCTTACTTATTAAAGTTAATATACAGCCAGACTAAATATTCCACACTGTAGTGATTATGCACCAAATATAATGTGGCAAAAATTGGCCAAGTGTTGCTTAGCCTGCTATAACATGGGGTTATATTCGATAACGAGCTTGTTTCATACCCGTGAGCCTGGCAGATTTTGCGTTACAAATGTGTTCCTAGTTAACACCCATGACCTTTCGACGGTAGAATAAAACCTCCAAATAAAGCAGTTAAAAGCACGGCTAGGATAGAGATGTGGCTGGCAGAGAGGGAGCTTAGATGGCGCGGAATAGCCATGGTTTAGAGTAGGTGAGACACGGACAGGCAACCCACTGTACACATCACTGGAAGCATCTTCCCAAATGCACTACCTCACACGAGTGCCATGTCTACTATTTTCACTACAGCCAAGCATCTGTATTGTAAATATCAAGCCATAAGTGATTAAAGGATTATGCAAAGGACGGTCGGAACACGACTTCTAAATAACTCGGCCGCAAAAGCGCAACCATTGCAGAAGTTCTGCCTCAGAGCGCTGCTGTGCATTGCTTTTCTGGCCGTCTGAAGTGTCCTGCCACTGCTTCTCAAGTGCGGTAGCAGCCGCATCTGCAAAGGCCCCCCACAGCGCATTCTGTAGGGCACCCGTCAGTAGAATCTCCCGTCCAAGGCAGCAGAGTTCCTCCCTGCTTGCTGCGCCTGCTGCTGCAGAAAATGCAGCTAAGACATAGTCTGCGCTGTGGTGCAGTCCTAGTCGTTCCAAACCAATATAACCCTGAGCAGGCAAACGCCAAGAACTCCACAGCGGACAGGCCCAAATGTGTGAAGTAGTAGCGTGTTCAATGACATAGACAAGCAAAAAACATACGGCACTCCTGATAACAAAGCCACAAGAAGTGACAATGGCAGGTGCGGAGTGAATGCGCGGATACTAACCAGTGCTAGGTCAAGTGAACTGCACGGCAGTCGAGAAGACAGTGCACGGAAGACGTCGGCGTTGAGAAGGTTCAATACGATATCTCTATCCTGCTGTAGTGCCCCGCGCTCTCCCTTGCTGGTGTATGCAACACGGTCAGATTCGCTCTTGTGTCTGCAATGCTTCTGGGGAGGCGGAAGTTTTAGGGCCTCAGAAATGCTTGCTAAGGGCCAAAGCAATGAAATGCTATCCCTTGGATCTCTATTTTCGGCTCCTTGATCTCTTCTACTCAATCTCCACAGTTGCTTTTTTGTCGCTTTAAGCAGCTCTCGTGCTGTTGTCGGGCAAATTCCCAGCGGCTCCGCTGTTGCACCCAGAAGAAGAAGTACTCGCCGCAGGTCGCTGAAGGTTGCAGAGCTCCTCTGGAACTGCAACGATACTAATAATGCATCTTGAAGTGCACGGGCCGCAGGCCCTGCATCAGGATCAGTTAGTAGATCAGCTTCCTTCATGGCTAAAAGCACAGTTGCAGCACTTTTAAAGTTTTCGAAGGTGCTCGGCCATCGTGATGCAAAAGAATCCCGTTTATCCGGTTGGATAATCTCCTGCAGCAAATGCGGGGAGGTATCCGCTCTGCTTTCAACTTTGAAGGCTGCGCAAAATCGCCGTGCTGCTGCTGAAGCGAGAGCTGGTGTGAGCTCGCCTGCCCTAGCGAAAGCTGCCGCTACAGGGCCCAGCATAAGCAGGGAAAGCTCGCCCTTTACAGTGCAGCGCAACACTTCTTCGCGCTGAGTTGCCCAGAAGGCCTTCCCGAAGGATTCGCTTTGTTCTCCCGAGGCCTGTAGCAATCGCCCCTCGGAATGAAGAAGTGTTTTTGGTCGAGAGACATGCATTACAATTTTCCTTCAATCTGGACCCTAGTCTTGTTATTGGATCTGAATACTGGAAGGCACAAGATGAAATACTCACCTCCAATACCCGATTCGCCACTGAGGTTGGATCAGGGAGATGGCGTGTGGGATCCTCACCGGACGCGCTTCTGTGTTGCTTCTGGATTCGCCCACAGTGATAGTCACACCTTGATGTTGTAGCGCTAGAATACAGGGTGGTGCCACGCTGTTGTATTCTCCGTGCAGTTGGAGGCCCATGCGACCTGCGGAGTGCCGACGTGGAATTAGGAGTATTTCTGATAATCCGAGTAGGTAAGAGTATGACGCACATTTGTCGCTCCTTGCACCTTGAAGGTATTCGCAAAGTTGACATTATGCGATTAGCTCTTACTACCCTTGCTTCAGCACCTGCAAGGGCATCAGTTGCTGGTGCTGCCCGAAGAACCATCCATTGGAACGGCAAAGCCTGAGCCATTAGGAAAATCTGAGCTGAAAGCCAACCCGCTGCTGATACCGCATTTCTTGGAGCATCAGCTTTAGAGGCCAAATAAAAGCGCGAGACTGCAAGCGTGTAGGTCGGGTCCGCGGGGTACCAGAGAGAGCAGTTAGACTGCTTATGAGCGAGATGAGTTCGGTCACATCATCCTACAATATTGTTTTTTTTAAGGAAGAAGATCGATATAGAAGAAAAAAAGTATTACCGAAGTATTTGGGTGTGAGGCAAAGGCCACGAAATGGCAACCGTGGGGAAGGGCGCCGAAGGCAGCCATGGCCGATGACCACAGTGTTGTGTACTTTGCGGCATATAGCATAAAACCACTGCTAATATTTCCGAGGACATGCCTCCCATCCAACCAAAACAAACCCGCTATGATGCAAGAATTACCGACAGGTGCCGCTCCCGTTCACTACGAAGGGCTTTACAGATCGACTGAATAGAAACAAAAGTACACCAACCCAAAGCAAACAGTGAGTAAAGTGCAAAGAAGTACAGTGGAAAGACGCATGTATGTATATATGTATGAATATATGTCTGTATGTACGTGTCAAAGGATTCTTGTGCGTAGTTTTACCCAAAACCGGGGCAGTACAACCAGGAAGGCTAAAAATGCACCTTCACGAAGAAGGCGAAACAAAGAAGGAAGAAACCCAATAGCTGAATCAAGAACTGTCACAGATGGAATGGATCGAAAAGCTTCAGGAGTCCTCGTTCTCTAGCGTGGTGCCTATCTAAAGAGAAATACGTCGAGTACTTTTTGCCGCGGAATCAAGTTGCTTGGAAAGGCGTGTTGTGAAGGGAGATGATTTGGTCTTCTCCATACGCTTTTCAGTAAGTGTAATTACTTGAAGCTAATTATGTGGGAATTGCTTCTGGGCCTTTACTTATCGTAAATACTTGTTAGGCTCTCTTGAAATATGCGCATTCATCCACGTGGACTAGTAAGATGGCTTCTGGATCCCTCAACTGCTCAGCATGGCTGCTGACAGCGGACCATCAGACCCAGGTCCGGATCCGAGAGGGTCTCCTTTGGGTATACCAGGAATGGGGGAGAGCAACGGACAGACGACTCTTTTTGCTCAACCATAGACCCACTCTGGGAGAGAACGAACATCAAGCCAGTAAATTGGCCTGTGTTATCATGGAGATACAACTGCCTTAGAAGAGCGCGATTGTTGTGCTATAGCTGTGCATCTGCATAGGGTTGTTTCGATGTGGTCATGTTGTGGCCAATCCATAGGCATTTTTTTGGTAATAGTACTCCTAGGGAGTCCAGAAAGCTTCTCTACATGATCTATGAATACTTAAGCGACCTGCCGAAGCATGAGGGAACTGGAGCAAGGGATAAAGTGGGCATCATGCAAGGTCCGTCGACAACGAAGGAGATGCTCATGCGACCCTTGGCCTCCGGCAGTACAAATGAAATGTCCGTGATCGGGTCGGTCCAAATCCTCTTAAAAACAGGAAAGCCTCGAAATAGCCGGTTTATGGGGAACTGCGCAGTTTAACTGCTGTGGATCTGGGAATGACAATGCACACTTCTTTGCCCGGGGGGCTTTCCCAAGACATCAAACGGATTGTGAGAGGTTTTCCATGGCGGTCTGAGTCTCACCTTGAGCCGGAAGAACATGAGCATGTACTTTCCGCAAAAAAACAATGGGGAGCACAGCCACGATGTAAAAAAAGGGAGTCCCTGTTGTGGCTTCAACCAATGTAGGCCATCCTGAACGTGGTAGTGCTTCACCCATTTGCCATCCTCGAAGTTGTGTGTTTTCAAGTAAACTTCACTTTACAGTCGTACTGTTGGAGACACTTGAGTCAGCAAACAACACTAGGCATACCGAACTCCTGAAACTCTCTGTCAGCTTCATCAAGATTGGTGCTCTATCTGGACCGTAGCATGAGGCCCATCTAAGTGCTGCCTGTATGTTTCACGCTCACAACACCGCATGAAGCTGCTCCTCCTGGAAATATCTGCTCGGTTAGGATCAACGGAGCTAAATAACAAGCAATAATTTATTTTCTTCCAGGAGCCCTACCCTGTTGGAGAGAATAGCATCCTTTTTTTCATCACTAGAATCGGTTGTTAGGAGAAAAAATAGGGCTAGTAATCGAGCACCGCAAGTGCCGAATATGCTGTAATGGGTTTGCTAAGCGTCCTTGCCGCGGCCACAGCCTTCTCTGTCCAGGTCACGGACTGAGTTGGCTCCAGAAGAGCACTGAAAAAAGCAGAGCCCAGAGCAAACCTAGTCCCGGACTTCGGTAAAAAGATGCAAGATCCAGAACGTCACAGCATCCTTGTCGGCGCGTAAAGGCCAAGCTGTGATTGCCGAATTTTGCTGGATTTGGCTCGGTTCCTGCAGCCCAAACGCTAAATTCCACAAACACAAATTGTTTTAATGAAAAACACTTCCGTGCCTTTAAATACCACTACTTTCTCTGCAACAGTTGAAGCTCAGGCCATAAATGCTGTAGGTGCTCTTGAGCGCTTCGGCGCGGTGCTCTGACGTTGTCCATGTACACAGTCATCTACTCCTGAGCACGCCGATAAGCATTCCCGTAAACGTGCCGTTGCAGTTCACCCTGAGCATTCATAGGTTCAACCGGAATACTAGTCTCTTCGATTATGCCAGTTTTTGTGTGAAACACCGTTTTGTGGCTGTCATTTGGATGAATTGGGATTTGTCAGAAGGCGTCTGTGGAGCCGAATGCCGAGTGGACAGTTGATCTGTATAGCTTGTCGAGTGTTTCGCCACAGTGTGAAGCATCCCACACTTCTGCTGCATAAAAAGTTTGTTTTGAGGCTGAGGATAAGGCACTGCGGCCATCTTGCTTCTTTCAGGGGCACGAGCACGGGGGTATCTCTAAAGTTGCTGGTGGATCGCTGCGCTTTGCCTTTTTTAAGCAAAGCATGAGTGTCCCGCTCAATCTACTCTTCATGCTATAGGGGTTCCCGACACAATGGAATACAGCTCGAGAGTGACCCAGAAATAAGCTCAATACGGTGGGCTAGAGGACTAGCAGATTGCCAGTCTGCTGGCAGCTCCTCATTGTTTAGCACACCCGCCAGCTCCCCCTTAGAACTTACGAGTTTATACTATTCGTCGGTTGAAAGATCAGCCGTATTTCCTACTAGTGCATCCTCTGTCGGACTGCTTAGATGATATGGATGCTCAAACGCGTACTCGCATTTTGCTATGCCGGACTGCCCGCACGGAGAGTCTGCCTAATTTAGTTAACTACCAACTCTACCCACCGCTTGTAGGTGGCATGGGCGTTGTCAAATGGACCAGTTGTAGCTCTTTTTGAGCACTTCCTTGCATAGTGTGCCTGCGCTTACTACAGCTGTAGCTACATGCACTTATCCCGTTGGATCAGCCATGGCATTCGTAAGGCTAAGTCATGGTGCACTGATGTAGCACACAAGTCATCGAACATTCTAACATGACCCAAGTCCAATTAGAAGTAGCACTAAATATTACTTAGCCTTGCCCAATCCATGCATTCTGCTGCTCATCAGCAAATCTGGGTGTTGGAGACTGCGCTAACGTCCAAATAGGTTGATTGAACCTCTACGCCTTTTCTTCATGAAACAGCTCCACTTCGCAAGCAGTTCCAAGTAAGGCTATCAACTCGTGAACATTGTATAAACTCGCACCAGCGCAGAATTAAGTTATGGTGGGTCCCCAACTGCGGTACTAGCCTTTGTTATGGGCCTTAGTGCGCCGCAGCCGTATTGATTGAAAGGGCAGTACAGTCATGCCTCAAACCATCTGGACTTAAAGGCGAGCTCCAAGGAATAAGACATATAAAACTATGGGTCATCAGTGCCTACAGTCTACCGCAGCCTCCAGTCCTAAAGCAAGTAGGCGCAGACGTATAGTCGTTTGTTTTTATGAGCAAAAGGGATTGCACATGGCTAGAGTGATCGTGGGAAAGATCGTTAGTCCGTACTTTGTTATAATAGCGTGTCATTATTTCCCCAGATGTAAGCCTAACGAGAGAATTTAGCCTAACTATGGGGCTGAAGGATGAGCAAGTAAACCAGCTTAGCTTCAATCAGTTTCATGTGGCCAAAGCGGCACTCAAATCCACGGAGCCACTAGGGAAGTTAATACTACAGAGCTCCTACCACGCTTGCATGCAAAAGTGCACACAGAACCAATATTCCATTTTCGAACAATCCTTTAGTGCCAATTTTGCACGGTAGTGGGTGATCATTTGAAATATGATGCTGGTTTTAGATACGAGCTTCTTGTTCTTGGCTCTCGAGTCTGACTTGCAGGCGGGCAGCAACCGGCCTCAAGAGCATGAAAGCGTGGGAACAAAGAAAACTCGCGAGGGCGTTTTTATAAAGCTCCTGCAATGATAATAATGAAAGAAATTCGATCGAGGTTCGTTGAGTTATACACTGCTTCGCTTTGTAGGAAGGATGAGCGAAGGTGTCTTCGGGTTAGGGTCTCCAAAATCGAATACTGAGAATACATTGGACGCCTCAACCCCCAATGCTGTCGAGATGGGATGGTACAGCATTATACAACAGCGCTAAGCATTGTGCCCAGAGAACTTTGCCATGGGGGCCTAGGGGCTGTTCAAAGAGTTGGCAGGACAGGAATATTTACATGGCGTGTACATTTGCTGAATTTTGAGGTGCATGCGAGTCTCGCAGAGCCCTTTAATGATTTTTGCGGCCTCAGGATCTGCTGTAACGTAGGTTTCAGGAAAATCATTCGAAGCATGGCGGTCTTTGTCATTTTGTTGATGCGCCTTCTCTGTTCCTTCTGCTCAGCGCAGCTCCGTTGTTCAGAGTCTTCGACTTTTTGTATGAGCTTGCATCTCCAGACCTCATGACCAATCTCCCACAACATAAACGGTCTTTTTGTTGGGGAGCCATCTGGAAGCTTCGAGGAGTGTGGAATTCCTCGGGCTTTTTTCTTTGATCCGTGGTACACTGTAAGCGGGGCCGGCTGACACAGCTATAGGCTTTAAATTTCAATCTAGCTCATTTGTTTTTGAGCCAAAGACGCAAGTGCTCAGCTCATTTGCCGTGATTTCTCAAATAGTGTAGAAATATCGGAGATTCTACCATTCAGGGGTCTTCGCAGAGTCACTGAGCACCCCGCTCGCAGCTGACCTGACACCTCAGATAGACCTGAGATAGCCCATCTGTCGAGCTGATCAAGCCTCATGTCTCTCGGTAAACCAAACTGTCAGTATATTCCCATAGTCAACCTTTACAGCTGTGCCAAAGCTGCTGTCTAGCTGCTCTCAGCATAAACCAATAAATCAAGACTTGTAGGAATACTTGAGCCGCAATAATTCATGCAGGCTGACGACGTCCCTTACATTAATAGAGCTGCCACTTCAATTGAAGTGCATCTATCTTGAGTGGACATGCCGCACAAAGTATTCACGTCTCTTCGTCTGGTGGGAAGTTTATTAGATCCTCAAATATTTGTGCTTTTTAATGGCCCTCATACATATCTAGTTGGCACAACTTTGTCGGCACAACCTTCTACATAGCAGCTGGCTAATTATGCCGTAGTTAGCAGCTGTTGCGCTACTACATTTAGAGTGGCTTGCAAACCCGCTTCTGGCGCGTTACGCCACCATCAACTTCTACAGGCCCGAACGTGTATTTTAAAACTTTTGCCTTCAATTTTTTTGATACTTGAAATTACCATGATACTTGATCAAAGCCAAGCAACGTGCAGAGGAGAGCCTGACGTCCCTATGCACCCACAGCAGGTAGATGGGCGAGAAATAGTTTTACCGCACTAGGCAGTGCTATTACACGCAAGGCTCTACCAAAGGCTTTTGCAGGTAGACCCTGACGAACAACATAGTGCAAGCTTAATAGAGATCTATTGAGTACACACAAGAGCGTTCTTCTTCTCCTGCTTGCATTCCTCAGGGTTTTGACGTGAGGGAAGAGCCAGCTTTGGCTCCCATTGCTGCACACTATAAGCACTCCGGGCATTCATAGATAGAAATTTATAGCATCAAGCGCACTCACACGCAGCATTCATTCCTAATGTATTGAACAAACGCTACTCTGCAACAAACAAGATATGTGAACAGACAAAGCAAATAGTTCTCTACTAATCCTACGAAGGGTATCTTGGCTCGAAGGTGCTGTCACGCTTTTATGTTTTTCTTCTTAAAACTCTATCGTACTACCTTTCTTTGGTTGTCTATAACGGTACACTTCATTTAGAAAACTTCTACTACACTACTTCGTTGTGGTTCATGTGTAAATAAGTATTTATGGTGCGATTTGACTACTCGTTTAGTGTCCTTGCTGCACGGCTGTATTGGTACGGTATTTTGAGGAATTTGCTTTGTGCCTGGGCAAGTGTCGGTTATATGTGCAACTGTGTGCAACTCCTGGGAGCCATCAAAGGGTACAGCAACCTACCTGCCAGCCTACCTCTTCAATTTTCGTGCCAAAGTTCTATGGAGTCGACTGAAGGAGAGGGGAGAGTGTCTTGGAGGAGGTACTTACTAGCTGCCTGTGATGCTTTCATATTGTTTGTGTTTTGGGGATCCTTCTAAGGAGAGAGACCTACAAAAGAAATGCTAAGCGTACGCTCAGCTCACAAAGTTCCCAGTCGAAAAGAAGCAGGTTATCCAAGAATTCACACCGTTGGATTCATTGAGGATTCTGGGCATGAGCATATAGCCACACTCAGCAGTTTAGCTCCACATTCTAGAAAAGATGTACATTTTGAGCATGTGAGCCGTCAGTGTAGCGTAAGAAGCAGAATATGCGGGCGGCCAAATAATCACAGTTTTCATCAAATATCAATTGATTGGGACCAATGAACTGATATATACCGGAGCGTACCTTTGCCAACTATTAGTGCTCGAACTACGCCGCTTCATTCCCGGTAGGCTACCCCTCACCACAAGAATGCGCGCATTTAACAATGCAATATTCGTGAGAGCACATCTAGAGTTAGGTCTTTGGCCAGTTATTCTTCAGACACGTATTCAGTGCTCATGTTTTCGGGGACAGCGTGCCCTCAATGCAGTGGCCAAGCCACACATCCACGGCAAGTACTGGTCACATGTAATAAGGTTTGCTAAATAATGGCTACGTAAACTAGAGATTCTTGTAGCATACTCGTTCAAGGGCGGACGTAACATACATTCGTAGATAGCATGGTCTACTTTTAAGCACGGTACTCAATACGATTGAGTGCCAGCTCGGTATGCCTGTGGTATGCAATTACTGGGCCTTAGGTTTTGCTTCCTTCCCTCGTGCCGGAAGCCTGTGGAAGAAACTGAAATTAGTGCTGCCTTCGATTCTGAAGACTTTTGGGGGGCAATCTTTGCATGTGAAACTCCAGATACGGTTTGCAGGAAATAAGTTACGCAGCTTGTGTGCTGACAAAACAATAATCAACTGGGGGAAATCTGAGCAAAACCAGTTTCTCCAAGGTAAAGCATGCAGTACTTTATTAAAAAGGTCGGTAAAAGATTACACTTCTGTGGAGGAATCAAAGTACCGAATTCGAAGACAGAAGTACGCATATCCAAATCCAGGAACACGAATTTGTTGAACCAGCTCATAAGAATGCGTGAGTATTGCAAGACAAGGCATTTTAACCTAATGCCGAACTACTGCGGCATCCTTTAGAGATGTTGCCTCTTCCTTTTCCTCCCTCATAATTCTCGTTACACGCCTCCTTTTTACCAGTTTACATGCCCATCCCACCATTTCCCGAAACGCACTTACGCCACTTCTGCTCTAAGATGCCAACAAAAAGTAGTTGCACACGCGACAAAGCAATGATGTGTAGAAAGCCCACATCGATGCGAAGAATAAAGGGACACTACATAATCCGCGTTTTGCTCTGTGGCACAGCAAGAGATACACCTTGGGTACTAGACAGCAGATTCGGATAAGCTCAGGGACCGCCACTCGTTTCCTTCAAACACTCCGGCACAAGTAAGATCACGAACTGGAGGAAAGCTAGGAGTTAACAGTTTACCAACGAATTTCCACCGGGTGCAATGTGCGATTTGGCCTCTGCTTTGGCAAGATGGTCGTCCAGGGCTACGTTGAGCAGACCAGTGCTGTGCACCTCAGTGGGGTTCCCTTCCCTCGACGATCACTGCAAAAATGCGTTCCGCTAGCCAACAGAAAGCTGCATCGTCCTTATTTTTAGGAGATTTTCTATTTCAGATACAGCACCAACCGGGTTGAGATTGGTTCTAGCGATCTCGATTCGAGCTACCCCACTGAAGACCAGAACTTCTCGTTCCATCAAGCCTGCTTTCACCTTCCATTTCAACTTTCAGTTTGCTGCATTGATATTATTCCGCCTCGAATTTGGGTGACTTCTTAAATCGCGTCCTATTCGGTTCGTTGCACAATGGACCAGCCACAGCAACCAAATTTAAGTAGCCATCCTGGCCAGGGCCCATACCACTCAGAAGAATCTTCTGGTGCGCACTCATTTGCTGCCCCAGTGCATCAGGGGAGTCAGCAAGGTCATGATGCTGAACCGATTCCACAGCTCCCGAAAGAGCCGTGCTTTGCCCGGCCCCCTCGCCGCCTACACAGTATTGGTAAGCTTTTTCGTAGGGTGCTTGCCGGGGTTACTGCCGCTCTTGCTTTGATGAATTCAACGATGAATGACACGCACTTGGCTTCCCAGAAGGTTCCCATCGCACCTCCGCGCACAGAGCCCACCAATTTTGTCGTAGAGAGTAGAGGGAGCCAGGTAAATCTCCCCTCACATACAACTCGCACGCCTTTACCTTAGTACTCTTTTGTGTTATTTATCTGCACGCCCTTGCTATCCCTATATTCTCATAGGGACTAGGGCACGAATTGTTCCGAACTGCTGAACGAAGTACGCTTTGTCAACAAGGGCTTCGAATATGTGTCTCCTCTCAAGGAAAAGTTTACGCAGGCATAAAAGCGCACACCTCACGGTGCTCAGTGGACTACTAGTACACATTTGCGCCATGGAGGGTATAGTACCTAATGGACTACAGCAGTAACACGAAGTATGTCTTAGCCGGCTTTACGAATAATAAGCTAAGCTGCTTCGCGATAAATACCTGTATTTCGTTATGCCCAAGGTGGTGCCTGAACGTATATTCGGGAATTAACACTTTTCCTTAATTATTTCGAGGCATAAAGCACTCTGCCAAAATGCACAGATCGCCCATCTTTCAAAAGAATGGCTGCGGCGGGAATCCTCCTTTTCAGCCAAACATCTAGACATCGAGTGATGTTGGCATGCCAGGAAAGCGGTAGCATTAATTAGCTTGAGACTGCGATGCCTCCGGAGGAGGCACGACGTGCATTAGAAAACCAAATTTATACGTTCCCCGCCAGTAGTCTATCAGTCCGCTTACGCCAAATCCGTTGTAGTCTTGCGCAAAGACTGATATGCGCCCACAGCTGTCAATCAAGCCCTGTACTCGGGCCTGTCGGAACAGATATTCCCATCCCTGCATATTATTAAGGGCACAAAGAGACCCATATGAACACCACTGATGTGATGGCGCACTTTTTTCGTAGCCACATACTGGAAGGGTTCTTATCTTAGCCTTTGCGAGGGGGGTTAAAATCAGCTTACCATCCTCAAAGCTGACTCTGTATCTGGATGACTATATTCATATTCGGTTGCCATCGAGAGCCTATCAGTGACCTGCATATAGCACACACCAACCTCTATCAGTAGCCTGTTCCATCACGGAACAACACCTGGGGGTTTTACCCAAAGTTTTTCCGCTAGTATGTGGCTCCTCCCTGATGCTTTTACCTACGCCATACCTTTCTTGAATATTGCACTTTGCAACTGTGAGTCAGTTTAGTCAGACCAGTAGGCGACTTAAAATCTGGCTGCTGACTTAGCTGGCCTAGGACACCCGTCAAACACGCAAAATGCAACCAAAGCCCTTTGAACAAATATGCAGCACTTAAGACTTCGTCAGAACTAATACACAGGAGCGCAATAATGGTGTTCCTCTTAATCCTGCACTCCGTGCGTGGCCACTGCCCCCGCGCCTGGTTGAGGCAAGCCAAGGGGAGCTGTGGCTCACATGAGACAACAGATTGCTTGTCAATGTTATAGCGGCTTCCTACCGCCAGCATGGAGGCACCGTTCGCGCTCTGAACAGATATGATTACAGACGATAGCACATAACCCGTGATCGCTAATGAGATGCATTGAAACGCGCTAGCAGAAGGCTGCGGCATACCCTAACCGCTATATCACAAGCGCAATCAAGCTGCAAGAGGGAGTGAAAGATGACTGAGGCACAGAACAAAGACTCCAAAGCAATTCGGTGCATAATGAGGCGCGGGAAATTGCTTGCCACGTAAGTAATCTCGCAGCCGGCCTGCAGCCGTGGTGTCAGTACTTGGGAAAACATTCCGTCCAAAATCCAACAAGCTGCATGCAAGCGCAGATGCATCTAGTCAGCGGACAAATTACGATTTTTGGCGTAGGATAGCAATTTTCATTTGACACACAATGGCATAAGCAACAAGAATTGCATATGAGGTGCTGTTGGTATACACGCGAAGGGATTCGGCCTTTAGAGTACCAATATAAGCCTACAGAAGTGCAAGCACACCAACTCAATCAAGATTACAAATACTAATCGCATTGCGTGAGATAGGAGCACCCACACTGCCACGCAAGCTTTAGCGAGGAGGCCCAGTCTCTGCCTGTATTGTCGAGGGAAAGCTCATAAAAATTCCGCTGTTCGTCTTTCAGCGATGAATTGAAATTGAATTTCACATCCGCACTCGGACATATTGTCTTGATCACCCTGAATTGCAAAGCAGCAATGCAAACAATAACGATCGTACTACCCAATACTGAAGCATGTGCTGCTCCACCGAGAGCTGTTCAGTTCTTGTTGCCGGAGGCCCAAGGGCACGCAACGGCAACACAGCAGCTGCTGTTCCCTACGACACTGTCTTCCTCACCTGCCTTGAAGCGATCCATCAGTGCCCAATTTAGCCATCGCGAAAAAATGTGGAGGCGGCTGGGCGTTTTCTCCTGCATTTGGATCAGGCGGCGCTGAAATGGCAACTGTGGGGCCAAACTGATATGAGTACCCAGACTCCCGCAACTGAGTGCCAAGGCAGAAGCTGTGGCACGTCTGAAGGTATTTGTTGACCTGAAATGAAAATTCACGCACCAGGATTCCGATACCTCCATGCTGCGCCATGGAAAGTAGCAGGAGCAACATAAAGGGTAATGCAACAGTAACTCAACTGCAGACGCGGATGATTGATGCGTTCGACACCAAGAAAGCAGACCTGCTTAGCGCCTTCCAAACGAAACCCGTCAAAGGTGTCCTGACCAGAAATATTCATCCACTCCCGAGAGAAATGTTCAAATGAGATGGGCTGTGTCAGCCTGCGGCAACTCCCAGCAGTTTGCACACTGTTGAACTTGAAGGCAAAATAATTGCGGAATGTGTACTAAATCAAGAACACACGACCCTTCATCATTGTGACGGTACATATCTAGAAAAAATATCTCAGGGAAGATATATTACTGTATGCATTTCCAACAGGGGTGGTTGAGCAAATAGTGTGCGAAAAAAGAAGGGAGCGAGCTGCATTAGTGCGTGCATCATGGGGATGGGGTAGCGGTTAGTTGGTTCCAAGCTAACTCCTGTTTCTTTGGTGTATCTGTTGGCTGCTCATTCTCCCTTTTAAATGCATCCGTCCGCGCCTTCTCGAGCTGGTCTGTACGCGTAGAAGCTTCATCGCTCGGTGGTACTGCCGCCTCAGAGGCCCCGCCAAAGAATCCAAAGGATGGAACGCTGAAGAAGCCGGAGCCCTTCTCTGCGCAATGAGCAACCGAAGAGCTATCTGTTCTCCCAACTGCAACAGCTGAAGATACAGAATTAGGGAGAAGATCAGCGGCCGACCCTCCATGCCGCCGAGGGCGCCCGTCTGATGAATGCCCGCCACATCGTAAGAAAGAAAAGAAGGGCATTGTCGGAGGGGCAGGGAAGGAGAGATTTCGTTAGTTTTGCTGGTACTTCATGGTTTTGTTTTCAAACACAGCTTTTGGCAGCCCCGGAACTGGTGGGGCACTCGGTGGGGCTGGGGCCCGGTAGCATGCTAGGCAGAAATGACTAAACCTTATGCTTCATATCTTGAGTGCTTTACCTGGACTAAAACAACAATAGCATCACCGTTTTAATCCAGAGCCGCTGGTACCTGTCTTCAAAGTAAAGCTTCCATCTTCAATAGCGGACCGCTACAACTCACTGCACCAGAAATACATGAACAATGCCCCGCTTCAGTTCATCATTCTGCCGAGACGACAAGCAAACCAGAAGAAAAGGTCATATCATTAAGTACGGTTGCTTTCGTTTCAGCACCAGTGGCCAAATATGAAGAATTATCCACCCAGAAGGCACTGGGCAGCCAAAGACGCGTATTACAACGCTCCATGTAAGGTCCGTAGGGAGACACTTGCCCCAGACTCGACATACACTTAGAAGAAAGCTGTCCAATGCCTGTAAGAAGAGCTGTCTGTCCATTCTGCCTGCATCCTGCAGTTCAATTCGCGGGGAGAGGGAAAGCCAGGGTGTGCGTAGCTGCACAGTCCAAGCACGCCAAGCTTTTAAGGTGTAAGGATTCGTCCAAGGTCTCATTACGGTGACACTTAGCTTCAGACTCAGTGAAAGCCTAGTAGAAGGCTACCGAGCTTTTCTGGATTAAAGTCCTGCGTTCGCCTGCCTGCAACCCTCACTTTCGAGGTCAGGGGAGAGGGGTAGCTAGCGTGAGCATAGCTGCACTCTCTAGGCATTCCGAGCATTCCATGATAGCTACACATAGCATATAGGATACACACACACACTACACACACGCACACAAGTGTGTTCAGTGCTCTGCAAGAAATAGGGTATACGAACAGTCAAAGCAATTAGACAATTCTTGAATTCATTACTACAGAGATATGACTGGTATACTAGAAAGTAATAAAAGTGTAGGTAAGCCAGTTACTTATATCTCCCCCCAATGCAGAACATACTCCCTCGTTGCGTACCTGTACTTAGAGACCAACTGCGTGCATGACTGCACAAGAAGTCCCACACTATCTCCACTGTCCAGGCAGGTACAAGCACTAAAAGAGTGCAGGAGCAAAAAGCAAAAGTGTGCAATAACAACCACAGTGAAGTCAGGGGAAAGAGAAGCACACACCAGCGAACAACAAACGGGGTTACACCAACATTCTTTGGGCGGTGCTAGGGCTCGTTCTCGTCGGAGCGCTGACATATGTGAGTCTCCTATGAGAAAACAAACACGCGAATTGTGCAAGGGCAATCGAAGTTTGCCGTAGTTCCGCTCTGCTCTTCATGAAGCTATGCCTGTATGCAAAACACCCAGTGCATGCAGCATAGTCGATGTGCAATTTCCGAAGAAACACGAGTAAGAATGTAGATGCAAGATACTTGAGAGTGTCTGCACAAAATTATGAGTGTAGAGGACACCTTTATCGTGATAGTTGCACAGTTTTCAAGCAAAACCCACAGGTGAAGGTAGCTATATCAGGCAGACCCTGACTTGTGGCAGGAATACAGTATGGCTCTTTTAGACAGCAACTCGTTTCCATGAACGGTGCTTATGCATTCCCCAATTATTCTCTTGCACGTAGCTACACATACAGGAGTTTCTCTGTCAATTACTGAGCTTGGCATTACCCAACACTTTTCTCCCAGAAGCTCCCGTGTGGTGTCCTCGAAGCCTTGTTGTCCGAGAATCAAGCCCCTTGACGGATCCCTGTGGACCCTCCGCCTTCACGCGTGTCATATGCTTGTGCATCAGAGTCTGTGAACATTTCTGAGATATTGAAACTACTTTGGGGTACCAGACCTGATAATTCTCGGGCACCTACTGCTTTCAGAAATCGACAAAGAGACACCATCGATTCGTGCGAGATTGTAAACGCTTCTAGCCAGCTGACCACAAGCCCTTTCGTCTGGTCACCCTGGTTTCGTACCTATAGCCTGCTGATCTTTTAGAGTCAAACCTCTAGGCTCGAAACGCACAGCCGACCGCCGCCTATCATAATTCCGTGCTTGTCTCTCTCGAGGTGCGTGCTTACATTTGCGTGTGCTAGGCAATTATTCTGCAAGTCTCTCCACGGCATAGCGAGGGTGCTGACAGCGGATCAGCAGACTCAGGCCCTGGTTGGAGAGGGCCTTCTCAGCATAGCCCAGGGGGTACGGGGGAGCAACGGCTAGATGAGTGTTCTGCTCAGTACAAGGAAGAAAATGAAGTCAATCAATTGGATTTTGTAAGCACAGAAAGACAACTCTTTCAAAAGAGTACGGTTGGTACGCCGTGCCTGTCCCGCTGCCTCAGGATGCTTCGAAGTGTTCATTTTATGGTCAATATGTATGCATAGCATAAATGCACGCCTTAACGTACAACACAACTTGCGGTTCCTCTCCTTAGTGTTACTTCTGGTGGATTCATAAAGCTTATATATACATGCGATCAGAATGATTGAGCGACCTCCCGAGCCATGACAGAGCTGGGGCAAGGAATGAGATAGAAAGGTATGCTCAGTCTGCCGATACCCACGCAGATGCTACCCCAAGCCTTGACTGATCGCAATCCGACAAGGTATAGGGTAAAATTGGTTTGCTTTTTCCTGATATCTAAAGGCCTTGCAAAAAAGGCGGGAGTCTGGGCGTGACAAGCGCATACTCCTCTGCTGCGGGACACATCCCAGGCCACCAGGGGCACAATTAGAGCTTCTCCACTGTATTGTGATTCCCATTATGGCCAGAAAGACCGTTGCACTGTGCTTTACGCACAATAGCACTAAATGTCAAAGTCGGGATACACAAGCCACAGAGTTTTCGCTTTGTTTTGAACACCAGCAGGCTATCTTCAGCGTGGTAATGCTTCCCCCTTTTGCCATTATGGATTTTGGCAGCAGCAACGGATGCATTAGTGTCAGAAGCAAAAGGGGAACACAATTTTGAAAAATCTAGAGATCTATTACAGGAAAAAGCGGTTGGGCTTTAAGATAGTGAGCTGACACAGCGTCGTGATAGCCCTTCCATGATTCCATCGGCGATGCTCCTAGTGTACTTCAGTCTCAATCCGTACTCGAGGGGGCGGCCGAGCCAACGAACAGCGCTAAGCTTTATAGGTTGCAACGTGGACTTGTGGCTGGTTTGGACAGTAATGTGACGTCCTAATAAATAGTGCCGGCATTTTTGCGCGCCCCATCATGCTGTATAGCGTTTCCTTCGCCGCACTGAAAGCGCTACTTGATTTGGGTAAAGCGACGAGAGTAACGAGCAATATTTCACTTAGGAAGGACCCATAGCCAATTGGATGCGAATATCGCCCACCGCTACGTCACTTGCTTCGCTATTCGGAGCAATGGCGCTAATAATCGGACAGCGCAATCATCGGAGGAATAGTGAAGCAGCCCATAAGCGGCCTTGTTTCCGCATAGGCCTCCTCCATCAAGATCACAACCTGTGTTCTCTCTAGTATATAAGTCAAAGGAGAAGAGATCTTAGCAATGCGAAAAATTAAATTGCGGCAATATAATGCAAGTCCTAGAACTTCTCAACGTCCTCACTGCTGGGTGAAGGTAAAGGCAACTTGTTGATAGCTTCGAGTTTTTTGCCGCAGCTAGCTCAGTGTATGCAGCCATAACAGGGAATCCAAAGAATTAAACTTTTCACGCCACAAAATACTTACGTACATTCACATACTACCGCTTTCCCCGCAATAGCTGAAGCGCTTACCTAAGGTGCGGTAGCCTCGCTTGAGCGTTTCAACTGAATACTGAGATGTCTCCCATGTACAGTTAACCACCCCCACTTGATAAGCCTATAACCCATCCGCATTAAGTAGTGTTTAGAGCTCGGCTGTACCAAGTCCAAGTGGCATAGGAAATACGCAGATATGCGTGTGAGACTGTGGAACGCCGTTTTGAGTCTCTGTTATGGGCAAACGGGGACTTGCAAGAAGGCATTCGCGCAGTCGAGTGCCGCGTAAGCTGTTGTTTTCTGAAGTTTGTCTAGTGCTTTTTAAGAATGAGTAGACTGTAGAGCTGTCTAATTTGTCAAGAGTTCGCCAATGTGAGAGACTAAAAATTTGTGCCCCAGGAATATTGCTCAGAGGATAGGGCTAACGCATATCCGCCACCGCCTGACCCTTGTCAGCACCAACACTGAGCAGCTGTTCAGTAACTGCGCATGGCCCTTTTCAACGATTCATCTGCCTGCAGGTCACTATCCTCTTTGTGCTGTGGAGGCTTCCGATACCTCATAACACAGCTTGGGGCTGACCCACGCTGTTGCATGGTACGGTACGTTGGACGACCAGGTGGTCGGCGTGCTGACAACTCGTAATTCTTCAGCGAATTCGCGAGCTTCTTGGTATTCGCTCGTTCCTGCTCTTTCCGAATCCAACGTCCAATATAATTTCCTAACCAAGAACCCGTTTCACAGCCACCAACAGGGATGCAGGCGCAGAGGGGTCTCCTCTTAGTACTCTACTGGGAACCCGCAGAACGACTGTGCCTCACCTTGCTCAGCTGCCAATTTCACCTCGCTCACAGCCAATGAGACTCTCTATATTAAGGAGACTTAAAATAGCCTCTTATACCGCTTTCAGGTACACGGACCTCTACAACGTGTAGCTGTGCCCGCATGAGCCCCTTCCGCTGAGCACCCCATAAAGATGCGTAGAAGTACGGCAAGGAGCTTTGGTCCACCACAGAAGTCGCATAGCATGCTTATATGCTTCAATTATATCTGAAGCGACAGTTGTCTGCGGTAGTCTTGCCCATGCTTACGTTCTGCTGACCGTTAGCAAATCTGACTCTGAGACTGCGCAAACAAGTGGACAGGCACACTGTACTTCTGCCCCATTTCCGCTAATAACAGCTCCGCTTCGCATCCATTGCTAGGCTCTGTGAGCAATTCTTGACAATCAATGTGAACGTATATCAGTTCAGCAGATAATTGACCTACGAGGGGTCCCCAACTGCGGCTCGATCCTCTCTAGCCCCCTGCACTGCGCCACAGCGTGCCAGGGGTCTTGCTCTTTTCCTTATGCGTCTTTTTTGGCTGCCAAGCTTCCTGCTTCTGCTGAGACTTGTCCCTTTATTGAAGTTTCTAGGCCTTTAGCATGCATTTGCAGTTTGGAAATTTATGACTCAATCTCCCGCAAAAGAAGCAAATGCGCTCTTGTGGGGCTGTATGTGCCTCTTTCGGAGCGTGGGCACTCTCTGGCATTTTCCGTCGCTCGCTATAGACAGTAGGCTAGCGCAAGTGGACGGATCCTTAGCATACAGGCTCTAAACTCCGATTTGGCTCTACCTCAGGCCAAAGACAAATTGGTTGAGCTCTATTCCTCTTGATCCTTTATATAGGCCCTCAGTTGCGGAAGTCTCACTGTTTATTTGCTTGTGTAGTCGCTGAGTCACTGCCCATCTTATGATTTTCTGATATGATTGTAGGCATAGACCTGAGGTATAATATTAATTACCCAGCTGTTCGCCTACACTGTGGCTCTTGCATTCTAAGCCTTCATATCCCTCAAATTACCAAAATATTTGTATATTCTTCTGTTTTAGCTGTATCAGAGGTCGCTGTTGAGCTGATCGGGGGATTAACCAACAAGTCAGGGCTTGTATAAAGCCTTGTATTGTATGTATCGCTGCAAGGAGACGAGTTCGAATACAATATAAGAGCCACCATTGTTGTGCCTTCCCTTCAATAAACAAGTTGCAAGAAATATTCATTCCTTTTCGCCTAGAGGGTACACAGCGAGGCGCGTACCCATCCGGTTGATGAAATCTTCTAGTATTTGCCTTTTACAACGCCGCCATACTTTGTTGGTCGGCACAGCCTCATTAATGCATTCATGATCATCATTGAATCAAAGATCATAGTCCGTTAAGTGTTGTGGGGAAGCATGCATCCCGCAGCATCTACAGTGAGTGGACGAGCCGGTTAAGGGCTGCATTTCATCATCATGCACCAACCATAACGCTTTATCTAGAGGTGTTTATAGGTAGATTAGGTCGGGAGTGCGTGATAGAATGCCATTAAGCCTTTTAAATGAGCTGCCTCCGTTTCCTGCCCCCACAGAATACGGTTCCTGTATTGGGGCAGAGAGATACATAGGGTGCGTGTAGCTGCACCCTGGACGCAGTAGCAGTATTCAGAGCTAGGTCCACATAGCATCTGGCTCCCACGCACTTATTACTGTGTCTTGCTATACCAAGAAAAAGTCACTGTGCAATGAATAATATATGGAGACAGACCAACCAATTAGTCCATTCCATGTTATTTCTTTGTTAAATGTAACTTATACTGCAGGAAGTGCGTCAGTGTAGCTTAGCCTGTCACAGGGAGGTTAGACCACACTCTCCGTAGGAATTCCACTGGGTGTACTTCGGTTTAAGGGATAGGATTATGAGTTTTGCTGAGCTTGAAGTTCAGCGTTAAAGTTTATGTACTTGCAGTTGCCCGTGAACTCCTTCAATGGGAGTGCAAAAGGCTGCTTATTCCGCCCTGTGATATTTATTCGAAGGAAAGTGTTGTATTGAGTTGCTTGTGAGCATAGTATTTGTGACGATACCAAAAGAAAGTGTATTCCTCTGGCTTTACCAAGTCGTGGCTGGTCCACTGGCTGCTTGCCTATTGACGCTTTGTTACCCAGTCCTCTGTGCTGGAGCTGATGTATGCTTTAGTCTCTTATCTAAGCACATTCACACTGACCATCATTTACGCCCCCAACCAACCCACGAAGGCCTGCCATGAACAGCCGCAAAAGAAGCCTATTAAGAGGGATCAGGCATTAAGGCCCCTTCCCCTTAGAACAAAAAAATGCGGGAAAGATAGCGATCCGGATTGGAGTACCAACCCCTCAAAAATAGGTTCCGTCCAAATGCCACAGGGCAACGCCGGTGAACCAAGGGCAAGCAGCTTGTGAAGCTACAAAAACCTTCCTGAGCATCATCAATACACTGTTCGTCGATTACAGCCCGGAAATACTCCGTAAGCTTCAAAGACTTCAAGTAAGCTACTGATCTGCACACATGACTTCTGTGCCAGTAGGATGCTTATTACAGACCCCAGCGTCCCTATCTTTAGACCCCACCTTCGCGTAACCTGTAGAGAAGCCGAACGGGCACCAGCACGGACCGAGGCTTCAAACATTTGAAACGCACTGACAATGAATTGGCCTGTGGTGTTGATGCTGACGGGTGAGCTGATGGTGCCTACAGCCCCGGCAGCTCAAATTGCGTGAAAGGCCCACAAACGATTCTCTTTAGCTTGAGTGCACAACGTTCGTGATCATACTGATTACCCGAGGTGCTGAATTAAGCTACAGCTTTAGGATTTGACGTTCATGTGCCCGCAAGGCTCTATGTCGTCCTTATCAAACCGTAATTCCCAGCTCCCACTCAGTTCTGAAATTTTGCAGAGGAAAACGTTTTAAATGTATCTTTATGGCATTTAAGCATTACTCCAAAGTAATTCCCCTTTTGCATTTACGTTGGCCCTGCCACTTTGGCATGAATTATGTTGACGAGTTAAATGCGTCCACCAGCCCCCTCATTGGTCAATATGAAGTGCGCTGGGGCATGCTCCCCTTGGACGGAGCATTGGCTTTAAAGTTCTTCCACTGAAGGAGTCGTCCGCAACTACTTAATTTGTGCCCCTTTTAGGGTCGCACTCTTTGTTGGAGCTTGTTTTCTGAATATGCTGCCCAGTAGGTGTTTGTTCCAGCAGCAGCTAGCACGCAGAATCTTTGCAGTGCTTCCACCTGGCATGTACGAGCAACATTTACGCACAGACCAAGCAAACCTCTGGGCCTCTCATCTAGCAAGGATTTTCGCTTGATCCGCTTTTCACGTATGGATCCAGTGGCCAGCCGAACGCAGTGGCCACTATGCGGTATGGCAAGAAATTTTTTGCTGGTTTGCCCTGTACGGACATATGATCTGGTGCGTAGTCCCAGCAAAAGCTGCAAGGGGGTGCATTTTTACCTACATGTGAACTGCAACACTGATTAACCCTAGCAGCACCGATTGCGAGAAGAGGGGTTATTCACCCACTCGTCAAATTCGTGACTGGAACCCATCATTGACGCAAGTTTTCTTTCGAGTGGATCCTGTTCGAAAATCCAGAAAATTGTCAACCACGCAGCTTGTCAGAGCTGCACTGTCCTGCTCCCTTGCACGCCCTTTCTCCTAACCATCTATGCCTAAAGTTGAGAGCCGCATAAGAATCACAATCGTCCCTACCGCGGAAGGCAGTCAATCGCAATCGGCGGCGCCCCATGTACTCGACTTCCACGAAGCGTACATGTGACTAGTACACGTCGGATACGTCAAGACACTTGTTTAAGACAAAGAGTTCTAGGGTGTTCGAGGAGCATCAATCCGACCCATGTAAGTGAGCACAATGAGGAAGAGATCTTTAACCGTATTTGATGCGCTCTCTCTGTGGTCTTCGCCAAGGGGGCTTCTGCAACGGTGATTCCAAGGCTTGCATGCACCGTCTGCTACCTCGTAATTGGCTCATACGCGTCCTGATAATCATCGCGTCCGTTTGCGCACACCCTATCGTCCTGAGCTATGCACTGGATGGCGCGACTTCCCAATCCTAGGGCCAACTGATATACCTTTTGCCTCCGGGCCCCCAACAGAGTGACTTTTGAGCAGGCCCGTAAAAAATTAGGCGTTAGCATTTAAGGGCTTGGCTTGTCAAGCCACTAAGAGGAATCAGTGAAGTTAAGGAGACCGCATGCTCCTTTTCTTTTCACACAAACTGGGCTGCTGGACCCGGAAGGTCTGAAGTTTAACCCGTGGGCACTCTTGAACCAATCCGACTACAGGCAGCCGGGACCTGTGGATAATTTTCTCTGTGACTGGCTGCTACACCCATGATATTAAAAAGTCGCCCCCATTTTGGTCTCTTCGGCATCAAAAAATCTCTGCTGGCTAGTTCAAAGCGGACTACGCAGCCGGTATTCCGTGCTGATTGAAGCAGCGCGAGTGCTGATTGAAGCAGCGCGAACCACACTATCGAAATGCCTGTGGCGTGCGCATTTGCACTGAGAGCTCTAAGATTCTTGTGGCTCCTGGTCGGCACGCCCCGCAAAATCTCCACGCATCATGTCATAAACTTCCTGGCGGTGCCAACCCCAAAACAAGGCGGTGCCTAGGGAGCCCGTAGCCGCAGCTACCATGGCTCCTCCCATGAGTAGGTGACCCGAGGCAAGCGCTGCGATACCGAGCCCCACCTTGATTCCTGCCCATAGCCCGCTGACCTAAGACGCACAGAAGTCGCAAAAAGCGCATCACTGACGCTAGTTCCAGCAGCCTTCTCTTGACACCCATGCTCTAGACGCAGTACACTCGGGAAGCTTTCTCGTATAACGCAAGGTTCTCATGCATGCTGTGACAACAGATCTCGGCTCGAAATAGCTTTGAGACAAGAACATATATAGGTGGCCAGAGACACTGAAAGTTGCACTCCCCCGTGGGTGCATACCCTCTCTTGTTGATTGCTATGTCCAGCTAGAGCACTGCCCTCGAGGCGGCATAAGGGGAAGCGCAGGCGTCAGAATAAATGAGCACTTCGACGTCTCACCTCCGGACCACCAGTGTTAACAAGTTCCGCAACGTGGTATCGCGCCTCAGAGATTGAAGGGGAGGAAATCAGCGCTACAGAGTGGTGTACCAGGTTGGCACTTCGGTTTCTCAGATGCCCTGCAACGAAATGAGGATTCAGCTTTCCCAAGAGCCTGACATGGGTGCTTCCACCGTCCTCTGGCTGCTGCTGTGAAGCTGCCTCTAGTGCTACATGGTCACCGGCGTCTGCTGAAATACGCCTTTTCGAGGCCCCGCATGCTCCAAAGAAAGGAGCAAGCAGGGCATCCATTTTCGTGTCGGCTCCCACAACTGCAGTATATGCTGCGCCTGCTGCCCGCTGTACTGCCTTAATCGATCGGCGTGAGGCCGCTGATAGTGCGCACTGAAAGGAAGACCATACAGTCTGTCTCGGCTGCTGAGTGACGTATTGTGCTGCTGTGGCTACCTCCGAGCTTACCTGTGCTGCGTCTCCTTCACGCAATTCCAGATGCATTCCTTGCCTAGTAAAAACTGCCACACCCGTGTCTTCCCCCACTTTATTCTGATTCTGCTGTACCGGCGAAGACCGAGCATTCGGTAATTGGACCGTTGCTTCACTAAGGGGAAAACGCTCCGCTGCGCACGCCGCACGCGCCTCCAGCAGATGCAGCGAGTGAATGCGCAATGCGTCGCTCTTGCCGCACTCTGTGTGGCTGTCTGAAGCCTCTAAAATGTTTCCACAACCACTGGTCTGGCCTATCTCTGATAAAAAGTTTGTATTTTTACCACTTGAGACCGTGTTCTCCCTTTTATGAAGGCCTCCTAAGGCCATATCATGTGCCGTATAAGAAGTGCCATCCGCATGAACTCCAGCTTGACCTAGCCCCTCAGCGCCTTCTGGAAGCACGCCTAAAGGACCAGTCGATCCCCCCAAAATTTTCGTCGCGGACAGGGAGCTCTCTTCTCCAATATCCATGCGTGGGGGGTGGTACGTCTGCAACAATTTGCCTCCAGCAGCGCGGCAATCAGCACCCTCTGGTCCGCTACCCTGCAGTATGGAAAAAGGATCTGCAATTGCAGAAATCCCGTTCTGCTCGCCGCATCGTTCATTGCTTGGAGAACAAACCCACCGAGGTGCGAGAGGCATGAATATGTGATCGTGCTCATGATCCGCCTTTCTCCCCTCATCAGCCTCTCCAGTCCCCAGAATAGCACGACTGCCATTCGCGCTTGCGTTCAGTGCTCCCGCTACACTGCCTGATTCTACAGCTTTGTCGCCTATTATTAACGCGATAGCCTCCCGCAGTCTCTCCTTTGTCGAACAGATCGGGTCTCTATTGGAGCTCTTCAAATTCATGTAGCCTACTGCTGCAAGCAGCGGCACTCTTGCGGCCTCCAAAAACACGGAGAAGTCAGTTGCTGCAACTGTTGAGGCAGTTGCTGACGCAACAGCGGTTGCTGTGGCTTTCGCAGCGCTCCATACCCTAGCAGCCACAGAAACGCTTCTTTGAAGTGGAGATGTAGCATGAGGGCAGGTGGGAGCAGGCAGGCTGCCAAGTGTGTCGTTTGCGAGTGCCGGTGTAGCCCTTGCATCTAGTAAGGCATCGTCTCCTTTGCAAGAAGCAACCGAGGCATCAATAAACGCCAGAGCAGCAGAAACATCATTTCGTGAGTGTGCTCTAGCAACAATAAGGAGGTCGGACAAGCTCGAGCTTGGAAGCAAATACCTTTTTTCGGCCTCTTCCTCTTCTGCTCTACACGCAAGCAGCACTGCAGCGCGAACAGGCGCAGATGGTGATAATGACTGAGATAAATCCGCTTCAGTTAGCATCCAACAAGGCACCTCGACGGCAAACTTTTCTGGATCACCCGAAAACAAAGAATTTGATTCCCCTATACATGAAACATCGCCTGCGCCAAGCTCTGCTGCGTACGCCCTGGAAAGACAGCTTCTCATGCAATCCCTCTCTAGCTGTATGAAAGCGCACACGTTCATTGATAATGCTTCGAAATCGGCGCCCCTCGGAAAAAGCCCCTTCAAGGTAGACACTGTAATTGCAATAGCCCTGGGTGCGCTCAATCGTTTACGAGACAAATTGCTTCTATTCCGCGTGCCGTAACCCCCAAAACTGACGCTCAAGCAGTGATGTATGAAGGTTCAAGGCTTTTATAAAGTATCATTAGCTCCACGGGCTGCTCAGTTCCACCATCCGGGGGCAAAACCATCCTATCTGTTGGTTAGCAAGTAGCAGCCTGCAGGCTCTGGGGGCTACAGCTTGGTGGATTGGTGTACAGTAGAAGCAAAAGTAGAAGAGCGTCACCCAATCAAAATAACGGAAGCCCTTAGAAGATGACTGGTGGGCGCAGGTGGGATGGTGGGTGAACTATGGATGAGGGATATATCCACCCAGGCTATGAGAGGGACGGAACAAATACGTTACAGTTGAACGCTGCCTCCAGCCCCTCTAGTTAATACACCGAACGAGGCAAGGCAAAAAAGGTCAAAGATTATAGTATATAAAACGGTACTCCTGTTGTGAAATGAAGAGTCTGTCGCCCATTGTGGAGATACACCCCGACCACTGCAATGATCGGATGTCGTCGTCGGGTGGTCACTGAGGCATTGCGGCCGGTTCACCGCAGAGTTCGAAGGACCTTTATACTGTTGCCTTAGGTGGCAGTAGCCTTGAGTGCTATGCTATAGGAGTGCCTGTATTGGCGAAGGAAGATACTATAGTTGGTGAAACGTGTGGACCGTGATACCACTGGTCTCGTAACACACTTCAGCACATCGACGTAGCACTGCAAACCGAAGTGATTGAGCCCTTGATAATGTTTTTGTTTGTATGTAAACTTTGAAACACACGAATTGAATTGTGGAAAAAGCAGGTTTACTGCTCGTTGCACGGATACCAGTAGTACTGTTGTGGGAAAGGAGATGCATGGTGGGCAGACCTACACGTAGGCAGACACCATTACACTAGTTTTGTGAATTCATCATCACGTTAAAACTAATCAGCTTGATTAGTTTTAATCTATCTTGTATTCGCAACAAAAAAGCTTTGGGTCCCCACTGCAAGGAAATAGTTGTGTACCAGGCTAAGCTACGCTTAAGAACATTGTACTAAACAGTGAGATTCCACTAAGAACCGGTAAACGGTTCTTTATTTCGTTCTTCGGTGTGTATCTTACGTATTGTAGAGTAGCATAAGATTAGTGCAAGAGGCGCAATAATGTGAATGTGGCACTAGACCTACATGCGATAAGTAACTGTATGGGATTGTTTGGAGACCTTAAAGAAGCACTTACGCTCACCCTACCTGTTTCTCCCCCCTCAATTCAAGAGCTCCTGGGTGCAGGAATAAGGTAGCTAGGGACTTTTCCAAAAAACCTTTTTTATCTTGCTATAAAGCTTGTGCTGAGTAACCCATGTTGTGTACACTTCTTCCCCGGCTCATCTAGTCGCTGTGGATACTGTGAGATGCAGGCCTCCCACAAAAGGTATCGGACTTCGACAAAGTCACTCACGTTTTTTGTATTTTGGTTCTTGTTGGCATAGTCTGGGGTTAATTTGCCATCTGGCTAAAGACCCAGACTGCGGCTAAAAGCCTGCTGGAGCAGCAGAAATCCGCTTGCAAGCACCTGTAAACGCAGTAGCTCCACAGTTGCTAGAAGGTCATGATTTGCCAGCCACTAGGATGCTCATGGATGCGTCGATTAGGTCATGCCACGGAAAAGTATGACCGGCAATTTGAATTGGCATATTGTCGAGGAGTTGATCAGCCGATTGGGGATATATCTCGCTGTATACCCTCTGGATAAAAATTCCGAGTGCCCCATACAGCATGACTATGGTAAGGAGAGGTATTAAAAATGAAGCTCTATATAAGTAGAGGACGTCATCTGCTTGGAGAAAATATTGCCGCTCAAGCCTTTACGCAAGCCTTGACCTATCGCGCATGGCTCATCTCAACAGAAAGCATAGCAGGGGTTGGAGAGCCCAACTATAAGGATCTACGAACACCTTGGTATTTCGAGAGATATCAAACCTTAGTTGCCACGAGGCAGGGTGTAGGCAAACAACTGGGTTATTAATATTATACCTCAGGTCTATGCCTACAATCACATCAGATCATCGTAGGATGGGCAGTGCCTCAGCGACTACACAAACAAATAAACAGTGAGACTTCCGCAACTGAGGGCCAATCTAAAGGATCAAGAGGAACCGAGCTCAACCAGTGCGTCTTTGGCCTTTAAGGTAGAGCCAAATCGGAGTTTAGAGCCTGTAAATGCTGAGGCTCCGTCCACCTGCGCTAGCCTACTGTCTATAGCCAGCGATAGGAAATGCTCGAGAAGGCCCACGCACCGAAAAAGTCACACACAGCCCCACAAGAGCGCACTTGCTTTTATCGTGGGAGGTTGAGTCATAAATTCCCAAACTGCAAATGCATGCTAAAGGCCCAGGAACTCCAATAAAGGGACAATACTCAGCAGAAGCAGGAAGCTTGGCAGCCAAAAAAGACGCATAAGGAAAAGAGCAAGACCCCTGGCACGCTGTGGCGCAGTGCAGGGGGCTAGAGAGGATCGAGCCCCAGTTGAGGATCCCTTGTAGGTCAGTTATATATTGAAACTCTCGGAACTGTCCGCTGACTATGCCGCGCATGCAGGTGACCCGTGTGGAGGTGGACAATACATCGGAAGCCGTAAAAATGCTAGATTATAGGACAGTTGAGCTCTGAGACCAGACTACAGGAAAGGGTTTGGTCAAGCGTGTTGAGGAACACCAGTTTCAATGGCTCACGGGGGAGCAGGTGCGGAAGTGGCTGCCTGTGGGAGAACACGTGGCTATGTTTAGCTAGCAACACTGGCCACTATGGACAATAATTGTCGTGTTCCTTGCTGATTGTCCTTCCACAGAGCATGCCCTGCCCGATTCAGCTACTTGCATTTACAGATATTGCATGCAAAGCCCCCTGTTATATTGTTAAGATGCCATCTACACTCAGACTTATGCTTAGGTACTAACGCGCTTGTTGCCTTTAGGTTCTTCCTTGAGCTACTTAGAGGCTTTAAAGTTGATTGTGCTGCATACGCCAGCCGTACTTGCCTGCAAACATTGCTCGACGAAGCACAGAGGCACTTCGGAGCTAAAACATATTTGGATTCCTTGTACACATTTTACTGCCCAGTTTTCTGGCAGCAGAAAGCTCAAGCATTCCAGCATCCCCACAGCAGCGAGCCACCGCACCGCCTCAAGCGTGGTCGTTTAATTCCTTCCTCATCTTCGGATAGTGCGTGTGCATTCTACCAGTCAAATTCACATTAGCGGTTGAATCAGACTTTTGCTGTCCTCTTTTGCAGTGTTTTCGCTGTTCTGTCTGCCTGGAGAGTGATGATAGTGCAGGAGCTTTTTCGCTGTCCTGCATTCAGTTGGTCCGGATGTGCCGGTACACGACACGAAGAAGTATGCTTTACGATAGGTGGTAAGACGCAGCGGACTAAGTCCAAACATTTTCTGCTACTATTTTATACTTGACGAAGAATCGGTGAGAAAATGAATACTTGGCTGTCTACCGGAATACCTCATTTATTGCAAGCTAGCATTCGCTTGAATGCAAAAATATGCAACGCTATGTGCGTATGTGTATACCAGCTGCTATGTCTAAGTCGCTGTGAATGCATGGAGCGCTTTGAAGAAACAGCTACGCGCAGATATGCTGTCTCTCCCCTCTCATTTGTGAAATCTCTGAGGGTCGCGGGGAGGGAAAGGCAATTGTTTTTAGGAACGATTAATTATTTTCCATCAAGTTCTTATGGAGTGTGAAGTTACATGTCTATTCGCGGAGACTAAATGGGGCCTTCTAGAGTGAATCGCGTTCAGGTAGAGTGCCCAAGGCCCATGATGGTTCTCCTCGGAGTTATTCGGCAATTATATATTCGGGAACAAAGCTCATTGGACATGGGAAACCCCGGTTTATGGCGCTTACACATTGTGAGAAGGTATCACAAATGAGATGGTACCCACAACAAAAGTCGCTTCAAGCGTACCCATTTCTTCACACTTGTGCCTGCTTTTTTTTAATTTCTGCATTGCAGCTGTGCATATATATTGGTGGAAAGCCAGATATTTAAGGCGATACAGCTGGTGAGAAATGGAACTTTGCTGGTCCCTAATTAAATGAAGGCTGGAAAATGTTTTTATCTGGCTTCTCTTCCAAATGGGCGCGAAATACACACATTTGCCCCAAGAAAAACTTCGCAAGCCGTTTACCCCATTAATTGTCACAGAAGGCATAAAAATGTGAAAAGTGCAGGTGCTCCCTGAGTGGATACCGTTACTGGAGGTAGCTCTCAGCAGAACATCAGTGAGAGGTGAAGGCCAGTATGTGGGGGTCTTCGTGCAAAAGTCCCTCAACCAATCCTCCCGAACAAGATGTAGATATGCCGCTACGCTCAGAATTCCTCATTCTCCCTAAATATGATAAGATCGAAATCGCTGTATCTTGAAATACAATGAAATCCGTGCCCCGGTGAACTTTGTTGGATCAGAGGATCGTTCGGCCTTCAATGATGTGCCCAACGCAAAAAGTAGCGCCTCCCACCTATTTTTGCCAATTGACGAAATGTTATCACACTAGCATGTTTTTTAGTTCTTGATTGCAGTGCATTCACACCTTTCACACACTTGTGCATATCCACCTTGGGGGGTCCTGTCGTTCTCAGGCCTCATGTAGTGTGAAACCGCGAGCACTGTGGTCCTGTTAGTTGTCGCTTTGCTCCTTTCGTCATGTCCCTGTTTCAAAGAAAGAAGGAACAGACTATTGCATCCGCTGGACAACAGTAGATCCACAAGGTTTCGCACGAATGTGCATAGAGAACGACGCAGGCCCCCCCAGGAGACCAGGGTGTCAAGGCACTCTTTTCACCCGATTATTCTATAGAAGGTACGGATGTGTGGAATATATATATCAGATTTCTGTCCTATAACCAGCTACCAAGCCCATTCAACAGCCTTTTACACCTCCGTTGAGCATCGAGACCAGGCAAGGTCTTTCAGACTTTGGTTTCAAGTTACTGCCAGCAGCCAAAACTCTTCTGCGGAGCTAGAGGAATTTGTCAGCAAAGAATCCCGAGGAGAAGCCGGTCGAGACAGCTAGCTTTCTTGGAGGCGGAAAAGTATGACATGGTTGTGCAGTTTATTCCAAGCCGCGGGTCTTACAATAGTGGTGCTTCTGAGTGCGAATACTGTTCTCGAAGTACACAGTACCGGTAAGTCCAACCCAGGAGAAATGCACAATGGTAGCAAGGCGCCATTGTTGCCTCGCACACATCAGGCCATCCATGAGTTGTCTTGGAGCAGTCTTTAATTCAACGCGATGTCCAATGAGCCTTCTTTCTGATGCGACAAGCGCATACTATCCGAGAGCCTATGACAGCTTCCAGGGGCTTGAATGAAGCTTTGGGCTGTCATTATCTGTCATGTCGCACTGGCGTTGTGCAGATGCATCTGGACAGGACGCTCTTCGGGAAAGTCTAGAATATGTCACAGACTTTGCACCCCAAACGGCATTTTCCAGGGCGCTCGATAGCTTTCAGAATGCAGAGCTAAAGGGGCAGTCACGCTATCGCAGCTACCAGCCATGGATGTACTTACAGGTGTGCTCAGTGGCCCCCTTGCCACTTCGTATGGATGAGTGGATGAAGGGGGAGTGGCTAGGCAAAAACCCGGATCTTCTTTTTGCATCTGGTGTTTCTTAAACACGAATGTTGTCGTTGCATTTGTGTGCAAATGTTTCCCCTGTGGTTAGCTAGCAACCAGCAGGTCTCGTCGGAAGAAAACCGTCTTAACATCTAAAGATAGAGAGCTGAGGAGAGCGGCAGAAGAACGCAGAAATAGGTTAGAGGGACGCAAAGGTCAGCGCGCGAACGATGATGATGGCATGCGAAATTCGATAGACGAAGCTTCACCAAAAGATCGAAGAGCTTCCAAGCCTGATCAAACAGGAAGTGGCCCGTCAAGTTTGGCACTTCCTCGCCTTGGGACACCCACCTCGCCTGGGCCAGCTAAACCAAGCTCGCTGCCATCGCCCGTTGCCAAAGGATTTAAGGCTGTTTTAGATACAAAGCATAAATTCGAGCTATCCGATGATGAAACCCAAGAGGAGAAATCTAAGCCATCGCCCAGTAAATCACAGGTGCCAGCTGTAGCCGTAACAACACCTCCAGAAGCCCAGCAGCAACTGTCGGACCCCTCAAACGTCAAGCCAGAAGCAAAAAATGCGACAACTGTCGTGACTGCGGTGGTGCACCCACCTCCCCTTCCAACAAAACCTCCCCTTCCAACAAAACCTCCCCTTCCACCAAAACCTCCTGTTCCACCAAAAAAAGGCCATTCACAAGCCCTAAGTGATACTAACAAGGGAGCGTCACAAGAGCACGCAGATGGCCAGGCTTCAAGAGCTACGTCAAGTATGGTATCGCCTCATGTACCAAGCTCGGGTACCTCGTCACATGTTGCACGGCAAAGGGGTGTGGTAGCATCCGAACAGTTAGCTAATATAATAACACAGGAAAGTTCCAGCACGGAGAGCGATCAAGATGGTTTTAATCATAGGGCCTCCAGAAGAGGCTCGGGGACTACCCTAAATGCAGACGAGGAAGCACCTGAAGGTGATCAAGATTCTATCGCTAATCTTGTGAGGAGCGGTGTTGGCAAAGGTGAGTGATAATGCTGAAAAGTGCTGCCGGATCCCGTCTTTGTTGGCATTATATTGAATTACGGGGACTCAACTGAAAGTGGAAGTTTAACATGCCCACCACCGGTTCGAGCTCGCTTACTCTTTCAGTGACTCTTATTTGCATCTTGCCTGCTCTGGGGCTTCTCTACACTAGTATGGGCTGACAAAACGCGTAGTATGTACTGGGTTTTATTTATTGTGTGCAGATCTCTTAAATTGCATTGTAATGCCCCTGAGCTTTCATGACATGGATTCACGTGTTGACACATTCTGCCGCAAGCTAAAGCAAAAGCAGATTAGGTACCCGAACCATCCGCATCAAACTGCCTGCCGGAAGATGGCCAAGCATGTCGTTCTGCAGTTCCAACGCATACGCAACGAGTGCGAGACGAGCGTTTACAGTGCGTCCTAACAACTATACCGTGTCCAAAAGTATGCGCGCAGATTTCAGGCTATTTTAGTAAGGAACTTTAGCTTACTATACGACTATAGGTTTGCATAGTAACAATTCTAAAATTGTCACAGTTCATGTTTGCTTACAGGTTGTCTGAAGATGTTGTGGCTTTCGACCGTGACCCCTGGATTCACCAGATTTACAAATATCATGGGGCGTACGCCGCTTTCGTCGCAGAATCCTACAACAGGAGGCTCATTTTGTCGCATAGCAAACATGTCTATCAGCAAAAATCCTTGAAGATAGAAATCTTTTGTCAATTATACCAAAATATAATCGTCTACAGCACGGTAGTGTTGCTGTGGCACTCAAAGAAAAGCGAGGAGAAATGAGATTGATTATTAGGGCAGTGAATTGTCTCTGGAGCCATATTGCGTATTGCACAAAGGTTTTCTTGGCACTAACCGCTTTGTGAGTATTTATCTTGTGTATGCCATTTGAATGCGCTTCAGTTCCTGAGGTTGCTAGCGTCAGTGATGTTACGAAGTACATTATGGACGTGCTACAGCCTTCGAGTACCATGAAAAGCTGGCAGTACCCTAACTTGGAAACGAATGCTTGCATGTTCTCTCGAGGGTATTCGCGCATACTAAAGAACCATGAAACGAGCCCCGGCGAAAGGTTGATAGGCAAAGAATCGTCTTCACATGCCTCACAGCGACGGAGAATGGTGAGTCACTCCGTTTCGTTACTTGCAGTGATCCGGAGACATCTATACTGCAAAACCAAGCATCGCTGATCCAACTGCATAGAGAGGTGATACTGTAACTCTTTCCACAAGACAACAAGATTCGACAGAATGCGCCACGAGTGTGTATGATGGAGCAAAATACTTTTGCAGATCATCATCCCAGAAAACATGTTCTATGTCCTGGCCTCAGATGCTTACTCTACAGCTACTTTTGCTATTTTTACAGCAGCAACTCGTCGATCCAGCAATGATTGGCTTCTTGTTGAGCCTTTTTGAAATGCGCGAGTGCGATAAGATGCTGAAGAAGGAGCCGCGATACACGGTTCGTGAAGGCTTAATTGTTTCCTCCAGGGGGCTTTTCCAGGCATTGCTCGCAGACGTAGTGTCCGAGGCGTTTGTAATTGACTGGCAAAGGTGTAAAACTCCGGAAACAACTGCCATAGGCTCCAAGGCCAGCATTCTCTGTGCAAACCTAAAGGCAAACGCGAAGCTGCGAACCACGTTGTGGCCAATTCTTCAGCTTGTAGCTGCCCAAAAATGGCAGGCGGCTATGGAAAGGGCAGCAACCTTTACTAGCGAATTTGAAAAAGCGGTGGTTGAAGAAAATGAACTGCATGCTGCACAGGCAACTGTCAAGGTGAATGTGACAATGGCTGTTACCCTATGTAAGTTTGCTGGCACCTGTTTGCAAAGTCAATATACAAGGGAAGTGTGTGTAATTGGGGCATCTAGGACTGCCCTCTCGGCTTGAAATTTGTGAGGCAGGCTAAAACATGGATCAATAGGTTAAGGTGACACCGCTGTGCTCACGTTTTCTTTTGCAGTCTTCGGGCTCTCCAACTGGAAGGGGAAGCTACTCAGCTGGCTTTCTGGAAAAAGATTCATCGCATCAATACTGCGTAAAGTGTTGGGAGAAGTGGCTGCAGCAGTCTTTGCGGATAATGAAGCTGCAAGAGAGTTTGCAACACTCGTTAGAAGCGCAGAGAAGTACGCAGACCCAAGCACAGAGGCTATACTCGAGCATGCCCAAGTACTTATGATACCCATTACTGTTGAAGCTCGTTTTTACTGCCAAACTGGAAGTGCTGGATTGGGGAAAATGGTGGGTGACGCCTTAAAAACAAGCATTAGGTCTCTTGCCCGCCTACAGAAACGAGAAAGCAGAAGAGTCCAACGGAGGAAAAGCACTCGAAGTACTGTTGGCGGAGCCCAGGGGAGCCTTTTGGAGAGGCATGGCTCGCTTACCTCCGTATATACGTTTTCTTCACATCCACCTCAGCCCGTTCAAACTCCTGAAGTCCAATACAACTACCCCACCTCATTTCTCAGAATGGCTGAAGCCCCGCCCGAGCCGGAAAGAAGTGTTATGGAAGCCATTGTAGTTTCATTAAATCAATTCAACTTCAGAAAGATCCTGGCGAAAATCGAGGGTGCCAGCAAACCATTGTTCGAGAAAGCCAGCAAGATAAGGCGGTCTTGGTGGTCAACGCTTCTCAGAATGCTAAGGAATCTGAGGACATTGGACAAGGTACTACTGGCACTAGCTACGCTAGTGGTGCTTCACCTGTTCGTCATTAACTTCCTCTTCTCACTAGTGGCGGGTATGGTTTCTCATGCCATTGGCGCCTTTTGCGTGCTGATGGTCGTGCTCTTGCTGGTGGACCTTCTTCGTGAGCAACTCAGAAGACATGAAGCCACTAGAGAAGAAGGCGAGTAACTCAACAACAAAGGCATCGACGGAATGGGGAATTCGCTACGGCCCGTGGACGAAAGTGTGCCTTTCATGGTGCTGCTAAGTCTAACTTTTTGAACAGTCACAAGCAAACCATCCTCGCCGTAGCATCATACGGGATGTATCCTGCATTGCGTTCATATGTCGCTACGAAGCCGCGTATTTGCAATCCAGCCTGTCGACACAGTCGATCCAACGTTTGAGACGATGGGACCCTCCCGCCGATTAGCTACCGCAGAAAACCTACAGTAAGAGGTTGCTGAATTAAGTCTGGTGGCAGGAATTCTTTCAACGACAAGGTATTAGAGTGGGGAATTCCATGTCGAGGCGTAAATGCCGACACCCGTTTGGTATTTACAGCAGCATATTTGTGAGGAGACATGTGATTGCCAAACGCAGTCGGCTGTGCAACGGAAGGGGCACTGAACAATTTTGAAAATTGAGGTTTCTAAAAGGTTTTGTTTTACAACAAACTATATTATTGCTTCACCTAGTAGCTCCGGGTGGTAGCACTCCATTCTAGTTGCACATTCTTTATCGATCCACACTCCAAGCGTCGTCCTCAGCAAGCACTTCGTACAAGAGTTCACAGACAGTGGATGTAGGTTCTTTGCGGCTGGCATTTGGGAATAAAACACTGCATTCGCCTTGCTCTTTTGAACGAATAATAGTCGAGCTGAGGGGCGGCAACCGCCTACGGAGTGTCCATGCAGAGAGCTTTGTTTCGTGTTCCCGTGTTTTTCTGAATGACAGGAACTTCTTTCTACTGTCTCTATAAGCCTTCCACATGAGCGAAGTCCCGAAGGAACCCACGGCAAGGGCAACTACAAAGCTGCCAATCAGTAAATTGCCGGAAAACACTGTAAGAAGGCCAACACCAACCTTAACCGTAGACCATACGCAACCCAGCTGCAAAGCCAAGCACAGAACGCACAATAACAATTCACCAAGTAACCAGTTGTCCAAGAATTGAGCACCCAAGCGGGAAAGTATTGTGGTAAGGAGTACGGTATAGGCAGCTCAAACATGACTATCCTTTGTGTTGGAACTGCTGCGAGGATGTGCAGTCAATTAAACAGTGAGATGTCATGTATCTATTCATCCCCCCCTTGGACTTTAAATGCAAAATTGCAAAGTGATATTTACGTTGAATGCTCACCTCGGGGCCGCTAAGATGAACAATTTCTGTCAAATGGTGCTGTACCTCGGCAAAGGATGTCGCAGAGGTAAGCCCAACACTGTGCTTGAAAAGCGCGTGGCTGAGCACCTGAAATTCCTTAGTCACGGAACCTTGCAGTTGCTTCACGCAGTCAAGGAATTCTTGCAGCGAGCCAGTTACATCTTTTGTGCTTGCCTGTTCCTTGAAGTTCGTTAGGACGCCTACCGTATCTTGAAGTTCACGCGATTCAGTGATTTCTGTCTCGTTATTCATAGCTTCCGCTTCAAACCAGGCGTCCAAGTCTGCTCGATTCGTGTTTTCTTCGCTTGAAAGGCAGGCTTTTATAGATGATGATGAGGGTTTCGCTGGAGGGGCTATTGGCTTCCGCAAAGGGTGTTTACTAAGATTGGCTCGAACGAACTGCCAGAGCCTGCCATGATTTAGGATTAATGTGTACTGCTCGCTCTCTGGTTCATGGTTGATACGATTGGGGGTGGTGTGGTCTGAATTGACCCTTGCCCGTGGTCCCTTTGCGTTGCCCATCTAGTACAGAAGCCTGGTACATTGAAGCTGCTAAGCACATGCTGAAAAATGGTGAGGGTGCTGCGTGGCAACGATATGCGTTCGCAGCTGCATGTTACCGGCTACAACCACCTCATAAAATGAGACTGGATTGCCTTGTGGGGGTCAGCGGGGGGAGGAACTGAAGAACACAGTGAAATGGAGGGCGAATAAGACTACGCGCTACGGCATACAATCGTGCCTTGGAATTGTTGCATAACAAAAGGCTTTGAGCTGCCGTTCCCGATCCTCACAGAGAGCCAGTACATACACATAGCTGTGGGGCAGATGAAAGAAAGCAGCCCCTACCTTTCTCCTCATCACCTCATAACGAAGCGATTGATAGCGAGGAAAAGGTTTGATTTCCCAAGTAGAAAGAGTTCCAGGTGGAATCTAGAAGGCGCATAGGAAATTCTGAGTCAATTTGTAGATCGCCAGCACACACTTGTGAGCGATCCGCGTGGGTTTGAGTGCTTTAAAGCGGCTCACATCCTCCTGTTTTACTGTGTACGTCGGTAGTACACTCAAACTATTTATTCGGGCCAAAAAAATATGCAGAATTGCTCACTTTTGCAATTGTAACTCAAAGGATCGATGCCAAGACGGTGGCTGACTCACGAACCGCTGCTCCCTGTCGTTGCTCGGCTCCAGAAGAGCAGCACAACCATGTAACAAGTGCTACAAGACGAAATCTGGTTTTCACATCGTTTACAGTGTTTCTTTTTCCAAATTTCTCACACATCCCTTCTATAACTAGTCCTGTCAGCGTTGCCTGGCGACAAACTATGGCACGCCGAACCGTCAAGCAGATGCAGTGAAACCCACGAGAGAGAGCCCCAAGGAACAGTTTATTTTGAATTTGCCTCCGAAAAATCAAAGCCCGGCACACGGGAATGAAGAAACCTCTGCTAGGATCGTTATAATTCTCGGTTATCGCTAGGCCCGAAGGCTCCAGATTCACAGCAACTATGCTTACTCAGTATATTTGTATGCATAGTGCTTATTGCCCGAGTTTAGGCTTTTAGTCTGGCCACTGTGACTTGCTCGGCTGCTTTATAGATGGACCTAAGGTTGAGCCCCCCCGCCGCTATCCTGGTATGTGCTTGACTTATCAAATTTAGTGGTTGCCAGTGTGTGTATGTGTTGTGGATTACACATGATATCTAGCTGTATATGCAACTTTTTTTGGTTTAGGGTGCGAACAGTACTACTGCATGTCCAACGGTCGCGGGCTCCGACCACCTAGTATTCCCTTGCCAGGAAAGCATGCCACTGCAGGAGATGTAAAATGCAAAAAGGCCAAAACACTACCCTTCATAGGCAAGTCAAAAGCAGTCGTAGTATAAGAAAGTACGGACTCAGCAGAAGTGCAGCAAGAGAAGGCAGTATGTATAACACTTTTGAAGGGTCTTCGTTCAAAGGCACTTTCCCACAAAACCAATGCGACACTCCATTGAAAATTCCTATTGAAGACCTCTCGTTCCGTGCCCGCACCATAGAGGGTTTCAGCATGAGGGGGGAGGGACAAGCAGTGTGAGCGTTGCTACACCTTTCTAGCATCCAGACTTTTCCACCCGGTGGCACATAGCAACTTGACAAACCGCTAGGTTACGCTAGCTCTAATAATCAGTGAACTTTACCCTGCAGCGAACTGCGTATGAAAATCACCTACCCAATCGATCCTAAACCAATTTTTAATCAAGTATGGCCAGTGTACTAGAAATGCAAGAAGCACAGCTTAGCCGGTTGCGTTGTGCTTGCATCTGCACGTTAAACCTCCAGGTATGGCTGCCTTGTTTGTTTTCGCTATCTCGGTTACCTGGGTGCAGCGTACTAAAAGCAGGCTTTTTGTTCGAAACAATCAGCCGCAGCCCTATACTCAAGACAAAGACGCTGGCCATTCACACTATCTTTCCACAAATTGGCCCTGGGCTAGTCAGAAAATTTAGAGCCATTAAATTCCACATGCCCTTACCCCATCAGGCTTTCCCTTAAACCCCCCTGAGTTTGGTTGTAGCAGTTTGACTCACATAGAATCTCTCCAAAACCACGAGAAGCGATCTCTGTTAGTTTTCTTGTCAAAATGTTATCACTCACACCAGTGACTGTGACTTCTCTGCTGCTGAATATTTCGCCACTACTTCGGTTCAAGGTAACACAAAGGTTATACTTGCCAAGAATGGGTATTCTCACTCTACCGCTTCATTCAGTATAATCAAAATATCGCAATAATTTAATCAGGGAAAACCTGTGTAATTCGATCTAGCCGCAGCCAGCAACTAGGACGAACATGATAGCAACAAGGGCTACTGTGCTGCTTCATTGCTTGCTTCTTGTATATTGCTGCTCAAGCTGGAGACAAGCAAGAAGTGGAATAGGCCCCTGTAAAACTGGAGGTCCGGTTGATGGGTAATCAGATTTACATCTAGCCACCACAAACACAGCCGAAAAAGGAGGAAGACATGACTCTAATTAGCTTGTCTTACTAATTCCCAAACTTCATTAAGCGCCACCATTTTGCACCCTTCTCCTATTTATATCCATTCTGATTCATACAAGTTCCTGCACATTTTAGTGTGCCTCCCTACAGAGCACCCCGCGAGCACACATGTGTTGTGGTTCACTCGGCTTCACGGTTGATAGGTTCTTTGCGCTGCCTTTTCGATATGCAGACTCTGGAAAGGAACGCAACCAAATAGGAAGCAAAGCTGCATTATTGTCTTTTTGGAAAAGGCTTCCCTGGTGCAAATGGTAAAGCTAGTAAGACACCAATCTGTCTGGCACTGAAGAGCCAAAAAGGTCCCAGAGCATGAATAAATTCCTTGTCAACTTTCTATCGTTATATGACAGACACAGGAGGCATTTCAGCCCTTAAGTTATAAGGAATCGTTCGCTATAGCGGCAGTCGTGATGAAACTCGAAAAGTCACCATGCAGCCTGCGCTCCAAGTAAATGGAACTCTGCATTATCAACACATATTGCTACTTGAACGTTGTTTTCTGGATGCTAGCGTTTATCTGCCATTAAGTTACAAGAGCTCACAATTGTGATCAAAGTGTCTACTATTGCTGCATGTCCATAACACAGCGGATACATTCCGTCCGTTTCAGCAGATCAAATGCCTCATTAATCTGGGAAAACTTCATGCGATGGGTACAATATTTTCCCAATCTGAAAAAACGCACTTCGCATTCAACAGCATATTGAATGACCTCTACAATAGCTAAATGCTCTAATTTATGAAAAAAGGTGCCCATTTAAACAAGAGAGAGGCAGCTTGAATTACGAAGATCAAATGATATGCCTGTTTTTGTGGGTGCTTACTTCAGTTCTCCGTTGATTACTTTCTCTGCAAGCTTGGGAACATCGTCACGAGACCTCCAGCCACCGAAAACAGATCCCTTGAGCTGCCTCCCAACAATGAAGTGATAAGGGCGGGTACTAATCTCTTTGCCTGCCTCACCGATGCTGTGAACGCACAGTCCAGTCTCCCACAAATAAACGCTCACGACCCGATTTTACCCCCAAAAGCAATAGGCATTGACGCGAACAAGGCATAAGCCTCCTTGCTAGCCTAGTATCTTCATTCATTGTCCGACACAGTTCAACCCGATTAAGATTAAAAGTAAACATGCCATTTTCCCTTCCCCTGTAAAGCGTGTGACATGCACTATGAACGCGTAGAAAGGGGCGAGCGAGTTTTGGGAGCAGACAAACCCCACGATGACGGCGAGGCCCCATCCCTTGCAAGTACTCTCAACGGCATTGCGCATGACAGTTGTGTTGCCGGTGCACTCGAAGGCAAAGTCCACGCCGCCTAGAGTCAGTCGTACATCCACCCACAAAGCCAAAATACAGACAGTCCTGCCCTTGACATACACGAGCATTACATGGCATGCTTCTAGTGTGTTTCAAAGCAACGTGTGCATGCTATTCAAGTGCGGAGTTTGTGAAGCTATGTCGTACGGAGCACACTCATGCGTATGTGAACCTCACCATTGGTCATTTCAATAATAACATCTTGAATTGGCTTTTCGTAATTCTTTGGATTTATGAATTTTGTCCCTCCAAAGTCCTTTGCCATGGCCAGTTTGATATCGTTTATGTCCACACAAATGATCTCCTTAGCGCCAGCCAGGTGGGCTCCTTCCACGCAGGCCAGTCCAACACAGCCGAGGCTGTACAACCGCACAATGCATACCCCAAACGATATATTCCTATGCCTAGATCAGAAGCAACTGTGATGTAATTCTCTTGCTTCTATTTTGAGTGAGCAGAGCGCTAAGGGGTAACATAAACGGAAGTCTATGCAGTATAGAGGCGCAGTAATGCAGCGAGTGTCCTATGGAAAATAAAGCAGCCTCCAGTGTTCTCTTAAGAATTAGACACAGGCTAAGAGCATAGTATAGAGGGCACCCCCAAGAATTACATGTAAAAATCACCCGTAGACAGCCACTGTGGAGCCTTTCTCGACCTTCGCTGTATTCATAGCTGCTCCCATGCCAGTCGGCACTCCGCACCCTAACACACACATCTGTTGAGAGAGGTAAACACCAAGACCAAATACATAAATAGAGCTAGGTGTGGGCACATAGTCTTTGCGGATATTTAGGCGGGAAGTACTGAGGGGCACTCGCCCTCGCTTTAATATGCATTTTTCGGTATGCGATAATTGGATACACCTAATCGCCCCTTTAACTGTGAATAGAAGATACGGCAGCAATAATACTTGCAGTACCAGCAAACAAAAAAGAGGATAGCGAGGGGATCATTAACTGACTTGGTCCATGGGGCTATCATCCGGGATAACGGCAACGCACTCCTGAGGCACCACGGTGTATTGTGAGAAGCTGCAGATAGCCAAGAAATCAGACCAAACAAGGACATGAAGCCGTCAGACCTAATCAAAACCGAATACCACGGCAACGGTAGGGAATAGTAATCGCACATGCTGACTGTCATCTAATTTGTCAAATTTTTGTAAGATCTTGCTGGGTAATGTCATATGAGCTCAAAGCCTGTCTTGTATTCGACAGTCTAACCTCTAATAATGAGTTTGAAACATGAAAGCTTCTATGAGGTTGTTTGAAAATGGGATAGATTAGTAAGCAAAGAGAAGTACCAGCATCTTTCACAATATTCTACAGAAGCCAACATGCTTCCAGCGTTACTGAATGTAGTCTGTACCTTGATGTGCCCATAAAGTGGTATATCGATTGTCCGTCTTTGGTGGTAAAACGTGAGGTGTTGTCCAGAGGCATAACACCCTTAACAAAAGCGTCGAGAAATTTGCCGCACATGTTAGTCTTTTTGCACTCATAACCCCGGCAAGTCCTGCACTTTCCCTCCTTTCGATCATCCGGGAAACACTGGGGCTGTGCACATACGCAAAATCTTATATACTGAGTAACAATGCACCAAGCACGATATACGCAATAGCAAATCCGTAGGTAGGTTGAGCTCAGCATCAAGCTTGAGACAAACCGTTTCACACGGACCTCCCAAAGAGGGATGACTTTTTGCCCTGGTTTGCAGGTCGTTACACCTTCGCCGATAGACTCAACCTGCCCGCATGACTCGTGACCCAAAATGCATGGATATACTGCGGTAGGATCGACGCCTCTTTGGGTAATCTGCAACAAGCAACGCAGGCTAAGCAAAAATGTCCAAAGTCCCCTAACCGAGAGTTGAAAGCTGGGGCGTCATCATTCAGTGTGGAGCACAAGGCTTGCTTGCATGGCTGTAGATCGCACAAAGAAGAGGAATACAGCTTACTTCGTCCGTGTGACACGGACAGGCGTAGAGTATCCTGATGCGAACCTCTCCCCTTTTCGGTGGAGCGACATTGACCTCCATAATCTACACTCAGAGCTCAATAGAACACACAGTCAAGTCATTGAAGAGCTAGCTGGACCGTGATAGGACGAAAAAGCAGGTAAACGCGATCAGAAAGCACTTTCTGCTGTTGACGGGTTTGTGTAGCGTTTGGCAGGGGTTGTTTAGGATTACAGATGGTTTGCTTGTCGTGGCGCATAAATGAGTAAAATAACCATAGAAGGAGTTATCTGGGGAAAAGAAGTAGATAAACACACCTCGAAAGGCTGACCCGCGGCCATGACGACTGCCGCTTTGCAGACGATTGTCCTAGGCTCCCCGCTCATTTTTAGTCTGTGTGTGCGTATGTGCTGCAAATGTGACACTACGAGAAATACTGAGGCAAACCGAGCCCTTAATATTCGCCGGAAGGATCAAAGTGAGGAACACGTTGGTGGGTTCAGCGGGGGGCGCGGTAGGACACCCTCGTAGTCATTGGCTCTACCCGGGCGAGCAGAGCACTAACACAGGCTACGACATTGAAATGGAAGAATATACTCGCTGCCTATTCATACTTTGCACTTTTTCAATCGCCTGATAACCCTCAGTTCGGTGTGTCACCATACTTCCGGGGTTCAGGATAATGTAGAGAATGACGCTCAACGCGGTCAGGATATGTGCAAACAGTCCAGGAGCTACTATGTTTTTTCTCATCCAGTATACCACAAGCCATTCATTCGAGTGAGCATCCACTTTGTAATCATTGTTGATAAAGTATTGTAATCCCGGCTTGGCAAATGGCAGAAGGCAATGATGGCATTCGGTTGAACATCTCGAGTCCAGGAGAAGATGCTGAAGCGCTAGGGTCCGAATCAGCCAAGCGTGCAAACTGCGCCAATGATACCAAAATATGAAAAGACTGAAGGAACTACCCATGTTAAGGGGGAATAAGTGGGCGGAACTCAGCATTTAGAAGATAGGCACTCGAAAAAATATCAAAATTGTGGAAGGTATGCACGAGCTTTAAGGGAACCCAACGCATAGGGAATTTGTCTATCCTTTCATAAGGTGAAGAACTCTACTATTGTAGAAAACTGCGGTACAGACCAGATGAAAGAAAATCTTTTTGCCCCAATTCGAGAGCCCTCAAGTTCACGTGAGACAAGATCCCATTAGCAGTGCATTATTGAAATACAATATATAGGATCATCAGTAGTAGTCAGTGCAAGTACATCTGTCAATTGTGCAAGGAAAGGCTTCTTAGATTTTTCCGAGTCCGTAGGATATCTGCAGCGGGATGAACTGCACGTTAGCCTATTCTACTACCCCGGTTACACCTAACTAAGAGTTAATAAATAATTGACTAGCTGGTTTTTCTCTTTGTTATCTCGTTCATAGCAGGTAGCGTTAGCTCTGTGCAACAAGATAAAGTGCTCTATGAGTGTGCTTTAGATGACACTTCCTTATAGTTGTAAAAGCTTGGAACGCTTACTGAGTGGAGCTACGCGTGCATTAACTTCCGCTCTTCCCTCATTTGGGAATCCCTGAGAGGTTCAAGAAGGTCAAGAAAGGAACTCTTTTGGATTGGAGAACACTCAATACCTTTTATCAACTGTGCATTGAATCTGTTTTTAGGCGACGCCCATTGGACCTCCGATGCAGTGCTACAGTCGGTGGCATTGCGTGGTTCCTGTAGCTCTTTCCGGCTCATCCACTAGCTGTAGACACACTAGAAATTCAGCTTCCCCAACGGACCTTGTCGGGGTATTAGCGCCATTTGGAATTTTACCAATCTGATTGTGTTGGCAACAAGTTCGGGGGAAATCATTTGGCGATGAAAGTAAATGAAGGCATAAATGCCTGCATGGTGTTCTAAACGCAGTAGCTCCACAGCTGGTAATAATGCATGATTAAATATGCTGATAAACAGAAGGTTGTACAAGCATTCGAAAAGTCATCACCCGAATGGAGATGTATTTCGCTTCCTCTTCTTGAGGGGAAGCCCCATGAGGGCTCGCTTCAGTATGACGAGTGGAGGCAGGAATACTTTAATAATGGCTCTATTCATGCGGAAAACAAACATTCGCCTATCGAAATAATGCAATGCAAGCCTACATACAAGCCCTAACATGTTTATGCAGATCTCTGTATAACAGCAAGCTCCGATAAAAATAAGGAAGCTGAAGCAAAGAAAACTATTAAGAAATCGAGTGAGATAATGAACAACTGGTCAGCGAAATCCACGACGTAGACGAACACCTGTTTCACCAACGGTTTTTTTAGGTATTGTCAAAGTCCCACGTCAGATGCTCGGAGGATGGGTACGCGGCTGAGGCATTGAACAACCGATGAATGGGCTTCTCACAAATGATGGACTCCTTAAGCTGAGCATCCAGGAGCACATGGGAGCGGCCTCTGCGTCTTTAGCGGAGGAGGAGGAGTCAACTCCAAAGTTAAAACCTGTGGGTGGCGGAGCGGCGTCGACGGCCTAGGCTGCACTCTAATTCGGAGCAGAGGCAAGCACGAAGGAACTCGCTTTCCTAAGCAGTCTCGGGCACCCCTCCAAAGAATACCTGCTTCTATTGTGAAATAATGGGTCGTATTACCCGGAGTTGTAAGCGCATGCAAACAGCCAAGGACCTCTAACAACGGGGCTGGGTCCAGCAGAAGCAGGAAGCTTGGTTAGCAAACAAGGCGCATCAGGGAAACGGCAAGTCCCCCACATGCCCTGCGCCGCATTGTAAGTAGCTACAGACGATACAACCACATATGGCATTGTTGCACACCCCACTGCGCTGCATGTAGTCCCTTTCCCATTGTTCGCTTTTGGTAAAGCGACCAGATTAGCAAGCAATAATTCAGTACTTCGAAAGCCTGTTGCCTGTTAGAAAACAAGAGAACTTCACCAGCGTCTATGTCATCGGCATTGGCGGCTCTAAATTAATAGGACTTCTAATCAGACAGCAGGAATACCGCAGGAGTTGTAGGCCACCCGAAAAGCGTCATTGGTGCGGCACCAGCCCCCGTTGTTCAGGTCGTAGCCTATGCTTTCCATGCCATATCAAGTAGAGGAACAGCGATCCGACCAAAGCCAGTAGTGAAATTTCCAAAAGATGCGAGCCCATAGAACAGTGCAACGCCCTTGATGGTGGGCAAAGATCAAGGCCACACCTTGATAACTCTAGTTTTTCGGAACGCGGATTCCCAGGAACACACTGGTTTCACGAAAATCAAGCACTTTCTTGCCTTCACAGTGCACTGCTTGATCCAGAACAGCTGAAGCGCACGTCGTAGGTACTGTTCGTGCTTTCGAACGATTGAAATCCAAGGCGTCGTCCATGCAGGCAGCTATAATCCCTCCCTCATACGCTTATTCCTTCCGATAAGCTTGAGGCGCGCTACATCTGGGGAAATCGCAAGCACAAACTTCATCGAGGTTTCCTACAGTTTTTGAGTACGACTGGGGAACGCCGTTTTGTGCCTGTCATCAGGCTGAGTGGGCATTTGTAGGAACGTAATCGTCAATTTTCAAGCGGACTGCTAATTCGTGCAATCTGCCTGGCACTTTATTGGTATAAGACGCATTCAAGTTCTGCTTTACGATGGTTTTGCTAGGAGCTTGAAGGAAGCGTACTTGCGCCACCTTTCGTGCTTCGTCGACACTAACACCGACTTTTGCTCGAAAGCACTTATCGATTCCTGCACTTCCTCTTTTTTGACGAACCATCCGGCTCCCGCTCAGTCTTCACGCCATGGGCGATCCCAGCACCGCGGAACACACCTCGGGGCTGACTTGGGAATAGCTGAATACGCCATGCTCGATGACCCCTAGGACAGCCTGCCGCAGCTCGTTACTATTTGGCACATTCGGGAGCAGCTATATTTGCCTATTCTCACTGTTAGTCGGCTAAAATTCCTGTTGAACTCCCTACCAAGAAACGATTTTATCACAAAAGCCGGGATTTGTCTAAAGGCGCCCGTCGGTCCCGGTGCTTTGCCTCCTTTGAACAAACATCTGGCACCCGCTCGGTCATTTACTCATGTAGGAGGGGCCTTCGATACTGCCAACGGTGCTGACCGGAGGATTGGCTTAACAGAGTGCTCTGGACGACCAGCAGATAGCCCGCTTGCTGGCATCTCGTCATTACTGAGCATATTCGCAAACTCCGGCTTGAAATCTGCCCATTTTCGCCGTTTAGAAGCTAAACCGCCTATTAATATCTTTGAAAAAGAAACAGTCGCACAGCCCCCAAGACAAAAATCAGGCGCAGTGGTCTCCTCTTAGTGCTCTGCTGAGCCTTCGCATGGGCTCTGTCTAACCTTGTTGTGCTGTCGACCACTATCCCGCTCTCCCCAGTTATAATAAGCGTTCTTGAGATGACTAAAAGTTGCCTTATTCCTACTGCTTCTCGGCGCGTGAACATTCTTCGCTGAAATCTGTAATTGCATGCGCGCCTTCAAAGGGGCCACCCATGGCATACCTTGCATTATGTCATGGTGAACGTGTCTAATATGGAAGTAATGGACCATGCAGCTACAAGAAACTTTTGAGTTGAAGTTAAGCTCAGCCGCCGTAGCCTTGCCCATCCTTTTCTCCCGCCACCCTTCAACAAGCTTGCTCTTTAGGGGTTCGCTGATGGGTGGAGCGGCAGATTGCACTTCTGCGCCGATTCCTCAGCTAACGCATTTATTTCGCATCCTTAATTGAGTAAAGCTAGCAGTTCTTGATAGTAAATATAGACGTGAATCAACTCAGCGCATTATAAGTCGATGGGGAATCATCTATTGCGGCTCTGTCCCCTGTAGTTGCCTGCAATGCGCCGCAGCCTGCGTGGAGGACTTGCCGTATCCCTAATGCGCCTCCTTTGCTCACCAATCTTCCTGCTTCTACTGGGCCTAGTCCCGTTATCAAGGCTCACTGCTTATTTTGCACGCTCTTGCGATTCCAAATCATAAAACCCAACAATGTACCGCAATATAAGCAAATGCATTCTGTGGAAGCTGTCTTTGGATGAGTAGGAGTGCGAGTGTCTTGTCGCGTCTTCTCCATGTTCATCTTAGGATCTAAGCTAAGGCAGCTGACAAGGCCTCGATATCCATAGACATGGAGTTCAAAGTGGGCTACTCCTTGTCACATAAAGACGTAGGGTTGTGCCCATGTGATCTTAAAACCTCAAGGACTCTATCACTTTTGAAAACCCCACTAATCGCTTGTGTTATCGCCGAGTCGCGTCCTCTGAGCACCTTACGTCGCACTTTAAGTAGACCTGAAAGAAACCACTGATGAAAAAGGATTTCGTCTACGTTGTAGATTTTGCGGGTCAAACCTTTATTTTCCTTGGTATACGGATCTATGAGTAGATTCTTATGCTTCAGCTGTCTCAATTCTCTCAAAGCTGGTTGTGGAACTCATCTCAGCATAAACAGATGGATCGTGGGTTAATGAAGAATTAAATTGTACTTTTTCTATGAAATCAACAGCTTCTTCTAAGTGGTTAAAGTCATCATTGAAGTTCTATAAAAATATGCGGTAACGGGCACTCGCCTTCGCTCATCGCTGGGGTACGAATGGCAAGAGTGGGTAAAAGAAGAAGTCCAGTCGAAGCCGACAGTGGCAGTGCTCTCGCTACAGGCTGCGATACCACGCTGATGAAACTTTAGAGTGCTTGCGCAACGTTAGACCGCCACACTTTCCTGGTCGGCATAACATTACTGGCATATCCATAAATGTTATATGCCATGGCAAAATCTGCTTTCGGCCTGTTGTGAAGTTCCTGCCTTCATTTCAGCATGCAGTTAGGCCTATGATGCCCTAACATGAGCTGCACTTGATCTACCTTCATTACCAGAGGGTTTCCCCCTTGCACTCATGCCAACAAAAATCGCATGGCTGAGTGATAACGTGAATCTGGCACAAGCCCGACAGTTTTTGTAGGGAAACCTTACTTCCCAGTGCATCGGTAGCGTGTGAACGGGGGACGGCTGCATTGAGCCATGCAGTGCTGCTGATTTCAGCTCTCTACTTGAGGTTGCAGTGGGGCACTCAACTTCAGACCTAATACAAACTTGATCGCAACTGATTAAAACTTTTCCGACAGAGCTCCCGCCTTCCCTTATAACACCTCTCATTGTCCTTGGCACGACGGGGTAGTGCTAAGAGGATGCACATAGCTGTACCCTCTTGGAATTCCGAGCATTCACGACTACATGCACGTAGCAATTCGCGTATACGCATATGACATTGCGCCTTACTGGGTTTTAAAGACACTATTCTGGAATAAGGAAAAAAGCAAACAGACAAATCAATCAGTCAATGCATTGCTAGTTCTTAAAAAATATGACGAGGGTGGGAAAAGATGTTCTAGAGGTTAGCCCATTACTTTGTTACTTCACTCGTACAGCAGTAACAGCTTTTTCGTGTGTCTAGCCGTCCATGCTCAACGGCACATAAAATAGTAGAACGGCCTAAGAGTGCTTTCAATTGATTTTCCATCCACAGGAAGCTTGTTTGCTGGTACGAAGGCAAGAGTATAAAGCTTGCTTTGCCGAATGCACTGTGCTGTTCATGCATGTCATCACCGAGCCAGCAGTGCAATTCACACTACTCAATCTCACATTACAGAATCGGCCTAAAAGGCTAGCTGTATCATCGATGGTCTACAAATAATTCTTCGAAGAGCCTTGAAAGTCGATCTAAGAAACAAGAAGCGCCCCCTTCCTCCTGCAACTTTGCGCAGCGTGCGTCACGGTCGCAAAGCGCTGCGCTGCATGCTGCTGCCTCTGCCGCTTGCCTGTCTTTCCGATAATTTAGGTTTACTAGTGCCGGATCTAGTGTAAAACTAAAAATAGCGATTAGCAGAGTGTCTACACGCGGCCTTCAAGCCTTCCTTTGACTCTCGAGAGATTTTTTTCGAGCTTTTTGCGCACTGCCTTGCCTGCCGCGGAATCTGATACCCCCTTTTCCGGAAATGTGGGGCTTAATATCGGCTTCAACGGCTACTGGAGCACCAGGTTATCGCTCCTTTTTCTTACGGGCCTCCGCAGTCCTCCCTAACTTCCAGACGTTTCGGCACAGTAGCTCCAGCAGCAATACACACAGCAGCAACAGTCGCAGCACTCTGACCTTCCGCATTCATCGCTACGATCCAGAGAAGGGCGGGAGGCCTCGCATGCAGGAATACACACTCGACACATCGACTTGTGGGCCCATGGTGCTGGATGCGCTTATTGCAATCAAGGCCGAACAAGTAATCAACTGTGCATTGCCAGTGTTTACTGCCTCGCAACTGGAGTCGTGCAACACTCGTATATGCTATGGGAGCCTCTCGCTATGCATGCATGAGGGGCATTCTTCTTGACGATGGCTCGGTTGCTGCACTGCAATTGAGGAGCACTGTTGCCTCTGCATCGTACTGTCGGCAGATTCAGATTGTGTGCCATGTTTCCCGCACCCCTTCAAGAGAAAGCCATTGATATATTATGCCCCTGTTTTTGGTGCTGCGACTGCGGCTACGACTGCATCCTTAGGACCCAACTTTGTCCTTTCGTCGGAGTTGCCGCGAGGGGATTTGCGGGTCTTGCGCGATGAACATTGACGGAATTAACTGCCTCGCCTGCCTCACGCCAATTCAAAAGACACACCGCACTACTCACAGAAAGCCGACTATAAGTAAGCATTGACAGCATGCATGTATGCGTACAATTCTGTCTCTTTGTATAGCAGGGAGATTTTCTGTTGCGTTGCTCCACACAACTGCGTATAGGAGAAGTGTGAGTTGCGCATGCGCATGCGCGTGTGCGCTCAAGTTTGCATGTGTGTGTTGCTTTTTCTGGGACGTAGACACAACAGCTCAACGCGTCTGTTGTCGTGAATCGATGCACATTGTCTGCCGTTTTTGGGCACGTGCTGTGTTGATGCTGTTTTTCGGGAGTACCTCTGCGTCTCGTACAGCCTGTTCACATCGCTGTGCCTTGCTCCACTTTCACCGGATTACTTTACTCGATGCGTCTGAGCACTTGAAATGGGCATAGATTTCCATTGCTTGCCTGAGATGTTGCTGTTGCTCGTATTTGTTTGCAGAGGGCGGCACCCTGGGTGCAGTAGTTGGTGCAGTAGAGAAGAGCTTGGAAGAGTACGACAAAATGCAGGGACCTAGCACAGAGGAACACGCAGATCACTTTGTCAACGATGACGATAGCGCCCCTGTGGATATTCTTCCGCTTCCATACGCGATGGTTTTAAGGGACCTGGTGCCGGATCTTACCAACTTTTATACTCAGTACAAGTCCGTGCAGCCTTGGCTGCAGAGGAAGACACAGCCCGTGAGGGAGCCGCAAATACCACTTTGGTAGCTAGTATGATAAGCTTGCAGGGTATTCAAGGCAAACCTGAGGAAAACAAAGAGCATTCATAGATGCGGTGCATCGTAGCTTGCAACGAACGGGACACGCTGTGGTTTGCAGGAGCTTCATTTAACCGTGAAAATGCTTTCTGCATTTCCGTGCTTGAGCTTCAGACAGAGGGCACGGAAATTCTGCAGTCGATAGAGGACCGCGAAAAGTTGGATGGCCTGTACGAGTGCATCTTGTGCGCCTGCTGTTCAACTTCCTGCCCTTCTTACTGGTGGAACCCTCAGGCCTATCTCGGGCCAGCAGTTCTCCTCCAGGCCTTCCGGTGAGATAGCAATCGTATAGTTAAGAGATTGTAAGGAGGTAAAAGGGGTGAAAAGCGACACAGATTGACTGGCAGAAGGCTGTGGGAGAAGCGCCACTGTTGCGTTTTTCAGCCTTGTGTGCTCGCCTCAGCGTCAATTGAGCACGCCCTAGTGCTTGTAATCTCATGCTGGTCCTTGATGGGGTCGGTAATAGTGATATACTGTTATGTCTTTTCGTGCATGTTTGCTTGGTCAGCTGGATCAGCGACAGCCGCGACGAGTTCACTCGCGAGCGCCTCGCCCAAATAAATGACACCATGAAGCTTTACAGGTTCGTGTGCTCTCTCTAGTCTTATTTGCAAACGTTTTGCTTTGTGTTTTTATTTTGCTGGGTCAATAATCCCTACGTGTCTCTGTCTCTGGGCCGTTTGCTAGCCGGCCTATTCACATGCCTCTTTGTGTTCCAAATCCTATTAGCATATATTGTTTAACTGCTCAATTCTCTGCGATGGTGCTGTTCTTGCGTAGTTGGTAAAGTTTACACACAATGTTTAGCCGCCTGAATGCGTGGAGATTTGTGGAAGTGTTTGTCGGAGCCAGTGGTTTTCTGGTTGCATTACTTTTACATAGTGGGAGAAATCCAGTAAGGAATGGGCACATGATGTACTGCTGTCGATGGCGCACCGCGCCACCTTTAGAGTGTGCATGCACTGTGGTAGATTGTAACCTTTGTTTTTGCCCCTGGGCGTGGTACGCCTCCGCACGGGCCTTCTCACTTTCGCCGAGGCGCTTCTTGTAAAGCAGGCACTTTAAACGCACAAAGTGTGCAGTAGTGGCAGTCAAGACACCGGCAAAAGTAGAACAAGCGCTCACATACAGGGCGATACTGACCCTAATGTGGAAAGCTATTACAGCAAATCTCTTGTCTTTGTTAGAGCCAGTCTAGCCTTGTATGGGCACCTGTTCGCACTTAGATATTTTGAAACATGTTTTCTTCGCCTTTTCACTCGTCTTATTCTCAGGTGCCATGGGATCATGAATTGCTCGATTGCCTGTCCAAAAGGGCTCGACCCTGCAGGTACGTTTGCTCAATTAATCAACCTTTTTTTTGGTACACGCCTCCTTTGTGTGTACGCACGCAGTAGCGTGTCCTCTTGTTTATTCCTATGCTGCTGCGTTTTCTGCTTGTAGTTCTTCGCACCTTTGTGTCTCCTATCATGTCCGTGCACTTGTCTGAATTGTAATGTCTTCTTTGTCAATCATATCTATTCTTAGGGGCTATAAGGAAGATGAAGAAGCAGATACAAGAGGAATTTGGCACGGATTTTGTGCAGCTTGCTGCCCAGGCAGCCCGCGCCCGTTCTGCGGAGCTGGCGAAAGAGCTAAAAGCGGAGTCTTGATCAAGAAAATGGAATGGGCTGTTCCACATTTTTCAGCTGTTTGTAGCTGTGTGTAGCGATTTATAACGATTTGAACGTGCAGCCTCGGTAGGCGGTGGCGATAAGAGGACGCGGGGAGGGGGGAGACACAAGAGGACGCGCTTGAAGAAGTAGCTTCCAGCACTCTGCGTAGTTCAGGGACGAGAATCCTTACGCAAAGGAAAATGAAAGCGCCCTCTGAGCGCTGAAGCACTGCCGAAGTGTAAATGTATTTGACCCTCGCTCCCCTTTATTTCTTCCTCCCTATTATCAAAGTTTTGTTTCAGTAGACGTTCTGGGGGCTACCAAATGCATCTGCCCACCACCCTGACCATTCCTGTATGCACATGGCTGTCTCTTCAAAAGCTTCTTGTGTATTGCTGTACCGCACTTCCTGCTGTCCCCCATTCTTACTCACCAGTCTTATCAAGCGGCTTAGGGTCGCTTGCGCCAGTGGATGATGGAAGGGAAAGGGGGGTGAGACACGCATCGGGATCGCTGCAGTCGACATCCTGCACATTTCCGCCCCATCCTTTGTAGAACTTCTTCCATCAAAGTCTGATTTGAACCTCCCACGCTGAATGGGACATATCTGCATACCTTTAAGAATAGTATCCGCCTATGTGACCCTATGCAACTTGGACCTACCCCCTTCCCAACAATAATGGAGTCTACGGCGTGGAACAACTGTACCGAGGCGTAGTCGAACTGCCCCCCTTTCTTCTGCACAGCTAATGTCGCGAAGTGTACTGAACTAAGCCCACTACTTTGGCCAGTCTGTCCTATTTCTGGAAGCCTGGTTCCCCGGAGAACAAGCGAAGTTGCGTCGACTCTCAGCACAAGAGGTGCATATGAATAGTAGCACCCCCTTGCCGTTTATTGGCTTAGGGCAGAATTACTATTCGCTACGAGGCTCCAGTTTGCAGCTATTTGACTAAGGAGTACTCAAGCAGAGCAAATGGTGAAGCGAGTCCTTGGCAGCTCGTTACGGAGTAAACCCTCGCCCTTCTGGCATTAACTCCAACCCTTGCTCCCAAATCAAAACCTAGGCTTGGTACACCCCAAAACTCCCAACAGCAAGGAAGACACGGCGAAGCAGTTCACGAAATATCTTGTCCGTTCGGCCCTCGGGTGGGCAGGTAGCTGGTGGACTAAGGACGCTCGCTCTGGCATCACCGTGCTTCTTCTAGCCGGGCAGCGTGCGGTGGCTGTCGGCCAACTACACCAACTAGCTAGCCGGCTAGCTAGGCAGGCAGGCGGCAAAGTTGTTTGAGCACTTAGCGGTTGAGGACAATGCCATCGTATTTCTGCCGGAACCACCTCATGCTGTCCTCCTTAGTCACTTTATGAGAGTGGCCAATCCGTCCCCGGGCCCACTTCCGCTTCGACACGCGCAGCCCCGGGCGGCAGAGGTGCACGTAGAAATCCAATCCGTAAATCCCTGATGAGAAAAAAGCACAATACAACAGGTAGGCTGACGAAATGAAACTGACAAGGCAGACTCGGTAGGGATAAAACCAGAGTGTGCTTAATCTCCTATATGCACCCATCATCCACGTGTGGACAAGCTTGCACACGTGCACCCCCGTCCACTCTGGCAAGTTTGCACTTCCGGGGGCCTGAAGCGCGTGAACAATAAAAATTACGGTGACCCCCCTTGGAGTCTTTAAAAGGGACTACAGAGAGCCCTGGTAAAGGTCACCACCGCAAAACACTCATGGCTAACGCGAAGCATATAGGTCCCTCTTGTGAGAATACAACGTGATGGTGGATATTCTTTCTGCTCCTCTTACCGGTGGACGGATCGTACTTGATTCCAAGGTCAATGTGCTCCTGAATACCGAATCCAAAATTGCCCGTATCAGAAAAGTTTTTTTTCGTCAGCTCATACTCCTTAACCTTCAGACCCTTCTCCAATATCTCCTCCGCCTTCTTGCCACGCACCGTGACATAGCAGGCGATTTTTTCGTTCCTGCGGATGCTGAATGATCGGATGGTAAGGCGCGCGCGAGATAGCACCGGGCGCTGGCCTGTCAACTGCTCCAACACACGAGCGGCGCGCGTCAGTCTGTCACCGGACTGAGCACAGAAGCTCACAGCCAGAAGAATACAGCACAGAGATCCGTGGATCGAGTTCAGTGTGTGAAAACCGTAGATACCCAGAGGAAGCTTCCGAAACAGGAATAGAACACTAAGCCCATGGATAAGGACGGTACGCGCATCAATGTGCATAGTTTCAAAAGATAAAATTCCAACCAACCACAAGCTAATCTCTGAAAAATGGGCCCAATCACACATAATACGGCGTCGCCAACGAGCTAATCCTCGGTGCCCTGCCATATACAGTTTCATTAGAAGAATTGCCTCTCAAATAATTTAAGTAAAGCGAATGAAGCATCAGAGCAACACGAACTGAAGTCAGATAAACGGAGGGGTAGCCAAAAAGATATGACGGGCCGCAGCAGCCCAACGATGCAGAACAGCATCCAACTCAGCTTCTACAATCATGACAGAATATCAAGAGATATATATTCCAGCCCTCAAAGATTCTAATCTGAGTGATATGCGCGAAGAGGAGGTACATACACCCGAGTGCACCCGCCACCCCACAGATTTCTACCCTTGGTCTTTTCCCCTAATTCTGAACCCTTATTGAAGTATAAAACGCTGAAATTACTCTTAAATGACAAACCTCTCCAACGCAAATGTTAAGCGTGAGCTTCTCGATGCGGATTTCCCGCATCGGATTCTCCTCCAAGCACTTCACCATTGTGCCCAGGATAAACAGAAAGGGACTGCGCTCCCCACCGGTATTCTTCTCCTCTCGCCGCTTCTATACCTCCGCCGGAGAAAAATAATCAGAGAAACAACCCTATTAATCCTTGCAAACAAACGAACACGAGCAGCACCGGCACCATCGTTTTAGTAGCCAAGGGAGTTGGTACGCAGCACCCCGCCTGCATGCAGCCCACTGCATGCGATACCGTTTTGGGGCCTTGTGGGTGATTTTATACGTACCCATGTTTTCTCAAGTCAGCTCTATGGACAGTGGATCTAGTTTCTTCATTATTTGTGCTCTTATAGGTAGCTGTATATGCTGTCAGGAGAAGGCAGCTGATCTGATCAGAGTCACTCCATGCAGAGGACCCTCCATCGAAATTCACTGTGTTGGAGGCATGTAACTCCACATGTAAAACAAACGTGGTAGAAATTCAGCAAGCTGGTTCCCAGTGAGATTATTCTTTCCCTGCAGGCGATCCTCAGAGTTCCTGACTCGAGGGAAGAGGGACAGTTGGGCGCCGTACCTGCACCGTCGAAGCGCTATGAGCAGTTCCAAAGAGCTGCAAATAGCTTTAGGTACAAACGCACACAGCATTGCGTCTTCTCGTATAGAACAAGAAGGACTGTGCAATAAACAAGAGATACGAACCAGCAAACAATATAAACGAGCAGGAAGCTCCACTAATCAAATCACTACTATTCCTCATGCAAATATGACTACTGAAGCAAAAAGTGTTTCATTTTAGCTTAGACCGCCGCATCTCCCTCCAAATTCAGGTACACCATCGTTCTCCTTACCGGCACTTCGAGAACTACTGTATGCAGGACACCGGAAGATAGCCCGCCCCATCGCCACTTCCCAAGCAGGCAGCAACCAGAAAACAATGCAAATCGGTAGAGATAAAGAGAAGTGAAGAAAGACGCCCTCACTAGCGAACAATGAACGAGGGACCCACCAACACGACTGCTGCGGCGCGATGACTTGCTGTCGTCGGCGTGCTGAAATGTATGAGATTCCTGCTCCGCGAAGACAGAATCCAAGTAATGTATTGAGATGAAATCAGAGCGTGTATCAGTTCAGCAATATCCAGGCACCTCATAGAGCTAAATCTGATGCCACCATAACGAGCGCATGCAGCATACTCGATTACGAGGCCTTAAAGTGGCGAAAGGAAGAATGTTGGGACAATCCTGAGAGTGCCTCCACATATATTTGCGTGTGGGCGACACCCTAGCAATACTAAACTGCACTTTTTCAAGCTATGCAGGAATTCGAAGGTAGCTATTCGCGCAGGGCAAAGTCTTAAGAAGGACTGCTTTATTAAGGGGCGCAGGAAATACCGTCCTGGGCGACTAGATGCTACTTACCCGAGCCGCCTAGTCCCCCACAGCGCAATCAATCCTCCGTCAAATACTAAGGCAAGTATTTTCTGCCCACTTTATCAAGTGCCCGCATTTTGTCTCTCCTTGGAGCTCAACTGTCTCAGAATCCAGCACTTCTATCAGTCCCTGCGGACGTTCCGTCTCCCCATTGGTTTCCGGTCTGCGCAGCGAAGTCCTCGAATAATTCTGCAAGTCTTGAGGTTCTTCTAGAATTTCCGGATTTAGCTTTCTGTAATAGCTTTCCGTTCTAGGGGCATTCAACAGAGTCCGAAATTGCAATGCTTCATGACAGAATGACACATGGTCCTAGCCATCTGGCTGCACACTTCTTCATCTGGTTGCCTTTCGGTGCACCTCGTTGAGTCTGCCAATCCACCACGACTAAAGCTCCTTGCTAAAACCACAAAGTCGACTGCCGCTTATTATAATAGTGTGATCGTCTCATTTGGACTTTGCCCACAAAATCGCGTGCACTAATTAGCTGTATTTTAGATCCCTCCGGTGTCAAGGGTGGCAGCTGACAGCGGACCAGCAGGTTCGGGCCTGAATCGTAGAGATGCTCCTAAGTCTAGCCCAGATGTGTGGGAATTATATGGGTAGACGAGTGTATGGGTCATTACAAACCCAGAAGCACCAGGAAGCAGTGCAAGCGAAGCAAATGGACTTCTGTGAGCAGGGTCACAAATACTGCAAAGGGGTGCTTTTGTTGCGCTCTGTCTGCCCACCTGCCTCGGCATGGCTTGCGGTGGCCATATCATGGTCAATGTGTAGGCTGGTCAGAAAAGCGTGTCAGAGCGTACCACCAAGCAGTGACTGCCTATCTGTAATGATACCCTTGGGGTATCCTTGAAGCGTCCACACATGAATTAATAAGTTAGCGAGTTTCTGCTCCATGACTGAGCAAAAGCAAAGGATGGAATGAATGATTTGTTCAGATTATCAGGCACGACGTAAATGCTATCTTGACGCTTGATATTTAGCAGTCCAGATAGGTCCACAGTGAGATTGGTCTAAACCCTTGCAGGAACTGGGAGGCTGTGCAATAGGCTGTACTTAGGAAAGCTGCGCGATTCCAGCTGCTGACAATGCAGGCATTACACTGTGTACTGCTATGCCGCAGGACTCATTTCGGAGCACCACAAGGATCGTTGAGATCTTTGCCACTATAGTGAATTCACTATGGACAGAGAGTACACGGTCATGTGCTTTGCGCAAGGCGACGCTGCGAAGAGAGGACGAGACGTACAAGCAACGGATTCGTTGCTGTGTTTCAAACTCCAGCAGGCCATCCTCAACGTGATAGTGCCTCAGCATTTCACCATTCTGGACCATGGCAATAGTAGTGGACGCATGGATGTGAAAGGCCTAACACCCACACGCGCTTTATAGTAACCGTAAAACGTCTGAGACAAGAGCAGTTGCTCTGCACAATGGTGAATAGCTGAGGCATCACGACATCATGGACGACTACGATGGGCATGCTCTCCACATACCTCATGTTACAGTCGTACTGTAGGAGGCGACCAAGGCAGCGAACAACTTTAGGATTATCGAAACGTGATAACTTTTCGTCTAGTGCAGTTACAACTGGTAATTTATCTAGACAGTTAAACGATACGCATATAGTGAGTGCTGGCATTTGGCACGCCCAACCACGTTGCATAGAGCCCCTTCCGCTTTAGATACCGGTGTTCGGCTTCAGTCTGGCAATTAAAATAACAAGCTGTGATTTAGTATTTCGAAAACTCGTTGCCTGTTGAAAGGAAACTGCATCAATGGCTATGTTACCGGCATTGGTGGCTCTGAACAAATGGCGGTTTCAATCACGCAGCAGGAGTACCGAATGAGTTTTAGGGTGGCCGAAATACGTCGTTGGCGCGGCATCAGCCTTTGCAGTTCGGGTCGCAGCCTCTGGCTTCTCTAATATATCAGTCAAAGCTTCGAGCAAAGCCAGGAATAAACTACCGCAGCCGAAACTCAGTCCCATACCCACTTTTGTTTCCATGAAAATCAAACATTTTTTATGCCTTCCTATTGCATTGCTTGGCCTGGAACAGCTAAAGCGCACGCCGTAGGTGCTGTTCGTGCTCTCGAATGCTTCGGTTGAGTACCAAGGCGTCGTCCATGCAGACAATCATCCACAGTGCCCTCATACGCTAATTAAAATTCCGATTCACTTGAGGGACATTTTAGCTGGAGAAGTAACAAGCACAAACTGCATCCAGGTTTACTGGAGCATGTGAGTACGACTAAGGAATACCGTTTCGAGCCTCTCATCAAGGTGAGTGGGGATTCGTAAAAAATGCGTTTGTAAAGTCGAAATTCGCGCGGAGTGCTGATTCGTGCAGCTTCTCTGGCATCTGGCTTATTTGAGACACGTGCAGCTTCTGCTTTACGGTAGTCTGTAGCTGCCTGCAATGCTCCGTAGCATGTGAGGAGGACATGCCTTTCCCTGTCGTGCCTTCGTTTGCTCGCCAACCAGCTGTCGTAACACTTCAGTTGACTTAATGTAAGCCTTTTAGAGATGTGCCTTTTCGTCTACGCTGTAAATTACGTCGACTAAAGCTTCACATTTCTGAGTGCGCCGATCGATTGATGAGTTTTTCTGCCTTGACCTTTTCAGGTTATTGAAGGCTTTCTGTTGTGCTCGTTGGCATAACCAGATGAGCCAGAGCTCAGTAAAACCGTGCACTGGATTTACCCCTGCAGACAAACGGCTTCCTCTGCCTTCAGTCCCGCAGTCGAAGTATTCCTCCTTCGGGCTCTCATGGACCAACAAGCACTCATTGCGCTTTGCCTCACGAAACACAAAGGCAGGCTTCTTCGACGGGCTGATGCAACCTTCGAGAACTTCTGGCATTGTTAGGACCGTCATACTTTTCTGATCGACAAAACCTCATCGACTCATCTACAAACACTCTATCGAGTGATGAAACATGCCTTCCTGCCAGTTGCAAAGCTAGTGCGTTTAATTCAGCTTGCCGGCAGGCTTCTGCTGCCCCATCAGGGCTGCCATTTCGTGTACCTCCCATCGCTACAGGGGATTTCCCCTGAATGCTGCTAAAGAAAATCACGTTATTAAGATAATAAACCATTTAATCGAAGCCCGACAAATTTCGGCGAGAAATCCAGACTCCCCAATGCATCCACAGCCAGTGGATAAAAGGAGAACAGCTGCACTACCATCTATAGCAGTCCATTGAAAGCCTTCGCAGGGAAACACTACGCTTCAGGCGCAATCCAACCCTCATAGAAGCTTATTGGGTGTTTTTTACCAGAGCTCTCACCTTCCCCGGCACACGCCTCTAATAGGTTTCGGTGTAACCCAAGGGTCCTTAGAGACTGCGCGCAGCTGCACACTCTAAGCATTCCTAGTATTCACAACTCCATGCACAAGCTTTTAGCATCCACGCAAAGACCTGATAGTGCGTCTTTTTGAAACCACCAAACAGGACTCGAAATGAACAATATAGACTGGTGGAAGACCAACCAAATGATCAGCTTTTTACTAATCCTTATGACTAGTACAGTAAATCATGATCGAGCATAGCGTGGCCCTGTCCATCCTTTCCTGTCTGCCCATATCACATGCACGTCTCCACCTGCTACATTGTCTGTGTTGTGGCGATAACAAGTGAACTCTTCTACTATTTTGCATACAGCTGGTCTAGCGGTTTACGCACTGAGCACGAAGCCTTCTGTTTTGAAAAGGGCAGGAGGCTGAAGATGCAGTGGGCTAAGCTGAACGTTAACACTTTTGACTACACGCGTTATAGCATACTAAGAATTGTGGGGAATCGACGTATGGATTTGTCTATTCATATCTATTGCTTAGTGTAGATTACTGTTTGCTTGATACGAGAAGAGGCGGTGTTGTATGCATGTGCACTTGATGCTGCATGGAACATCGTACATGTAGGAAGAAACTACTCGCCCTTTCTTCGTTACTCTCCGGGCAGTTTGGACCCCTAAGAGCCGCATGCAGGGTTTTTTTTCTAGAGCCCTTTTAGAAAAAATACTTGATAATTTCCAATCGTCGTTGATAAAATTTTGTTCGCTGTTGCGTCTCTTCGTGGAGACCCTGGATGGGGCGTTGGAACAATTGTGTCAAAAGACTGTGGCTTCAGAGGTGTTTAAAGTATGAATGTTTATCGGCATTCAGGCCTTTTATTTTATTAAGCTCTGTTTGAAGCTCCGAATAAGAACAACACCCACTCGTTCATTCGAAAGTGTGCATTCGCTACTGTCCCTCTGGGCCTTTTTTGCGTAAATAAAAGGAATAAAGCACAGAACCAAGGCCTCTATTGCCTACCAGCAACATACAAGTGAATACACTTCAAGCAATTTGTAGGATTGAAAGTTGTGGCCTTCGCTCTTGTGCCTCGGCACCATGAAACCCGTCGCTCCAGGTGATGTCGGGGCACAACTACCCGTAGTTGTCTCCCCGCCCCTGAAAGGATATTCAGTTAGAAAGGATTCAGGTCGTCAAACTAAGCGTGTTCGTATTCCTGGATCATGCATCGCAGGGACTTCAGCTACAAGTGACCGTGACATCCAAATCCTTTTGGGGCAGGGATGTATGTTTTGCCTTCTGCGATATACTTCCATTTTTTCGGCTCTCAGCACCCTCTAGGAGCTCTAGGGTCATAATAGCCCTCGAGTTTGTGTTATTGGTAGACATTGCGACTAACTACTTAACTTTTAGCAGCGAACAACTAGGGCTTGAAGGTCTCGCTCTGTGTGTTGCTGCTGGTGGGGGGGGTGCCACGCCACCCCCTGCGCATATACGCTGCGTCCGCTGCAGGCATTTGCTCAAGGAGCGTGAAGAATGTTGTTTGTTGCACTCAAATCTGTGCGGGCACTGTCCTAATTGCCTTAACTCCTTTATTAGGGCTGTAAGGGGCCCCTTCCCCTTATGTAAGAGGGGGCGAAGCCTCTCTCGCCCTCCTTGCAGCTCCCTGCAGTAGACCCGTGCCACAGCACGCGCCCACTGCTGTCCTCCCCAGCACTGCCACACCCCTCTAGGCTTCTGAGGCCCCGGATTGGCCTATTGCTTCAGCATGTCTACCGCGATCTGTTGCCGTAGTCAACCAAAAGCTCAGGACCCTTCCTCCCCCGCAACGAGAAGGGCCCTCCCTTTCGTCTTCCATGTGCCCTTGGGCCCTACTTCCAGTCTGCGCCAGCATGTGTCCACAACACCTCAGGACTTCACTGCTCCCGGGGGCATCTGCCCGCCGCGACAGCAGTGGACGGCTCTCTGGGTGCCCGAAACAGCCAATTTGGCAGCCGCAGCAACCCAAGGAAGCAAAGCAGCGGCAAGACCTGCAGCAACAGCTGCGCCAGCTGAAACAGAAGACTGAGTTTGGGGGGGCGACAGTTGAGCAGACCATCCTACCCACACCAGAGGCTGAAGCTCTGGGAGACCTCGACATTGAACCCCCATTGGATATTTGCCCCAGCGAAGGAGGCTTTCCTCCTCCGCTGCTGCAACAAACGGTTGTCATGGCCGATGCTGATGCTTCACAAGCAACACCATCGACCACACCGGATTTGTACCAGCAGCTGCCTCAGCCTCACTTCTGCCTGCCGCCTCCAGCCCCTGATGGGGAACACGGCCGGAGCGCCTCCCAGAAGAGCGAAACAGGTGAAAAGGAGAGTTTGTGGCCCCCCCTCTCTAGGGTCTCCAACGATGGCAAGAAGCAAAAGGCTTCTGCTGCTGCTGCCACCTCGAAGCAGCAGCAACAACATCAGCAGCGAACAAAGCCGAAGAAGGGGGTGGCGGCTCGGCAGCAGCAGGAGACAGAAGCAAAAAATGCTTTCAGCAGCCCATCCCCCTGTAGAGCCCCTCCTTCATCTCCTGCATCAGCGGCCCCCGCGGATGGCGAAAACACCACTGGTAGCGCTATCACGCCGGCAGCTGGAGCAGCGTCTGCAGCAGCAGCAGCAGCCTCCACGGAGCCTTCGGCGGGTGTGAGAGCTCCACCTGGTCTCAGTGGCCCTGATGTGCAGAGCGCTTTGCTTAGGGCATCTTTCCTAGGGAGAACAGACATCGTTCGGCTCTGCTTGGAGCGGGGTGCGTCGCCTGCTGCAGCCGATTCAATCGGCAGGACGCCGCTTCACTACGCAGCAGCGACTGGGGTTGCCCAAGCGGTTTCTTTGCTTCTCAAGTATGCAGCGCACCCAAAGCAGCAGCAGCAGGAAGGGCAGGGTGCTGCTGCGCTCGTGGACATCTCTGATAAGAAGCGCTGGACGCCGTTGCTCATAGCGGTCACTAAGGAGCACGTCCCTTGCGTGCGGCTTCTCCTGGACGCAGGAGCGAATCCCAAACACCTTTTGTGTCACCGCTGTGCCCCCTGCAGAGGCAGCGGCGGGGCAGCTACCGTCGTTGCTGCTGCCGCTGACACGGCAGACGCTGCTGCTGCTGCTGCTGACACGGCGGGACTGGAAGGAAAGCAAGGGACACCGACTGCAAGCGCTGCGGAAGTAGTCACTATAAAAGGAGACACTTCGGGTCGTGGGAGCGAAAAGCAGACGGCGCACCTCGACAGTGGCAGCAGTAATAGCACAGGCGGCGGAGGGGTCCCTCTCCAGACATGGAGCTCTGCCATTCACTTTGCTGCAATCAAAGGCAACATCCCGATTTCCGAGCTGTTGTTGCAGCACGGGAGCACTGGTAAGGTCTTGTTGCTCTGCAGGGCGCCTTGTCTCATATGCCTTTCGGCTCGCTTAGTGGAGAACGTAGCTGGTACCTCCCCTCCGGTGTTCTATCTAGAGTCGTCATCAAAACAGCATTACAGCATGGGTGGCTTGCCTTCTTGGGGAAGCAAGGCAAATTTCCTGCACACTCAATGGTGTACGCTTGCAATGACAGTGTAAGGGCCTTCATTGCATAGTTCTGCGCGCAAAATTCCTGCGTCGTGTGCAGTTAACGACCTCGACTCGGACGCTCGGCCTCCGCTTCATTATGCGGCATGCAGAGACAAGCCCGACTACGTTCGATGGCTCCTCCAGCACGGTATCGAGGCACATCGTTTACGGCCTCTAATTGTGTCTCTTGCCAGCAAAGTTCCTTTCTCTGCTTCGCGCGGCGTCCACCGCGCTGTGCGCGTTCAATCCGCCTCCAAGCATGCGTCGAGGGCCTTGTCTCGCTTCCTCTTGCATTTCTGCTCTCTGTGTCTCGGTGCTTCCTCAGGGGCTCGGCCGGACTTGTTGGATATTAACCAGCGGGGGGCATTTCACGCAGTTGCGACGCGGGGTAATCTGCAGGTGGTGCAGCTTCTTCTCGAAGCCACTCCACCTAAGACACTTCTGCGGCTGCTTCTGCAGCAAGACGCCTGGGGGCTCACCGCCGAGGCTCTCGCGAAGTTGCATGGACACCGCTCAATGGTACATTCGATACGTCTGTTGTCTCGACGCGTTTTGCCGCTTCGACATGCAAGGCCTGCGTTTTGTTGACCCCACATCTGCTTTGCGTGCTCCTCCATGTCGCTGATGCTGCAGCACCTGCTGCTCAAGTCATACCGTGAAGCAGTGGAATCGCAGGTTGGACTCGAGGAGGCAGCAGCAGCGGCGACCTCGCGGGCTGTCGGCGCTCAGGGCCTCTCGGATGCTGCCGTCTCGGCAACCATCGCGGAAGTGCTTGCTACAGGCCTGCAGGTGCTTAACATCGACGAACTGGAGCTTTCACATATCCGTCATCCCATCTTCGTATCCTGACTGATCTTCTCATGTCGTGGCTCCCCGTGCTGTACACTTCCTCTGTGGCTGCCTCTGTAGAGCCTGTTTGTCTCCGCCGTGGTCGGTGGATGGCTACCTGGGTGTCTTCGGTGTCCTCCTTTCGCCGTGTGTTGTGCCGAGCGATACTCGTGTAAATGTCATTGCCTCCTCTTGGTACTCGCTAGGCGTCTCTCTGTGCGGCAAGCATCTCGGTGTGTGTGTGTGTGTCTCTCCGTTTGCTCTCCATCGCTGTTTAGGAGCTAAAGAAGGCAAAGCTTGTTCGCGCAGTGCAGCGCCTCGGCACTCTACCGTGCCTCAAGGCATATCAACAGACCCTGATGATCCAAGCACTTGGTGAGACCCCAGAAAGGAGCCTTCAACACGGGAAGGGGAAGGCGGGACATGGGCAGCCGAACCCCCCTCTATCGTGTCAACATGCCTGCCCACTGCGGGTGTACCACTTTATGGAGCTCTACACTTTCCATAGTGCCCATTACGTAATTTGTTCCCACAGTTCGTCCGCTTCTCGTTTCCCCCTTCCGCTGTCGCTTAGGAGGAATGCTGGTTGCGGACGGGAGCCGCCGCAAGACGGCGGGGGGAGTCTTCTTCACGGTCTTGGGTGAATTTGCGAAGGAGGGGCAAATATCCAGAGAGGATCTTGCGTTTGTTAACGCTGTGAGAGAATAGCTCATGTTTTTTTGTTGCGTCTTTGGGGGCCCGCCACAACGCTGGCAAATGCAGCTGCGGCCACGTTGCTTTGCCGCCGTCTTTCCAGGGCCTCTTATTCTGCTTTGGCATGCCTCAAGTCGTACAGCCCTCCGTTTGTTGGTCACTTACGGTCAGCTATAATGTCTTATTAGGCTGGACGGTCTACACAGCCTCGCGCGAGCTCTGCCTGTGACTCCTATTTGCCCCTTTTCAGGAAGACTGCGAGACCCGAAAAGCCGTCAAGCGCAGGACCCGCCACTCCCTGGAGACGGCCACCAGGGGCCCTGTTCCAGCTCGCGTCTCGGAAGACACCGCTGTCTTGTTACAGCAACAGCAGCGACAACCACGGCAACAGCGTCCGTCGCCACAGCAGCAGCAGCGACAGAATCACCAGCGACCGCAGCAGCGCCAACCACAACATCTGCAGCGACAGCCGCAACAACAGCTGCGTCAGCTGGAGGAACCGGCTTCAGCTGCATCGTCCACCTCTGCCTCGTCATACACCTCTCTTGTTGCGGCGATTGCAAACGAAGCCGTGCACTCCACACCCCAGTCTACCCCCAGCAGCAGCAACAGCAACTCTGCGGATACGAGTGTGATTGCTGCACAGCAGCAGCCATTTCAATTTCCGCTGTACCCCATCAGTCCTTATTGGCCTATGGGATTCCCGGGGCCTCTCTCTCCTCCCCCCAATATGTGTAGACCCAACAGCAACGGTTGGAATGCCGTTGTCGCGATGCAGCAGCAGCAGCAGCTAGCGGCAGCAATGGCTGCCTCCTCCGCTCTTAATTTTTCGGCGCCGTCCATGTCACTGCATCAGGCGGTCGCTGCTGCGCAGCAACAGCAGCATCTGCAGCAAGCTGCCCTGGCTGCTGCAGGGTTTCCGCCTGCGCTGAAGCCGCAGAATAACCAGCAGCAGCAGCGACGTTCTGCTGCGGCATTCTCCACAAAATCCAAGCGGCAGCAAGCGCTAAACTGTGCAGCAGCCGAAGGGGCAGCCGTGGATATCCCAATGGAAAGCGTAGGAGAGCAGACTACCAAGGCAAATAGGAGTGGCAAGAATGAGCAGCAACAAAGAAAGCAGCAGACTCCGACGCAAACAGAGACGCAAATATTGCTGGAACGCATTCACCAGCAGCAACTCCAATTGCGGCAACAGCAACTGCAGCTGGAGCAGCTACAGCAGCAGCAAGAGCAGCAGCAGCGGCAGGCAGTCCCACAGAGAGGTGCCCCGCAGCAGCGCGACCGGCCGGGGGCCCACAAGGGTGGGAGGCCTCAGCGAGGGCAGCGCAGCTGAAGAGCAGTGGTTTGTTCAAGGGCATAGAGTTTGGAATTTGCAAAGTGCTACTACTGGAATGCGTATAAGATACACTGGGTTGTCTGGACATGTGTGACACCAGACTTCCCTAGCTTTTTACGCCTCAAAGGGGGCGAACCCGTGCGCGCTCTTACACAGCTGCACCTTCGATGCTCCAGAAATGATAACCAAAGCCAATGCCTACCGTCTTCTGGGAACTGGAGCTGCAGGTGGTGCGCAGTGGAGGAAAGGGGGCTGCGCTGGAAAAGCGAATATCTTTTTGAATAGCTGGTTGCAGCCGCACAGAAGGTTCATCGCCGTCGTGAGGTGCTACTCTTAAGTTGTTGTCCATGGATTATTTAGTTTGGGTGCAAGCTGCTGCTGTTTCTTCCTGTAGAGTACTGGGAGTGGATAGTAGACGGATACACTGTTTTCGTTGCAAGTCCGCTATAGAGGCGCCCTTTTCTTCCCATCTTGTCTGCTCCCGAAGTCCCGTAGGAAAAGGCTCCTTAAATGGCGCCCTGAAAGGCTCCAAAGAGGAGCCATCGGTGCTCAGGGCTAAGGAGTAGCAGCAGCAGATGTCCTCAAAAAGCGTATCCCAGGGGCTCGGCTCCCCGGAGCAGTACCTCAAAGACCACCGTCAGTTCTCCTGAACCTTGTACTCTCACCACTGCGGACGCGATACCGCGAAGGCGCAAAAACGTGGCTAGATTGGCACGTAGGGATAAAGGGCTCTCGGTAGTTGCACAGACGTTTTGCGAAGGGGCATGAATGGACAGGGGAGTGCGCAGGGGGAGTTTAAAGCAAACAGCGGTGCACTCGGGGGCCTGGAAAGCCAAAGTAGTAAATGCACTGCACCGTCTACACATGGTTGGGAACCTCGTTCCAAATCTCATGTCAACCAGAAAAGTGGCACGTTTCCTGGGCGCTTGTGACTGGGCTTCACGCGTGTACATCGATACAGCAGCAAGCAAGCAGCGACAGCAACATCTACAGGAAGACACCGGGGCTAACCTTCCTTGCCTTGGGTCTTTGCGGCTGTCTGGAGATCAATGTATTCGGCTCTTTCGGCCTTCAGCCACGCGAGGAACCGCTGGAAAATCGAAGACTCAACAATAGAGTAAACAGGTAAGCGCATCTGGTGCCTGCGCATTGCAACACGGACGTGGCTCACAACTGGCTTCTTCCGGGGTAATATCCACGCACTCAACGAACTTGCGCTTTGGGTCAACGCCGCGTTCCGATTGCCTAACGGCCCCCTGCTCCCGTAAGACGTTGCTGTATGGAGGGGCTTTATGAGCCAGCCTACCTTCCAGGCTGAAGGGGGATTGCTGTTTGGGCGTATCCAGCCACAATTTGCCGTCCCAGCCTGTAGCAGCCGAACCTCTAAAGACATACGCTTGTGTAGCGCCTACAGACGAAGTCAGAGTAACACCTCTTCCCCGCGTGTGCCCCTGCAACGCCCGTTCAGCAGCTGCTTTGCGTACTTTTAGAGGCTGGGTGCACGGAGGGACCTACCAGTCATGCGCATAGATGCAAAAAGCCATGCGCGGCCAGCCATAGAGACTGGTCCCCTGTAAAAAGTCAATCGGCATATCATCGCAAGAATCCGAGGGAAGGAACCGCCATTTGGATCAAGTCCTGCTACTTTTGCCCATCTTTTGCTTTGCAACTAAACGTTTTCACAAAGGTAAACGTTCTCTGCCCCCAACCTTTTACTGCAGCGAAACGATGGTGTTTTCCTTAGTTGGGTGTGTGCAGTGGCTTTTGCCCCAAGGGTACTCCTGGAAGATCCTAGAGGGGAGACAAAACACCTGGAAGGCAGCTTGGAAGGGGAAGTTCAGCGTTACTTCCAAGGTACAGTCTCCACAGTGGCCTTCCTGAGAAAGTCCCCCCGCCAGTCCCTAAGATCATAGGGCGCAAGTTTGAAATCTAAGGATTGGGGCTTCTAAATTGAGTACTGTACCCGCCAATTTTTCAGGCAAGGACTAGCGTCTTGCTATATTACTGGTTATAGCAATGTGGATGAGAACTGTTCAGTACCCATATCTGTTTCCAGTCTCTACCCACAACAGTCGTGTATCGGCAAACTGTGCCTCCCCGCCGCCCGCCGATATTAACGGATTCCACACAACCGTTCACGACGAGCAGCAAATGGCTTTCTGTCAAGAGAAACCAAATCCAACGCAGAGCAAGACCTAATCAACTGCGTGCTTTGTTCTATTTCCCCAGCTTGCTAATCGAGAGAAGACAGAGGGTCAATAAAGTGAGAAACACAAAATGACTGGGTGGGTTAGTAGCACTGAACTAGATCCGCCATGCCGTCAACCACAGCAGCAATACACCATGATCAGGAATCTAGAGGCAGACTAATTGACTGGTTTCGGCGTTTGGTGTATTCATAAGCAGAACGCACCAGTTAACGCTGAAGGTGGCTCCGAGCGTCTGTGCTGGTCAATAGGCGGCTGCTGCTCTTTCTGCTTGAATGTCTGACTTAGTGCCTCGTCGTGGTGCTGTCCATGGTATTGGGGAGGCTGTTCTTGCAACAGTCGTGGCTGCTCCTGTTGTGCCATTGCGGGGGTGTGCTGTTTGTGAATTTGCTCGTATCCTTGCAGTATGGCCCTCGAAACGGCCTGAGATATGAAGGCTAGCCTGGAAGCCTCGCCGCTTCTCATAAAATATGTTTCTTTTTAGAGCCCGTGCTAGCACGTGCAGCGGCAAAACGCCGTTGCTCCTCGGAGGATGAATACCAAGAACGACTGGCTAAAATATATTCCCCTGTGACATTAATAAATTTGAAATTTACTTCCTAGCTGCTTGTATTACGAAAAGAAGCGAGTTTTGCCCCCAACGTAAGTTTTGTCTCGAGAATTTTTGAACTTTGTGGAAACGGGGATTTCGCCAACGTTTCACGTTTCGTCTCACCCACTCCATTCATTCGTCGGGCTTTCCCAAAAGTTTTAATGGAAATTATAAAAAGATGGTATTAAAGTTTTAAAGGATCTGAAGCTGAGTAGAGGACTTTGCGAAACAGCTAGAGAGTAGGATCCGCGAGGCAACGGGCAAGGAGTGACCATCAACCGGTGTGCGCTGGTGCGTTTCCCCATCGTTTGGTTTACGAAGCTTGGTCGATTTATCTTTTAAAAGCATCAGTTTGATCAGTTACTCTGAGATATACGATATGCGAGTGGCCCTTTCTCTTGCTTGGCACCTTCAGAAGTCACTTGTTAGAAAATGGCCTCTCCCAGAATGCGGGATCATTGCAACAAAACGGCGCTAGCGCCTGAAAACAGAAAAGTTTGGTCCGAAAGGTAGTAACATTTGACAAGGGGCGAGTAATACGGATTTTTCGACGGTGCAGTCCGTGTGCAGCAAGTTGCCAACATGTTCAAAGCAAATGTGAAGGCTAATCGCAACCCAGGTCAAATGTAAAAGCTACAGGAAAGTTGTACTTTTAAATTCACTTTTCGTTTTCATGTTAAATTCTGGTAAGTGAATCGCCGGTCGACGCCCTTAGAGTTTCAGCTATTCCTCACCAAAGACGGTGAGTAAGCGAGTCAAAAAAACGAGTTCTGCATTAATTTGCGCTAGCTTCCACCTTCACGAAAAACAACACTGTTATTTACCTGCAGAACAACCCGCTCCACGTAACAGGATGCGGATATTGTTCAAATTCCGTGCGGCCCAACCAGAGGGCAGTTGTAATGCAAGGGGACCTCTGGAGCAATCTTATGACGATACCCTATTTGGCGTATAGTTGCTTGCGAGATGTGCCCTCTGTTGCACTATAACGTCTTTGTGAAGACAGTGCCTGTCCCTTTTCAGGATTTTCCACCTTGAGCTCCCTGGCGTAATGCCTCCTTGATGTCGGCCTTTATGCGTTGCATTCTCGGGATGTTCGTAAAAAGCAGCTGACCACCTGTGCGGGTAGCAATCCCACATTATATACTCATCATCATGCCCAATCTGTCATTATTTTCTCATTCCTTCACTATCGCATGTTCTTCCTCTAAGATATACCAATAAAAGCTTGTGGGGCTCTGATCCAAACTCGAGGCAGCCAAATAAAAGGAGGGCAAATAATCGTATGGCAACAAGACATCCTTTTTTTCCAGTGATGGTCTGGAATGCAGATAGCATTTACGCTTATTCCCTCCAATGATTGTGTGCGGGTTTCAGTCCACTTCCAGCAGAAGACAATCCCCCTAGGTACCCCTGTACCGTCTGATTGTGCTTACCCTCGCTAGACTTCACTAACTCCCATACCGATTCTCTACAGCAGCTGGCCTACCTGGGAGCAAATAGTGCAGAGTCACCAGTAAGGCATCTGGCCTCTTTTGGTACTGCAGAAGACAATCGACGACAAAACACACAGCGGCGGCGAACTGCTCGCAATGGTGAGCCCAACGATGTTATTTACTATGTAATAAGCAGATCTACATGCAGCGAAGCAGATTTACAATTGGATGGAGGGGCAAGGGCTTAATCCGCAGTGGTTCGGTTTCAAACTGATACTTCGGGTACTGCTACGTCGTTGCATTCACAACCAGTCAACTCGCACCATCCTCTTGATTGGGCGCAGCCGAAAAAGACTTGACCGAATGAGTACTGTGCTCGAAAAACATCAAAAGGTACCCATACGTACAAGGTTTGTCAACGGAGGAGAGTCAGCCGTAACGCCGAAGATGTCTGCCAGGATGTGAATGAAGAGCGTTAAGAAGTTTGAAACAAGGAGGCAATTTTCTGTTACCTCGAAAACCACCATGTACAACATCCTGCAAACAATTAGCACAGCATAGACTTGCATGTATCAGTTATGCAGCATCAAAAGAAGGCAGGGACTAGTACACAATAAATGTCCCAATGCGCTTGCAATTAGTTTTTCAGCTCTCTTACAGCCTAATAACCCTACCGCATTTAGTGAAGATGTTTATCACAACTTCGTTGCAGGCTTACTCATCGACGCGCTTCCAGAGAACGAGTTTTGGGCTACTAAAGAGTGTAGAAACTTGCAGCATCAGAAGACCCTCCAGCACGCCGTCCTCTGGTGCAGTCCCTGAAATCCCTCCTTGAGTGCCGCTGGTCCACTGCCTTCAGACGTCAAGCAAAAGCCAGCTGTCTAACTATCAATCCTCTAAGCTACGAAGATGTAAACATGAAGTATGCTTTTTCAGAGAGACACAATAGAGAGGCCATATACAAACCCTATCTAAACTCAATAGGTATGCCAAGCTAAAAGGCAAATTCGGTTAAAGCCATACTTAGTTTGAGCAACTATCGAGCACCTATTGCCGTTCCAGCATCCATATTCCCTTCAGCATGGTTTTCTACTGTATACTGACATTACCCCTCTCTCAAAGAGAAGTCTTAGGACTATAGTCTAGCAGCTTACCGCTTGCTACCCTTTACATCTGCTTCTCGGAGAACATTAACTGTGGACGTCCCAGAAGCAGCACTAGATGTACTACTGCTGACATCAACTTGCCCTGAAACAACGGACCCCCCTGAAGGGCCCCCTGGGGCTATCCCCGTAATGGTGTGACTTTGGAGCCCTGATGGGCTAGCCGTGTGTTGCCCCTCTCTGATACACTGAAGCTGAAAGGAGTGGTCATCAGCGACGCGTCGAATGATGGCCTGAAGAGAAAGAAAATCCAGGACAAAACAGCCACCTGTAGTCTCTCTACATGGTGTCACGCAGAAAATAAAGCAGCACAACGTCATACAGTAACCAATTGCGCCCCCCCAATAATACGGGGAAAATCGATTGAGGAGAACTACTCTGCTTTAACCCAGATTATGTAGGAACGCAGGCACACAAACAGACGATAACAGCCAGAGGGGGGCCGAACCTGTTGCCGAATACTGCGCTGCGAGTCATTTCCTTCTGGAGTGAAAAATATTGAGAAGGTCGGCTGAGGCTGTCCCACAGCCGCAATGACTACCCCAAAAACCATCAAATGGTGCCAGAGGAAAATACCATTTGAAGTGGGGTTACCTCCTCCGTGAGACTGGAGGATTTGCTTGCTGTGTTGCTCTGGAAGAGCAGTCTTCAAAGAATGACACCAGGAGGAAATATGTGTAAAGAATCCTTTAGACACAACACAAAAGACAGGATTTAGAGGGATACGTGCACTGGCCTCGGCATACTGGGAAAGTGGCTGTTCCGTCCATTTCAAAGTCAACAGGGACTCGGCCTCTACGAAAAGAGCGAGCTCAAGTCTTACAATGTTAAAATATCAGCGCAAAGCCACACAAAAGGTTACATATCATGTTCGCTTCCTCCCATCGAAGCAACAGACTTTGGATGCCCCATGAATCAGAGCTTTGGAGAAAGGCATGCAAGGTGAACCGAAGAACTTTGGGTAAAAATATTGAAGTGTTGCTGAGGAGCTTTATTTATACTGTTCAAAGTCACAATTTCTTGGTAAATGAGGTGAAAGAAAAGCGTTTCACTCCAAACAGCAGGTCACCCAAGCCGAAATACAGTTTTGCACATTGCGGCTCTGATCTGATCGCCCAGAGGTAGCAGAATTTCCTCTAGGATAATTTTTCTTAAGCAAGAAGGATGTAATGACTCCCCTAATATCTCTAGTATCAGACTTCCTAAAAGTCCAAGGACTGAATACAAGGTATGCCATGGCCCAAGAGTATGTAAGACCCAGAGCACAGGCAACTGGCCACGAATACAAGGCCTCCCCAGTTTCCAGATGAAGAGCCACAAAGATGTTTCTTTCTATGCTTGTGCTAGCTACAAGGGAATTTACACGAAAAACCGGCGCTGACGGTCTACTCAATATTTTGTCATTCATCTGAAGGGGCTGCTGACCAGCTTGCTGAAGCACTGTGGTCGGAACAAATACCTATAGGGTCTACTCAATATTTTGTCATTCATCTGAAGGGGCTGCTGACCAGCTTGCTGAAGCACTGTGGTCGGAACAAATACCTATAGGCTGTACCTGACTTCTGGCAACGCGTCATTTGGACTAAAAGATAGAAGGCAGCACAAAAAAAGACCACGAAAAGGTGTAGGCAAGAAGAAATGGACTGGACGAAAAAAGGCACCGTACGGCTTAAAACTCCCTCTCTGGCTATGCGTATTTGGGAAAGAGCAATTACACGCGGGAGCTTCGCGTGAGATATACTCCTTAAGCAAATATTTGTGTGCTGCAGACATCAGAAGCAGGGGCTTCTCTGCTCCTCGGTGCAGACCTGTGTCTACTTTGTACAAGATCTCACCCGTAGAGCAATATGTGCTTACCAAGATCTCAGAGGAGTGAGATCCTGTCAGGAAAGTAAAGCCAGACTTTGATGCTGTCTACGACTTTAGTATCTCACATCAAGAACTGCTGAAGAACTTACCATTTGTTTTGACTGTGCATGTGTTTCACTGCTTGTAAAGCACCATTGGTGCAACCCTGATAGAAGAGATTTTGTGTGCCTGTGGGTTAGTCGCTAAACGAAGCTAACTCTAAATGCTCGGAGTGCTTGTAAGGTGCATCGGCGCCCACCCCAATTGCATGTCATTCCCCCATTTTTGAATCAAGCTTGTGGGCAAGAACGAGGGCGGAGCATTTTGGAATGACATATAATAGTATTTTCTCAAGTTTAGTATTGAGTATGGGGCTAAGCATAGCGGGATCAGCTACACCCAAGCATTGTCATACTATGATAGTTATGCTGAAGTAAGAAGTACTCAAGACTTGACTATTTGGCTGTCTGTTTATATATTTTGTTTATTGTAGAGTCCACTTTGCCGGATACAACAAGGTGAAGCTGTGTATCTGCGTGCTACATGCTCTGTGCAGTCAGGTGTAAGTCCTCAAGGTGCCTAGAAACTGCAGCTGCGCACATCCGGGTTGTTGCTCTACCAACATGTCAGGTACTGTGAGAGACGCATGGAAAATAGTAGGCTTTTTAAGTGCAGCTCAGTAAATGTACATTGCTTGTGCATTGCGGCTGAAGTTAAGTGTCTCCATGAGGAGACCTTCATGAAAAGCTACAGTTTCTACCATTGTATGGTTCCTATAGCCATTCCCCGCCCATCTACCGAATCCGGATACAGTGGGATGTCAGTATTTCCTTCAAAACCTGTCTCGGTTTTGTGATGTCAGCTCTTTTTGAATACTTTGCCTTTGTTGGCAACAATCGGGGGCAAAACACCCTTTGATGTTGGAAGTAGGTGGTATCACAAAGCCTCGTTGGGCGGCAAAGGCCATCCCGCACGCTTATGTGAACGCAGTAGCTCCACAGCTGGGATAAGCCATAATTTGTCAGCCAAGAAAATGCTTATGGATGTATTGATGAAGCTGAGGCGACCGGAATACTACGATGGTCGTAAGGATAAACAAGTACTCGAAAGTTTCAGCGGCCGGTTAGAGACGTACCTCGCTTTGTGGCCCGAGACGAAGAGCAACGATTGCTCCCTGGGGCATCTTTATTGGAGAAATAGGCATGCAAAGTGACCTCGATTTTGCAGAGGAAGCCTTCTGTGTGCAACAACTACTACAGTTCAAGCCCTCTTAGGAGCCCTCTTTCATCTGGCTACGGCAAGTGCAGCTCACCAGCAAGCTTTTGAGGTAACTGAGAGAGATAAAGCAGGGGTTTCTATTAAGAGGTAGGGCTACCGGTGAAATTTAATCTTTGCCTTTTAAAAGCCTCAATGTCGACGAACAGCTAGCATTTGATTGCCTTATCTAAAGTCCAACCGAAGTGCCCTGTCAGGTGGCTGTAGAATGGGCCACGACTTGGCAATTAAACATAGGACCAATAAAGCGTCCACAAAGATGCACTTTGTGGTCTCAGAAGCAAAGTAGGGCAATCCCTGCGTCTCTGGTTAAATAGGAAGAGCTCACTCTCGATTTGAAACCCATGGATAGCGAGGCTATGTCAGGTGGCCCTAGCCTAGAGTCTAGGGTGGGCCAGAGTGTGTTGCCAGCAGAAACTCACGCTCCTTAGCATCCCCAGCCGGTCCCTCAGCAGTGCCCCCAATTAGATTGTCAGAAACGGGGGATATTACTCGGAAATACAAGCGCATGCAAAACACCAAGGAACTTGGGCAACGGATCAGGCCCATCTGAGGCAAGCTGTATGGTGATCGAAAATGGCATAGGGAGACAAGAAGATTCGCAAGCATTCTTCTGCGCATTGAAGGAAGCTACAGAGGCTAGAGCTGCAGCTGCGGATTTACAGGTAGAGATCCCCATTGATAGTGAAGGAATGCTAGCATTTCTTTGTACGGGAAATGAAATGCATCTGTTTTCTGGTGAGATGGTGCAGAAGTGCAATATGTATATGCACTTGATGTGCGGTCCCAAAGAGCAGGCTTGCCTAAGGGTGGAAGAACTCAAGAATTGGATCGAATACTGCGCATAAATGCCATTTTAAGTCGGAATTGGATACTACCGGTGCAGTGCATGACTTCCATGTTGGACTCGTGCCATGAAATAATCCTAGGCATGCCGTGGGGGCTTCAATGGAAGGCACCAAGGCGGCCACAGCTACATGCCGTAAAATTTGGTGTAATGAGAAGCACTAGGACGAAGGATGTTCCAATCTCCTCGACAAGTATATTTCATCAATGGTGAACGGAGCAAAGTGGGTGCCTTATCAAGACGAGGCAAAGTCTTCATGCTAGCGGCTCAGCAACGCAGTAAAAGAAGGTTCTGAGCATGCATTGGTCTTATTGGATTGCGAGAATGAGGAGACGTCAACTGGGATTTTTGAGGATGCGCTAAATGGTGGTGCGCTAGCTACCAGCAGGCTGGTCACCTGCTGAGAGTTCAGTGCACTTTGTTGAGTAAATCCCCAGGTGGACTCCAAGGCGTTTTAGCGTCTTGGATGCCCCCACAGCAGGCATAGGAGGTCGCTTTGCATATATTTGATTTGATTGAAAGACAGTGCAGGAATCGACAAACCACCATGACCACAGCCCGGTGCCGGTGCCGAATAGGACGAAACGTGGCCTGTGTACATCAGTGAACAAGATCACTGTGAACGACAAGTTTCCGATGCCTGTAACGAATTAGCTGACAATTTTTACGGGTCTATAGCATACTTGAGACCCGAATTCACAGAAGCTTTCCTGGAAATCCCCATTCACTCATATGACATGCGAAAAACGGCGTTCCACATTTGCACTTTGAAGCCCGAGTACACGCGTATGCTGCTGGGACCTGTTATTCCGTCATCTGATCTGATATGCTAAGTTAGTGTATAATTCAATAAACTATCAAGAAAAGTGGATAGTTGTTTATGTGGGTGACACATAGATATTCAGTCGAAGCGTTCAAGAGCACCTAGGCAACGCCTACGACGTCGGCAACCGATGTTGTGAGACAAGCAGTGGTGTGTCAATGCTCGCAAATATTTTTGGTTTTGATAAAAATAGGGCCTTCCTGAATTCCTTGCTTTACATGCAACCATTGAGTCAGATGTCGCTAAAAAAATGAAGCAATAAAGGGGTAGCCTCTGCCGTTACACATCAGGAAAGACGTTGTTAGTTTGTATGAACTTGCGTCTGATTACCGATATTTCCTTCTATCTTTGCGCAAATACTTGCTAACAGGTTGCGTATAATAGCACGATCTGTAAGCTGAACAGCGGAGGCTTGTATCGCCGCATGGACCCTCATCTGCCGCCTTCAAACACCCCCGGTAATTGCGATGCCCGACCAAGGCCTCACCTTCCTTCTAACCAGTGCTAGGGACTAGGAAGCTGGCTTACTCTCTTTTAAAAGCATAGTAGTGCTCACCCAAACAAAATCGAGCAGCGGCATCCGGTGCAAGAAAAGGAACTAAGCAGCATGCTACCGCGCGTGCAAAAATGCCGTCAGTACTTAAGTAGGTGCCGTTTTGCTATTCAAACTGGACCTTCAGCCGTTGAAACTTCTTAGGAGGAGCTTTCAAAAGCTTTAAACTCTGGCTGTTGTCTGCTGGCTTGGACGCCTTCTGCAGTTGGACGTACAGTGAAGTATATCACCAACGTGGTTGCTTAGGGGCCATCGCGATGCTCCAGCGATTCAATACCGTGTAATGCATTTGCTCTTCCTATTCAATTTCAAGGCTTTTACTTCGTGCTCCTTACAGTTTGTTTCGTCACCCTTGTGTCAGTTACTACTGTCAAAATCCAGAATGGCGAACTGGTGAAGGACTCAGGAGTTATGGATTGCCAGCTCAGGCTCGATACCAAACAGGGACTTGGTTTATTGTAAGTTCGGATATCACTCTGCAGTGTTAGCGCACAGCACATGATTACGAGACTTTGAGCCACGGTAGGGTCGCACTGCAGCGGAAAAGCTCTCACGGTCCTTTTGCTAGCCTGGAATGCGTCCTGTTCCAGAGGCGCATGCATTTTTGTCCGAATTGTCTGTAGCTGAAGTAGTGCAGTTATCCCGAAATAGGTATTTTGCAAAGCCTTCTGGTTCTTGAAACAATTTGGACAAAGCTGACCATGGACTGTATTGTTGGATTGCCAGAGGTCATGGGTCACGACAGCTTAACCGTCGTTGTAGACAGGCTCAACAAGTATGCTCCTCCCCTCCCTTATCTAACGTGTGTTACTCCTCAAGAAGTCTAACAAGTATTCTTAACTGAGACTTGGGAGCTTTGAAGACTGCCTAAGAGAATAATTACGGATATCAACAGCAACTTCGTTAGTGCGTTTAGGCATGCCTTTACGGCGCGCCCATACAGTACTTTTACGATGACCACTACACAGCTCTTCGACGAAGATGGATAGACAGAGAGCACCACCTGCGTTCTTTTGCCGTAATCGCGACTCGGTGCCCACAAATATCGAATTGCGTGGCCTGAGCTTCTTCCTTGTGCTGAGTGAATCTACAATGCACCAGTACACTCGCCTACCCCTTGCCGCATCCCTAGTGTACACTGAGGAGCCCTTCTCCAATCCAAGCTTGGACATGATCGCGGTTTTGAAAAATGCCGATGTTTGTACAGGCGCAATTTCAGTGCTCGGGCCGATTATCAGTCTTTGATGCACCTCATGAAGAGATTTATGGCAGTAGATACTCTTAGAGTGGCTGGCTGGCTTGGGTGGCTCCTTCGTACGACTCTGAGTTAAAGCACATTGGGCGCATTACCAACGGGGTCGCCGACGCGCTCTCGAGATTGGCTTTCAGCTCACCGCTATGCAGTGACGTCGTTTCGCCGTGCCGCTTGCGCAAATCGCATGAGCACGTACGTCCTGGCCACATTGTAATTAACATCGCAGGGGGGAAGCTCCGGCCGTGCGTCCTGCCGAAGAGGAGTACGCACTCTCATGCCCGCATTGTCAGGTGCTGAAGCAGGGTAATTCTTTTGAATCATTGCATAGATTGCCTGTTCCTGCGCTGCTTTAGACTGATTTCGTCATAGACCTGATTGTTGGACCTGCCGGAGGGCAGAGCCATGACAGCATGTACGTCGTTGTTGACAGGCTATCTAAATGCCCACTCCAGTTCCATTCGGGCTCATAACTCGCTCGATTATTCTTACTTGACCCTAGAATACTGTAAGGATTCTCTAGGAGCATTATTACAGAGAGGGATCGTAAATCGTTTAATCTTCTCTGGTGCGCTTCTATTATCCGCTTCACATAGACCATAATAATATGATCACTGCGAAACATGCTGAAGCAGGTGGTAGAAAAAGCTAAATACTGCATTCTCCTGCATTGTTCGCTGACATCTGCTCACACGTATCCCTTTGCTTGGTCCGAGTTTCTTCCTTGTGCTGAGTGGGTTTGCTTGACAACCGCATTGCTAGCTGTTTGCTCTACTAAATCCCAAGTGCACACCGATGAGCCCATCCCCGATGCGAACCTGGACTTTGTGATCCAAAACGAGCAGCCCCCCTCTGCAGCCCAGGGACTCAGATTACAGCTGACTAGTGCGCGCAAACGTAGTCGCAAACATCAAGAGAGACAAGCACGGAGGTATGAGAAGCAACAGTGGGCAGTTAGTTTTGATGCAGGAGACTTGGACCTGTTGGATGGCCAGGATCCGCATGGTGCACGACAGGGTGACCAGACCAAGTGGTTTGCGGCCATGTGACAAAGATCGATTGCTATTCTTGCACATGTTAGTGCTCTGTCTTGCTCGAGCGATTCCCTAAATTGGAAACGCCACAGAGTTACTAATATTGACTCCTTGAAAGCGCTTTAAAGCGCGCAAAACATTTTTGCGTCCTAGGCGCGCGGGAAGGTGACTTGTTTGTAGGCAGAGGAACCACAAGAAGTCGTAGAAGTGCTGGATTCGGGATAGGTGAGCGCTCATGATTCAGTAGACGGGAGATTCTGTTGAGTGGCCTAGGAAATGCCAACCGCATTCGTTGAAAGGAAAGCAGTTGCGAAGTTCATCGCCTGCAAGAAACTATGCAGGCCTCTTTAGTTCGAAGCGCTAGTTGCCCTGGACGCGTTCCGTGGTAACTGTTCTTCTCCAGCGCATATTCTGCTCGAAATGGCTAGCTCTATGTAGAGTCAGTGTTTGTACAGTTCCTGGTTTTCCTTGTTAGCGTATTCTCTGGAGACTTATATATGGAACTCAGGTATTTTTTATCCTTAAGCCTTCCTCCTACGTCTTCAGAGCCATTGAAGTCGACTGTGGTGCACGCACCGGCTGTAATCGCATGCGGACGTTGCTCTGTGGGGCACAGGGGCATTGCCGAGGACTTCATATTTTGCTTGTCTCTACCCATCTTATTGCCGTTGCAGGAGGTTTACACACTTTAGCGCTCCAACGGCAGCGGGCCATAACGTTGCTGCGGGCATGTGGGTTTAAGCCACGTTTGTTATTGGGTAGTGTGTGTGGCTTCCATTTATTGATTATCTCTACCAGTTAATGCCTACTTTGCTTTTCGCACTTGAGCTGCTTTACTGTCTCTGCATGCCTGGAGAGTGGCGATGAAGCAGGAACTCTTCCACTGTCTTGCTTGAGGTTGGTCCGTACGTACGGGTACAAACTACTGGGAAATTTGCTATCAAATTAAAGATGTGAAGCGGACTAAGCTACACTTTTGCACCTTCTACTACACGCTAGTCATATTTAACTAAGGGGTAGTCAAGAATTAAACAATTGGTCGGTCTGCGCATGTCTTGTTCGGCGCACAGTCGTGTTTGTTCGATACAAGGTGACATAATGTTGTTTGGGGGTGCGTTAAAGGTAATGCAAAACCTCATGGGTGTACTCAGCGCGCTCGTAGGGTGCAGATGTGCACATCCTGGCTCCAGCTCTCCCCTCATGTCGCGAACTGTGAGGGTCACGGGGAAGGAGAGGCAAAAACTCTTTCGTGAAACCGTAAGTTGTTATGTGGTTTTTTTTAAAATTTGAAGTGTAGGGCTTTTTGCGGAGACCTTACATGAAGTGTTACACAAAGCCTCAATACGGAGATTCTAGACGGACAGTTACACATGCACGCACATATATACATATATATGCACGCACACATACACACACACACACATGCATGGAAGGCATCACTTCGTGTAAATCTACAATTCAGTGCAGTTGAATACTTTGGCGTGCACCTAGCGCCTGAACACTTTCAGACATGCTAAGACGAAATCTCCATGGTACAGCACAACACCGAGCCCTATGTGGCCTTCCCCCGTTCAGTGATCTGGGGTAGTTCTGTCAGCAGCATTCTACTTCTAATAGAGTACTAGAGCTGGAGACAGATATAAACGGACCAACGTCGTGAGTTCATTGAACTCATTACTGCTTCTTTAAGGAGACAGCCCAAAACACCGTATACAAACTTGACAGGGAGCTGTCTAGTGTCATTCCAAAAACCCTGCTTCCCTCGTACCTGTCCTCACTCTACAGGGCTCCAGCATGAAGAGAGAAGGATGCTAGTTTGCACTTTGCTGCATGCATCTTGGTCCTTCACACCGGTTGCACGTTGCGGCTTATCGCATACAGGCGCACAATGGTACCCCCTATGCTTTAGGGAAAACTCAATTCTAGAGCAAGTTGGACGTATGACCGGCCAAACCGAGCAGTTGGCTTCTAACTGCTTAATCAGAACATAACAAGCGCGTAAGAAACTGCCAAGGCGGAGCTTGGCCTGGAACACCCCGAGTCCCAAGGAGTCTATGAGCCAAGGCCTTGCTCGCTAGCGGCTGTTCAGCGTTCTTTGACCTTGCCATCATCCAGTAGTCACAATGATTTTACTATCTAGGGCCAACTAGAGAATCCCAATGGCCATCTGTCTGTAAATTTGTTGTTTAGGGAAGAGGGCACTTTTCGTTGATCTTCAGTCTTCCTTTTGGGGGGCTTCAATGTGGAAATTTATAGCGTGCCTTAACCTTTTGAAATGCAGATACAATTTACTCCTGGCCTCACTGTCAAGAACGCGTCTGCCCATGTTCCGAGGCAGAACCAGCGGGGCAAAAGCGAGTATTCGGACCTTACTTGAGGAAATACATCAAGGCATAGTTGAACTTAAATTAAGGAGCTTTCCTGCATAGACAGAATAAAGCATTTACCCTCTCTCCCCGCAAAGTACATGTCAATCTCCAGGTAGACAATCACCTGGCTTTCCACAAGGCCCGAAACGAAGACTACCCCTACTGTAATATACGCTGCCTTCCGTATCTTCCAGTCCCTAATTGCCGTGCCTGCTAGCTGTACGGTGGGGCTTCCTACGCTTGCTGCATAGACACAACTGGTACCTGGTTTGGACCCTTCAGCGATACAGCTAGCCTGCACCACCTGCAGCAAGGGCTGGCTTCTAAGAAAGCAACGAGCAGTGCAACACTTTCAGGATTCAATGCCCTAGAGGCTGCACCTACATTCCAACTACATGAATACGAAATTGAGAGAAGTACACATGGTGAGCTCTAACTACAAATTGGTAAGCATCCTCTACGCCTTTCTCGTACTCGCTACTTTCAACGCAGGAAACCAGCACCCAGCCTACAACGCAACAAATTATAATCTCCACCAAAAGGAACCACAGGGACAACCACTAAACCCAACAGGGGCCATTTTCAAGGCGCTTCCACAAGCCCTTTTAAACGATTGAGGAGTCATGGAGGGGTTCCCATAGGAAGACCTAACACTCTTATCGAGGACTTTAAAGGTACCCTCTAATGCCCATCTCTACACAGGATTGTATGGTCCCCCATGAGCCGCTTTGGGATCCTCACTGGGTCACTTCGGTGTTCATTAGTTGTGGCAATTGCTCGACAAAGACATTTACACTAGAGAGAGATGGCAGAGAGAAAAATAATAGCAGAGTCTTGAAGGAATGAGGCTGTGGGGTGTCACGCATCAGAGAAACGGGAAAGGCACGGAAAATGAACACCAGGGGAAAACGACATAAGGCTGTTTCACGGCGAGAAGGGGCACAAGCAAAGTAGATGATGGATATCCAAGAAACACATCGCGTGTACAGGCAGTCCATGTTGACTGCTGGCTCAGGAGGGCTGGGGAGACAAGTGACTCAATGGTACATGTGACTGTCTACTCGCAGAAATGGGTAGCTCTAGGCGTCGGAAACCTGAACAATTACCTTTCGCTTCTTTAGGGACAGACTGAAATGCTACTCAAACGTCGGTTGCCTCTGCCCCCTGCTGCGTCCAAATGACAGGCATTCCACGTATTTTGCACACTTGGGGGCGCATATCACTACATGCACCACATAAAAATATTGCAACACACGTGGAGTAGCAGAGAAACACTAGAGCATGCCTTCCAGTGAGTCAAGGAGTAGACAGGCACTCGAACACGTGGTCTCTTGGTGCTGCGAAATGCTCCGGAGAAAGGAGGCTCCTCAAGGACCCTAACAGGTCCCTTTTAGCTGAGGAGAAGGGTATAGAATAGTCCAAGGGAAGGGCTATGGTCTTGGAGACTAGGCGAATTGTTGCGCTGGCTGAAGCCGGTCCCTCTGTTGGAGAACCGGCGCCAGGCGCTGCTTGAGATATAGAAGCTGGTCGTCCTGAAAGAAAATCAACGAAGAAAAAGCCAGTCGTTCCACGTGGAACTGACGACAAACCAATAAACTTGAGGACATGGTGGAGTGAAATGTCACAGTATCTTGGAAAGCGAGCCAATGACGGGTTTTCCACTGAGGGGAAGACGCAAATCGAGGGAAGGAGAATAACAGTGGAGGTCGAAGATGGTGATGAGGAAGAATGAAGAAAGGAAACTTACTTCTAATCTGCAGCGACGCCATTGCCAATACTCAATGTTCACAGGAAGAAACCCCTGAAGAGCGAGGTGCCTGTACAAGACACCATAAAGAGGATGGCCCCAAGATACCAGTGTGGCTCATTACATGAATTACTCAGCACGCGCTACTTTAGGTGGGCCTTCGCTCTAGGTCCTGGTGGCAGCTCTCCCTTGGGTGCTCGCTGGTTGTGCCATTGTTGTGTGGCTTCCTCAATGTCACTAGCCTGATCGTTCGGGCATTTATTTATTGATATATCTGCCAGTCTCCCTCCTTCCCCCATATCCTTGCCCCTCTTTGGGAATCATTGCCTTGCCTGTGCTTCACAGTGCATGGAGAGTGTTTGTACACCGTGTCTACATCAATGCAGATGCGCGTGTCCTGGTCAAAAAAGTCCACTCTGTAGCCCCCGCAGGCAACATTTCTCTGCAACTGCAGCCTGTGAGGCCCCCGCAGCAAATCGAGGGCCAGTGACACTTCTGCATGCAGCCCGCTTGTCTCCTGCCTATCCTGCATTTGCCTCGCTGAAGAAGACAAAAGAGACACGCCAACAAGGTTGGCAGTGAACACGAGGAAAAGGACATAGCGGAGAGCCAGCAAGCAAGAGACTTCTGGACAGACACCCCAGGAAATGAAATGTAGTATTACACGCACGGAGAACCCTGAAGCACCCTCGGGAAAATGTATGCCCTTTTGGTTGTTTCAAAGATGGAACCCATGCTGTCAGGTGCTTCATATTTGTAAATTTCCTTGCTGTTTTGCAGTAGTCCTAGACTCTAACTTGGCCCTCAAGTCCTGCATGTGCGTGGTGCTAGCCTATTAAATTATCAACGGTCATCATGTTCTACGGCACCCTGTTGCCACAAAGGTGCAAAATATCCTATGAGACTGCAAGTATGCCCTAGAAACTCCATCAAAGAAGCCATCAATACGCCTCTGCACCGGGATCCTCGTTCAACTGTCTCTTCGCTAAGTGACATTTCTGCTTGCTCTCCTCAAGACCGCCCACTATTTATTTCTTTCTATTGCCCTCTTCGTCGTGCGAATTCTCGCGCTTACTTGCTTCATCAAAAGCCGTACGCCAGGCCAATGGCGGTTGCGCCTTGCAACTCTTCAGTTCCAACTCGGCAGCCCTCTGAATTTCATGGACGCGCATCAGGATCAACCTGAGCTCAAGTAACAAGGAGACAGCAGGAATACTTCAGTGCACCTCGACTGAGGAGACGGAGGCTCAAGCGACCAGTAGAGTCCCGAAGAAGAAACAAGATGCAATACGCAAATTTGGGGGGCAGGATCAGCATAAGCAACAGCGAAATCTGGCGCATTTCACAACAAGCACCTGTCTTTCGACACTGGCTTGGCATACAATGCCTCCAGTATCCGCTGCAGCAAGTCCACCTTCTCTGAAGGCAGCACGCAGCAAGCGCAACTAGAGCGCACACAGGCTGGCCCTCGCCCCAACACTTTCAAGGTTACCACGAGTCGCTCCTCTCAAGTGCCTCCACCAGCCTCCGTGGCTCCTATGTGTGTTCAAAGGCGGCGCGATGGCGCCTTTGGCAGAAGACCGATTGATTCACGCTGTACTCTACTCGAAACAGCTCGTCCCCTCTCTCTAGCTGCTCGTTTGCTTGCCTTGAAGCTGGAAGCAGCAAATTGCATATGCAGCGTCGACCAGAGCGGCCGTGCCCAGGCGATGGAGCACCACCCCACGGAGGCCCGCAGAAGCAGTTTCTGGTGTGGAGGGGCCTCCAAAAGTTTTCTCAATGTGCTGCAACAACTGCAAAAGCATCGATTCAAGCCCGCTTTGCAAAGGCCCTACATCGCAAAGGGCGAGGGCCCCCAGTAACTGTGCGCTCTTATGGGGGGTCCATCCTAAGTCCCCTGCGGCGCCTCTGTCGCTGCCTGGCGAGTGCTGCTGTTGCTCCTCAGCGCTGCTGCAGTCTATTCTAAAATGCTGCAACAGGGTCTCGCAATTAGCAGGCGTCAGGAAACGTAGGCGGCCCAAGCCCTTCATGAGCACCAGGAGCTGTTGCTGCGAAAACTGGTGCAAGTTCTCGAAAGCCAAAGAGCTTAGCTGCCGCAGCAGAAATCCCCGAGCCAATCTGCAGCAAGAACGGCGTGCAGCCAAGCCGAATGACGTTTCAGCAGTAGGTTTGCATGCAGCAAGGAGCCACAGGCTCACACGTCTGACGCTATATCCTGAGTGGCCAGAAAGCACTCGCCTATCGGGAGGCCTTACCCCATGCTCGCAATCGCATCTATTGAAGCCGCAACATCCGCAGCTGTGAAGGAGTCGATTTCTTCGCTCATCCTTTGCAAAAGTAGGTCGCAATTACTGCGGCTGTAGGCCCCCCAGCGCCTCATGGCTTCCAACAGCAAACATAGATCGGGTGGCTGCAGTTGCTGCAGCTGTTGTTGGACCTCCCGCCAGACGAACTGCTGCACCTCGATGTCTCGCACCTGAAGAGCAGCAAGCGAAGCAGCTAGGATGCACAGGGAACGCGGAGAGAGGCAGTCAGCACGGGAAGCCATCTCGCGGCCTAGCTGCATTGCAAGCTGCAGCACAACACCAGAGGGAAGCGGCAGAAGCAGCAGCATGAGACGCAGCAACAGCGGCAGCAACAGATGAAGGAACTGGAGCTGTAGAACCCCTCGGCAGCAGTCACAAGAATCAGTCGCCTCTCCAAAGGCATCCTCCTCGAAATCGTAGCCTTCACAGCGAAGGGCCGACTAAAAGGAAGACGACCGATCCGGCACTTCCCGCTAAGAGAGGTAGGAGGAAACGGGAACCATGCCATACTTGCTGCGTTGCGAGGTTAGAAACTCTGAGCACTGCTAGGGAGCTTGAAATTTGCGCCAGCATCCGCCCATCTGCCTGCTGTAAGAGAATTCCTATTTGGTTCAGCAGCTGATGCAGCCGCTCATCCTTCTGCAATACTGACGCAACCCCGGGGTCCTTGCTGGCCCTCGCTAGCCGCCGAAGGACTTGCTGCAATGTGGGTAGGTCTCGGCTTGAAGAGTCAGAAACAAACTGCAGCAATTCCTCTGGATGTTCCAGCAGCTGAGCTGTGACTACCCGATCGCTGGGGGCAGTGGGAAGTGTATGCAAAAGCCGCACTTTCTTGTTGTTGTCACGGCTAACAATGGATGTGCCTCTGGAGCACCACTGACTGTGGTACTGCCATGTTGACACTGAAGTGGTAGCATGAGCAGCTGTTGGTGCAGCAATCGGCGGGCTATGTGACGAGGCAGCCTGGGAGGCAAGGTATCGCCTGATGAAGTGCGTCCCTCGCAAGCCGCAGCTCCGCACCACTGCTGGTCCTACGGCCGGCAGCATGGTGTCAGATTTGCAAAAGCTGCGAAGGCGTATATATGTATATATATATATTGAGGGGTTGGAGCTTCAAGGCTTATGGTTCACGAAGACGCATGCGTGAGGTTGGTCGGCGTTGAAGACAAAACGCCACGAGGCATGCGGTTTCAGCTTCGCCCTGGAAGTTACACCTTGAGGTTTTTCAGGATATGCTTGGTGAACAGCAACAACAACGCCAAGGAACTGGAAACGATGCTGCCTGCTGGCAGGGGGAAGGCGCGAGGAAATCGGCTCACGGGAACATGCGACCGGCTGGGGGTGGAAAGGGTAGGGAACGCTGGTTGTTTTGACCTTGGGAAAATCCCGTTGCGGTCTTCTATTGATTACAAGGGCTCTGAATCCGAAGGCTGGTATGCCCGGGGCTGGCAGCCCATTTGCTAGAAATCTCCCAACGAGCGAGGCGAGTGCAAGAGCCTGTATCTGGCACGTTATTAAGCCTTTCATTGGTTAAGAAGTTGAAAGAAACATTTAACCATTTTCACTAATGGTAGGCTAGCTATTATGTGCAACCGAGACATACAATGCCCTATTTTTTCCCCTCTGGATTCCGAGTGCCTGCTGCTTGTGCGTCATCAAGTCAGGCACACTAAAGAGTAGTCGTGAGTTTGCTTTGAAAACAGTGTGAATAGAGTATAGAGATGCTGGATAAATTAGGAGGCTCGAGCATAAGGAATTTCATTGGCGTTTTTTTACCTAACAATACTAGCATGTTGACACGATTCCTTCACAGCCTCCATCGTGCCTGCAGACTGGCAAATCAATTGCCACAAGAAATTTACCGCTGTTTGCACAAGCCCAAAAATGAAGAATACATGACAAATGAGTTGATCTTCCATGCAATGGTGTTTGCATTTCAGTTATGCTGACGAGTAAGTTCAGATGCATCTATTTTTTCTCTTCCGATAAGGACAAACATCGAAGTGCCAGCCTGGTGCCCCCGAATTGCAGATATGTCATACACCATGTCTCGGATACCCATGCACGATATGCCGGAAGTCACCCAATACCTGTAATCAGTCTGGGACTCACATAAGAGATAACAAGAGGCAACCACACGCAGTAAACGAAGAGGGACTTCTACCCCATTGCGGCAATTTTCGCTAAAGATTAAAAGACATCCTGCTCATGCACCGCTTGGCACTGGCGGCTCAATATACATAAGTCGATGACGCTCTCAGTTTGGTGGAATATTGGAAACGAAAGTGCGCGCCTGGGATACAGCGTGCTTGCGTTCCATGTTTACATGATACGAAGTTTATTAATGGTGAATCACTCCTCCCACATAAAGTGCTTGCTCTTCTCTCAAGATGTAAAAAAATCTGCACTGGAAATAAACACGTAGCTGCATTGAAAAAGACGGACCCTCTCTCACTACCCTGCTACCTCCGCCTTTCGTCTCTGTGTCTTCGCTGTGCGTTTGTTGGGGCGCGTGGTCAATTCAAAAAACTAGGTTCACACACAACGATCTGTAGCCAGAGTATCCGAGTCTCGGAAATTTATGCAGCTTAAAAAAAAACATGGATTGTCAGACGATGGACAGTTTGGCTGTATGCGAGGCGAGCGCTTCCTCGGCCTCGTGCCGATCCCTATCCTTCTCTTCTTTAGCTTCTTGCCTCCTTTTGAGAGCTCTCAGTCTGCTCCTTCTTTCATCTTCTAGTGCCTGCGCCTTCTCCCAATGTTCCAGCTTGACCAAGACAGCAGAGGGCCTCTCTCCTGCTGCTGTGACTGTTTGTTCGTTTGCGCATCGCTTTGTGTGCGTCCCTGCCGCGTTTTCTCCTTTGGCTTCCTCTTCTTCATTCGTCATGAAGCTGCCGTGCGACGCGGCGACGGCTGCGGCCACTAAAACCCAATGCTCGAAATCGCTTGCTGCACATTGAGAGCAAGCACAGCCGACGGCAATCGACGGCATTAGTAGTAACGAGAAGAACCGGTCAAGGATAATGGAGCAAAGAGGAACCTTGGGAAGCCACATGGTAAAAAGAAGACAAGAAAAACTGCTTGTTCTTCTGTCTTATGTATATCCAACTAGCCGAAAGCAGTGCAGGCAAGCAGGTGGAAGCGGTCGAGCAGAGACAAGGAAGAGAAAAGCAAACACGGGTTTCAGCAAACTCGAGTAAAACGAAGTCACACAGCTCAAAAGACACGACCTCACCCCTATTGTCTACCCTCCCCTCCTTTCGCAGTAAAGGACACTTTTCTATACGGAGTAACCGTCACAACCCCTTTCGCCAAGCGCACAACGGTAGTTTGCGGCGGAGGCAGCGAAGGGGAATTGTTACCCTGACAATGCAGCACGCATCCAGGAGCATCAGGACTTACACGAAACGTCATCATATAGCTGCCGCTTTTTTACAAAATCAGAAATTGCCCTCTCCCTCAGCTCCTCGTGTAGCTGGACGACTCTAGATCCTCCTCTTGCAGCAGCAACATACTGCCGAAGTTCCTCCAACCGGCTCCTCTCCTGCCGCTGCCTCATTTCGTCGCTTGACTTCCAGCCTTCCGTGGGATGTATCGGCACGTCTACTAAGCCTTCAAAATGCGAGACGCTCTCCTCATGCGTCACCAACAAGACACAGCAGTCTGTCTCAATGGAGCGGACGCCGGTCAGAAAGTCATATGGCACCGCGCCGTCTGCTATCTGCACCAACACCAAACATCAACCGAAAGCCCTATTCACCAAGCCTTAAATCAACGCATACTGTCTAGCTGGGAAATTCAAGGCCACGCCTGCTGGAGGTTCAAAAGGGGGAGAGACGGACCAGCATCTGCAATGCGGCAAGGTTGGCGCCAATTTTTTGTTGCTGTTGCTGCTGTTCTTTCTGTTGTTGCTGCTGTTGTTGCTCCCATTCCTTCTTGGTCGTAGCTGCTGCTACTGCACAACGTTGCCTCACGAAGGCATTAAGGCGCCTTCTCTCGAGAGAGTGAGGCTGATCGATTATCAACGCGCAGCCAGGAGGCAGCTGAAGAGGCGCCGCAGCTGCACGAACAGTACATCAGCCCCTGGAGCATTGCATATGCCATGCCGGTCTTTAAATGAAGGTATGTGCACACAAAGGGCCATACAAGTACATCGACGTATACATATCTCCATATTCACAGACGTTTTAAGGCTGAGACAGAGAAAGATGAATCGCCCAAGTGGATGTGCGTGTCTGCGCGCACGCTTGTGTGTGTGTATGTAAATGCGTATGTATGGCTGTCCACGTGTATGTGTGTTTGCGGGTGTAGAGTAATACGGAGCAAGGTTTCAGCTAGAGGTGGTGAGTTTCTTAGGGAGCGGAGTGAGGGGTACCATTAGCGTAGCTTGAAAGAGACAAAGAGTACGTAGCTACAGAGGAAGAAATTTACATAGTAAGTCTTCGCTGAGGTCATCATCTGCGAGCTGCAGGTGAGGTCCAAGCGCATGCATCACTAGGGCCTCTTCATGTGCAGACACCAGAGCCGCGAACGGCACCTGAAGCAGAAGCACCCAAAGTCACATATCTGTGCGATCTCTGAAGGAACGGAGCCAGCCGCAGCAGCAGCCAGGAGCTCGGTGAGTGCTGGGGTCACAACAGCAGAATTTAGTCGCAAGCCAAAGGAAAGAAGGCGACTGTCGCTTCAAGCACTCCCAGACACACGAAACCAAACAGGGCGGCAGTAAGAGCACAGGCAGACACACATGCACACACACGGGCACACACATACACATACATATACACACAGGCACACACACACGCACATACACATACACATACACATGCACACACGGGCACACACATACACATACATATACGCACATACACATACACATACACGCTTACCCATGCATACACAGACACATACACTTCAAAAACTGAGGCGAAAATGTTCAATGGAGGGCAGAAGCGAGAACTGTATCTACTTAACCTACTAGCTCGCGGCACGCATTGAGGAGCCGCCGAGTAGCTGCCGTGTGGAGGGAGCATACGCAGGCCTCTGTCGTGGCAACAGGAGGCCCAGCAACAGGGCAGTCCTCGGCAGACCCTGATGCTTCGGCTCGCCCTTCGCAGCTCTTTAGTGTGGCACAGCAGGGGTCTTGTTGCCGCTGCTGCTGATCACTGGATATACTTGAACTGGGCTTCCCAGATCTGATGAAAGCAACTCGGAGGCGGTGGTAGGCCGTGCCTCCCTCCTGTTGCTGCTGCAACGACGGCCGCGAGCACAGGGTCAAAAGGGCATACTCTGCTGCAACGGCGTCGCCTTCGAAACAGCTGAGCAAACACCGCAGAGTCATAAGCCCGTGTGTAAAGCAACTAAGACGGCCGACGCCCCAGCAAAAAAGGCCTGACTAAGGTAGCAAGGCATCCACAAGGGCCTTGGCGGACTCGAGAAGAAACCGTATGGCCCTCTGCCTTTGGTCCTCGAAGCATGATAACGCGACAGGCTCCTTGGGCTGCTCAGCACATACACAAGAAGAGCGCAACTCCAATAAGTGGAAGTAGCAAAGGCGCTTTTTGGGTTGGCCTTTGGAGCCTCATGCAGTCCCGTGGCACCGGCGTAGGGTGCTGCAGCGAGAGCTAAGGCATCGCAAAGCTCACAAGTAAAGGTGAATCTTTCCCATGGAGGTCTCGCCTCAGACGCCACTGAAGAAGGAATGCATGGATCCGCAACTGGGAGGCCCCTTGGCCACTCGTTCTGGGGGCCTTGCAGTCGCAGTTCTCCCGAGGATCAACGAACATATCCGCTGTTGCGTGTGGGCCTCCCCAACAGAACCCTGAAACGCAAAACCACACGAAGGAAGGCACACGCCAATATACACGAGAGGTCAATGCAACAGGGGGAGTGGCGAAAAGAAATGGTGCAGAGGCAGGAGGCGACCTACAGACAGTAGCCGTACATACCGACAATCTCAATGACGTCATTCAAATTGGGGAGGGGTTCTCCCTCCTTAGGATACAAAAGGAGAATGCACTCCCGCAACGCCAGTTGCTTCTGATGCTGGCGTCGCGGCTGGTGCCACCAGGGTGCAGCCCCTGGCGAGAGGCAGCAGCGGAAGGCATGGCGAGTCCAGAGGAGAGAATTGCTGCCAGCCGGAGCAGGCTCGGGCAGGGCCTCTCTGAGACACGAAGAGAATCAAGAGACCAGCGGATCGCAATGCAGAGGCGTTGTAACACGAACAACGAAATAAAGAGGAGGGCCCGTTATGGAAATGAATGGGCAAGTGGCTACCCGCCACATCCCAGCGGCGGCCGCAGCAGCAGCAGCAGGAACAGCAGCAAGAACAGCCGCCATCGGAGCAGCTAAGGACCTGAACTTCGATGACTCCCAGACACCATTTCGGCAGACAGCGCCAATAAAGCATTCGACATTTAGAGGCTGCAGGAACGCACGACAACAAAGCGGAGCCGGTGTGCTGGAAGATGTGGGGTGGATATCAATAGGGAGCAGAGGCGCTAAAAGCACTTGGGGGAGCCAGAAACGCAGCTGAAGAAAGGGTGGTAGTAACTGTGGTGGAAACTCCGCAGTGCACCTGCTGGACGAAGCAGAGGTAGCGGCAGACGGCCCCGTCTGGGAGAGGGAGCTGCTGCTGTGAAACCATAGCAGCAGCAGCAACCGACACAAGAAAACATTGGCAGTATGACACGTGGCTTGTAGTTCAGCACCAGCTACTCTTTAGGGGATGGAAGGATACTGCTGTTGACGCTACACTCTGCCACATGTAAAGAGGCGGGTGACTTCTGGAGTTCGGGCCTGAGGAGTTGCTATACATGTGAGATGGCATTGAGATCCTGGACGTCAGGGCTGTCTGCAGGAAACTGCCGACAGAGCTCTTCGGTATCGCCCCTGCAGCAGCAATCGCAACACCAACGCCACGAACGCACGAAGGTCCTGTACTGTCTTGTGGTCCGTTGTCCCTTCCATGTCTCAATTCTCTCTGCGAAGAGTTCCTTCCTCCTGTTGCCGCTCACCAATGCGTCGGCGGCACTCTGCCTTCGGCGACGGCGGTCGCCGCTGCCACAGCGAAAGATTTGTCAAGTCTCCTCTGGGCCTTCGCCGCTGCTGGAGGGGCAGCGCTGCTCATTTTCCCTGAGGATTCGCTGATGAGGAGGTGAGGAGTGGGAATTTCGTGCGACGGAGGGTAGACTGGCGTCCTGGGGTCGAGCCTTCTTGGGACATACGATCGGAGGATTCTGACCTTCCCGTGCAGGCTTTGGATTGCATCACGAAGCCTACAAGGCGATGGCCACTATGCATGCTGTACATCAATGCGAGAATGAGGAAGATGGGGAGGGAAGAGCGGGCTGCACATGTTCAGGTCTAGAAGGTTCCTGGTGGCGTTCAGGTTAGAGGTGGTAGGGGGGTCGGGGTGGAGGGACTACGGCTGGGGCTGCGTCCACAATCTACTGCGTTTAGGGCTCGTTTTGTGGGGTTTTCAGGCAATAGTAACACCATTAGAGGTTTCTAACTATTGAAGAGAGGCAGTGAAGAGAGAAAGGGTGCGTTCTTCGTACAATAGGTGCAGGTTGTGCGGGTCATGCCCCAGCTGAAACCCCTACCGCCCACAGTGTGCAGAGGACGCCCATTGACTTTTTTAAAATGCCACAGGAACGCACTATTTCATTAGATTTTCCAAGTATATGTGCGACCCATTTGTTCACCATATGCTGGTCAGCGCCTCTTCCTCAGGCCATTTGCTTCACAGCAAAGGAAAACAACGCACCATCACAAGCAACAAGGCCCTGAATAAGCCACCACTACACCTACCAAGTACGGCAGCCTTTTGTGTCTCTGGTGTCACACGCATTTACCAGTATCGTAACAGCGGCGGCGACATAACACCGCCACCAGTTGAGGGAGGAGTGGCAGTCGTAGCAATCACATTAGTCTGGGGACACGAATAGCAGACTGTAGTACTACAGCTGCGTATGAGTCATCCTGGACATGGCTGTGTATCGTGCTTCTACCGTTCCGCTTTCCTTTGATCCCTTAGAACTCCTAGAATTAGTGTTTCTAAGGACTGGAAGGCAAAACATACCAAAGTCATTGTTGATGAGCATAGACTGTCGCAATCCCGTCTGCAATGTGTCTCCTCAGGGCGTGACGATGCTGCAGCTGAATCCCCATTTTGACTCTATCGGCCCGCAGTTCGTCCAGGTCTACTATGAGACCTTCCGCAGCAACAGGTACTTGTGTAATCACACCTGTACACACTTTTGCAGACAATTTTTTGGAGGTACTTTCATAGGGGCCCTTCTGCTCTTTAAAATCCTACTGAGACTTCTGGTATCACCTTCGCACAGAGTGTATCCCGATTCGTGAAATCAAGCGGCGGCTTCACTTTGCCCTTGCGAGCCCTTTACCGTGCACTGTTGAGAGGATATTAAGAGTTCAGCGTGTGTCGTGTTCTGCCAGGGCGGGCCTGGCCGAGTTGTACACAGAAAACTCCTTATTGACCTATGAAGGAACGCAGTTCCGGGGGGCTGCAGCAATTGTGCAGAAGCTACAGGAACTGCCAGCAGTCGTGAAGCACCAGCTCGTGACCTGCGACTGCCAACCTACGCCGAACGGAGGAGTCCTTATCATCGTTTGCGGTAAGTGAGGGGCCGACCCGCAGCGACCTGTTGCACCATGTGAGGTGTGAAAAGCAGGCGCCACAACTGCTGCAGCTGCGACTATAGTAGTGCCCAAAGCTATCTCTATTCGCGGACGAATGCAATGCATGCATTGCAAGTTACGGATCTCACCTGCGCATGAGCTCTGCTTCTCCACTCCCTGTTACCCAGTGCCCAAGCGCACTGAGTAGTGTCGTCCCTTGGGTCCTGCTGAATGTGCTTTGTAACCTCTTGTGTTGAATGCCGCGGCCAGGGGACTTGGCGATCGAGGATAATCCTCCCATGAAGTTTACACAGTCCTTCAACTTGGTGCCTAACGGCAGTGGCACGTATGCTGGTGAGCTTAAAGTGTAGGGGCATAAGGGAGGGAGCAATTACCCGTAGGGCGGGTGACAGTTGGAAAGCAATAGCTTGTTTACCCTTGCGAGGTCATAGGGGCAGCAAAGATGCCTTGGCCTTTTCCTTCTGAGGTCACTTTCCTTTGCAGTTTTTAACGACTGCTTCCGCCTTTGCATCGGCTGAACAGTTGCACCACCTTGACCGTGAGCGGCGAGCTTCCGAAGTAGCCACGGGAACGACAACGGCTTCATAGAACAACGCCTGGCCTGTGCGCCGAGCCCCCTACACTGAAGCTTAACGCTTCGAAGCCTTCGGGACTTTCGATGCACGCGGAACGAGCAAGCGGGCTTTAACCTCGTAAACTCTGTCTGATCCTCTTGAAGGCTAAAGTGAGTGACATAGTTCTTCATACCGTCTGTACGGTTTACACCGTGCATGCATGCATTTGAATGCCTGGTGATACGAACATGACAAGTAGCAGGAACTACTGAGGCAGTAACCTAATACCCTAGATAGTAGCTGGCCCGCCTACGGGTAGATCAGTAGACAGGTATGCAGGCTAATTGGTAAAGAGCCGGGAACTAGGGATAGGAGGAGACGGCATGCTGCTACTGCAGCGCGCAGCTTTGAATGATGATACGACTGGGACAAATTCATGAAGAGGAGCGAACGCATGGCTTCGCATAGTGAGAGAGCGAGCGGGAAATGAAAAGGAGAGGCCATAGCGAGCTAGCTTGGATGCACTACCAAAAGCCACTTCAGATCTGCAGGCTTTTATTGCTTTTAAGTATACATCGACATCTAAAGGTGCAACTAGCGCTCTTTGCACTGGATGGTAAAGTTGCAGAGACCAATTGAACATGATGACGTTTGCGGTGAGTAGTTCCTCTCCACTGCATCAATAAAACAATTCAAGTTATTTGTTGGACACCTGGGCTGAGCCGCTGCAGCCTCGGAGGGTTGTTGCGGCTAGCTGTTCAACGGTGGTGATCCCGTATCTAGCTGGTGTGGTGGTGAGGTGTATTGTCTCTGGGTTTAGCTTTCCGTCCTTGAGAAACTCGATGTTCATCCATTTCTGGTGCCACTTGATCATCAGGTCTATGGTAGGGGTGGGCACGTCCACCATCTCGGCGATACAACGTAGTACGCACAGGCCGCTCGGCACGTCTTCTTGGAATAGGCGGCCCTGGACGCACGGGTGAAACCCGCCTGGCAGAATAGAGGAACACCAGCAGGCACGGACGATGAGTAGCAAAATGTGTTTACACATGCGTTAGATCGGGAGGCGATGAATGCCCCTCAAAGCTAGCAGGATGATACCAGGACAGATAGGCGACGAGACTGAATAGAAGCATAACTATTTTTGAGGTTTATGAAACGTGTGGACTTGTCGTTTAAACTTTAAGGTGGGCTTCATACCTGGCACTGCAATGGTTGGCGTGCGGCACGATGCATAGCCCTTATTGGACGACATCACTGTCTGCAAACTGCTGCGGTCCTTCACATCATCACCTGAAGAATCACCGAAAAGCGAGCAAGCTATAAAGCAGTATATGGATAAATTTGAGCCACTATCCTTGCGGAACAGATCAGTGATGTAGTAGATGATCCTAGGGAAGGGGTACTGATAAATGCGCCGCTTACCGTATTGTTCAACAATTCGCTCTTGAACTGGGCGAACAGTGCTTAGGTCCAAATCAGGGCATTTTTGAATGAGTGCCCGTTTAATGCTCTGCAATTCTTCGTCCATTAAAGCCAAATACTTTGCGGCCTCTGCATCAAATTCAGTGTATAACCCCCATGAAATTTCATCTTGGCGGTAAGCGCGAACGCCGTCCCAGTGCTTGAAGATAGAATAGTACCTGCGTGCAAGCGTTCTTTCTGACTTGGCTGTAGTGCACGCAGTTCTGCCCCCTTTTGCTGCCATCAAGAGTGGTTTCACAAAAATAAACGGCCTAAAAACGCTAGCGAAAAGGATAGCTCCGAGATAGCTCCCGCTAACGGAAAACATAGGAACGGGATGAACTGGCTGCAGTTGGACTACCTTGCCGGATGGATGATTTGGTTGCTTGGGGTGAGGGTCAAGCTAAGGAAATTGGGAAGCAGCTTGCAAGGTTGGTCGAAGCAGAACTGCATTATCATCTGCACCATTGATCTTGCACACGGGGGAGAAACTGCCATACACAAAAACTCCTTCGGACCAATAATCTCGACAGACTTGCCGTACTCCTGCATGCAAACGGCATAGACGGCAAACTATGAAACCTCAAAAGGAAACCGGTGCACGTGTCCTGCTGTGGGTCGCGGCAGTTAAAAATAATGACCATTGTACTGCGAGCACCTATGATTAGCTCAAACCCTCGGATGTATGTGCTTATGGCGCAGGTGAGCGGGTGCTCCAATGCCCCATAAAGATGTAGAAGGCTCAAGAATCTTCCGGCTGTATTTGTGGCACGCCACCCACGTCTAACCATGCCCCCCGAAAAAACTACATTCCCTTGCTCTTCAAGCCCCAGTCGGCGAAGCACACTTCACATGCTGGCTATATCCTGTAGCCTTTCTTGCTTAAAAAGCTCACCTCCCAGCGAGCTAGCCACGGGACGTGCTGCAGACCAAAGACCGCACTGAGTTGGCACTGAGTAGTACCCAGGGCACTTTCTACAGCCCAATCAAAGCCTCCTGCAGCATCACACCCCGTGAACCAGCTTGTTTGGGCGTCTTGAAGATTTAATCACCAGAGGGAGCATGCAAGTCATGCCGCACAACGATACCCATCACCGAAGCCCAAACCCCGCAAAATACGTGCATGTGGCCGGCAGAAACCACACCTTCCTACATAGCATGGGGAAGCCCATGGGGGAAAGGAGGCGCACAATGGCGGTACATATGGCGATAATTCGGGCAATTAAAACAAGGGCGACAACACACTACAGCTGCATTTGTTGTAGGGATATGAGAAATGCTCAAAGAATCCTCTAGAAACTTCGCAGTGTCCATTTCGCACCTTGCGCAAAGAGAGTCCCGAGGATGCATCCAGGTTTGAGATAGGGCTTAACCTTTTTCAGCAGGTCCAAGTGCACATGTGCTGGGGCGGCAAGCATAACAAGACTTGCGCTACTTACTGCCACCGCCGGGTCGTCAGTTATCCTGAAGGCAACAGAAGCATTGGACTTAAATTGCGAGAAGAAAGAGCCGGTACAAGCGGCTCTTGGTGTGGGTGTGATTGCTACGACAATACTTCACGGGGAGACAGAATCAGTACAAGACATCCATCAAGTACACTCTGTTGGATCGCTGCAGAACATGAGGAGTATTCGTCTTTGTAACCTACACCTTAATGTTCGCTTCATATGGTTCCATGGAAGCCCATCTGCACAGAGGGTTCGCCCTGACTTTAACGTTCCGGGTCCACCTTCCTGGCTGCCTTGTGAGGACGTGCACACAAAGGTTCTTGTGCTGCCTTGCCAACCAAGCGGCGGCGGCGCCTGCTATGTTCCCGCCCCCAACAATGCAAATGCACATAGCATAAGGGATCTGAACGCCTTGGGAAACCCAGGTATCGTTCTTATTGCAGATGCCTTGGGTAGAGCAACAGTTGCTATTGCTTGGATTGGCCCCGGCAGAGCAGTAACTAGGGCTACTGCTTCCTTTCTCTTGGGCAGAGCATGTAGCGGATGGAAGCGCCATTTTGCTTTCTAACGACTAGGTAGGAGAAAGTAAGGGGAGGGTGGACGAGAAAAGGTGTGGATGGGGGCTCAAGCAGTATTCCAACAGCCAGCTGCGAGTGCGAAAGACAGAGACCAAGACTACATGGAATTGCATAAACCACCGACAATCAAAATAATATGCAAAAAAAGAGGTTTGAACGAATAAACATCCAAATACTGCATCGGGAAGCATGTGTGGACAGCCCTAGTGTGCTTTGCTCTGCAGTCAAGGAACGCCCGGGTGGTCTCTGGTGTCGGCATACCTGAATGTACCCACGAAAGTCAATCCAGAGCTGTCCTCTCATCTTCCTCTACCGATTCTCTCTCCATACAGGTCATATGTGCGTCAGTACACCAGGTTTTTCTTTTCTACCCCCCCCCCGAATTTTGCCCTCTTCCGGCTTATTTCAGTATTTCTCGGACTGGCCACATGCACCTCAGTTTCTACAGCCTAGGGAAAAAATATATATGTCTTCACATCATTTACCAGTACCTAGCTATTTCTACTTCTGGACGGTATAATAAGCAAAAAGCACTACACGCAGTGTATAAAAGTCGGCAGTTTAGTCTTTCTGTTTCTTTCCGTCCGTGCGTAAATTTGGACATTCGGTAGAACGACTTTGTCGGCGCAGCACTTTGCTGCTACTAAAATTGTGCTGCCCCCATCAGGTACACCAGACCAGGGGTATAGCAAAGCTCCGTTTCAGTGGTGACGGCAGCTTCAGCCGGGGGTGCAGCCGAAACAATCACAACCAGCCTATCAGTCACAATTGTTGTCGTTGCATCTGTTAATGCAATAGCTATAAAAATGCTGGAGCGCTTATAAATACTGCTCATCACCCGCTGTACCCCACATTGCCCTTTTCTTGTTCTTTCTTCCTCTTATTGTCTACACTGTGGCAAGGATCTTTTCCAGTTGCTCTTGTTCCTGTGATATAGTGAGAAGATCAGACGTGGCTTCTGTAGCAATAATTTGCAGACTATCCCTTAATCGCTGCAGAGCGTCAATCCGCTTTTCAAGAAAAGTAACAGCATTTCCTGTACTGCTAGAGGAGGCAGAGGTGGTAGTCGCAGATAAGACCGTAGGAGTGCTAGACCGAGATCGACTTGCGGCAGTAGTTGTTGCAGAGGTAAGAGCACTCCCACCATTACTGCTAGCGACTCCGTTGTTGAGAATTACATAGCTGTCACTTGTAGAAGAATCTGTGACTACTGAGCTGGTGCTTCCAGACTTATTCTTTGGTTGAGTTACGGTGGTACTGCTGCCGTTTGATCCGTTGGAGACGGTGGTACCAACACTCTGCTGCACGTTATACAGAACAGACCTGCTCCCACTGGGAGTACTTGTGGAAGACGAGGACACCGAAGCTGTTGAAGGAGAAGCTAAACCAGAGCGGCTCCTCGAATTGCTGCTTTGCGTTTGGGCTAGAGTTGAACCTGACGAACTTCTCGTCCCTAGTATGCACATAGCATAACAGTGTGAACATATAATAGGAGTCAGAGAGGATGAAGATTATTTGAAGGCCTAGGCTGGAAGATATGATGGTGACAGGTGGTTAGCTCCCCGCGAGCTAGGTACCATTGAGCTCCATGAAGCATGAGCTGTGTGAAATACACCCCAATGAAGGCTACGTGCTTGCTTTTAAGCACTTTCATATGCTTGCTTGTGCCTATTTCAATCTTGTTCCTTCATAGCATTCTCCCACCTGACGCAGAAGTGGATGATGTGCTGGGTATTAGCCCGTTGTTTCCAGTAGCGGAATCTGAATAAGTAGCAGTCTGCTGTGCTCTCGGGGCTCTAAATCTCGAGCTTGAGGATGATACCCTTCCCGTTGATACTACAGTGCTCGATCTGCTAGCAACTGGCGAACTGCTTACTGATGTAGCACCCTGGGATGAGTCTGTGGCACTGGTGACGCTGCTGGGGGTTCCCTGGAGTCTGCCAGCTGCCAAAACGGTTGCCTGTGCTGCTGTTTTGATACTGTTTATAAGAGCAGCAAGCTCTTCTGCTGTAGTGGAGGAGGTGGATCCAGAGGCAGCACACCAAGTCACCCCTAGAAGGTAGGGGCACGCTGCCGACAACCACAATAGTGAAAGGTGGCGAACCATCTTCAACAAACCGCTGCACAGAAGGGGAAAACAGCGAAAGCACAAAATGCCGCGGAAAAAGACATTGGGTGGCATAGGGGGCAGTCATACACAAAGGCAAGAGGCTAGGGCTAGTGGGAAAGAAAGTGAACGGAAGATCAGGGGCATTAAGGGTAAGTGCTTTTGCGATTTGCAACTCCGAGAACTAAAGCTTATGGCTCCACCTCAGAAGGTCTACAGAATGCTACTTATGTGCAGCAGTGAGAATGGCTCGCTGAGTGTAGCAAGATTTCAGTCAATGCCGTGCGGTAACATCCGCGCTCTAGTAGTTGCTGGTTCCGTGAGGATAACTTCCTCTACGTGAAAGACAAGAAACAAAAGGCCATTTAGGGCGCATAAGGCAGCAGCGGACGAGTTAGCGGATGACTGACCGGAAGTCAGAGTAACAGTAAAGAAGAGAGGGAGACACAGCCTATGAGGGCCTAGGCCAGGGGTGACCTCACCAATCAGAGAATCACAACAGTTTGTTTCAAGATCCACGGGACTAAAAGGATGCACGAACATAACTTAAGTGAAAAGAGGCAGGGATTGTCGCTCATACCACAGAAAACAGCCATATAGCTGCCCCAAGCCAGGGAGGGCCTAATCAGGCCTTGCCACCATTCCCTGCAGCTGTATCCATCCCCGCGTACTCATTTGACCGAGCCGTACAAGAAGTTCGTTTTCCAATTATTTATTCATTGCTATTTTGGCTTGCTTGATCAACTAATGATTTCAACATTATTACACCAGAGTATGCCCAGGCTTGCGCCAAAGACCCATGCATACACCGCAGGCTAACCGGTGGACAGGACGACCTGCAGGAACAGCAAATCAATGGACACATATGAGAACCTAAGCCAGGTATTTATCGTTTATCTGCCAAACCAGCCCACCAAAATTATGTGAAGTGGCAGAGCATACATACTTTACATTTTGTTTGCTCGCTTTTGTGGCTGTTCACAGAACCGAACTCGAGACTGCGTAAGGTGCTCGGTTTGTCCTTCGACACCTACCCAATACAAAACCACATGGTCATAGTTTCTTGATTGTTAACTTTTGATAAGGAAACAGATTAACTGATCGAAATATTCTCTTAGTATCGTCAAACCTACGATCGGAATGCCCCACCGCGTCTACCCCTGCAGGCACTGTGTCCAGAGTGCAGCGCAGGGTGGTCAGCACTTCCTTGTACTCGAGGCATTGAAAGTCTTCTATAAAGGTGTAAACAAAGTTTGTTGTTTGAATCATGAGCAAAAATACAAGGCCCTATGCAATGGGATGTCGAACAGATCCACTTACTTTACCTACCATATTTGTAGATGGTGGAGATTATTTCTTAGGGTTTTGTATGATGGCATTCATTCAGTCGAAATGATGAAGCACAGGAAGAAAGAGTGGCTTTTACAGTCGCGTGGGAGTGAATTAAATACCTGTTGACGGTCTTTCAACACACGCCATGCAGGTTTCCAGCTCAATGCCACGATCAGCACTGTCTTCGTTTAGGGGGGAGAAAGATGCGCGCAAATCAGTAACTGCCCATATGTACTACCGAAAGTGCAAACCACAAGTAAGGTTTATTTCTGCTGCGAAAATCGGAAAAAAGCCTTGCAATGAGTAAACACGGAATTCGTATTGTGTGGCGTCCAGATTTATGCATATGCACCCATCCGTGCACAAGTGAGTCTTGATTTAGAAATGAATCTGCACCTATGTGTATGTGTATATACGACAGTATATGATTTTTGAAATATCTGCGACGATAAAGGCAAAAGTAATATACGCACATATACATATATATTATAAACGTACACAAATGCCCGCAAGTATGGTGGTGCTACACATACAAATTGACGAAAGGCTGTATATACACATGTATAGGTGAATTTTACTCATATGAACGCAAAAGCGTGTGTTCATACATTAGTAGCAAACGCATGCGCCTTTTCGCCAGTAGTAGTGCTCTTTCCAGCAGAAAAACTATTTGCACAAAGGGAGCCGAAGCTACATACAGGTGTCTTCTGTTGGTGTGTGCATAGGCTGCATCAGATAGGGCAAACGACAAAGGGTGTAGGTGTCCCCAGATGGCTAACGCTGGTGGCATTAATTCAATGCATAGGTCGGTGTACATTGCGAAAATCAGACTTCCTCGGTAGGAGACGTTAGGTAGACAACAGCTAGAAGAAGAAGGGATTAGCCTTCATTTGGCAGATTAAATGAAGGAATTAGGTCCCGGCCTCAAATTGTAGGAAGAAAGGCGGAGGCACCGTATGGCTTGCTAATTAATGGCCAATGAACACCAAAAAGTATCGATCTGCATCGTCAAATGATTTGCGCTCACTTCTTCCTCCCGGAGGCACCCGGACCGCCAAGCTTGTTAAACATATCGATTTCAAACCCCTCTCCTCCAATCCCAGGTGTGAAGAACTGTGCATTATCTCCTCATGCATTATTTCCCCCAATTGGCTCATCCATTTTACTGTCTTCTGAGTGGAAACTTCTGGTAGAGTCAGACACCTCACTGAGGCTCTAGTGTGGATTGCACGTCTTCATTGGACATTTCCATTTGAGATTTGCTGGCTTGCTCGTAATGCCAAGTCTTACAGCACACGCACCCCTCCCAACGCTTCATAAAAGGAGCCAGTCATGTTTACCACTAAAGGTTGACTCTATTCTGCGGCAAAAAAGCAAGAGAAAGAGCTTCCCAAGCACAAATACCCTCTTACTTTCAGTTTTGAGTATGCTGGGTGGCGGTGGATCACCGGGTTTGACTCTTACTTGCCTGCACTTTTCGCGTGCTGCAAACTGACAATGCTATAGCTCAGCTGCACATTAAATGCGATTTCATAGATTCACACCGGCAATCCAGCGATGTCTCATGAACGTGGTGTCACACATCTACAGTCCTCACAACAGTGAAGCATAATGCGTATATCCTGAAAGCATGAATTGTGTTTTATACAGCCCACCAGCCACACGTAAAACCTCAAGCTGTCCTTCCGGAAACTTTTTCCTGTACCTGTTGACAGCCGGTCCAACATGCTTGTGTTTGGCTGAGCCGCACTGGCACAGTCTCTAGTACACGTTACACGTAACTAAAATCAGTTTGAAATTGACTAATTGGTATAGTTAGTATATCATATCTGTTGCAGAGTATTCCTAGCTTGATGAAAGAAGGCGCAAGTGCGTTAGATGCTTCACGGAACTATCTGTGAACGCTCGGAGTGCAAGAGGGTACAGCTGCGCACCGAAGCTGTTCTTCTCCCCCCATGTCGGAAAGCTGAGGGGCGTTGTCGGGAGAGAACGAAGGTATTCTGAAAGGTAGTCAATAGCTTGCTACGAGTATTATATATTCTGAGGTCAAGTTAATCCATGCAGAATTAGGTGGTGGAAAGTCGCGGTCGCTAGCACCGCATGCTTTTTTTTTTGTTTTCCGCCCATCCGCTGATTCTGCATGCAGGAGGATGTCAGCTTTTGCTACAGCAGGTGCTTGGTTTTGACAGACTCATTCGGCGATTCAGTGGTTTGAGTTTTCTTGGCAAGAGGTTGGAGGAGCAAAAGCCCTGTTTGGCTGCGCCACAACGCCTGTTGGCGCGGCAGAGGCCGGCCTGCAAGTTAATGAGAAAGCAGTGGCTCCGGAACCTGGAGCAAGGCATTAATGGCCAGCCGATAAAGTCTATATAAGTGTGCCGATGAGATATGCCAATCGGAAAGTTTGACGGCCGTAAGAATAAGCAAGAATCCCAAGATAGCCTCAGCCGGTTAAAGATGCACCCCACCTGGCACCCCCCAATGAGGAACAATGAGCGCACCTGCGTATTCTTTCTTTGAGGAAGAATTGCTTTTATGTGGATCCATTACTTCCGCGGCAGTCGTCTGCGTGCAGGGATTACTAGCTCAAGCACCCACACAGGCCCTGACCTATCGGCTAATGCCGGTTGCAGGTCAAACAGCAAGCGTTGAGAGGACTGACAGCGCTTAGCCCTAGGGTTTCATGCTTATATCAATGTATCCATCGAGAAGTATGAAACTGTGGCTAGCAAATGGTGCAACGCATGCAAGCAGCTACTTAACCAGTGATTCATGTTGGGTCTACCCGAAATATCATGTCAGGTGTTTGCAACTTCGGCAGCGACTCAGCGAATGCGCAACCGGCCTCTGGGGCATTCATAAAAGCTGGAATATGAGAGGCTTTAAGATCGAATGAGCGCAACCTCTGTGCCACCGGCTGGAAGGAAGCGCCAACTCGGGATCTAAAAGCAGTTCTATTAAGGCTGTGCCAGGTGGCCCTAGCCTAGAGTCTAAGGTGAACTAGAAAATATAGCTAGGGGATACTCGCGCTCCTAGTCAGCCCCCAACAGTCCCCTATTGGTGCACCTGCCTCTAATGTGAGAAATTGGGACATATTATGCGGAAATGAAAGCGCAAGTAAAAGGCCAATGAGCTTGAGCACCGGGACTGGACACAACAAAAGCAGGCTGTATGGCAAGCAAAGAAGGTGCATCGGGGAAACGGAAAGCCCTTCACGCAGGCTGTGGTGTAGTGAAGGGTGCAACAGAGGATAGAGCCGCAGTTGGGGACTTTCTGACCCACTGTGGATCAAGTTTGTGTTGACACAAGTTCCCATCAATGGTCAAGGGATGCTAGCGTTACTTGCCACTTTACGTAAAGTGGATCTGTTGTCTGAGGAGAAAACGTAGGATATCGTTCTGCGAGTTCACTCGTCAGCGCAGTCCCAAGGACCCAGGTTTGCTGATGGGCGCCAGAATACAAGAGATAGGCATACTTAGCTCGATTACCGCTTCAAACCAGAAGGAGATCCTCTGTACGTGGTCGTTACTTCTATGTTGGACCTGTGTATAATGACGTGGTCTTGGATGTGCAATGGCTGACCCAATGGCAGGCACTCATGCGGCCAAATCTGCTTGCTGTGGAGGTTAGTGTAGTAGAAAGTGCAAGAAAAAGAAATTCGGTTTCCTCAACAACAAATATCTCGTCTATTTGGAGAGGGGTAGAGTGGGTACCCTAACAGTGTAAGGCGGAGTCTTCATGGGAGCTGCTCAGCAGCGCAGTAAGCGACTACGGCTCTGACCACGCATCGCATCTTTGTTGCATTGCAGCTGGGTCCTTCAATAGAAAAACTGTATTACATCTTTGGCTTTAAAAACAGTGAAAATGGGCAAATATAAAGCAAGAGTCCGCGAATGCCTAAAAGAATAACGAGTAGCCAGCAAGTTGGCCATCTGCTGGTGGTCCAGAACACCCTGTTGAACTTATCCATGGGTCAGCACTATTGGCGGTAGCGAAAGCCTCCACTGCACGAAGAGGAGATCGAGTGGTGGCCAGATGCTATTTTTGAAGAAGGCAAAATACAGGATTCTACAAGCGCGCTTGAGCAAACCCGGCTTTGATGATAAAATAGGACGCAAGAGCGCCCATGTCTGTTGAGTCTGAACTTCTGAACAAGTCTACTATATAGCAAAATCTCTCGTTTCCTTGTACTAGCAAGTTGCGTGACTAGCTATACAGGTCCGCATTCTACTCGACATTGACTTTACAGACACTCTTTTTCAATCCTTATTCACCCAGATAAAGGTCACAAAACGGTGTTGCACTCCTGCATTCGCAGATCGAGTATACCTGTACTCGGTTTGAGTTTGTCAATGCCACACCAACGGCAAGCTTATTGGGATTTCTATGAGTCTATGAAGGAAAGCTGGAAGGCTGTCTACAAAAGTGATGCCTTAGCCTTTAGGTGAAACATCTAGAAGCACCAATGGCACCTACTGCGTGCGCCTCAGCCGCCGCCAGACAAGCAGTGATGTTCACAGGCACATGCCAGCGGACTTTTTATGTGAACAACTGTATTCACGGAATTCCGTGTTTTGGCTGCATGGATTGAGCCGGATTCGATTTAAATTGAAGCAACACAGGGCAGCCGTCACCATTTCGCACCAGCAAGGGAGATGCTATGCTTTGATAGCTTTCATAAAATTACCGAAATGTCACTGTAGAATGTTTTTTGACACTCTTCTTTGATAACGTTAGCGAAATGCAGTGTGTGAGCTGGACAACGGAGGCTGATCCGGCAACCACAACGCTAATCGGTAGTCATTTATCTCCTCCGGCAACGGCGCTGCCCGAGTATGAGCGTCAATTCTTTAAAACAGCCAATGCTAGTGACGCATTGGTGGGTTATTGCCTCTTACACCAGGCTGAATATGCCCCAAAACACTAAATTACTGCTTTTCATTCCAACCTATTCACCGAGACTGAGCAGCTGTTATAGTGAGGGAAACGAACTCCATGCGGTGTGGAACTTTGTAAACCTAACATTTTTTTTGTGAAGCACCTTACTAAGAGTCTGCAAGAGTTCGAAAACCCTAGGGTAGTTTGCTGGCTTGGGCGACCCCGCAGTACAACCCTACAGTGAAGCACAAGCACTTTGAGGCACCAGCATGGTCGCCGACGCGCTTGTTGCGAAGCTCCAACGGCTCACTATTAAGTGACGCAGCTTTTCACGTCTGCAGTGATTTACGCTTCTGTTGAACTTAAGAGCTATGTGCCTGCCACTAACAGTAGTGGCCAAAGGTTTAAGCACTACCACGTGAGGGCGGCCTGGTGCGATTCTCAACGAAGCGGGAACTCCGTAGCGCGTATATACTCTCCTTGCTTCGCAGTGCCGTTTTGAGTGGCGCAAATAATCATGTTCTTTGGAGCCACAATGGGATTCACATTACAGTTTCAAGAGTCTCACGGTTTTTGGGCGGCCTTAAGTGCGTTTCGCGATACAGAGTATCTGTTGTCATGCCCATATTGTCAGCAGTTGAAGCCACGCACGTTTTTTAAACCTGCCTTTGTGCAAAGTGCGCTGTTCTTTGGAAGGCATTAGTTTGAAATGAACACAAACCTATTGCTGAACTCCCGAAAGGCAGGGTTACGATAGCATCTAAGCCGTTCTCGAAAGATTCAGCAAATTTTTTTGTCCATTTCACCCCTGCTTCAGCTCTGCCACGACTCACAAATTCCCTCATTTAGTACGTTCTGTTTGAGAGTTATTAGACTTTCCCAGAAGAATCAGCAACTAATGGAACCCAAGGTTCCTTGGTGCGTTCTGGTATGCCTTTCTGGCCTGCCTCCACAGTGACCATATTCTAACCAAGGTGGTCTCCCCTGAGGCAGATGAGCAGGAAGAGCACGCCAATACCAACGCGTTGAAGCATTTCTGACTTTATGCTCATTCAGAGCAATGTGCTTAGCTTGACTTTCTTTCTCGTTCTGAAGGGGTTTATAACACAACAATGCAATTATCCAACAGCTGTGCTTCTTCCCTGGTCCACGCGGAAGAGCCTGTGTGCAGTTCGCGCCTAGCTGGTAGTCCGCGCTCAGCAACTAGCCTGGCAGCTACGGGACTTAGAGAACACCAAAAGCTGGCAAGTGCACGCGAATGTATGAGCAAAGCCTATGCGCAACAAGCACGAACTCATGATAAACGGCGTTCGGGTGTGTATGTAGCCTGGAGATGTGGCCCTGGCCAATTGACAAACCCTCTAACGTACATGGCCAGACGAAGGATTTTACTGTCAGATGGCGAGGACCATTTGCGATTTTATCACAAAACAATACATCTTCTTACTTTTTCAATTCCCGAAATTGTTAGGAGCCACAAAAATGTCAATATTTGCTTATTGTCAAAATTTTGAAACTCCACAAGTTATTCGCAACAACCAGCACCGCAGGTGTCTCGTCCCTCTTGAAGATCTGCCTCATACAGCAGCTAAAGAATACGTTGACTTGAGTACGGAAGACGGAGGGACAAGCGTTTCCGGTAACACGGGTTAAGGAGTGCCAACCGCATTGGTCAAGGGAGAAGCCATTGCGAGTCTTGCTGCGTCTGTTAGACTTTGCGCATCTGTTTATTTCAGAGCGCCAGTCGTCCTGGACTTTACTCACCGCCATTCTTGGCAGTTATTCCCCTCAGCACATACTCTACCTTAAAAACCTATTTTTGATTGTGCGTATTGCCTGAAACGCTTTTGGTTATTATTGAATTGCTTTTTACAGTTAAATTTATTCTCAGGAACACAAGAGCATTTTGTTTTTGCATAATTATATGCTTCTTCGGGGCCTCTAAATCAACTATGGTGCATGCACCGACTATATTTGCATGCAGAGATTGCCCAAAGGGCGCTGAAGCACTGGCAAGTTACTGTGTATTTGATTCCCTTTACACATGTAGCTTGTCTAGCGTCTTCTTGTAGCAAGGTGCTCACACGCTTCAAAACTCCGACCACAATGAGCCCTCGCACGAGCGCGGCCGCGTTGTCTTGGCCCTGCATGCGGTGTTGCCTGCTGTCTGTGGCTTTGTTCCCATCAATTTCACTTTTGTCGCTGACAAACAAGTTTTATTCCCCATGCCCCCTTTGTTTTCTCAATCGCACTGTTTCGTTGTTCTGCATGCCTGGAAAGTGACTTTACTTGGGCCGGGGTAAGCGGCAGAGCCGGAACGTTTCGGCTGTTCTGCCTGAAGATGGTATCGGCGGACAGGTACTGAACACGAGGGTGTGTGCCTTTGAATTGAAGGGGGATTTATTTAGCGAGCCCAACTACGCCTAGGCATTTTCTACTACACTAGTCGTATTCAACTAAGAATTACTAAGGAATTGGCTAATTGATTAACTAGTCGTATATCTTATCTGTCATAGAGTACTGCCAGCGTGAAAAAGGACGGCGCAGTGTTGTCTACGTGTGCGCTAGATGCTATGCCTATCTAACTGTGAATGCCCGGACTGCCTGCACAACGCCTTCCAGTTGTCCCTCTTCCCTTGTCTGGGTAACTCTGAGAGCGCTGGCAGAGAAGAAGGGAGCTCTTTCGCGAGACACTCAGTAACTTTCGAATAGGTTTCTATTGAGTCTATACTTTAGTGTCCCCCTACGGATACCTTCGAAGGGGCGGGGAAACAACATAATCTTTCACCACAAAAGAAATCCATCCTAGAGCACAAGAAAGGAAACTTTGCGACGCTACTTTCTTTAGCCTAGACTTGAGAAGCGCCGCCAGTTCCTGCTTCTACTGCATAACAAATTTAATCAGGCTATGGACCTCAACTTGATATATCTTACAAGTACTGGCCTGCAGTAACACAGCATGGGAGCCCCAAGGCGAATTCCCATTTTGCAGCATGCAGCCGCATTAGTCCCAACCAAGGAAGAAAATCATGTGCTCACTTCTAGTGCAGGAATTACATCGCTGTTTTCATTTCACAGAACAAGTCTTCTGGTTTCAGGCTTTTTCTTCCTCCGAATGGCTGCTGGAGGGGCCCCCGCGTTGTGGGGCTGCCTACGCCGAAGCACAGCAAGCTTACCCTTTTGGATATCAGGCTCCCTATTGAGCTCGATAAGTCCGAAAAACTCTATTTACATGCAGTGTAGGAGCTGGGTGCTGTACCAAGAATCCAATGGGCAGATGCAGCGGTGCATCTCCATATTGCACTCGCGAAACAGACCACCAAGACTTCGAGTCCGAGTAAGATCAGGCTACATCCACGTAGCAATTGCAAGATAAGGAAAATTTAACTATTCAATTGTCCTATTTTGCCTTCAAGGGATCAGGAAAAGTCCAAATAGTAGTACTGGTGAAGTGTATGTAGCTAGATCCCTACGAACTACTGCTGATATTGAACAGCACAATCTAGACCACAACAGCTTATTTAATTTGATATTAGGTACAAAAAGCCTAGGTTTAGTAATCTCGTACACTGAAGTATCGTAGTACTGCCCTTAAGTCTTCGTGCCTGTATTCTAAAACCCTTTTTGCCTTTGTGATTCCAGGGCCTTCCTTTTTCTACAACAAAGGCGGAAGTTGCCTCTTTCTTTAAAAACTATCGACTAGCTGGCCCGTATGAGACATCTGTATGCCTGTTAACCCTTCCCTCGGGTCGACCGAGCGGAGAGGCCATTGTGTTCTTTGAGGATGCGGAGGAGGCATTTAGGGCACAGAAAGAACAACATATGAAGTTCCTAGGCACGCGGTGAGGTAGCCAATTTGTCGGATAATCGCTCTTTCCTATTCTTGGCTACAGACAATTAACAGCTTAGCATGTAACTACAATCGCTTCCGACTTTTTCGGCAATATGGCATTTGCATTTTTCTGCGCTACTTTGAGATACATTGGCAACGCATTTCGCTCATTTTGCCTTTTCAGGTTTCTGGAGCTGTTGATTGACTTCGATACAGGCGGTCCTCAAAGCTGGATAGATGCCCGGGAAAGGAGCGAACACATAAATAGAAAGAGATACATTGGCGACAACCGCTAAGCACTGCATGCGAAGCAAAGGATGCAGCAAGGGTTAGTTGCATATGTACAGTACAATGTGCGAGCATATCGACATGCGTTCTAGATTTTTAAAAGATACACTGCCAGCGAGTGAAAAGCGCAAAGCGCACCGCCTGTCGGCCCGAGCAGTAAATAAGAGTTGATGTGGCTCTCTCATGGTGCCTAGGAGTGTTGCTGGCTCAATAACTACAACCAACAGTCATAAACGACACCAACAAAAAGCTGTCAGCATCCTAAATAAACCTTAATGGGTGCTCTTCGACTCTGTGAATGGATTCTATTCTCGCAAAATGTAAAGGCTTGGTTACTCAGGTGCCCCCCGCTGGTTTCACCACCGAGAGCGTAATACCAAGGGCCCCTTTTGTAGTAATTCCCCACTAGCTAGCGCTCAAGCCTTTGTCCTGCTAATATGGTTGCAAGGCGTGCGTGCTGATAGCGGGGTCGCGTAGTACTACAGCTGTATTTGGGTAGGGGGAAAAGGTGGGCCGCTCACCCCTCCAAAGAGTCCTTCATGTCCTGGAGTTCCTTATCGGCCACGGAGCAGGCCTGCATCATGAGTGCGTTTGCCTCCGCTTTTGGCTTAGGAAGTTTGCTTGTAACTGCCGATGTGATGATTGGCTTGAGCTTGTCAGCCATCTTGCTCATGAGGTCTCTGGCAGTTGATTTCATCTTCGTGTACAAGGTCGTGGACTGTTCTTCGATGCTGTCAAAAGATTTCTCCTGTCTGTTCTCTGTGGTCGCGAGGGCTTTTGATCTGCTCCTCTGATGGAGCATAGAATAGTTCTTTAACTGTGCCACATTGGTCTCTTTAGTATCTCCCAAGTCTACAAAGTAACAAGAAAGCATAGAGTTCAAGGAGCCATAGTGCAGGTCCTGCGCGCAAGGCTGGTGGGTGTAGCGAGGGCTGCATAGTCCACTATAAGTATCGCTGTAGGGGGGACCTGGTGAGCCACTAGCTGCCACGTGACACGTGGGCTCAGCTAGGTAGATGCCTTCATAGCTGCCATCGTTTCCGATGTTCATGTCAATACGTATATAAAGTTTTCCAGAGGCACCAAAAGCAACTCTAGCTATCGCTTCCCTGGGGTGCAACATGGCATGCAGTCCATCGGAAAGTGTCCTTACGTTCGATGGCACCAAGAAGTGAGTTCTTCGTTCGTGCTGCTGCTTCGACCGACTCTTCCGCCGTGTGTGCGATTCGTTCACAGCTTTCTTTTGCAACTTGAGAAAGAGAGCCGACGACTGACGATAATGCGGACTGCAGGATGCTTTTTACTGCCGTGCCGATTGAGTCGTCTGCCATCAGCATGGCCATCACTAAGAAAAACGAATTAGAAGCGCAGGTCACACATCGTTTATGTGCATAAATTGTGAAAATACAATTTGTCTCATCGATTTCCTGTGCCCATCCGTCCTCCATGATTCGCTCTCAAACACAAGAAAGAGGCAGCAGACAGCAAGGAACATGATAGATGCTGCGTAGTCGTAAGAATTTGAAGTAAGTACTACCGAAATGCTATGTACCACTGTCTACGAATACTAACGCCTTTCTGAAAGACAGAGAATTCGGCGTGAAGTGCAGGATCAGAGGAGAGTGAGATAGCAACTATTACCGGAAAGGATGTGGCGGTAGAGGCAGCACAGAGGAGATGCAGAACAAGCAATGAGAAAGGGAAATAATACATAGCAGCACCACGATATTTATATCTATCGCCACCTTCTAACTCGACCATGGAGAGTGCCTCATCCCTGGACAGGGACTGATGAAATGACGATACAGAACCTTCGCCATGGGAGCCAATGCTGGTTAACCGCCACCTCGACGGTGAGCTTGTAGGCACATTGAAAGCGGATAATACTGGGATATGAATTTGCAGCAGGATGTATCTGATTCGTCAGATCTGCATAGTTAGTGTTGAGCCCCAATCACTTCCACCTCAGTGAGCAGCATTTTACCATATTGTCCTGCATTTCCCCCCAAAAGGGGTCTGATGAGTCGCAGTTAGCATTAAAGAGAAGATGTTTTGGAAAGATTGATCTCAACAAGAGAAAGACCCTGAGTTTCTCCGTGAGAAGTGCCTTCACTGATGCTTCGCATGGGGAGGCCTCCAAAGGGGAGCACGGTCCCTTGAGCCAGTCTAAGTGCCACTCAACGCCACTTAGAGTACTATTGCTTTAATTAAGGATATAATTACTATTATTTGGCTCCACAGTGCACGATCTTTGGGCCGTGGAACTTACTGAGACCATTGGCCCACGCGGTCAGGACCAGAGACATGCAAGCAACGCTGCGAACAATGCGGTTGATTATTGTCACTTTGCAATCAAGAAGAAATATTGAAAATAGGTGTAAGAAATGTAAAAGACTGGAAATGAACAATAAGAAGAGCATAGACAACGGCAGCATGCCCTTCAAAAAGCACAACTGGTAACTCCCCACAGAGACAGGCGACAGAGTGGAACCGAACCAAGCGGAAATAATGCGACGAGGCTGGCTCGGATTGTAAACCTCCATAAGATGTAAGTCTAAAGAATACAATTTCGTGAAATAACGAACAGGGGCCCTTTCGATGTAGTTTAGGGGAAGCGAAAGAGAGAGGCCAAAGGAAGCAGGTCCTTACATCGTTCCTTTGGGAGAACAACAAACATACTACAGGCTGCTATGTTCACCTGTGAATTTTTGACTTCTAGCTGTTTCAAACTGGGAATGTGTTGTAAGATTCCCGACCTCTGTTATCTTTCTTCCTAAGCAGGTGAGCAGAGCCTCTTGCGTAATATGAACACGCAGTGTAGTCCCCCTGTTGGAAGCATAGGTTTTACCTCGTTCTAATGAAGGTTTCTGAAAGCGATCAATGGTAACACAACTCACTAGGGTATACCACCATCTCGAGCTATAGTGATGGGGTTCTTTTCGCTCCAAAGAAAGACTGCAGTGCCCTCGCTGCTCCTCTGTAGTCCTGAAATCCCAGCGTTCATGGCAATTAGAGACAGCTGAGAGCTTCTCTTCGCTAAAATAGGCATTGCTTGGAAAAAACTCCACATTGCGGCAGCCGTGTGCAGACTGAAGGCATTGATTGTTGAAGTCCTACGATCGGGAATGTCGGCACACGAACATTTCCTGTCCTTATGAGACAAGGACCAAGGGGAAACCTGTGAATATTGTTTTGGGGAGTGAGCAGCATACGAAGACGGCGATACAATATCAGGGGCGCTCATGCCTTTATTTGTTTTGCTTCGCCGTAAGGTCCTTTGAGACCTTTTCCTCGAATATTTTTCAGGGCCCTAGGCCACGTGTGGCTCAGGCTCTTTTTTTGGTTTTCCAAAGGATCCTCGCGCCTTCTGTTGCACTTTACTCTTTCTAATGGCACCTATGAAGAGGAGGGCCTGTGCCCATCCTGCGAATGGCCCGTATTTCCTTTGATTGAACTGTTGGATTGCGTCATGAAGTAAGGGGGACAGCTGATTGCGGCGAAAGTGCTTCAGCACTGCTGTTGCCTCTGGGGTTTTATGAATTTCTGCGGAAAAATTTACAGACAGAGGCTGAGACAGATAGGAGGCCTACGAAGAAGGTGGCCTAACGGCAAGAACGAAACAAGGTCAACAGCAGCCACCACGTAGAAGATAACGTTACCGCATAGAATATAATGTTGACGAGCCTCCGGACCCTCTGCAATGCAACAAAGACAACAGCTAATAAACTCTCTGTTCACCTGAAGAAGAAACCAGAAACGAATGAAAGTCCTTGTCCTCCATTGAGTGCTGCATCAGATGCGTGTCGATCGGCCAAGCAGCAGAGAATCCCAAACCGTACAGCGCCACGCACTCCGCTACTTTTCGACCCACACCGCTGCAACAAGAGCGGTCACGAACGCATGCGAACCGCAACAGATCATGCAGCAAAACACAACCTCTAACAACGTGGCTGCCAAACTAGCCTGCGGAAGGAAGCTAGCATGTAGATATATCTGAATATCAGAATGCTGGATCCCTGTAACGATGAGAGGAGGCTCAGGCTACATCGGCCCCGAGAGTGAGATTAATAAGAAAGATAAAAGAAAATGGAGCTCACGGAAACTCCAACAGAGCCTCCCTTGCTTTCCGCAGACCCTCATACGGGGGTCCCTGAGTCTCTTGCTGCTGGCACCTCAACCTGTCTAAAAAGGAGGGGCCCCCCAGCTCCATTAGGCGGATCGCGGACCCATTAACAAGCCGCGCACGGTATCCAAGACCTGCAGAGGGGCCTCGAAGAACCCCAATGGCACAAAGCATACAGGCAGGCTCAAGCTGGCAGTCGTGCACGGCACCCGTGGCTTCTTGCTCAGGGGTCACTACTAAGCAGGACATAGAAGTAAAGCAACTTTGGGGAATAACTCAATGCTGCACAGCGAAAACGTCAGAGAGCAAAGGCCCCACAGCACACAAAAATGCAGGGATCCCATCTGTATTTTAAAGGGCTGCTGCTTACCCAATTGGGTAAGGTCCTCTACAGAGGCGGCAGCGAGGGAGGCGACGGACGGGAAGGCATGCCAAGTCAGATGAGGATTTCCCAAGAAATCACCTGAGGGACGACTTGGCGTGGCCTTGGCCAAGGGGAGGCCGAACCGCTCTCGAAGGCGGCGCACCATTAGAGTGATGCTGAAAAAGAAAGGAAGACAGGGATGCATCATCTTGAGAAGTAAAAAAATCAGGGGATACATGATTCAAAAAGCAAGTGGCAGACGATGTGAAACCAGAGCGAAAGAGGGTAAGGGAGAGCAGGAATTTTTGTGGGCTCCCATAAGGCACCCCACTTTTCGTTAAAGGGAAGGGCTCAGGCCGAGAGTTTAGGTCGTAGGCATGTACCGGGGAATATTGTTGTTTGCCGAACAAATGAAGCAGAAGAGGCACTCCACGGGGTCTATTCCAAGAACCCTCAGGCCTGTACCCCGTGGAAGACCCCACCTGTGTCGTAGACGCCACCATGGCACCAAGAAGGCCTTCAACTGCCTCTGTAGACTGTACTCTCTTAAGGGCCTTTCCAAGCACATGAATTCAAAAGGCCCCAGAAGACGCTAGAAAACTGAGAGAGTAAATAACTGGTCGTCTTGAAAAGGCAAAGAAGGGCGAAGGGCCCCTAGGGCTTCTAAGAGTAAGGCCCGTGGTGGGAAGCGGAATTGGGGCCTCCTTGCGAATCCTTACTTTTGAACCATCTTCGCGAAGGGAACATCTAAGCGGAAAAACTTCCGTAGAGCCGCCTCTTGCCGGTCAAAGGCACCGGGCCCCTTGGAGTCGTCTAGCGCTTCCTCGCCATCATGAACACATCTGAAGCAGCATCATAGTATACCGCGCGAGATCTAGGTAGATATCATCCTGGTTCTGAAAGCCCCACGGAGGGCCTCGGCAATCCATAAGGTGAGGAGGAACCTCCCTGCAGAAGCCTCCTGGACGCTTCTCGGCTTCAAGAAAAGCCGCGTAATGATGGGCCTTAGAGGCGGTTGACTTTTTACCGGAAAAGTGTGGAGTCTGGGGCCTCCTTGATCTGGAAGACTCTTCGGCCCACGAGTCCCTCCCAAATTCCCTCCGCAACTTTCTCAAAACAAAACGATTGACCTATGCGCAAGCACAGAGAGGCTTCTGCTTTTCCGACTCTGCTTCTTGGTGCTGCTATCTTAGCTGTGCAATTCTTGGAACGCGGGGTAACACACCAGTCGTAAGGCATGCAGAGGGTCGCAATTCTTCAGGGGGCACGCGGAGGTCTCTCCAAGTGTCCTTGGACACATCAGGGCCCCTAGGGCCCCTTAGGATTTTCTCGTCAGCAGGCAGCGCTGGAGAGGCAGCGGCAGTCTGCGGCTTTGCAGCTTGCGTAGGTGACTCAGGGGGAGAACCCGAGAGGGCCTCCCTCTTCACGTGCGGAGCATCGAGGGCCTCCGGAGCCGTTCGTTGATTCAAAGGCACCATGAGGCTCTGAGTGGCCCCTGAAGACTCTGTTAAAGTGGTCCCAAAACCCCTCTTTTTTCGCAATTTGGGGGGCTTTGAGGGCTGCCATCCATTCGACGACTCCTCGGGAGGGCCCCTGCAGCGGCGCCTGGGCCGGCTCGAGCTTTGAGGGCCTCTCTCGCTGTGTGTCGCGGGAGAGTGCGTAAGGGGGGAAGCTTCTACAGTGCTTGATGTGCTGTTGGGGCTGTTGGTGCCGCTGCAGGCACCGCCAACGCTTCTACTGGAAATGCTAGTGGTCTCTAGGAGCGGCGTGCAGATACCTGGAGGACTCAGCAGGGAGAGGCTCTCGTCGCCTCCTCGGAGCCGTTGCAGCTTCTTGGTGGGGTTCCTTACGCATTGTGGCTCCTCTACCGAATTCATGGTGGGGAGGAGGGCCCTGGCGATCCTTCTCGAGAAGCTACACGCAAACAAAAGATACAAGGAACGCATACGCTCCCACAATACTACTCAGATCAACGACTTTGCCAGAGTCTGGTCATGCACGAGGGCCCCACAAGGAGCAGAAGACCTTGCCAGAAGGCTATTGGTGCTGTACGGGTTCCCTCGGCGGTTCGAGCGATTTGCTTCGTCCTGTCTTCCTCTGTGACCAGTACGCTTGAAGCTGAAATACAGATGACCTAGGGAACGAAAAGGGTAGAGCAATTATGGAGGCGCCTTGGGGTGTTGGTGATGACCACCCCACCACGCAGCGGCAGGCCACTGGATCGTCAGGAGACCGTCAGGACTGGGGGGCCCCCATGAAAGCGTAGCGGCTTTTGTGAAAAGGGGATATCACTGCGCCGTTAAGCCTCTATATTCTGTGCAGATTGTTAAAGAACCCAATTTGCGGAGTAGATTCTGCGCAACCGTTTGATAAACGAAGAATGGTCGGTGGAAGTGGGGGCCCTTGGGGGCCCCCGGTCGGGGAGGAGGCATCCCTTGCCCAGAACTTAGTGTCAAGAGATCTAACCCAGAACGAAGCCACTATGGCCTGTGAAGTGGTCCCATTGGAGAGCGAGAAGGGCTGTTTTGAGCACAGCCGGGATGCCTGTGAGCTGCAGGTGCTCTCCGTTGGCGCGCTAGGTGATCAATGCGATCGGCTGCATGGGACCCTTTGGGTGGAGGGAAAGCTGCTGGCTGTGCGGCGTCAGGGACAGGCCCTTGCATTCGCGGACGTGGAGGTATTTGGAGACACCCCGCAGCCTGGTTTATAGGGGTGTGAGGGAGGCAGTGTGCGTAGAGACCCGCAGCAGTTCGCTACAGAAAACGCACTTCAATTGGAGTTTCTGCTCGTCGGTTTCTGCTGCTGCCCCCGCAGGTTGCTTGCCAAAGGAAGGCGGAAGAGATGACTGAGGCCATTCTTGGAGAGGCAGCAGACGCCCCAGTCCTTGAGGGAGACCCCGACTTGGCAGCTGCTGCTCCTCCTGCTGCTGCTGCAGCGTCTGACGAGGCGGCTAGAAGCCAAGTGCGGAGAGGCGGGCGCTGTCGTGTGCAGCTTGTTTTGTCTGCCGCGGAATACTGGTCATCGCCCTCCTTCGGGTCCTGTGAACCTCCGAGGACAGCAGCAACACCAACCCTAGCGCCTGCCTCTGCTCGCGAAAGCGTCGCTACCCTTGGCCATGCGACGCCTGTGATAGCGGGATTCACGGAGACAGCAGGAACGACGGCAGCAGGCGTGGAGGCTGAAACAGTCAGAGCCAAGGGGATTCCTCTCCCCTGCGCGCTCGAGCTGCTGAAGCGGGCCCAGTCCCTCAGGGTCTTGAGCACTGCGACGCATGCCAACTCCAGAGGAACTCCCACTCTGACTGTTCGCCTTGTGCTCAGAGTAGAGGTATGTACGACAGTGAAGGAGATCCGTAAGAGTCCGTCCTTACCCCGGGCCTTTTCTGCCTCCCTTTATCTCTCCTCTGCTGCACAGCAGCGCCCGCCGCTGCAGTCCTCAGCAGCAGCTCGGGCGAAATAGCGCAAGCAGCACTTCCTCTTCTCCCTCAACGTCATCCCATTCGTCACGCCCGCAAGGTGCTAGGTCGTGTCTTCTTCTGATTTGATCTCAAGGCAGTCCCCGACTTCTTTGCGTTTTCCCGCGTGGAATCTCTTTGGAGGCGTGGTATCCTCTCGGACAGTCAAGCAGCGGCGGCCTTTGGGTCCAGCGTAAAAATCCTAGAGGCTTTAAAGTGCGCAACCCCTCGTGAGGCGAAGCTCATTTTGAAGGCTGCCGCGCGGCGGGCAGCTGGCCTCAGGCTTTTTAGAGAGAACAGACGGCAGAAGCTCACCAAGGACGAGGAGGCCTTGTTATTGCAGGTCAGTTTCCTTCTCTCTCTCTATCGATATATCTCTATCCATCTCTATCTGTCTCTATCTGTCTCTATCTTCAAGAGTAATTTGTGTAGTAATGCTGGGCACACGTCTCTCCTGTGCCCCTCTACGGTATACCTGCTATCGCGAAACAGGCCTGAGGGGCTACCTCTGGGCCTAGAAGCGCAGTATTTGGATTTTACCGCGGTTCTACTAGTGCGTTGTCTTCGCCGCTGTACAGTTGGAGCCGCTGCGGGTTGCCTGGCCCATACATCCCACAGCACCCGTTGACGTCTCGGCGAAGGGGGGGCCCTCGGAGGAGTCTCCCAAAGTCTCAGGAGTGGAGGAGGGCAGCAGGATGTCGCTGGCACTGGCGACTCTTGTGGATTTGCCAGAGGACAAGCAAACAATGGATCGCGTAGAATGGGTGCTGAAAAAGAAGCTGCCGCAGGTCGAATGGCTTGTTGCGCAGATCAAGGAGATGTACGACGCAAAGGCGCAAAGAGCCGCAGCAAGTGAGAGGGTTGAAGGACCACCAAGTATTGGCCTTCAAGTTAAGCGGCAGTTCTACGGGGCCTCTTGTTTCCTGGCAAGGGTCTAGTGCCTTGTGCTCTGCTTAGGCTTGTACTGCGCCTTCTCTTCCGGTGTGACTGTTTCTCAGTGAGTGACCCTTGGACCTTTAACTGCGTGGATGTGGGGGGAGGAAGGGGCCTCCTCGCTCTGGCGCTCGCAGAGGCCCTCCCCAAGGCCGAAGTGCGAGTCATAGATAACCACGCACCGTCAATAGAGGCCCTCAAGACACTGCTTCAGGACGAGAGGATGACGCGAATCAAGCCCATCCATGCAGACTTTGCTGAACTCCAAAACGACTTGTACGACCAGCACACGAGATTACGAAGGGCCCATCGACAATAAATGGCCTCTCAAGGCCCCTTTGCCCCTCTTCCCTCCCCCCTGTATAGGACTTCCTCTTTTCAGAAGAAAGGAAGAAAGTCGTGTAGAGACCGAGGAAGGAAGGGCTCTGCACCAACGAACAGGGGCTGCTACGGATGTGACATGCGTCTCAAAAAGGAAGTTTTTCGAAACACCACGGCTATTACCCATATGAAGGGTTTACAGGCCCCTAGGCGCCTCTACATCCTAACCCTCCGGAAGTTTGCACTCTCGATATATGTGTGTCGGCGTCTGTGCAGGGGATTCCCGGATGTGCTGGTGGCTCTGCATGCTTGTGGGGGCCTAAGCGACGCTGTGATTGCTTCTGCAGTGAAGCACCGATGCAGCTTTCTGGTTTGTTGCTGCTGCTTTTCCAAGCATCCGGTCCTTCGGGACAGGACCCTCATTCAAAGAATTCTGCGCACCTCCCCGGCTGCCGCTGAAGGCACACAGTGCCTCCTCTGCGCACCGCAGATGGCAGTAGACACCCACATAAAAGGCGGTCCTTGCCCCCACAGACAGGCCCCAAATACATGTCCAGTGCCTCTTCCCCAGCCAGAGGCGTCCGTAGTAGGAGCAAAGGCATCTGGGGGAAAGAGCAGCGCGTTGGGTGCTCCTGGTGCAGCTGCAGTCGCGAGAGTTCGGGCAAACGTAGAGGGTCTTGAGGAGGCTTCCTCGGAGCTGCCTCAAGGAGCTTGTCAGGAGCTGCAAACCCTCTTCAGGTAAAGGCAAACTCTCTCTGGCTTGCTTGCTCCAGTGAAGAGGTAGTCGACTTTCTTCCGGGGGATTCCCCGTAGCAGGAAGCCCCACTCGTTCCCTGTGCTCCCGTGTCCTTTTTCGTCGAGGCAAGCTCTATATCATTCTACGTTTTTGCTTTATGCTCCTCTGGCAGTGCCCAGCTGCTGCTGCTGCTGCCAGTAGCGTCCACGGTGTACGTACGTTCCCGCGAACGTGCGTTGCTCTAGTAGCGCATTCCTCTACGCGGCCGCTACCTTATGCTTGATGAATTCGTGAAGGCCAATCTTGACACTGCATTTTACTTGCCGGTCCGCTGTAGGCTCGCTTCCTTTGCTGCCTTCAGGCTCGCTGACAGCACCGACCCCACAGTCGGGCTGCAGGCAATGTGGGCAGCCCTGGCGTGGAGGGCCTCCGTTGCAGTGTGCCTAGCGAACACTCCGGAGCCTGACGAGGAAGTGAGGCCCAATGAAGGGACTCCTCAGGGGCCCTCTGCCGCCTCCCTGCATTGCCGTCTTCTTTCGTTCCCCTCTTCGCTTTCTCAGAAGAACCTAGTTCTCCTGGGAACCTTCAGCCCCAGAGGAAGCGCCTCCCAGGAGGCCCCTAAAGGCCTTTCCGACCGCGCCCCTTAGACTAGCGTAGTGGGCGGCTGCCTGTCATAGGGCAGCGAAGACTTTCGATCTCTAGGCTCTATCGAGTAAAGTCTTTTTTAAAGTGTGATGTCGCCAGATTAACAGGAACGTAGGAATACCCCGGCAGCTTGGAAGCCCCCTAGCGCCGCCTCAGGGCAGGCAATTAAAAGTCCCTTTTCTGCTCCCACAGGAGCAGCCAGGGGCACCAGCGTCACCTTGTGCAGAGCCGCCAGCCTCTCAAACAAAAATGAAGGGCCTGCCGCAGCTCTGAGGATAATATGTACAAGTCTACGCTTGCCGCCAGCACAAGAATAAGAAACCCCTTAAGGGCCGACTGCAGACCCGAAAATGAGGTACCTATCCTCCGCGGGGGGTTCTCAGCTCATCGCAAACCCCCCAGCGGCTCCTCTAGTCTTCCAGTGACCTACTTAGCGGCACCCAAATACTCGGTGGAAAAGTTCTTGCCCCTGGATACAGACACACAAACACACGTTTATACATGCATATACACATGGAGGCGTATTTGCAAGTTCCCTTTCCTCTAAAAGGCTCCCCTCATTCTACCGTTGAAACTCGACACAGCAGCCCGTACAAACGTCTCTTGCGAGCACCCCCGCTTCTTCTAAAACCTGCCCCCTACTAGGCTTCCATTCACGGGGGCCCCAAGGCGGGACTGGGTACGCTTCTGGGGCCCTGGCGTCTGAGAGGGACGAAAGCGGGAGGGAGGCCCCTAAATGCAGGGCCTCTTACTGCGTTACACGGCTACATGGGTGTGCATGCACGGGCGTCGTGTGGGTCAGTTCGGGTCAGTGCCCTACACTGCAAGGTTCAGGAGAAGAGACTCTGAAGACAAAAGAACTTTGTTTGCCGATTTCGCAATGGTCTGCGCAACATCGCGAGCAGTGTCGATCCTCCTCAGCTCCAGGAATGCAGGGTTCGACTTGACGGCATTTCCAATCTGCGAGGCAGACGCACCCACAGGCCCACAACAGACGGACGCAGATGGCCTAGGGCAGGTGCAGCAGTTGCGTGTGGAAAGGGCCACACGACAAACTCATGGCTAACACACCACAGGTTAAGACAGCAGCAGACAGCCAAAAAGCCGACGACAGAGGGAGGCCGGTTAGGGCGCTCTGCAAAAAACGAGGCGCTCAACAGGAGCCAAAAAAATGCAAGGCCTTGCCTGACCTTCTGCATTCGCCCCACTGTACATACGGTACCGCAGGAAATTGGCATACAGCCAAGCGGGGAATGCTTTTTTCGAGCGGCCCAAGCATGCATGCACGCTTTGCGACGCCTCGAGAGATGCACGATCCAAGGGCTTTACACATGCTCAGCACCCCTAGGCCTTTTAAAGCGCGACTTCTACCAGCACCAACCGAGCGGCAATCAGCCCGTGCAGACTCACAAGTTTGGCCGCCTCGGCTTCTCCCTGTGCTCTAATGATAGTGCTCTTTTTTTCCTCCAAGGCCTTCAGCACGACGTATTTACTCCTCTCGGCCTGCTGCTGCGCAACCTGCTTGGCTTCCACAGCCCTCTCATACTCCGGGCTGAAACTCAAGTGCGTCTGAGCACGCGCATACACACACATATGTACACATACATGGATGTACACATATATATATATATATGCATACATGCATGTACACGTAAATATATATAAACATACATGAATATACAGACATACACGTATATAGACACTTATAGAGACACACACAAGTGCACAAGGCAGCTCTAGAAGTCCTAAAGGCCACTGTGGCAACGTCGCGAAAAATATACATGGGGCCCCTGCCCTAGTGATGCCCAGGCTGCAAAGCCGCTCTTCACTGCCCTCGGCATCTACCGTGTCAGCTGTGTGTGCTGCCTGTTCTCAGTTCAACTCAGGGCACCCCACTGAGAGCAGAAGATGAGGCAGAAGGCGAAAAGAGAAAGCATGCAGAATGGCCTGTCCCTTCGCAACCCCCTAGACACCTCCCCGTATAAAGGGCCCCTGATCTACCCCCGCCATGAGGCGCTCGCATCAACGCCCTGCAAATAATGAAAAGCCTACGAAAATTTTCCACTCGGGCAGGGCCCCTTAGTACACTCAGTAAGGCACTGGAAATTGCAAGGAAATGCTCTGTCCGAATAAGCACGCACCAAAGACACGTCATCGAGAAGAATATTAAAGTCCTTTGCTCTTTGCACGAGTTGATCCCGCACGTTCCTCGAGACAAGCTCTCTTTGGGTGATGAGCTGGGACGCGTTGAATTGCGCAACCACCGACTTCAAGACCTCATTAATTATAGATGGCAGCACCTTCTCATCGTAGTCCATGCCCAGACGTCTGTACACTTCGGGGAGGCGGCGCTCATCCGGGCGAGAGAGCACGCGGCATGTGATGCTGACCATCTGAAGGTCTGCGAACAAATAGCGGGGCACCAAACGCTGTGTCATGATAAAACGGTGCATTTTGCGCTTTTCACGGTCCCTTATACATAGGAGGCCTTGCACAGAAACCCTTCTTACGTAAAAGACAGCGAACAAGAGTTGCCGTCCATAAAAAAGAGGCCCACAACGCTGTGCACTCTGTCTATCTATCTATGTCTTCCAGTCTCTATCTGTCTGTTTCCCTCTCTTTTCTTCGAGCCCCCTCTTACCCCTCGATCCCGAGAGGCTCATGAGCACTCTGGGCCTTGTGCGAACATCGTAGATGATGGGCCGCTCTAGAAACGGAATGCAGAAGTGGGTACCCTCGAAGTACACTCGGTCGCTAATGCCTCTCAGGCGATTGTATATAATCGCCCTGTGGCCTGCCTCCACTGCAGATCGCAACAATGCAACATATCAAATCCGCAATCAACACTCTAAAGCGACGGTTCTGGCAAGGCCGACGGCCCCCAGATGTGACGGGAGCCTCAAAGCCTACGCCCGGCGCGCTGCCTTGAGTCTGCCGAAAAATAGGAAAGGCAGGCTGTGACATATATGGAGTTGTCAAAGAGGAGGCGCTAGCAGGTACGCAGAGAAGTTCCATAGATCGAGGCCCCTACCGTTATACAAAGAGGTGTTGAAGAGCCCGATTGCCCCGGCGACGCCGGCCAAGGCCACTGCACCCGCTCCTCCAATTCTCTTTAGCGCCTGCGGGTCCATTCTGTATGAAAGGCTTGGCAGTATCGTCTACAAGCGGCAGTCTGAGTGTACTGCTGGCACTCTCAACCAAGTTGGCCGGGGGGGTTCGCTAGAAGGGAAGGCGATCGGCCCTTGCAAATCTAAAAAGGATGAAATTCCAGAGGGTGGCATAAAGGAAGAAGGAAGATACGAAGAAAAACAGGGAGAGGGGTCCGAGATGGTCTACATGTAATGTGGTGTGTACATGCACCCCAAAGAGCCCCTCGCGATCGAGCTAAGCTTTCACGCCTCCAGTGGCCGTAAAACCGCAAATGCAATAGGGTTATGGATAAAATAAGGAATTTTGCGTGCGAATAAGCCGCCATCAGAATAGAAGAATCCGGGCCCGCCGCATGCAGCTGTGGGGTGTGGGGCTGGAACAGACCGTGGTCGTTCAGGGCTTGGACGAAACTTCCATAACCGAGTATCTTCTCACCACATAAATGCCTTCGTAAGGGCCCTCAATCACCAAGAGTCCCTCCCACGCAGCTACTGCGCCTCACACTGCAACTTTGTTTTTCTCCGCACGCATGCCCGTAGGCCCAGTGCGCATGCGTCCCCCCTGTGCCCACGAATGACCGCTGTCTTTAACCATCTATGGTTGCATTCAGCTCAGTAGCTCTGTGGCGAAGTAGAGGGGCTATTATGGGGGCGTTCTGTCTTACTGCCGGAGGTCGCAGACTTCCGATCTCTACTCGTGTGCATTTAGACAGGGCAGAGGCTGTGGAATACTTAGAAAAAAAGCACACAAGAGGCGCCCTCTAAAAGTACCTCATACTAGCTACAGAAATATATCTTAGAAGCCTCTTATTGCATTGCAGAGGGCTTTTGCCCTAATGGCGCCTGACAAGAAGAGACGCCCCCAGTAAGATAAAACAGGGTAGACGACGAGGGACCTCTGTGTCGAGGGCGCTGTGCTTCTGGTTCCTCACGCTCTTCGCGGCTCACTTGTTCTCTGCCTTTCTCTATCACAACCTGTTTAATGCCAAACTTGCGCCCATTGGGCACTTTTCGGCGCCCTACACGGCCGGCCTTGCTTTATATAGTGTAGTGGTTAAGGCCAACGGGGGACGCCTAGATGATGCATCACTGCAACAACTCTCCAGCTCGTTGACTTTCACTGCGGCTATCTGTGTGCCTCTCGAGCATAGCTAGCTGAGAAAGCCCTGATAACCCCCTGCAGGCTTTCTCAACGCGTACTGCCTTAGAACGCTCGGCCAAGAACCCTGACAGGGGCCGCTATCATGCGCCGTCCTACCCTTGGGCCCGCATCGATCCGCACTGATCCACTAAGCGCTTGAAGCACTTTTTAAGTGTAGAACGCAGACCAGCAACACGAATCTTTCAGCTGGCATCCGTGCACAACCCCTCTAATGACTGCTCCGTACTCCCCTGTGCCCTCTTGTGCTGCATATGGCATCCAGTTGCACTGCCTAGATCAAGACATTTCAAGCGTGAATACGGACGTTCTTATACTATCCTTCGTTTTAAACCAGAGAGGTTTCTGGCCATTCGCCATGGCGTCGTGTATGTTGTGGCGATGCACTTTACTCCTCCGCATTGCCAAGGGCACTAAAGCCCTCTTCCCACAGCTCTTCCCATTGCTGGGCATCTTCATCGTCAGCCTGTTGTGCTGCCTCGGGCTCTTGACAGTCGCTTCCCATCTCGCCTTGAGGGGCTAACGCTGGAGGGCCTTGAGGAGCGGTCTCTGCGCCTCCTCCATCAGGGAGCGTTCCAGAGGCTCCCAGATCGGCTGGCTTGAGCAGCCCGTGGAGTGCCTCGCTGAGATGAAGATAGCTGGATTTTTGCAACCTGCGAACCGCTTTGTCCACGGCTTTGATGACGGGTCCGTAGATGTCGTCTGCGGGCGAAAGAAACACACAACCATCCATCCAGCACGCATCAGTGCCACTGGCTACCCACTATGATTAGATTTGTTCCCTCCAGCCCTGAGCTTGCAGCCCTCCGGCCCTGCACACCGTCAGCAAGTCTGCTTTTGAAAATATACATGCCGCCGCACACTCTGTTGAAGGCATGCTCCCCCAGGGCCTTGTTGCTGGCCCCGCACCTCGAAACCTCGATAACGTGCATTCTCCCGCCGCCTAACACAGCCCCAACCCCTGTGTGTGTGTTTTTTGTGTGTGTGCGTGCGTTTCTTGTGTGTGTGCGTGTGTGTGGCGTGTCGGTGCCTCGAACTAGCTTGCCCGGAGCAGAGCCACGCTTCCTTACCCTTTAACGGATCATGACCCTCCTCGGGTTCCCAGCAGCACCTAGCAATCCCCTCACACTGTCGAAAGTCGAATGCAGACTCGAGAGGCCGCCTGCCCAGCAAACGCACATCCACAAGAAGGCGGCCCACATACCACAGGTTCTCCGCCTCGATAAGGGGGCGAGCGATGTATGACGAATGCGCCTAGCCACGTCTCGAGCAGATAGGCAGTTGGCGAACTAACAAAGGGGCTGTGCAAACGACAGGGTCCATTAGAGGCATTCGCGAAGCATCGGGAGAGAGGCCTGGATGGGGTAGAAAGATGTGAGGCGCCTGCCTGAACCTACCTCCAAGTGTACAAAGCTTTTTCAAGCCACGTTATATGGACCTGCATGCATCCCCACACCCACCAGCCACACGCGCGGATATAGGGTCAATACAGTTCACTACCAAAGCGGCTCTATCTGCCGATGTACATATATACACAAATATATATACACATATGCCTTTTTAGTAGTCAAAACAACGGCCCCCTACCGTAATCGGTAACTAGAAGTTTAAATGCTAGCTGGCTAGCCAAAGGAACCTTTCTATGATGGACGCACTCTTGGAAGGCCCATTTTGGTGGCCTGCAGATACTTGTCCGTCACTGAGGCATGACCATGCAAAAGCACTCCCACAAGAGCAACACGTCTTTAAGAGCCTCTCGAGACGGCCTCTACGGATTGTAGTGAAGTTTGCCTCATGGGAAATCCACAAGTAGGGGCTACCTTTTGTGCACAGGAGGTGCGTGCAATTCTCCGTAAAATCGTCGGAGACGGTGCCCCCCAAGACGGTGATGAGACGGCCCAAATCGGTGCAAGAGAGGCGTGGCAGATGGCGGCCCTGCACTCCGGTAGACGATATTACAGTACCTAAACACCCGCGGACGCAGCATTACCCCATCTGCGTGAAAGCTTCTGCTGCTGCTGTTGCTGCTCTTGCTGCTGCTGCCTCTGCAGCACGTGCGGGAGCGAAGCGCGGAGGAAGTTTGAGCAAGGTTAGCCGAGGGAAAGTGCCTATTATGGCATTGGCTCCTATGCGTTTGCGGGTGTCAGTATTTGGGAGCCTCGGCGTTTGCTGATGCCAAAACCTCTTGCTGGGCAGGTTGCATGAAGAGGGGCAGCAAAAAGGACGGACCGAATGAAAGCCATACGCCATGCTAGAGAATGAGGGGGGAGGCAACGCACACATACCTCGCAGTGCCTGTTGCCGAAAGGCCTGCAACACCCAGGAGACATCCGGCAGATTACGAAGCACGGAGAGGGCAATCGGGCACGACTCATCCTCCGTGAGACGGTTCTTTCTCCTGCAAAGCCCTACGCGTTCCCGAGGATTTTCGCCACCAGAAGCACTAGGCGCCTTGATCCTGCCGTTGCAGGAATGCACTCCGCTGCGTTCCTCTCCAGAACCTTCTCCACTGCTGCTCGCTGCACTGCTGCTGCTGCTGCTGCTGCTGCTGCTGCTGCTGCTGCCGCTGCTGCTGTTGCCGCCTGCCTGCGAGTCCTGTTGCCTATGCACTGGACTGCGGCGGTGCGCCCTAATCAGCCGATTAACGGCTCTAAAATACAAGTAATGAATGCCTTTCAGGATCTGCATCAGGTAGGCCAGCTGCCTATCGGAGTCTCTTAAAACAGACGACTGGAAGAAGGAAGGAGAGAAGGGGCCTTCGATCTCGGCCCTACGCCCTCCAACACCAGGAGCGCCTCCTTTCGCAGCCACGGCTTTCTCCTCCGCATCTCGTGGTGCTCCTCCTCCTTTTGCGGCTGCACTTCTGCATGCAGATGAAGTGCTGGACGGAGATGCCGCTGCAGACCTTGTGTTCGAAGCGTGGTCCCACCCCCCATTACTGCCGCCGTAAGCCCTGCTGCCGCTGCTGCTGCTGCGGGCAGGATCGGCTGTCTTCGGTTTGGCAGCGGAAGCTCCTGAGGCCTTCTTAATGGGCCGGGGAAGGAGAAAGGTCTCGGAAGCGCCTTGTGGGAGGGATCCCCTACGGCAGCATTCGACAAACATAGAAACCTTCAACCGTCAATACCCACACAGCAACCGCAACGGCAACAAAAGCGATAGAAACAGCAGCAGTACTAGCAATAGCAATTGCAGCAATAACACCAATAACAAGAAAAGCGGCAATAACACCAACAACAACAGTAGCAACAGCAGCAACAATACTAGTGACACTCTGTTGAAAAAGACACGCAAAAAAAAACCGGAAGGGGGCGAAATGAACTTACTCTCTCCCGCATTGTCTCTTGTGTGCCTGTGACCTGCCGTCGTCTGTAGCTGTCCTTATTTCTGCATTTGGTGTTGCGCCTTCTGCTGTGTGTGCTGCTACAGGTTCACAAGGAGACGCCACCTCGCCCTTCGACGCAGCGGCCCCCATCACTTGCTGCTCCTTCAGCTCCCGTTCTTCTCGCTGCTCCCTTTGCTGTTGAGCAAGTGCCTCCGCATGAGTTTCCTGTTCGATTGCGACGGCTGCAGCCGAGGAGTGCTTCCGCCACCTCTCCCCGGTTGTGGCCTTGCGCGTTCTCACTGAGCAACAGCGGCAGCGCGGCTCACACAGCAGCCTACGATTCACAGTCTAGCTGTTTGCACTCCACCAACCTGCCCCCCCCTCTTCCTTCCCCCCTCCTGCAAATAAACCGAAAAAGCACGACTGGACAGCTGTGCTGCCTGTGCTGTCTCGGTAGGGAGGAGAGGGTTGAGGAGCTCAAGCTCGGAACAAGTTTCAAAGCCTTTCGCTCTCACTTCCTCTCTATCGTGTATTTCTGTCAGGCACTTGGTTGCAGCAACACGCGCAAGCACCGAAGGAAGCCATGCACATGTATGCACATGCTCTGCACCCTTAGGCCTTCCAGCGACACTCGCCAAAGGTGGCCGTGTAAAACGGAGAGACAACGCATCGAGAGGTTGGAAGACAGTGAGAGAGAGATACCACGGATCAAAACGAGCAACAGGAAGGTACGCAGACGATGTGCAGGCGGAGAAAGGGTCAAAGTCGCACTGGCAGGCAAATCAACAAACAGGCAAGCGCGGGAAAGCACACACACGTCTCTCTCTCTCTATCTCTGTGTGTGTATACATACATGTATGTATATATATGTATATATATATATACAGGGCATAGCTTGCTGCTCCTAGATGAAAGACGTGAGATGTGGCAAGCCAGCCACCACCACCCGCCCTCAATGTTGCCGCACCATAAGGACCGTGCTCGTAGAAGCACGCAGCTTCAGCAGGCATATAAACGAGAGCAGCAGCTGCACCGCAGCATACTGCGGTTGCCGAGAACTAGCACACGCATTCATTATTAGCTACTGACCTGAGGGAAGAAAATTACAGAAGGGGCGTGCTGCCCCCAACCACTGAGACACGGTTTCTGGCGCAAGGCGTCCAACGTCTCCTGCAGATGGATCTTCAAAAAAGAAGTACCCCTCCACCTTAATGCACTTTGAAGTGTCTTCCCACATAAACTCCAGGTCATCAACCGCCAGAGCCAACTTCCGTTCCGTCGGGAAAATACGACGAATGCGCTTCAACCCTCCCACGGAATCGCCTCTCGAGAAGACACGAGATGCGAAAAAGCGGCCAGAAGGATCTAGCAGCCGCAAGGCCTTGACGCACAGACGCATGCACACACAGAGACGCATACCAGTGCCGAAAGCGAGCGGCAGCGAGCTGAGTTCAGCGTCGATGAAAGGGAAGTGGTAGGACAACTCCATAGAAAACGGTTTGAGGAGAGAAGGGGGCAGACAGCCAGCGAGATATTGGACGAGGGTAGAATCCGCGGCTCTAGAAGGCAAGCGGGGAACGAGGGAGGCGAAAAGTGTGCGATGCGATGGCTGTCTGTGCTGTAGGAGAAAGGGAGGAGGCAGCAATAGAGAAGGAAAAGACGCAGAGGGAGCAGCAGAAAGCGCCTTTCGTGGAGGAGTAAGAAAGGGAGGCGGAAGCAGAAGCGGGGAAGAAGAGGAGAAGATCTGATCTTTGAGAAGCAACGAGTAAGTCTCTGCCTGCCCATCATAGCTAAGAGGAAGCTCTTTGCGGCTTTGCACCGGCTGTTAGGTAACCTTTTAGAGGGACACTTCTCCACAAAGCAAGCAAGCACTGAGGCCGACGGGAGCGGCCACAAGGCGGCAGCACAACAACACCAGTCAGCTTTGGAGGGCAGCACTGCTCCTAACGGACAGTCTTTGCGTGAGTGGCAGTTCCCATGGTGTAGAGAAACAGTTCGAAGTAACGGGACATCTCTCTGAAGCACAAACCCTAACATCACTAGGATACTCTGAGCGCATCTATCATCATGGGCATTGCTGCCTGGCTCCCACTGTCCCTCCTCCCCTTGTGGCTAGGCTTAAAATTAGTCAATTGTGCGATGAGCAGTGGACAGCGCCACCACCAACAAAAGCTAACATGAGGTGGTGTGTCCAAAAAATATATAGAGAGACAGAGACAGAGAGGAGTAACAGACGAACACACACACAAACACACACACTGCAGAAAACACCGCTGTCGAAGACGCAAAGGCTCGCAGGGTCAAGGGTAGCGTTGCCACGGGTGGAGAGACAGGCGAGGCCAGCGCGCATGGAAGGAGGCGGCAGAGAGGAAGCAGAAAAGAACTCGTATAAGCGCAGACGCAGCGATAAAAAACCCCAGAAGAGGCAAAAATATGAAGCACTAACCTTAGGAACGTGATGCTCCCTGGTCGGAGCTTGATAACACTGCGATGGACTGAGGGCCAAGCACAAGACCGCGGGAAATGGGAGGGAAGGCATAAGCATGTAGTACGTACACACACTGAAGCGTACACGTGGATGCAGATATGGACAAAAATGTATACGTGCGTGTCCATAGATAGATACCTACAAATTTCTGCCATGCACGGCAAAGGTAGAGGCAGCAGCATCAAAGGGAGAGGATGGTGGAGTTCATTAGGCACCTAAGATAAGGTTTGAGGCTGCGCATGAAGCATACGCGCGCGAGTGATAGAGAGAGAGATAGAGAGGGAGAGAGAGAGATAGAGAGGGAGAGAGCAGCAGTAACACGCGCAAATCCAGACGTCGTGCACGGAGAGACAAAAGAAACCGTGGCGCTCGCCCATGGCTTTGCACACCTGCAGATCCCCAGGGGTCGGAGCGTTCAGCAGCAACTCTGCAGCAAAAGATCGAACTTTCCAGCTGCGAAACGATATGCTGTGCCGCCCCGTCAGTCCTGTAATGCGGATATACTCTCCGACTGCTGCTGTGGCTACTGTTGCCACTGCTGCCGCTCGCATCCACTGCAGGAGGCGAAGGGAAACAGACTTCCTCCCATGTCCGCGGTTGGGGTCCTGAGTACCCCAAGGCGCCTCTATTGAGCTGTGCATTTTCGCTCTTGCTGTTGTTGTTGCTGCTGTTGCTGTTGCTGCTGCTCTCGTTTTGATGGCCTCGATTAGAAGCGAGATCGCTGCCCTCCCCCTTGTTGGAGTCTGAGCCTCCAAGAGGCGCTTCTGCTGCAGGAGCCTGTATTTTCGCCTCTTCCCTCTTACCGTCTAGCGCTTCTGCTGCGATTTCCCAGATTTCGTCTGCTGCTTCGGAACCTGCCTCAGTGGCCCCTCCTCGAGCAGCGGACTGCTGGGAATCTTTGCCGCCTTGAGGCGCAAAGTCATCTAAAATGATGGTAGGGAGGCAGTCCACTGGTGGCGGAATACTCGTTGCATGCAGCAACGTGTTGTCCAAATCCAGCACCTGCGCAGCAATGGCAGGATGCCTAGCAGCATGCACAGCAGCGCCAGGTGTAGCAACAGCAGCAGCAACACACACGCAACAACCTCGTACCAGACACAACCGCCTCCGATTGATCAGCGACAAGACCCGCTCCCGTTCTAGTCGCTTCGCAGTCTGTTAAAAAACGGCACACATACACACACACATATACATACATATAGATACATACACAAACATGTGCATAGAGTTACATATACATACAGATACATACACAGACATATGCATAGAGATACATATATATATATATATATATATATATATATATATATATATGTACGCTCTCCTCTCGCACGGTTTCCGTCAGTAGCTTCTCGTTTCTGAAGACCCCTATTTGTGTTCTTCAACCACGCCTTTTACCCCTCAATGAACCCTTTGACTCTATCATACGCAAGCAAGCTACAGAGGAAGGCGCGCGGGTACTTTCGCCGCTGAAGAAGCCCCCGTTCGGAGACAATCGGCTTTGGGATGTGCAGCAGTATGCACATGACCCTTATGAATGAGAGGTTAGGATGTACGGCGCACTCACGTGTTTATCCAGCCGGAGATCCCTATGGCTGCTGTAGAACCCAGCAAGCACCGTCGACTGCAGCTGACCTTGGTCAACTGGAAGGAGGCATGCAACACACATGCCCCCAAGCACCAGAGAGTGATCGCAAGCGGCCTTTTCGATCGAGGCGATTGATACGCTGCGGCGGCAAGAGCAGCAGCAGCAGGAGCAGACGCGAGCGTCACAGAAGCATCCAGCGAAGGACGCATACATGTATATATATCCACATAGAAATATCCATACATACACGCACAGAGAGGGTGAGAGCTACTCTAGTGGAGAGGGGGGATGCAACAAGGGAGCAATCAAGCAAGCGCAGGTATCAAAAGAGAAGGCGACCGGAGACGGCACGAGCCGGAAGCGTAGGGAGGACGGTCAGGAAGGTTTGAGGGGCAGAGGAAACGCTAAGAAGACGGCATGTGTGCGATACAGATAGATATGTATCGACGCAGCAGCAGACATAGACAGCGGCACAGAAAGGCCCGTACAAACCCTCTAAGCGGGCATGCTATCCTCGACCCTGCGTCATTCCCAAGTTCTTTGGATAAGCCTCTTTAGAAGGCTGCGTACAGGGAAGGATCCGAGAGGAGGGTATTTGTGGGTGCCTTTAGGTCGGTAAGGATGCCTGCCACTGGCGCACGAAGCACCCATTCGACAGCACGGGGCCCCTCTGCGGATTCTGCAACTGGAGCCGCCTCCGCAGCTCCTGCATCAGCGTCCGATGCAGCTGACGCGCAAGTTTCAGCCAAAGACGCTGTGCAGAACAAATGAGCGAGAATCTGTCCAGACACCACTTGGCTGCCTTCAGGCACACGCCACCTGATCACCAAGGGCAGAGCGCCCGCCGCTTCCTCTGGGAGACGCACAGCGACGAGTGAGGGTGCCCCCGAGGGGGGGGCCTCCTTGCCTTCGGCTGAATGTTTCATTTGCAAACGAGGGCACGAGGCAGGCAGACAGGCAGGCAGGCAGCGAAAAGTCCACTCCAACGGCAGGAGGGAAGGGCCTGCCCGAAAAAGCCTCTCGGCACGCAGTCAAACCCCCTGAGGAGTTCTTCCTCAGGTGGTTTGACTGCGGACTGGCGGGGGGTGTGAGGCACGCCTATTCCGAGTCGGTGCGTGAATTTTTAATGCTGAAGGCAGAATCTCCTCTCAATGAAACCGCCTCGGGCGGTTGAGCATTCGTATTTTGAAGAGATCTTTTTTTGTGCAACGGTTTTCGAGCAGCACTTGAGAACGCACGTCGCCCTTTGGCGGGGAAGGAATGGAGGGGGAGGGGGACGGGGGTTCTGTTTCTGCCTATTTGGCAGGAGGCCTTGTGGCTGCTCGAGGGCGGCGCTCTACAAAAGGACACAGACACGACAGCAGCAGGAGCGTGGTGGCTTCCTGTGGGCCCCCCAGTCGAATGGACTCTCGACAGGGGTGCAACTCCGGCGAAGAGTTGTGCGCCTACAGACAGGCAGCGAGCCTGGAGAGATAAACAGGGATAAAGCAGAAGCACGCGAGACGCGTCGAACGAGATGTGGCTTCGATTGCGTGAAGGAGGGCCGCGATGGCGGTGGGAGGGTCTGCAGTATGCCCGCCAGCAGGGGACGTCTACGAGCTGCATGCGAGATCCTTCTTCAAAGATGGTCTAAAAAAGGCTCTCGCACCGCTTTTTCCCCTTATTTCCCCGCTTCTGCCGCGCTTCCGCCCTCAACTGGTTTCTGAAGACGTCCAGAGGGCCTACCCCTCGATTGGCCGCTGGTCCTGGGGAAGGGCCCCCCGGGTATTCGCTCAACGGGAACCTACGGGCCCCGCCTTTTGTTGAAATTTCCAGCCAGAGGGCCTCGTACTTATCGAGGCGTCTTCAGGAGCTGCCGGGAGGCTGGGAAAGCCTCGAGCCAGCAAGCCCGGAGGGCCCCCTGGCCACTCCACGGAGAACCCTCTCCGAGGAAGGCCGCCACGGGGGGCTGTGTTGCGACTCTCACGTCAGCGCGCTTCTTTTTCGCCGCCAAGATGTGCCTTTTGGTGAGCGCGGCTCCCCGGGGGGCTTGCCAGCGCCTTCGGCCTTCCCGCGCGTGGCGGCAGGTGTACTTCCCGTGGGATTCCCCCGGAGAACGACCCTCTTTCCCGACAGTCCCCACGGCCTCTAGCCGAACGCTGCTAGCCTGTCCAACAGAGGCAAGTCTCCAGTTCCGGGGTCCCCTGCGGCTCGGTGGGCTCCATCCCCCTCCACCTCTGGCAGCTGATGGGGCAGTGAGTGGATGCGACGTCAGCAGCGGCAGCCGCGCGAGAGGGGGAGGCTCCTGCCGATTCGCCTCTGGACGCCGTGGCAGCCCGGAGGCCTTTTGGGAAACGGAGTTCTTGGCCCACGAACTGAAGCGCGAAGTGCAAAAAGTAGATGATGCGGAGAAGGAGCAGACGGCACTTACAGGTGGAGTCCGCGTGTCTTCCCCACTCTTAACGGGCACTCACCTCACCTCGCTCATGAGCGATCCAAATGCGGCTCGCGCGGGAGTGGCTGCGTGTGTGTGAGCTGACTGGCCACAGGTCAACAGCCCAAGTCTGTCTGGCAATCAGAAGAGCTTCTGGAAGAATTTCATAGGACTGTGGGCCGTAAAAGACGCGGCTTCGGGATGCAACGGTCCCCTGCAGCAGGAGACGCGGGAACTGCGGCTGCCTCTCCCGATGGTACCTCCGCTTCACAGGTGGAGGCCACCTGGAGGGAATGGGTAAAGCGCTATGAGGGGCCCGAGGGCCCCTCCTTCAACCCGCCCATTCCGCAAAGCCGTCAGACGAGACGCAGCCAAAGACGCTGCACCACGCCTGGTGAGCGAGCACCACGTTAGGTGTCTCCCTAATACGTTACTGCTCCCCCCCTCCCTCCATCCTAGACACACATACATACATTCACAAATACACATACATACATATACACATACATTCGCAAATACACATACATTCACAAGTACACATACATTCACAAGTACACATACATACATACACAAGTACACATACATACATACATACATACGCATACATACATACACCGGCTTGCGAGGTTTTTCTCGTTCCCAGGGTGGTGCAGCGGCACCGACAGCAGGGAGAGCGGTGTAGGGGCGTAGTATAATGCACCCTGGGAATCTTTTTCTGTGCGTTCACACTCAAGAAACTGCAGAGGCAAACAGCCCGCCCGCCCCGCCAAGATCTGCCGAGGAAGAAAATAGGTTTGAGGAGTCCTCGAGTTCCAATGACGCGTCTTTGGATTTTGTCGTTGAGAAGGCAGACCCCTCGGAGGCGTTGTTTGACTACGTTTCGCTTCGCAATGGCGACTACCGAGATTTGACTCACCAGGAGGCCATGCGAATGCAAGACGCCTACCAACAGAAGCTGCTTCTTGACCGCCGTGTCCGCTGGCTGAAGGCGCGCGCGCTGCCGGATCCCGAACGAGATGCGGCGGCAGTTATCCGAAATCAAACACCCCAGGTCTGTAACAGCAGTCAGTTTCTCGGGGATGCGCTTGCTGTCACTCTTGACCAGCACCTGTAGAGTGTACCTGGGCTTTTGCACCACTACCACTACCCGCCAATTCTTGTTTTAGTAACGCGCTGTATTTGCGGGCCTGTAAGGAAGGGAAGCAGCCGGGGTTGCGGGGAGGATGGGTATCTATGCGTCCATGTAGTTCGTAGCGCCTGCGCTTGTCGGATTTTCTGGCAGCCGTACAAAAAGCCTATCGGCACGCGCATATGCACTTTGAGCCTGTGTGGCTTGATCGAAGGCGTGTTTGCTGCTGGCTGCTTGCGCCGCATGCCTTCGAGTCACGTGGTTGCTCTACAGAGACGGCATTCAAAGGAAGGTAATGCTCTTTGCACGTGCAAGCGCATGTCTTGCTGCCCCCCCCCTTCCTGTGCCCACAGAGCGAAGACTCCCTTGTCAAGTCCTTAGGACTAGACGACGGTGTAAGGGCTGCCCGGCGTCTCGTGCGAATGGAAGCAGATGCAGAGCGGCAGGAGCTAGCGTCCCGCATACGCGCGAAGATGCGCGAGGAGAAGCTTGCCAATGCCAAGCTAATGAAAGCCGCCTTGCCCAACGTCCAAGGTGCGGCGGAAGGCAAAAGGCTCCCCCCCGTCCCTCCCCGTGGGGTGGCGCCGTGAGGACCGGCCCTCACTGCCAGTCCGCACACGCAAGTCTCACGAAGGAGGCCTATTGTTGTTGGTGGTGTTTTTGTCTCAGGGCAGGTTGTTGACCCCATCAAATTCCATGTGGCACGCAGAACCATCCGTCAAGCCAGGCTTTTACAGTCGCAGCTTGAAGAATTCCTTACTTGGAACTCTGCAGAGGTCCTTCACGGCCTCTTGGGGGGAGCGTCGGTGTCCCTTCATCATGTGGAGCAGCAAACTACCAAGTGCGTATGCCCAGTGCGCGTCGATACTCGAACAGCACGTCTCAACTGCCTTTGTTTCAGAGCATGCAGATGGATCCAGGAGCCACCTTGCAAAAACGAAATACAACGCTTGAATATGTAAATGAAAGGCGTGCGTGCAACTGCGTCTGTTCAGATCTGTTTGCTACGTCTTCTTCACCGTGGCCTCTAGGCACGACCCCAAAGATGTTGAAGAGAGGTTAAACCGTGCAGCTCCGCACTTCCGCATGCAGATGGCGAGGCGTCTTGAGCTGGGATTTACTCCACCCTTCCGCTTTGTGCATCATGAGGAAGATCGAACCTTCAGCAAGCACAGCCTTTTTAAGGTGGCCACTGAACGCCCTCCGCATGTAGGCTCCACTAAGACGGGCAAGCAGCAAACGATTGCTTCGGCATGGGCCAAAACAATGAACAGGATCGGTTAGCTAGTTTCGAGAGGCGTAGTTTCGCTGGCTTCATGGCTGCAAGTGGCGGTTGCGCCCTTGGGCGCGCGTTCTTGGACTTAAAATGGTGTCGATTTGCAATGTGCGTGTCTGTACGACAATAGCCATGAAAGTTCGAGACACAGAGGAGCAAACGACAAGCAAAGCACAAAGGAGGGAACAGCAAATTAAACCTTTAGGAGCTTAATATAGACATAGCAAGCTCTTACCCGGAACCTTGTCTGACTGAACTCTGAAACAAGACCCTTAGTGTCAAAAGGCTGAAGCACTACTACATTGAGGAAGGCCTACAGTGGTTCAAAACAAAGCGGGGACTCTATTGCATCTCCGTCCAGAATTCGCTGCTCACTGCCCTTAAGTACAAAGCACAGGATGATGTTCTTTAAAGCCACGGTGAAGAAACATTACCATGGAAAAGCACTTGCCTTTCTTCTGATATCACAGATGCCTTCCCCAGCATACAGTATATGCTGTTCTGCCTATATTTTCAGAAGCTTAAACCACAAAGTTCTCCTACACCGGGCCTCTGGCACAGACTTCTAATGCAAGAAAGAGTACAGACTCGTCTAGGTATGGACTTTGTTTCTGAGCTGCAAGTGATCAACTTTGAGAAAAGCATCTACGTAGTTGTTGACAGGCTCGGCAAACATGCCCATATCACCACTTACGCCAGATCTTGCACGGCTCAGGAAGTCACTTATTCATTCTTAACGAATGGGTGAAAGCTTCACAGATTCCCCAGCAGTACCACTGCAAATAGGGAGCAGAAGTTCGTTAGTAGTATGTGGCATGCCCTCCTGATCTGCCTATACATTGACCATACTCTGTCTACTGTAAACTACCCTGAGGCAGACTAGGAGACAGCGCACCAGCCACCCACTTCTGCAGGACATGCGTCTCCGTTCCTTAAAAAGCCCACCGTTGGCTTGGTTTTCTTCCTTATACTAAGTTGGTTTATAATGCTAAAGTACACTCGCCTAATCATTGCCCTCTCTCTTAGCTGTTCTCCAGGAGAGAACTCCTGAGCGATCCGGAACTGGACCTAGCGGTTCGAGGGAAGCAGCCACCTCTAGCAGCAAAGGGAAATCAGTGATTTGTTGACGATTGCACGCGAATGTATGCGCAGAGCTGAAGAGAGACAAGCACAGAACCATGATAAGCTTTGGTCAGTTGTGTATTTCAATCCTAAAGATTTGTTCCTGGTGGATCGACAGGCCTTACAAGCTGCAATGGAAGGTGACCAGACGAGAGTTTGCGGATAGGAGGCCAAAATCATTTTCTACATGCTTACGAATTAATGCTTCTTCTTGCTACGTTAAACTCCTTATAAGCTGCAGGTGCCAAAGGCCTATCAACATTAGCTTCCCAAGAAAGTCTGAGAGCTCCACGAAATCTTCAAAGACTGTGCCGCCCAGGCAATGATCCGCATGAAGGCGGAGTATGCACAGAAAACCGTAGAAATGCTCGTCTACGACTGCCAAGCGCCGAGGACAGACTAGGCGGGAAACTAGCTAAATGTGATGGGTAACGCCAACCTCAGGGGGGCTCGCTGGGGAGCAATGTGCATCTCGTTACCCGCAGGAGGCTGTACGGCTCTGTTTGAATAAGAACGTTGGTCGCTCTGGAAGGTGGTCTCCCCCTACTTTGGGGGGCGTTCTTTCTATCACATATCCTGCCTGAAATACTTGCGTTCATCGAGGGGTCTACTTTAAAAGTTGCCTGCTGTTATTCATAACGTGTTTCGTACACTCAGATCGATGTGCAAGCACTGTCAGATTGGCTTTTTCTACATTGTGCCTTTGGCTTCTTTAAGGGGTTTTGTAACCGACTACGCCATGTGCAGCAGCTGTATTGCATCCAGGCACTGCTCTACAAAATGCGGAGGCATTGACGAAATATCGTGCCTTGTTATTTCTTCAATAAATAATTAACATGTCTTGTTTTCTCGTACCAGGAGACTTGCACATTACAGCGCTTCGACGACGCTAAGCCATCATTCCGCTGCAGGCGCGATAGTTTCGTCCCTCGTTACTTGTTTGCTACTGCTTGCGTCCTTCTTTCCGACAAATTCGCTTCAGCGGTTGACGCAAATAATTTCTTGTCGTATTTATCTTGTTTTGGCGTTCTTGCATGCTGTGGAGGGGCGATATGGCGGAACTCGTTTCGCTGTCGTGCGTGCAGTTGTCCTCCACCTATGGTATAGAAAAAAGAAGGCGTGAGTCCTTGAAATAATGGGGGGAATCTGTGCGGTCTGGCCTATACATAAGTCAAGCACCTTCCACTAAAACATTTGTTAGGACTAACAAATCGCAAATAATTGACTGATTCGTTATCCTACTTTGCAGACTATTGGTATGGCGATACGAAGAGCCACAGTCTTGTGTTGTTCAGCGCAAGTTGCTGTGTGCACCAACTTGTAAATGCTGTGAAGTGCGTAGAGGCTGCAGCCATCCGCCTCTAGTTGTATTGTTTCCCTCATGTGGCAGATCTGAGGGGCGAGGGCAAGGAAGGAGTTGCTCTTCTGGAAAAAAATAGCTTTGTAATGCGTTTTCATCGAGTCTGGGATCAAGTGTTCACATCTGGAGAGGCAAGTTTTAGATCACAACTGGGGAGCGGGTTTTTAAGGAACAAATTGAAATGTTGCATCGTGCTTTGAAAATTAGAAGCCCCCGATTAAAAGCCAACCCAGCAGCCCGATGAGGGCAGCGGAAAGCCATTATCTAAAGTGAATCACCTTTGTTCTTTATATTGCAAAGTGGTCCTATGGGTCGTTTTAAGCAAGAATGCGGAAGCCACGGCATTGGCAGGGCTATAGCCTCGTCGTTCATGTTTTTATTCTGCTTCAATTTCCATGAATTTCACCGGTGCATGTTGAGCAAACACCAGTAACGGGTGCAATAGTGATACAGGCTTATTTGTTCTATGTAATGCGCGTGTATCCACCCACCACAGAGCCGAGTCGGATGATATTTCCGCTAGTGATCCTATGGTGTGAGTGCCGTGAAAATGATATAGCTAATTGCGCAGGGAGCATAGTTGTTTTTCGTGTCAGGGGGTGCCGAAAGCTCTGCTTCATATCCACGACTGTATTTCGAATACTGCTACTCAAAAGTTGACTGACCGCATTTCATGCTTGGGAATGTCACAGGGGAAACTTCTGCGCCGACAGCGCGTAATCGGTGGTGATGGCAACAGTGCGCAGCAAAAAACTTCAAGTTGCAAGAGGCTTTCTGCAACACGAAGATGAATTAAGAGTGCTGCGATATGGAGTGGCATGAACAATATACTTGAAGGGAGTCCGAAATGCAATTTCGCCCGCTTGGCACGAGCGTTTCCAATTGGCAGAATATTCCAGACCTGCGCTGCACACTAGCTTCGGTACATCGACAAAAATGATTGAAATTGCATGATAAAAGCCGATTTCTTACGTCATCGTTGCTGTGGTGTACCTGACTAGGCATGTATCTCACGGGACTGCAGCGGCGGGCTGCAACGGAGCCGACAGGGTCAGCTCCAGGAAGAGCGTTGACAACACCGGAGAGATCGATAATATGCAAATTGCATTTCCTTGCATATTATTGGCAACGTCGCAGCTGAGGGATTCGTGAATGCGCTGCGTTGTGCCACTCCTCTTTGCTGTTCCAGGGCAAATAGTCCTCCTGCTTCACCGACTCCGTATGAAATAATAATACACTCTCAGTTCATAATTTTCATAAACAAGTACAATTTATAGCTGGTGCAGATTTTTACTGCTTGGCGCCGATGCTCTTGGTTGCTTTCCATGCACATGGAAGTTCTTTCGACGCGGGCAGCTTGCCAGCGTGCAATCCAGAACTTGTGTTTTAGTCCACGTAGCGCACCAGTATTCACCTAAGTGACGTTTGACATTACACTAGATATGTCTAGGAGCCTGTACGCTAATTTATCGCTCTCACGGCATGGTCCACCCCACATGAAGCCTCAACGATGATCCATTAGCAAATTACATTCTCTCTGTTGCAGGACATTACCATCTGGCTTCATATGCTTTCTCACAGGGCCTTAAGTACTAGGAGCTGCGCAGGCGGTCAAAACAATAGTCAAGAGGCAGCACAAGAATGCCACCAGCCTCGATGGAGCCCGCGGCCCTCAAGAAGAAAGTAATAGAAGAACTAGACCAGGGGCATCTCTTCCCCCCAAACACCTCTCCTGAAAGTGAGTAGAGGTAGCTCTACGACACCTGCATTCTCTATCGTGCGTGCTGTTGGCATTGTGCTTGTCAGCATCTTGCCAATCTACCGAGGCCACACACTTCACAGCGATTAGGAGAGGTTCCCGGTGAGCTACCTCTATCCTTTCGAGGCAGAGGCTACTCTGAAGGCTCCACGATATACTGCTCCTATCTATGTCTTGATTGTGTAGATGAGGCACGTTTGCTCAAGCAGCTTGCGGCTGCCGACGCTTCCTACCCTGGGGGCCTGAGTGCATACGTTTCGCGTTCTCGGCAATTGCTACGCGATGCCAAGGCAGGAGTGAATCCGTTCCACGAGTACACCGTGTCTGTTCCTGAGGGGGAGCGCATTCGACCTGGCACTGCAGCCTTCTTAGAGGCAGAGGAAGCGGGACTGAAGGAAATAGCTCGCTGTGCTTTCGTGGTGGTTGCCGGTGGCTTGGGAGAGCGCTTGGGCTACTGCGGTATTAAGCTCAGCCTCCCCACCAATTCATGCACAGGCACAACGTACATCGAATATTACTGCAAGTTCGTTCAAGCGCTTCAGGAGTATGCATCGCAGGAGGCGCGAGAGATCGTGCGGCTGCCGCTTGCCATTATGACCTCGGGTGACACACACGACCCCACAGTTGCGTTATTCGAGGAAAGCCAGTATTTTGGACTAGACAGAAACGAGGTGCATTTCATTCAACAGCAGAAAGTACCGGCATTGTCAGATATGGACGCGCACTTAGCGACAACCGCCAAGGACCCCTATACGCTCGAAATGAAACCACACGGACATGGAGACGTGCACTCTCTTTTATTAAGATCTGGTCTCTTGAAACGCTGGCAAGAAAAGGGAATAAAATGGATTACTCTTCTGCAAGACACAAATGCAAACGTAATGAGGGTCCTCATGGCTGTCGTTGGAGTGTCTGCAACAAAAGGACTTGCCATGAACACAATTGCCGTGCCCAGGTACATGTCGTTTGTTGTGTTCTCAGCATACTTTCTTTACTTTCGAGTAGCTTCTATTTAAGCTGGCAGAGCGGTGCACTGCTGCAAAAATAGCTTCGTCTTAACCACCAAGGAACGCGTTGTCGTGACGATTTTTACTGCATCTCTTCGTGACGTTGTTGACTTCAGTTTTCTATTTTCCCACATTTTGTGTTGCCAGCTACTCTAGGATTTGTCGGCGATAGCGCCATCGGTTTGCTGCAATACACTGCTTTATTGTGCTGATCGCCGCATGCGCCCGCAGAATGCCTGGAGAGGCGGTAGGAAGCATTTGTCGGCTGGTCTCTGCTAACCGCGAGTTGACACTCAACGTAGAGTACAACGTCCTGGATTCTCTCCTTAAGGTAACGTTATAAACGTTTTTAGCCAAATAGACTACTCTGCATATGGTTTCCTGGACTAAGCTTTCCGTGCTTTTTATTGTTGGCTTGTGAATGCGCGCAAATGGTTTGCCTATCGACCTGTGCATTTGATTTCCGCAGAGCGTGTGTGTATTACTATGGATAGCTGTATCTCGGTCTCGTGTGATTCCGCCTGTGCCTATTCCAGTCTTTGCAATTAAACGCTCGCAATGTGAATTTCTGGCTGTCATGTACTACCCGTTGTCGCTCCAGAAGGCCAGGGGTTGCAGGTGCAAATATGAGTGCACCTGGCGGTGCCGATCTCTCTATGAAAGAAAACATTCTTTTTTTCCACCATATATAATTGTTCAATGGATGTGTTTGCAGGCGATGGGCCAGGGGGGTGACAAACCGGGACCCGATGGTTATTCTGAGCTGCCAGGGAATACCAACGCCATTGTCCTGTGCTTGGAGCCGTATGCGAATGCCTTGAATGCCACTGGAGGTCTTGTTCCAGAGTTTATTAATCCAAAGTTTAAGGTAAAAGCTTGCTGTGCGTCTCTTAAGCTCCTAGAAATATAGTTTGCTCTCCCCTCCATTGCGCTTTGCTTGTCACTTACTTTTGCGTATCTCGACTTTTCATGGCTATTATCGATGTTTCAGCTGCTTTCGCCATTCTGTTGTACCGTAGGATGCCTCGAAGACGTCCTTCAAATCTCCCGCTCGCTTGGAGAGTATGATGCAGGATCTACCTCTGCTGCTTTCTTCCGACGACAAAGTGTGTCTCTGTTCTGTACAGAAGCGTTCTGCACTTCCAACCGGCTTCGCTGCCTCCGGCCAGGCGTTCTTAAGGCTCTCACTACTAGACTCTAGCGGTGACAGTGCTACAAAAAGTACCTTTCCAAACATTCATTGACCGTACACTCAGCATGGTGCTGCCGCTACGTGTTTGTTGCTCTTCAGTCTAGTCTCGACTACTAAGTTTTTTCATTACTCGTTTGCGTTTCATCTTTTGACTCGCAACACGAAGCTGCACTTATTTGCAAACAAATACTAGACTGAATACCTGTGTGCAGGTTGGCTTTGTGGAGTTCCCGCGATGGTGCTGCTTCAGTCCCGTAAAAAACTCTCTTGAAGACGCCCGGAATAAAGCAGAACAGGGCCTTCCCCCGGAATCCTCTCTGAGTGGCGAGTCTGACCTCTACCTGCAAAACGCACGCTGGCTCCAGCTAGCCGTTAGCGGATCGTGTGCTAGCGGCGACAGCAGCGTGGCAGACTCCAAGATTGGTAGCGTTGTCGTCGACGAGCCAGGTCCCGTTACATTTGGGGGAGTACGCTACCAAATGGGTCCTAGGATCATTCTGTGTCCGTCTTGGGCTATCTCCTTTCGGCAGATGCGCGAAAGATTGCAAGAAGCTGATATAGAGATAACCAAGGAGTCAGTTTTATTCAGCTGCACAAAACAGCGCGTTCGTCGTATGGATCAGCTTATAAATTTGTCCCCCCTCCATGGTGCCGACGCATGTGTAAAGCAATGCGTCTGCACAGGTAGTGTACACCCAGAACCTAATGCTGTTCAGATTCTGCCTCATCTCCCATCCAGGGACCCGGCAGGATATTTCTCTCGCATTAATAGGGCAGATAATTTTTAGTCGATTATTTACGGTAGCAGATATGCTGTTTCATGACCGATTTCATAATGTGCACCTCACTCATCGTGCTGGTCTGCCATCTCTGCAGCTCCGTCTTGATTGTCTCGGGAGATGTGAAGATTCGCAGACTCAAACTGAACGGCGCATTGGTGCTGAAGGCATCGTCTGGTATGGTATAAACGATTGAGGCTTATCTGCTTACTTTTACTTGCCTTCTTCCGATTCGTTTACATATGCACAGTTTTGTTTTGGTGCCATACCCATGTTTTTGCATTCACTCAAGCCTCGCCATTGTTTCAGTTTGATTATCCGTCACTGCTTGTTACTATTTCAGGGTCATCACTAATCGTGGATCACTTGGCAGTGCACAACGAGGGATGGCGCTTTGAGTCCACTGAAGACCATGAATTAGCTACTGCCGCGTCAGCACTACGCGGATTTGTAGTTAGGAAGGTGGCCACTAAGGAGCTTCAGGTTACCGATGGAACTAAAACAATTAGGGAATAAATGTCGAAACAAATAAGGGATCAATAGATATTGGATGGAAATAGATACTTAGAAAAGTCATAGATGACAGACATCTCTGTACCAGGGCACAGAGCGACACTGGTAACAAAGGGGACCGCATCACTTCTGTATAGCTAGCCTGGTTTTATTGTTGCTCAATGAAAGCAGCAGTCTTCATCTTTCATTTTCGCTGCCCTTCTTCGCACCAGTTCCCCCAATAACCAGACCAGGGGGGCCCAGGGGTGTTTTTTCCCAGCCTTACTTTTTAGTGGAGCCCTCTCTCATTCTGCATTGCATACGTGCACAGAAGCACGTATGATCCATATGTTTTGTATATTCTTATATTTGTTTCTTCAAGAGCTCTCAAGTTCCCCCCATGGGCACAAAGTCCAGCTGCAAACAAACTCTATGAGCTTGGTTGCGGCTACCTGCGCACATTATTTTCCCCACCTGCAGAACGATCGTTTTCCTTCCAGCAACAGCTTCAAACTTTGGTGGCAATATTCGCCGCTCGTGAGCAGATTACGGTATGCAGAGGAAGATGCGGAATCACAGTACCTTGGTCAGATAAGTGGAAAACTGCCGCTTGATACGGTCAAAACTTGAACCGGGGTGACCTCCTTCCCTCAACAATTGCTCTAAAGATCCGCCTAGTCGAACATGCGGTGTGGAAACCGGCTCTGGTGCTGCTTCTTTTTCCGTGGGCTCATTTCCAACTACCAGCAGTGTTGCATATGCTGTAGTGAGAATCAATGAAAAAAGTAATCTTAGAACGTACTAACAGGCCCGAAATCATTTGGCAATAAATCTAAAACAACAAGATTTCAAAGGCATATTTTTTCTTTCAACACAAGCTTTTCCATACCTATCACTTCAGGGTGGTTTGGCACATAGTGCAGCTCAGATGCGGGGATATCTAAATCTGCAACTGCTGCAGATGCAGTAGCTGCCAATAAAATGCCGAATGGAAGATATGCAACCATTTCTGCCAAAGGATGTGTCGACTTATGCATAGTATAAGTACGGAAAAGGGTTTTGCATGTGCTGTCTCATTGTATCTTTTAGGTGTATGTACACCTCGGCCCATTTCATGACCATAACACAGTGCAACGTCGCGAAAGTGGAAGAAGCAAAATATTTTTCATGAACCACTCCTCCAAAATGCCATGTATTCCAAAAGTTGAATGTGAATTGCCAAGTTACTGATAAGAAAGCTATGCGGATAATGGAATATGGCGTGGAGCCTAACGCTCTTCTGCATGCAGCCGTGAATTAGTTTCCGCTTGAACAACTGCACCAAGGGGTCGGTCTTCAATCATCAGGACCAACCGAAGGACGAATGCCTCAGCGCCAAATTCATGGCACAAGTCTCCTATTCTAGTGCTGCATGGCTACAGGCATGTATACATCACCCAATGTATTCTGCATGCTGTTTCTACCTCCCAAGCACCGGCTTCCATAGAAACGATATACAAAGTATGCAAACGAAAAGCTGGCGAATGAATAGCGGCCTCCGAGCGGATTCTTAAACACCCCGTAAGAACGTTCACATGCGGGATCTGATTCCTCGCCATTCTTCATGAGTGTATATATGAGTTCGAAAGGCACTGAAAGATGTTTGAAACAAACAATTGAAACTGAGCAGATGTTTGCCAAAATATTAGGATATAAGAACCATAGGATGGGACGTAAAAAAAACCAAACAGCATCAGCCCCTGCTTCCGTTCGCTAGCCGGTGCTGCGAGCGTCGCGACGATAAATAAATACTTAGCTGTACGGGGCCTCCAGGAGTCACCCTACATCCTCATCAAGGGTATTACTCTGGCCCCATAAATGCGGCGCGCTCCGGCGACTCGCCATTTTCAATGCGACCGCGGGGTTAATGACTGTCAGTAGGGATAAATAAGTTAGAGGCTGAGCGCGAATCGGTCTCTACTCAACATAGGTGGTACAAGGTCCTAGAAACGCAGAGTTGATTACAATCCGCTTCTCCCTCCTTTCTCGCTAGTCGTCTGGTTAACCGTGGAGGTCGAGTGCCTCCGCCCCCTCATAGCGGCTGAGGGTCTTGCGTGTATCTGCCGCGCAACCCTAGGTATACCCTGACGGGCAACGGGGCCGCCTATGGTCCCCGAGGCGGCCGAAGTCAAAGGGGAGGCCCCGAAACCGTGCCTCTCACGCCTCCTCTGCCTGCGCGGTGTCCAGGGGGCCGACGTTGGCTGTTGTCTGTCTAGTTGCTGCATGCGCTGTTGTTGCTGCAGCTGCTGATGTTGTCCTTGCTGCACCTGCAGCATCCTGAGTCTAACTTGGTGTTGCAGTAGCTGCTGCTCCAGCATCAGTTGCTGCTGGAGCAAACGGCGACGGGTTGACAGGGCGTTGGTAGCGCTGCTCCTCATGCTCTGAGACCCAGCCATTGGGGGCCTCCCCAATCCTTGCCTGAGCCTGGCAATAGGGGGCCTCCTACTGCAGGGCAGAGTGAGCGCTGGGGGCCCCTCTGGGCCCCCAGCGGCAGCCGAGGAGGGCCCTACCCGTATCCTGCCTCCCCGCATCTCTCTGTTGCTTAGCCGAAGCATATGAAGCACGCGTTCCTGGTGCCGTTGCTGCAGCAGATGGAGCTCTTCCTGTTGCTGCAGCAGATGAAGCAGCTGCTGCTGGGGGCCGGACGAAGGCGGGCCCTGCACGACCAAGTGGCTATAAAAATCAGAGGCCACGCGTGGAAGAGAAGAACAGGAACGCTTCCTGGGCTTGCTTGCTGCTGCATGTAGCTGCTGCCCCTGCCCCTCCAGCGCAGGGCTTCCAGAGCAACGAAAAGGGCGTCTGGTCATCCGCTCCTGCTGCCGCGGATGTGCCTCCCTGTGTCTGCCTCTTGAAACGCCCCCTCGAAAGGCCCCCTGGGCCCTCGCAGCTGCAGCATCATCTTCTGCCTCATAGCCCGCATCAATGCCCTCTCTTGGGGATGCGCCTGACAGAGACGAGCATCTGCTGCTGCTGCTGCTGCTCTGTCTGCCCTCTGATACTCCATCCGCAGCTCCTGCCGCTTCGTCGCTGGCTGTAAGCGCAGAATCACTAGCTGCATTCCCTAGGAAGCGCACTATGAAGCCCGGCAAAGTGGGGTAGGGGTCGCAGCCGTAATTCTCCCACACAGCTGGCTCCACTAAACCCGAGGCCCCCAGCGGGCCCTGTGGGCCCTCTGAGCCCCTGCGGCAGTCCACGCCGCACAGGCCCGGGGCCGAGAAGGACCGCCTGCAGCCACACAGGCAAAAGCGAACAGCAACACGAAGACGAACGTACCGGAGACAGGCATGCAACACTACGAAAACTCGAACTGCCCACAGCAGGCGGAACTGATCTCCCCCCCCTAAAGCCCAGGCTAGGCTGTGCCGTCTGGACGAAGGGAGGACAAACCTGAAGAGCGCTGTGTAGGTGAAGGGAGGGTCAGAAGCTGCCTCTGTCGAGAGGCTTTCCAGAGGGGCATTCATGGGAGCTCGTAAGAAAGACGAGTGCCTTGCGTCAGGACTAGCCGCAAGGGCCCCTCCGAGCCCGGAGAGGTCCAAGTGCTCTTCTCCGAAGGGCCTTCTCCGGCGAGTTCCTCGCATGGCGTTATCCGTGGCAGCTACTTCGTGCTGATGCACCCCCACGGGGGTACTCCCTCCTCCGAGGGGCCGCCGCATGTCAAGTTTCTCGGAGAAAAAGGGGCTTCTTTGCTCCTGGGCAACAAGGCCTTGTTCCTCAACGAAGGACAGAGATTCCTGTCTGAAAAATACACTGGCAGGCGAAGAGCCCTCAGAGGCACCTGGGGAACCTGCGCTTGGCACAGGAGACGCTGGGGACGCCCGCTGCTCCTCCTCCCCCCAGGTCTTGTCGAGCAGCGCATGACTACTTAAGTCCATTATTTCGCCAGAAGAAACAACGCTCCTCCTGTCCTCCGAAGACAGCGCAGGCGCGGCCGCTGGCGGGGGCAGCGACAACATCGCGCTTTCAGTGGCACCGTCAAGCAGCGTTGGAGCTGCGGTTGGCACGAATGCGGCATTGAAGAGGGCCTCTTCCCCGACATCTCTTGTGTCAGCCCTTACCGCCCCTGCAGGGTCAGCTGGAGGGGACACACGCGAGGAAGGGGCTTCACGGCCGGGTGGAGAGGGGCCCTTTGGCGATCCTGTCGCGACATCGAACAATGGCAGTCGGCTCTCAGGCCGAGTCTCTGTGGCAGCATCCATTGCTGCACCTGCAGCAGCGACAACAACTCTTGCTGCAGCTAGCGGTGCTTCTGTGGGCCCTTGCTCGCGTTCCGACTTTGGGGGGAGTGTCACCACGGCGGCCCCTGCGGAGGCGATATCAACTCGCGAAGATGCTTGGGCATTCTCTAGAGAGACACCTGCGGCTGCTTCTGCTGCAGGCCCTGCTGCTGCCTCTGTGGAGCGTTCCTTTTGGGTGTCTGGCAAGGCGGCAGCGGCAGCAGGTAGCCCTTCTGCTGCTACTGCTCCTCCTGCTGTTGTGTTGGCTGCATCTTTTGAAAACACACCCTTCGGGGGCGACCCCCTTGGGTGTGAGGCGTCGACTGATGCCTCCCCCGTTTCCACGGCAGTGCTCTTATCTCCCGGCAGCAAGGGCGGCCCCAGCATCTGTTTGTCTTCCTCGAAAGAAAGCAGAACGGGGGGTGGCATCCTGGCACTGTTGCGACTCGTCCTGCTGACTCCAGACGCAGAGGCGCTGAAAGCCCCCTGACGCTCTCGCTCGGCCCCGTGCCTTTCCCAGCCGGCTGCTGCCCCCTCACGTTCTCTGGACGCCTCTGCAGGGGGCAAAAAAACGCTGTCGCACGGGCGGTTCTCGAGGGTTTGCTCGCTACCAAGGAGCAGAAGCGAGCGCTCCCCTACACGGCATTCGGGAAGGTCCTCGCCGTAACACCCTTCGACTGCAGGGGTTGCAGAGAGAGGAACCACAGGCCGCTCTGCTCCCTGGCCCTCACGAGACGGCGAATGACACGACATGGCGCGGGAAGCCGCCGCTGCTGCTACTGCTGCTGCACCTGCTGCTACTGCTGCAGCAGTAGCAGCAGGTGCTGCCTCGGGAGTCGTCAAGACGGAGTGCTCCGCAGGATTCTCTCTCTCCCATGAGCGGTGAGCGGCTCCCCCCTCTCCACCAGTAGACACGCCTGCGCCCACCCACTCGCTGTTCACGGCCCCCAAAGTCTCCATGGCCTTCTCTCCTCTGTCCAGCAATCGCTCTTGTCGGTCCTGCTGATAGACGCAGTGATGCTGCTGCCTTCCAGCAGCCAGAACAGGAGCAGCTACCACTTGGCACGACACCAAGAGGGTCTCGAGGCCCCCTATCAGATTACGAAGGCCAAAGAGGTACTCCTCGTCGGGTGAAGGATTGTCTGCGCAAGCAGGCAACGCAGTTAGCCAGATACAAACACATGCACACACATACACACACACATACACGTACACATACGAATGTGATTATATGTGTATATATATATTCACATTTACGAATACACTCATAGACACATGCACATAACAAAGATGCACTCGTAAAAGGAGGCGCAAGCAGCATGTTTCGTGGGTGAGATGCTCGACACTACCAGTAACAGGAAGCGATCTGGAGAATGCTGCATACAGGGTTGAAAAATCAAGTGAAATCGGAGGGAAAGCTAGACACAGGAGTCAGAGAAACAAGGATCGGATAGAGGAAGAGGCCTGCGGGAGAGGCAAAGCGTAAACACAGGCTATTCAGGATCCCTGAGTTACCTTGAAGGTAGATGGTATTCGCAAAATCAATCATGCGGATATCTAGGCTGGAGCGTCGCGCCTCCGAGTCCGCCAGCCCTCCGTCGTATACCCACAGAAGAGAGGAAGACCAAAATCTGTAGTGTTTCAGTTTCTCAACACCTGTTCGCGCGACACACACATCACAGATATCCGTAGAAAAAAGCCATCCTCGCCACAAACCTCTTGGGAACGTCGCTATAATACGGCTCCCAAGAAGCCAACCGCAGCATCCAAGCACTCAACTCGCACCCAACACTCAACATCTGATGGAGCGCCCATTAGGAAGAACTCGACACGCAACTTAGGGGTTGGGTAGCACCAAGACAGCGACAAACGCAGACAGGCAGACACCAAAAGAAGAGACTGTCATAAACATTGCACAGCGAACGAGAAGGGTGGCACAGGGCGGATATTGTTAGCTGTAGCTTGGAAGCGCGCGCAGAGAACACTTATTTTGGCATGGAGGCGCACACATATAGAGATATGTACGTTTAGGTGCATACATAATTAGAGAAAGCCCCATTTGTGTGTCTATGTGTGTGTGTGTGTCTATGTGTGCGTGTCTTTAGATGTACAGCGATAAAAGAGCTTCAGTTTTTTCATAAGGCATGGGATTAAATCATCGTAGAGCGAAGCACCATTCCAAAACCACTGGCGGATCGCCTGGGGGACCTTTTCTAGAGCAACACACACACACACACACACACACACACACACACACACATGCATATACATACATACATACATACACACACACACACATACGCATATACACACAAATACATACACACACATATACACACATACATACACAAGGGCAGAAAAGGCCAGAATGGGCAAGAAGAGAGTGACTCTGAGGGGTCAGCGGAAGGTAGAGCAGGAACAAGGAAGCTGGCTGAAGCGTAGGTTGTCTCAGACTTGGTGGGATACGAGACCCTTGAAGAACGCGAAAAGCTAAGGCTTTGCCGAAAGGCAAGACAGCGCGCACGGCAGCCATAGCTAAGGGCCTGCACGCCTGCGGGAACGAAATCGACGGACCCTTTGTGAGCTTTCGGCCCCAATATTTGTCTCGGTAACATAGCGTATCGGTCTTCTTATTGTAATACTGCAGACCACACGCACCGACACACGCCTAGCGAGCCAAGTTGCAGGGGGGAGAAGGGGCGGAAGAAGGCGGTTTGCGTGTGGCAAGAACCGAGGGCCCACAGAAGCGACAAGGAGGCCTCTGCCTCAAGACGCAAGGAGGCATCGGTGGCTTGCGGCATCGAGAAAACATACATATACATATATACATATATATATATAGATCTGTGAGGGCAGCACGCAGGGCCTCGTTTTTCGCTTGCTGCACGAGCTAAACTATTCATGGGGGTTCTCGAGGGACTGTAAGGGGCCCTTTAAGGGCCGAAATTCTAAGCCCCCTAAACCAGGGAGCCGCCACTCCACCCCAACTCCAGAAGCCGTATCAGCGCAGACGGAGGCCCTTTCGTGAAGCGACCGACTACGCCAACCTTCCCCTCTGTGGCTGGCCACCCCCCACCCCCCCACCGCACTATGCTCCTCTCTACAAAGAAGACACCTCCGCTTCCAACCAGTCATGAGACACTGTGGGAAGCTTCCCGGAAGCCTGCATTACCTGGCAGCCGCAAAGTCTAAATCCAAGGGCGTGACTGGTTGTCTGCAAGCTCTTGAGGCGCTGTCGCTGTTCCTTCGCAGCATCCGCCCCCAAAGTCCGCTGCCGCGTGCCCATCTTGATATCCAGCACACAAGGCTTCCTAAATCCAAAAACCAAATCCTCCAAGACGATGTGCTTCCGCACGCTGTAGCTGTTGCTTCCGCTGCTCCGACTCGGCTTCGCAGCCGTGCTGCTCGCCGAGCCGCTCATGGCGGCGGAAGGAGGGTCCAAATGGCCCACTGGCGCGAGGCCCTCGGCAACGGGGGAGGCCCCTTGAGGGGCCTGACTCGACGGGCTGAGGGGCCCCCCCCCATAGCTGACAGCAACAGGGGTCCCTCCACTGAAGTTCGTGCTGCCGGTCCTTCGACCGTCAGGCGATACCCTGCAGCTAGTCTTGCTGCAACTGTTGCTGTTGCTCTCCGAAGAGCACCCGCTGCCGTTGTCTCTGCATACCGCAGCTGCATCCAATGCGGGAGAAGCATGCGTGGCACCCTTCGCGCCCTGCAAGTCGCCTTGCTGCTGCTGCTGCTGCTGCTGCAGAAAACAATCCCTCCTTTTCTGCTCCCATTCCTGCATAGGGGCGTGCAAGACGATCTCAGTGACTCCATAGTACTTGGGTACAAACTGCTTCAGAATATGAAGGGGCCCCGCCTCCGCGTTGGGGGCCCCCAAAGAGGCAAGCTTATCATAAAAACGGAATTCATTTTCGTTCAGGGGCTTGCAGACCTTTGAAGAATCCTTTGGCTTCAGCAGACGGCAGTGGCCGCCCACCTGATGCCTATAAGCCTCCACGTACATTCCCGCCGTTGCCTCTGCTGCTGCTGCAGCGCTGACTCCACTAGCTCCTTGAGCAGCAGCAACAGCAGCCACCAGGCAGACAACACGGGGCCTCCGCCCGCCCCTGCCGCCTCAGGGGGGCCCCTGGCATTCGGCATTCCCTCCTTCCCGGCTGGCCACAACCTCAGCCAATGACAGCAACTCACATCTGCGGCAATATATGCTTCCCAGTTTCTTTCGTGTCGTCGCCAGGCGGGTGTCTGGGTAGCGCGCAACGTCTGAACTGTGGATTCAGACGCTCTCCTAGCGAGTTAACACGGTCACTTATATCCCGCGAAACTAATAATAAAGTCACAGCACGTACAGAGCTGCCTCGAAATCGGAGGCTCATTAAGCCTCCCTCACTTGCCAAGGTGCACGATGCCGAGGGGGCGCAGGCGGCTGACTGCAGGGGCCTCTCCAATTTTGTGATCTGTGGCAATTTAGCGAAGCTTTAGCAGTATCCTCAAGCAAAAGAAGCAGGAAAGGGAGCACCTCTCCGTCCATAAAGCAACCCCGTGTCTGCGTACTCCGAGTGACGAGCCGACAGAGCGAGGCAAGACGAACAGTGAAGAGACTGCGAGACCTTGCACGCAGGACTAGGGATCCGGGGGTCTCTGAGAAAGGCAGCTGGGACACCCTGACACAAAATTTGGGTGAAGGAACGCGCTGAAACTTGGGCGGGCGAGAGAACGCTGCTTGGGGTGAACGGGCAGGCAAATGAACGCTACAACTACATCACACCACGCATTGCGGCAACCTGTTATCGTTGCTTTGGTTCCGTGGCTATGTGTGGAATTAATGCAAATATTAACCGAGAAGAAACACTATGCATATATACGTCTGATGCGTGGTCAGAGCAAAACCGGCGCGGTAGTATCTGGGGTGTATCTGCAGCTGAGAAAGCGGGCACGAGGTGGCGCACTCAACGTCCGTCATCTCTAGCCGCGGCGCCTGCCGTTTTTGCAATTCTTCTCATTTATCAAAGTAGTTTAACTGCTTTCTCTGCGGTATTGTAGCAGAGCTTACCCCTGTAATTCTCTTCTTCTTTCTGTTTCGCAGCCCAGCCCCTGGAAGGGTGTCGGCGGCTCCAACGAGGCCGGACTCAGGGAGATCCCATGAATAAAGAAGAGTTTCAGTAGGAATATCGACCCATGGGACCACACAATGGGGGAACTGGCCAAAGGCACAACACAGCTAACCCCTGTGGAGAGCCTCAGGGCTTGTGTGCTGATAGAGGAGGCCCTCAAAAGGCTGGTCTTCCTGGGCAAGCTCATTAGGGAGCAAAAGACGGAAAAACGCAGCCATCTCACGGCTGCAATGGGTGATGACGTAATCAGGCTTATTGGCGAACAGCAGGATCTTGAGAAAATGTGTGTATAAGCCACGGGTTAAGCCAGACACAGACAGCCAGCAGTCACGCGGATATACATTACTCCTTCCCCCCTATTTCTCCTTACTTTCCTCTCGCTATGGCACTTGCCTCTCTCTTTTCTAATCTAAGCAGTCGTGTAAGGGGCTGGTCCTACTTCACATCTCCTCTCAAAAATGTAGCAGATGTCTCGCCTACCCGCAATGCACAGAGCACTGCACGCCATCTAGCCGGCCATCCACACAGTCTTTAGCCCAAGCCCCCTTGTCGTTTGAGTCTCTCTTACCAGGTCGGAGGGAGTCTGTGGGTCCTAAATGCACCTTTCAGGCCGAGAAGCTCCTAAGGGGCATTCCCTGGGCAGTGGCTGCTGCAGAGCTGCAATGCGAATAGGAAAAAACCAAGGGCCTTGAGATTGCAGCCTTTTAGTTAGTAGCACGTAGAAACATTGCTTAGCAGGGGGAAAAGGAGGCTTTCCTGCACCTAAGGGGTCGCCTCGTAGTGCTTTCCAACGCATGCACCTCTCACGCTCGGGCCCCCAAGACGCACGCGCGTAGTGGCAAACTCGCTGTGTACTCAAGCAATCCCCTCTCAGACAAGGCTACAGACGTTGTCTGGGGTGCTCAGGCATCAGCTACTGGTAAAAGACAAAGAGGAACTACATGGATTGCAAGACAGAGAGACACTCCGTGCGACTGAGAGGCAGTTACAGGAGGCTTCAGCTAAGCTCAAAGAGGCCAACAGGGACCTCTGCAGGAACCTTAGGCAAACTCCAGATATTCACGTAAGGAGGGAGCGGGAAGCACCAGGTCGCAGTAACGGGACCTGCTGCTGGTCTAATGATATGGGTCATGCAAAAAATAACTTCTCCCGCTGTACGGTAGCACTTTAAACAGTGCGAAAACCGACTTCACGTGTGCAGAACTTGCTGCTCTGGTGATTACTTGGGGTGTTTGGGCAGGCCAACATGTTAAAATTGAATCATGAGAGGCAACGGGCTGAAGATTGGCTTACGGAGACCCTGCACGAACTGAAGGCCTCTAACACTTTTAAATGCCTCACTGACAACGTGGCTCAGGAGAAGCATGCACAAGAGAGGCTCGCTGAAGTGTGTGCGCTGTTAGTTTTCTGGCGTTTACATAAAAATGAATTTTAGGGCGTGGGATGTGCCTCTCGCCGTTTTCATTTCACCTGCCAAACGAATTTCATCTGTCGGTCATTTTTCATGAAATTTTTGCGCCCGTTTTTCTATGAAGCTGTCAGTATTCTTTCAACAGACTTGCCTCTTTTTTGCTGACTGCTAGCATGCTTGTTATGTGGGGTTTGTGGCTGGAGGCCCGTCGGAGGAACCGTGAGATGTCGCAGGCGGTCCGTCTGCTGGAATGTGAACTGAGAAAGGAAGAGGCTGAGTTTGCAGAGAGCCGCCGTGCGACCAGCATAGAAGTGGCAGCTTTAAAGCAAGAGTTGCAGCGGCTAAAGTCTAAAGCTGGCGTAAAGCTGGCTTTTACGGAGGCAGCAATGGTGGCCCAGCTTGAGGGCAAGCAATGGCAACTTGTGCAAGAAGAGAAGAGGCTAGGAAAGGAATTAGAAATGCTGCAAAAAGAGGCTGACGAAGAAGCATTTCTTCAAAGAGCGAATGCTGATTTTAGGAACAAGCTCATTAGACAGGCAAATTTTTCGCATACTTCCCGATAGCCCACAAAGTCTCCCTAAATGGGTTAACATAGCACCTTGGGAGACAGGAAACAGAGCTGGCCAGTATAGCTCCTAGCTTCTAATGCGGTTCCACTAAGTTTCCCCTTTCATTTGGAAGAAAGCCTGAAGAAGTAGCGGGAAATAGACTCATTTCCTAGTGGTGGGATGCCATGCTCTCGTGCTGCCATTTCCACTCAGCAGTTTGTCATCATCCGTACGCCGAAGGAAAGGCGTTATTGGCTGATTCTCTAGGATGTTACCTGTGAACCTCCATGACTATCATAGACCCCTGCAATATCTGTGTCTCTGTGCATATAGAAACTCGGTCTATGTGTATCTTTCTTCCACGCACCCAACCATGGGTGCCATCCTTGCGTCCGCTCCTTAGATCCTGGGTGTGTGCTCACTGCAGCTACAGAACGAGAAGGAGGCTTACCAATTGCTCCACGACAAAATGAATGCTGAAAAGCAGCAAGAGCTCACCACCCTCCTCGAGCGACGCAAGTCCTTGAGCAGAGCTCTCAGCGCGGCACAGTCTAGAATGGTATCTCCTAGCTAAACAAAGGAGGGGTGGTAGACAGAGGGAGCCCCGCTCCGTGAAGCACCGATGAAGGGGGGGCATAGACACACACACACATACACACACACACACACACAGCGGAAGTGAGAGAGAGAAAGAGAGAAAGAGAGAGAGAGAGAGAGAAAGAGAGAGAGAGAGAGGCAAAGGCCTTTTCAAGTATTCTGCTCTACAATCCTTGTGCAGAATTGTGGGGAAGAACAGAGCTCTCCCCGCACACCCTTTCGCTACTCACACACGCGAACACACAGCGCAGGGGGTTATGGGAAACGCCAACTGGCTGGTTGTACACTTCAGGAAAGAGCCAGGTCGAGTGGGATTTCGAATCACTGCAAGCTTTTGCTTGTGTTGGCACTCCTCACGCCAGAAGCTTTGTTCCCCGGCGTTTTGATTTGCTTGCGCTTTGAGGGACCTCCTGACGAGGTTCTTTGCCCATTCATCCACTTTGCTTTTCTCTCTTTGCTGCTGCCGGCTCGTCCTAGGAGGAAGAAGAGAGACAGTGCAGAGAGGCGGCGGCTCAAGAACAGAAGGAGGCGTGGATCTGTCTACAAAGGGAGCGCCAAAAGGATCAGAAAGAAGAAGCAGCGCTTCTGCTGCAACATTGCGCCCGGGCATTCCTTAAAAGGGTCAAAGACGCAGAGGCAAAGGCTAAAGCAGCTAAGAAAAAACCCCGGGAAAGGAAGAAGCAGCACAATAATGAACAATCGTGAACCTGCAGGGGGAAGCAAATAATAGGGCAGCGGCCGAGAGCCCGAAAGCCTAAAGGTCGAGCAGCTCACAATCAAGCAGTCAAGGTAAACGTTAGAGTATTCAACCGGTTTTTCCTTTGTTAAGGTGATTGCAGAGCTTGGCGAAGAAGAGGTAGGCAGGACGATGTAAAAGTGGATCAGCCAGAAGCTGCTGAAGAAGAAAACGAAGCTTAGCCATTGTCGTTCCTTTTGGCGGAGGGGGAAGGCAGCTCTTTGATTCACCATTTTTTCTCTTCACTGCTTTGTCTGTAGCATTTCCTCAGCCACGGTTGCTACCCCAGTGTACCTGCGCCGACGTCTGTTCACGCGCTGCTGGGGTTTTTCTTTGCTTATGCAAGGCTGCGTGCCTCCGGGATGAGTAACTTTACCTACCTGCCTCTTCTTTCTTATTGCTTGTGAAAGCACCTTCTCTCCTGCATTGTATTTATGATGTCGCCGCCTTTCCGCGGTGCCCTTCCGGCTAACGTCCTGAAAAAGCAAAAGCTCCTACCCTTCCCTGTAGCAATTAGCCACGGCTAGCCGATCTGCAGCGAGCAAAGCTACACTTACGTGTCCTCCTACACGTCTCATTGGCAACTAATGGGAGTGCGCCTAGTCGCCAGGGCGCTACGTGCCGCTACACGCTTATGTTGAAAGCGCTCATTAGAGTACAGCAACTTTCCAGCACCCCGGCTGATCTCTTTTCCAACATGTAGGAACCCTGTGGGAACAAGATTGGGAAAAAGGTCGTTGGAAGAGACTCGATCAAATGTTGGCATGATTGGCTGGCTAGAGATCTCCATATGCGGGAAATCAAAAGGGTTGCGCGAAACTGGTTTGCCGATTATGCGACGTGGCAGATATGTCCGGCCTTTTTCTTCCGCGGGCTGAGCTACAATTTTGCATGATCTACTACGCAAGTATTATCTAGCTAAGAATTGGGGGAATATAGGCCGATTGGTCTTGCGAGTTCGTGTAACCTATTTCTTGCCGAGTAGCGCTACCTCGATACAATGAGGTATATTTCTGTGTGGGCGTGTAAGCAAGATTCCATGTGCGGCTAGCTATGTATGCTAGGAGTGCTCAGAAGGTGGCGCTACGCGCACCCTAGTTGCACTCTCATCTCGTGCCGGAACCCTGAAGGTTTGAGGCAAAGAGGCGGATGCTTCTTGAAGGGCAGGCAGTAATTTTGTATGAAAAGAGGCAGGCAGTTTTAGCGCTAAAACTGTCTCCCTGTGAGAACCTTATACTCCATCCCTTATTGTACCGCCCCTTGAAGGTTTCATGAAGAGGCGCCAAGACTTCACCACCCAAGGATGCGCATCTATCGAGGATTTTTTAAGATACTGGCTCGAGATTTTGAATTACATGGGGCAGGCAAAATGGATGCTCAGGCCACATTCCCATTTCTTTCTGTCCCGGCTTGCTGGGAAGTTCAAACGACCGTGGCTGTGGGGTATAAGTATTCTGCCCACGCCTTTTAAATGCAATATGGGTCTCGAGTGTGTTTAAATTTCAGGTAAGTGACAGAGTGTCTTACTACTGGTGACACCTGGCGAAACGCAATTGCCTTCCACCACGTCGCTTGCGGTTGCATTTAACCAGGGAGGCCTAGGGAGAAAGGCAAGCCTAGCTTCTTAGGTCATCGACCCTTAGCTCTAGGCCACAAAGAGCTAATGCTTTGTCATGAACCGCGTAGCCGCTCGAAAAATGACGTATGCCAGTGACGACGATATACAAGACCGGCGGGTAAAAATCCCCTGCAGCTTGAAGACCCTCTCCTGTATGGCATTCACCAAAACAACAAAGACAAGACACACTCAAGAAACGAATACGGCGAAACACTATCTGAATTTTTTTCTTTTGAACAAGAGGCGAGGCTGCGTTAGAAACGGTTTCAAGGCAGGTGGTCGGCCCACGGACTGGAGCCAACTGGCAATTTGGGGGCCCCCAGCAGGAAGAGAAACCTTTACTAATTTAGCACTAATTTTGGCAATGTTCCACTATTTCTGGCTATTTCTTGACTGTTTGCCGTGTATTTTCTTGTGTGCAAAAGAAGGGTCGAATGCAGAAATCCCTGAGCGCACCCAACCCTAGCAGGCACACACTTGCCGGTTCACGCCACACGAGGCCATCTAAAACTTTACACCCTAGACACTACGCCCACGTGCTACAGAAATAAATCTACATTTATAATTCATCGCTCGGCTAGCGGCCTCTTAAATTCTAGCCTCCTGTGCCCCCAATAGCTACAAGGGCATCCTCCTTTCCAGGGGCCCCTACCGGACTCTTCGAGACACACGACTCTATACCAAACGGACAGCTCAAGCAGCGCGCGGCCAGCAGCAGAAGGAGCAGCAGCGCTGGGAAAGCTGCCAAGAGCAGTGTACATACAGCCAGCGGCCGGGCGAACAACACAGGAGAGGCATCAGCAGCAACGCAATAGACCATTAGGATGACAGACACGGAGTCTTGAGAGTCCTTTGAGGCGCGTCGTGTGTGCCTCTTGATCGGCAGGGGCCCCCCTACTTGCACACGTCAATGCGCGAGTTCCTTGACGTCGAGTCTTCAGGTGGCCTTTATTTAGGGCCCCCCGCCGCTGCTGTCACTGCTGCGGCCAAGATGGAGAAACCAAAGGAGGCGTTTCTCGAGACTGCTGGAAGCACCGAGAGCTCCTCAAGATGCACCGACTCTTCTTCAGCGAACAATGGCCTCCCCTCTTTGCCCTTGGGCGGCAAAGAGGGCCCCCTCTCTCCAGGAGGTTCTTCTCCCGGATTTTCAGATCTTTGGGAGGCCTGGAAAGAAACTGCATGCTGTCTTCATAGGTTAAGTCGTGTGGCTGCATATCCCTCTGCTGCTGAGATCCTTGGGGCTGCATTCAGCCTGCCAGCAGGCGCTGTGCCTCTTGTGCTGCCGCCTCATTTTGCCGTGGCGGATCACTCTGAATACCCTAAAGCCAAGGCAGTGCTTTCTTATCGAGATTTCAAAAAGGCGAGTTAAGCTGAGAGTCTTTCGAACACGCTTTCATATGGGCCTGATGGCTCTTAGAACGTTGAACCTGCGTCTTGCATCAGAGCCGGCGGGGTCGTTTGTGGAGACTTGAGCACAGGATAATTCGCTGACTGCGAATGCGGCATTTTCTCTGACCTCTTGCTGCAGGCAGGGGCTCAGTGCCCGGCAGCTTTCTCGCGCTGCTTTGCGCCAAGCGTCTTTTGTGAATTTCTAAGAGATGCGCATGGAGACGTTTCGACACAAACCGTCTCCAAGACGCTCCTTAACTCCAGTAAGGGCCTCCCCACCGCTAACAAGGTCCTTTAGCGCTCGACAGACACGGCCAAGCAAAGCGACCCCTAGCTCTCTGCCTAGCACAACAAATCAGCGCAGTACTGATGAAAGCAATAGGGCCAGCCTAGCCTTTCGGGATGCGCGTTTCGTGCGCTTTAGTCTTTAATGCCCATCTCAAGGAGAAAGTTCAACCCTACTTGAACGACAAAGGCGAGCTCTCCATGGAGGTAAGTCTCAAGCCCCTATCCTGTCCTTCTTTTGAACTTTCCGGGATGTGATTTGCGCTGCTGCCCTTGCGGCTAGCGGCTCTCTTCGTACGCTGTTCTCTCTCTCTGTCTCTCTGTCTCTCTCTCTCTCTCTCTCTCTCTCTCTCTCTGTAATCGCTAACAGCACACGGGGATGTCGGGGGCTCAACAGCTAAGACTCTCACAGGAGGGTGAGGAAGCAGAGCCGAACGAGTCGAGCAGCCTCTCTCTTCCAGCGCAGCAAACGAACTTGTCGCTCTTCGGTGCTGCTTTTTCTGGTGCAGTCTCTCTCGCTCATGTTCTGCGAATGGGCTGAAGACCCTTCCTTTCCTGCCTTATTTGCTCTTAAGCAAGAGGACCAATTGGCTCACCCAGGGCTCCTTGTTTTCTTCGCCAGATTCCTCGTAATTCGAGCATTTTTACAGACACACTTGAGAGCACTGCCTAGCTAAAAATAGCCCTTGAGGCCACCTCACTTGCGCGCGCTAGGTTGCTTGCCGCTGCCTTCCTGCAACTCTGCTCTCTGATAGATCCCTTTCCCTGAATTTGCGATGCGCTCATGCGCTTCCCTTCCGCCACACTTGTGAATCTCCCATCGTCGCAGCCAGCCCCTCCCTCTTCTTCCCCTCCCTCCCTGCCTGCCGTTTGCTGTGCATGCCAGAGCTTCTGCTTCTTCGCGCGTGTGCAGGCCGTGCGATTGTTTTTCGCTCTAGACGTTGGGCAAAGGGGCTTCGTGCGAGCACGAGACCTCCTGCGGTTCGAGGAGTTTCAACAGCTGCTAAACTCCCTCTACAAGCCCGTAAGCTTACAGTCCATCCCTTCAACCTGCTCGGCTTCTCGCGGCTAGGTGGTCGGGGGAGGAAGAGGAAGCTCTCTGCACAAAGGGCATCTTTGGCATGCAGTGCTCGCACGACCCCATAGTCGTTATCCTATTGAGGAGTCCTTCCTTGAGCAAGCGCAGCCTTGGCAGGGGGAGAAGGCAGCAGTTAAAGGCAGTCAGCCGACAGATGCGAGCGAGTTTGAGAGCTGAGGAGGCAGCTGAGAAGACTCCAGCACCGGAAGGGGTAGCGGGATAGGCAGACACGATTGCAAAGAGAAGCGGCGCAATCTCCTGCGATGAGTCTTCCCACCAGAGGAATCCCCCTGCTGATGGGGTGCTATGCGTGCATGCATGCATGCACGTCTCTGTGCATTGCCTGTTGCAGCTAGGAGCGCCTTGTGGGGAGACACCCACTCAGTGGTCCATACAGTTCGCTTATGATATATTTAGTAAGGCTCAGGCTAGAAAGCAGTATTTCTTATATCTTCGCCTCTGCCGAAGTCTTGCTCCTACTACTGGGGGGAGAGCTCTTGCCCTTTGTTTGCGTGCTAGCTTCGGGGCATGCATGTCTCTGGTGGTTGTCTGCTGCCTCCTTTCTGCCTCCCCATGCGTATACGGCGGTCAGTTTGATCGAACCTCCCCGCCTTTGTTCGCAGCTTGCAGGGCTGGGTGGGGGGTGGAAGGTGGCTGCTGCCGAGTCTCTAGTTTGCACAGAGTCCAGCTCTGTCTGTGCCCTTAGGCCTGTAGCCTCTCTACCTAACGTGCAAGCCTTCCTTAGCTCCTGTGTTCAATGCCACCTCATATGCCTGTCTCTCTCTGTCTCTCTCTCTGCCTCTCTCTCTGTCTCTCTCTCTCTGCCTCTCTCTGCCTCTCTCTCTCTCTACAAACTCCGGCCCTCCCTGCCGCCTTCTGGTTCTTGAACGTTCTCGAATCCTAGTTGCATGCCTATGGTTTTTTCAGATTTCCTGCGAGAGAACGGCTTCTGCTGCTCCGAGCACACGCTTGCCGAGCTGCTGGAGTCTCTCAGAGCTGTTCTTTGTCCCTACACCTATGAAGTGACGCCGTATTGCCTTCACCGCCTCTTTCTCTCTAAAGCCACTGTAACTCAGGCCGCTACGACAGATCCGCGGGGGCTATCCTGGACGGAATTCGAGCAAGTACAGCCGCAGCAGCCAGCAGGAGAACAGGTTGAGGCACGATCCACAGCGGCTGCTACGGAGGGATCTTCGGAGGAAGAAGCGCTGTGTTTGGTAAGATCCTTTCCCGCTGCATCGCGTGTGCTTCTCTCTCCGTTTTCTGTGCTGTCCTTAGAGCATCACTGCTCGGGTGTATTGAGCTGCTGCTAGCTCCAGCATTTTAATCCATCTGTGGGCACCCTCTCTGCGCCCTGCTGCGCGTCGTTGGCTCACATGCTCGCATCTCCCTACGCACTTGCCTACCTACCTGCATACACATATATACATATATTTATATATATGAGTGCATATGCACTGCCCCTGCTGCCATGGCCGCCTGTTCACTCTCTTTCAAGCGTGCATGCTGCAGGCTGCTTGTAGTAGTCTCGTCAAGTATTGCGAAAAAGACACAGCTCGCACGAGATGAAGCGGCTCTCGATTAAGGGCCACCATTCTTTCCTCGCCTTTCCTCTGCCGCTGCATGTAGCATGCTTCCTGCTTTGATTTGAAATTCGTGCTCTATAGGGACTGGAAGCGCTTATCCGCCTCTTAGCCTCGCTAGACTACTGTGCTGCCGTCTGGAGTCCTTCGCCTAGCAAGGCTCGCATTGTGGCGCCCTCAGTGAGGCTGCGTGTTTGCTGTTTTGGCTAAGAAAGCTCGGGAGGCTTGAAGGATTTCGCTGAGCTGGAGGCTTTTTCTTGAGCTAATTGCCTGCGTCCAAGAGGCTGTGGCTTGGGGTGTGGCGTGCAGTGTATCAGGGCCTCCTTGCGCTTCCTGTGGGATGCTTTCGACCTGGAGAAGAAAGGCACTTTGGACTTCAAAGATATTTCCGACTTTTGGACGGTGCTTGTTTTCCTGCTCCCCGCCAGCTAGAAGCTATATACCTAACATTTGGGGAGATAGACAGGGGCGGAGAAGGCATATGGCGAGTTTGGGGACCTGCGCGTGGTGGCGAGACAGTTCAGGGAGTGTATCTTGCACACACACATACACATGCACTCACACACAGACAGACACAGAAAGAGAGGGACAGAAAGAGAGAGACAGAGAGAGAGAGAGACACCTACACACAAACAAAGGCATACACACAGACAGCGAGACAGCTAGACACAGAGACAGATATGCCTCTCCATGTTTTTATTTTTGTGTCACATTACAGGCCGTATCGGCCAGCCTTTCATCCCGCGGTTTTCCTTCTGGGAGTCTCTTGCCCGGCTCCGTAGAACTCGAACTTTTGGATCGTCTCAAAAACAAGGGAACGTGCCTCAGGCGCAGCACGTGCATCAACGACATGGTAAGGACCTAGCGGTTCGAAAAGGATATCAGCCCCATTAGGGGTCAGCCAGGAGCAACAGGGGGAGTCTTTAAAGGTACAGGCGCCTTTAAAGATCCGTATCACGAGGACGCCAACCTTGCGCGTATTATGCAGTGGAAGCTGTCCTACACTTGCGCTTTGCTTGGGTGGTTCCAAAGTTGCTGCTTTGGCTATATGTATATGTATATAAGCGCCTTTTTTGTTTCATATGCTCTCCCTCCTAAAGGAACTATGTTCTGTCGGGCGAGCCCAATGCCTCCAGTGGTCAATCCATGCGTAGGGGAGCTCTAAGATTTTTTTTTGCTGCTTCTGCATATCTATAGCTCATACTGGCGACGCGTAGGTATATATATATGCTGGGAGCTTCTCTCTCTCTCTCTGTTCCAGACACACGGGCGCATCTTCTTCATGGTGCTGCTCTCCCCGGCCTTCTTCCAGCTATTCGACCAGAGGGAGCACGTTCCAGGGGTAAGCGCGAAGCACCATACTTACGCTCCTTGAAAGGCAATTTATTGATACAGGAGTGTGCCTGGAAAAAGCATATACACAGATGAACAAACAGAGGCTTACACGCGTGCAGGCGTTGTTCGACAGAGAAGGCACGACGCAGGCAGGCGTACTACATGCGCATGCATGCATGCATGCGCTTTCCTGTTGCATTTTGAATCGTGGCTGTATGTGGCTTCTTAATTGAGCGGATGCCTGCCTGCCTCCCTCTATCTCTCACACCCTCGTCCATGCCTCCCGGAGAGTCTGCTAGCCTCCAACCGTCCCGTGTACAGTGCCTCCGAAAGGAGCCAAGGACATATCACATGCGTGCATGCGCTATCCGTGTATACTTCCCCATTGATGTGGTGCTTGTTGGCTTTTTGCTGAAGGCCCCCTTACTCCCTGGAGATCCCGTCCTAGTTTCGCAGGATACATCCCTTTGACAGAGGGGCTCAAATTTATTTCCGTGGCGTCTTGCAGAGACAGATCGTATCTTATAGTTCAACGAGCTGCAGCGATACAGGGGGGCACCACTGTCCGTTTTTTTTCGGGGTAGTACTGCGATAGCCCGGAAATAACAACAATGGCAGCAAACACGCGAAAATCGTCCTTTGCTGTGTCTACTACCCTTCCATTTTCCCCCTCCTTCCTGAGGACCTAATTGATTTGCTGATGTTCCTTCCCCTGCACGTTTGTTCTATTCGTTTTTTTGTGGCTCTTCTTTCTTCTTCACTGCCCGCTGACGCCCCGCGCCCTCCTGCCATTCCTTCAGGCACAAGCCTCTGTTTGGCTCGTGTATCTCTCTGTCTGCAACGAGGGCACTCCGAATTTTTCCGTTAAAAACGCTTAACGCCGGAAAACAGACCGCGTATAATTTAAGCGCTAGAGCAAACCCCCTATGTCTTCTGGAGGGAGAGACTCCTCCTCGGCATCGATCTATCGTTTTTGAGCCTCATCGGGGGAGCCCGCGGGCTCGTGCTTCCCGTCCCTTTTCCTACCCACCCCTCTTTCGCAGCTAGAAGCTTTGGTTTTAAACGTATTTGTTAGGAGAAGCAGAGGCTTGGACTCGCCCCTGTAAAAGGGTGTGAAGCGCGTAATCTGAGGAGGTTATAGGACACCTGCTCGAAGAGGCCCCGTTGCAGCGCCCTGTGCCTTGTTCAAGCCCTCCCTCCCTCGCGAGGGCCCAACACAGAATGGTCTTTAGGGAACCCCACATCTGCAATCTGGATACAAATATATAGATGTATATATTTGTATTTAATTATGTATGTACGCATGCGTGCATCCGCACTTGCACACATGTAGACATATGTGTGAAAATCCGTGTCTCATCGGCTTCTCAATGTCTAAGAAAGGAGTAGTATACAGCTCGGCGGCCCCTTCTACAAGTACGCAGAGGCTGGCAGATCCCTGAAGACAGGGAGAGAAAGAGCCTCTGCTGCGCTGATGCGGCGATCTGGATTGACTTGCAGAAGCCTGAAGTCCACCGCACATTCCAGCAGTAACTACACCGTAGTGTTGATCTGGTGGCTTTGTTTCTGCGTCTTGGGCAGCAGCCAATGAAGCGTAAGCACGCCTCTGAGCGCCCCGCCCTGTACATACACCCGGCTCTCCTGCCTGCCGCTCCCTGAAACAACGATACGCTTTGGGGCTTACTGCTTAAGGAGTTGCATCCAGGCAGGGCTCTGAAGGACGTCCAGCCTCCCTTTCTCCGCGAAGAAGCTCTCAAGGGCGAGTGGGCGTAGAGGGAAGACGGGCAGCAAGCGGCTCTGACGCGAGGCATACACAGTGCGCATGGAAAGGCCTCTGAAAGCGGGAGGACTTGCACACCTACGCATGCAAGGAGGGGCGTGCTGGGAGCTTCAGGATGAGAAGGCGCAAGTCGACTTGACAAGACTCTGGGCAGTGTCATCGAGAGCTCTGGAGATCGCGTGTAGTACCATGAAGGGTAGCTTGTGCAGCTCAGGCCACTCTTCTTCCGTGGGGGTTCCAAATGTTTGCAGAATGTGCAGAATGCAGGAAACTTCGCAGGAACCCTCGATGAACTCGCAGCCGCAGAGGCACTCGACCAGCACGCAGCTGCGCACATCAGACACACAGCCCACAGCATCAGACACACAGCCCACAGCATCAGACACACAGCCCACAGCATCAGACACACAGCCCACAGCATCAGACACACAGAACCAGGCACTGCATGGAAGTGTCTTCGGCTGTGGCGCAGCACAACAGTAGCAGCAGGACCACCCTCCGACTACCCCCACCCTCAAGACTAACCCGACACTCCAGATGTCTACGGCGAGCGTGTAGGTGTTGCTCCCCAGGAGGACCTCTAAGGGCCTGTAATTGAGCGTAATGATTTCCGGTGACAGGCACGGTCCATGGCCTATTTGGTCGCTGCAGCAGCCTTCAGCAAAGGCAGCAGCAGCGGCAATGCGCCTGAGAGACGACGTCGGCGATACGGAGGAGGTTTTGCAGCTGCCGACATTTCGGGGAGTGCTGACATTTCTTAGGCTTTCTTCAGGGGCCCCCTCGGCCTCCTCCTGCCTGTCCAGCAGCTGTAAGGCCTCTGTTTCGCGACGCGTGCAGTCTCTTCGTGTGAAAAAGGGGAGGGTTCTAGCCAGACCAAAGTCGGCTATGTAGAGGTTGCACACCAAAGGCGGGGGCTGTGGCGCCTCATCAGGGAGCTCCCCCTCGGCCTCGTCGTCTGAGGATCTCCCTGCTTCGTCTCCACTCTGCAAACCCTCAACAGACTCCCTATCCGCTTCACTGCTCTGCTGCTGCAGATGCTGCGGTGGGTCTACCCCATGGAGCAGGCGCCACATGGCTTTCCTTGCGGTTTCTGCTGCCGCCTTGGGGTGTACCGGCATCTCTTGCCAGCCAAGGAGGATGTTGTCTGGCTTTATATCTCTGTGAATAATTCGCTTTTCGTGGAAAAGCGAAACTCCACGCAGTAGGGCGTATGCGATTCGCAAGCAGAGCCCAAGTGGCAGTCCACAAGGAGGCGCGCATCGCATACAGGGGCAGCAGCAATATATCGACGTGCAGGTGGTGTCTGCATTACCCTCTGCAGCCTCATCCCGCTGCTCTTCTTGCTGCTCTTCTTGCTGCTCTTCTTGCTGCTCGCTTTGCTGCTTGCTTTGCTGCTGCTCACACAGGGAGGCTTCCTTGAGGCTCTCTAGAAGGAGGGGATCCTTTCCAGACTGGCTTGCGAATGCATCCGGATACACCTCTGAAAGCCTCCACCGGAGACAGAAGCATGGCACTTTGAGCAGCGGCGAGAAAGCGCAGGGAGAGGCCTCTAGATTAACAGCCGAATCTTCTTCGTCGCTGCAGCACCCGTCATCCTCTATGCTGCTGCCGCTATTGTGGCTGTTCGCCGCAGAACACAGGCGAACATATTCCCCCCAAGACGCAAAGCATCTCAGGCAGTCCGCAAGAGTGCCGCCCTTTATCATAGGAAACGCCAGGTATACCCTGTGGCTGCCAACATACACGCGGCGGATGCTGATGATGTTGGGCTTGTTTCTTAACGCCCGTAAAACTGAGACTTCCCGCTGCAGCACTGACGGCAGGGCCCCCCCGCCGCGAGCTGCTGCTGCTGTTTCTACGTCAGACAGGCGGTGCAGCAGCTGCTGCTGTTGCAGAGACAAGGCGTCTCGCTTCCGAGCATGCAGATACATCCTTTTAAACGCCAGCTTCTCCTGAGTGTCTCTGTTTTGCACCAGGTATACGCGACCATACACCCCCTCGCCGAGAAGACGAAGGCCTTCCCACTGCTCCCATATCTCCTCATCATCCTTGACCAAGACCACCAGAGGGGCTGCCGCGTCTGCATCTGCTGAAGCTGAAGCTCCTGATCGCCCACTAGACTGTACAGCAGCCAAGGGTACTGTGGGGCGCATAGACACCGGGGCGATCGGAGGGGGGGCCCTTGGGTCTGCTGCTTGGGCCCTTGCCACAGGCACAGACGGTGCATCTGAGGCTGGTGCCACAGGGGCTTCTGCTGCTGGTGCTGCTGCTGCTGGTGCTGCTGCTGCTAGTATTGCTGCTGCTGGTGCTGCTGCTGCTGGTGCTGCTACTGCTGGTGCTGCTGCTGCTAGTCCTGCTGCAGGAGCACTAAAAATAGCCCCATCGTCCTTGTGGGTGGGGGGCCTCCTGGGGGCCCCTGGAGCTTGGGGGTTCCCTCCTGGAGGAGGGGCTCCGGAATACCCGTGCATGGCAAGATTGATGCGGAAAGAGGGGCCCCGAGGGCCTCCAAGGGGCCCTGTGTGGGCCCCTCCCTGTGCAAATGGACGCCTGCGCGGCCTTTTTGTCGTCGAAATGGCAAGCCGAGAGGTCTTTTGCGGGTTGGCTGCTTCTGTTGTTGCTGCTGTTGGGGGCCCCGCCACAGCCGCCGTTGCAGCGGCCTTTGCTGCAGCCTGCTGCTGCTTCCTCTTGATGCGAGTAGCCGCTCCATCCTGCTGTATTTCCTGCTGTTGAAATGGCTGCTTCTGCCCGGTTTGCGCCACCTTTCTTTCGAGACAGCTCCCGGGGTGCTCCAGCTTCGCGGCCTGCTGTTGTTTCTGCTGGTGCTGCTTGTTAGGCTTTAGGGGCTGCTGTCTTGGTCGGGATTTGTTTTTTATGTGCAGATTTTCAACCGCCCTTAGGGGGGCCCTCGCCTCCCTGTGGAAAGGGCCACCTGCCAAAGGTGCCCTAGAGCCCCCCGACAATGGGGCCCCTAAAGGACCTCCAGAATCCGGATAGGAGGAAGCCAACGGACACTCAGGGGGCCCCCGAGGGCCCGCCTGATGAGACCTCAAGCCTGGCATTGTTGGTGCTGTTGGTGCTGCTGCTGCTTCAGCTAGGCCTTCTGCAGCAGCTATTGCCACTGTCGCAGTAAGAGCAGACGGTATTGAAGGAATGCTGGCACAAATTTCCTGTACGTGGCTTATGAGGGGCAGGACGAAGCAAGTATGGGAATGCCTGAGTTGGGGTCGAAGCCTGAGCTCGTGGGGAGGTGCAATGCTGACAAGAAGAGGCACTTTAAAGCCTCAGACAAGTAAAAAGGGCAAGACAGACGAACTAAGTGCAGGACGTCATCTCAGAGCTATACGCACTGGGAGAAGAGAAGATAGAGGAGGGGTTGTGACAGTCCAGTGGTCCGTGGTGTCTGCTCTATTCGACAGGAGAGCAGCACCAACGGTAAACCAGCTCGTTTTGTTGAGAAATAAAGTTGGAATCATTAAATTAGTCATCTGCTGCCTTTTACACCTCGGTACATGAGCACAGGCAGAGGGTCAAGTGTAGCAGCAGCCGCCGCTGCCGTGTACTGGTTTCACCCACCCATCCGTGGGGGCGAGGGGTGGTTATTCTACTCTCGTGTTTAGCCACCGTAAGGAAAGAGTAAACAAGAACTAGGAAACAGCCGCAATTTCTTCTATTAAAAGAATTACGCTTTTAACTATGGGCTAAACAAAAGTATTGGCTGAGTGTACTTTAATGCCAAAACTCGTGCCCCGAGTCCACCGCTGTGTGAGTGGGTGACCCTCCCGTTCTCTTTCTTGCCGTCTCTCGACGACCTAAAGAACTTGACTACTAGGATAACCGAATAAATAACCTCAAGAAGTTTAGTTCTGGATTACCTATTTCTAAGAATTAAGAGGCGAGAACCACGTCAGCCCCGTTTTCACGGCGCTCCAGGTGCTCTGTCGTGGGCGTCAGGGAAGCACGTAGAAAGTGCGAAACGTTCTCCGTCCCTAGTAGTAACCAAACCAACGCGTTATCAGGGCCAAATTTGGAGTCTAAGAATAAGCAGAGGGGCCGTCCGCAGCCGTTTAGTACAGCCAGCGAGCCTGTTGACCCCTCTGAAGGGGCACCGTCAAAGGGCGTTAGACCACTGACAACATTCCATGCACAACGCCTCTAGTCGTTGCAAAGTAGTACGCAAAGACGGGGATGTTCATGACAAGGTTATCCAGTTCTCCGCCAATGGCTTCTAAGAGAGTGCACAGAAAGGCGAGGCTGACGCGAGTCACTAAAGTCTCCACGCGAAACAAAGCCATCAGACAGCCAAGGAGTACCGCTAGAGAACCTGCGACCTGAGCGACCCCGCAAACACACACCACAATGCACTGCGCCGATGCTGGAAACCAACACAGTCTTCTATCTTGACGGTAGATTCCATAGGCCGCCAGCAGCTCGCCAGCGCTGAAGCCCCCGCGGCGTTTATACTGTAGTCAAGCATTGTATTGCTTTAGTCTTCGAGTCTTGACGCACTTAAAACCTAAGGTCTAACCCCCCTAGGTAATCACGACTACTGAAAGGGCTGTGGCTGCAAATGCAGGAGAAGGCGCAAGTAGTGTGACACCTTTCTCTGCCACCACAGCCGCAACAGCGAAGCTGCCACTTTGAAGCTTACTGTTTTTTCTCCAATCCATTTCGCGGAAGAAACGTTTCTGCCCACAATCGCCCCTAGAGGGTCTGCAATAAAGGCAGGTGCTAAGAAGCCGAAATCTAACCCCAAAATCAAAAACGCAAGCACTAGCAGGTTAAAACTTATGATCCCCTTATCTCTGTATTGCCCGAATCTGCGCGCAAGGATGCCACAAAAACAAGCGAATTGCGAGCTATGAGGTGCCACAGGTGGGACGAGCGGCACCGCGGTCATGGCCTTGCGTCGGGCACTGGGAAGCAAAAACTCCAAGAAAGGCACTGCTGTACAACTATGGGATTTGCTTTTTTCGAGCTAATAAGGGCTGCATGTACCTGAATGGGCGGATGAAGCACAGCAGGATGGCACCTGTCGCAATTGCCCCCACACCAAGTTGCGCGAATATCGAGTTTCGACTGCTTTCGCGAAGAAACAAAGAGAGGATGAGGCAACCCATGGAGAGGTGTGTCAGCTTCCGGGCTGCAAAGGGCGGAATGCGAGACTCAAACTCGAATAGATACAACAAAGCACCAACCCAGGAAAATAGGACTACTACTGGGAAGTCCAAGCCCATAGACACACGCTCCTCGAGTAGCTGCATCGCTTCAAACACCAAAGGAAGGCCTGCAAAGAAAAAGCCACGGCAGCAAAGCGGTGGTCTTGCGCGCACGGTGAGCGCAGCGTGGGTGAAGGAGTATGTACTAGGGGGTTTGTCGGGCTAGGCTTCTGGGTGCCTTTGCCCCGTGTACTCCACAGGAGGTGGAAAATACAAAACCTAGTTTGGGCAGAAAGCCTGAAGGGCTTTCTAGATCGCAGTGGCACCAAACCTTAGCTTACACAAGCCCGTGGGCCCCCCCCCATGCCAACCACGACGGCAGCAACCTTCCAAGGCTCCTTGCTTGGCTTTTTTTCCAAATTAAGGTCGAAATTAAAAAGCCAAATGCAAATAATAAGGGCAGTAAATGTGACAAACAGCCAGACGTGGCGACAGAATGGGGGGCCCTGCCCGGTGGGGCCCCTCAGTCACACCTGAGCCTACCTATGCAGCAACCGATCACACCTGAGTCTACCAATGCTGCAACCGACTAACCCAGCCACGGGCCGATTGCCATTTCGCTCCAGGCATATACATATATAGCCAATGCCTACGCGTGCAAGGCGCAGTGTAAACAAAGAAAAGTGCCCCTCCACTGTTTGCACGACTGGCCACGGAGCAACGTCCTTCTAAGGCCTCCATGGGCGCACTACGAACCTCGGTCTACTGAACTTCTAGAGCCTCGTGCTCTATTTAAGGATGCCTCTTTCTGAAGAATGCGGAAAAAAGCTGCTTGCATGCGTATTTGCGGCAAGCGGACAGAGCAGAGGCAAAATACGGAAAAGCACACTTCGAAAATGCCTTCTCAAGTCGCTGCGGCAGGTCTGAAAAAAACAGAATTTCCAGCTAACTGCGAAAGCCGCTCGCTAATCCCAGACGCTTTCCCCCGCTTTCGCATCCCCTGGGGCCCCTGCTACCCAGAAGCTTCCCCCCCTTTTGGATGCGAGCATCTGCATCTTGTCGACAAAATCTGTGCGGGCGAAAAAGGAGGGAATGCTGGCCACGTTCGCATCTCCTTGCCCGTCGGGAGAGTGGCGTTGGTGCTCGTGTTGCTGAAAGATACTGTAGGAGCTTTCTGCACCAGTATTCGAGGAAGATGCATAATTGTGCTGCTGCTGCTGCTGCTCATGATCCTTTTTCGTCTTGCTGCCCTTCTTTTTGGGTAATCCTGGAGCGAGGGCCTCCAGTTGCATCTGCTGCGCCTCCGCCTGCTGCTTCCTTCTGTTTTCCTTACTATTCTGGTTGTGGGAACCATTTTCCGTTTCGGGGTGTTCGTGCTGGTGCTGTTTTTTGCCTTTCCGTTCGTTTCCTTCTGCTGCAGCGGATGCTGCTGCAGGGGCAGTTTGGCGTTGCGCGTGAAGACTTCTCTGTTTAGGGACCTCCGCCCGTGTGTGTGTCTCTATTTCATGCTGGTGTTTGCCTGTCTCTGTTCTGTGCCGTCTCTTCGTGTTTTCCTCTCCTTCCCTGTCGGCCTCTCTACCTTTGCTGTGACTAGGCCTCTCTCGAGCCGCTTTCTTTTGTGAAGCCTTGGCGCTTTCGTATTTGTGCCTCTTCCGTTCTGCCCCTTCCTCACCGGTTTGTACCTCTTCCACTGCCTTAACCTTTCTCTTAGGCCCTGCATCCTCTCGGTTTCGCTTCGGAGGCTGGCCCCCCAAGGCGTTTTCAGAGGAGTCGAGGCCTTCAGAAAGTGGGCCCCCAGGGGGCCCCTCATATCGGGTTAAGATGGCCTTGAGCTTGGAGTGGCCCTTAAGTTGGAGGGGCTTGGTATTGTAAATCTTCAGAGCTGGTAGAGAGGACAAACAAAAGGCTTTGATCGCGTCCTGCGAAAACGCAGAGAACATAGAAACTCGGGTTTAGCAAGCATCCTTTGCGGGTGTAAGTACATCTGCCAAGCGGAGTTCCTGCGCTGTGCGAAGACGGTGAATTCAGGCCTCTTCCACTCAGAATGCAGGCAGGTAGGAAAATGAAGCACACGCATTCACACATCGGGCAGAAGAAAACCAAAGACACAAAGGGGCACCTTGAAAAGGTAGTACAAACCAGAGGCTCTAGGCAGAAAGCAGCGCACATGATGAGATAGCAACGCCTTTGAAGCACATACCCCATAGGCTTCGAGCGCGGGATTCCCCAATAGATTCAACTGGGCCAGTTTCAAGTGAGGGCCAACAAGCTTCACCGCCCTGAACCACACACACAGACACACACACAAACACACACTAAACTGTGAAGTTCGATGAATTCACACCACGTATACAGGTGCCTCTAAGCAACGTCTTTCCGCTATGCTGGGTGCGCACATACGGCGGCGTGCAGCACTCCACAAAAAGTTTTCGCATGATTGCCACTGTTGAAAGGCCTCAACGGCACTACACTATGGCCTGCAGAGGCTCACTGCAAGGTGGAGAGGAGATTGTGACCAAGATCCAGAATCGTAAGGCTCGGCATGCAGCTGAGTCCCCTGCCCATCTCCAGCAGCTTGTTGCTGGCTAGCCGCAACTCGAACAATGCAGGGAATCGGCCACAAAAAGGGAACGCCTAGCGAGCACACCCATGCAACACGCAGCAGCTGGCTAGCCAGCAATGAGGGGAGCTGCCGAAAGGGCCGTCTTTGATTTGCATCGGCTCAACGATGCGTCTACCACACGGCTGAGAGGACTCTGGACACATGGCTAGCGCCTTGTGTCCAACTAGGAGCCTTGCGAAGGGCCTCCGTGCAAGCCAGGCACTCGTCGCGCCTCGACAGGGTGTGGGAGTAGGCTTGGTTTGAAGAGTTACTTTGAGCTTGTTGTGGGAAAGAGAGAGCTTTCTGAGATGCGGGAGGGGCTGAGGCGGCTCTGGGAACTCGGATATTTCATTCCTTGAGAGGACTGCGGCAGCATGCGGAGGGCGAAACAGCGGACAAGGGAACGATAGCACACACAATCACACGGGCAGACAGGCGCAGGCAAGTGATCAGGAAAACGCCGAGGCACATGCTCTAGCGATCCGAATCTCAGGGGGCCCCACAGATGCCGCTCTGTAGTTGTTGGAGCTCCTTAGGAGAGCACAGAGCCTCCAGAATACGGCCTTTCATGCCCTTTAAAAAATATGCACAGCGTCAAAGACAAGCTAAAACAATGCGGCGACGGCACCTGCAGCGGGGGAAGGTTTGGGGCAAAGATATAGCCAAGAATCTCCGTGATGGTCATAAAGTGAAGGCATGAAAAGGCAGCATCCAACCCGCCGAATGCATCTAGACAACGGGAAGTCCGCTCAAGCACGAAGGAAAGAAACTTACTGAGGCTCTCGACATGTAAAAGATACTTTCCAAACGGAACGCGGCCTGAAGAATGCACGGATGAGCAAGCAGACAAACAAGCTATCTTTTGCTGTCTCCTGCCGTGTGTGTGTGTGTGTGCCATGCCTCCCTTGCCTCTACTGTGTAGCTGGGCTGCGCTATGTGCGCGTTTGCTTGGGCCTCCTCGATCCCGTTCCTCTTCACTCTCATTGCCGCTTTCTTTGTTTGTATGCGGCTTGACAGCTCCCGTGCCAGGCCCTATCTCCAAAGGGTTCCTGTTGCCAAGCGTATACTTAGCCGCATGGAGCCGCCCCCTTCTCAAAGGCTGCAGCCTGAAACGTTATGGGTCTAGGGAATGCAAACGATTCAGGGGCCTCACTAATTTCATTGCTGCTGAGAATAAGTGCCTTCAGATTCGGCAGACTGTCGAACCCTTCCATTCGCGTCAACTGCACACCACCACACACAAAACTCGAGAGCGAAATCCCACAGTCATGCGGTACCTCTACTGAGTTGAGAAAAATTCGCTGTCAAAGTGTTCGCGTTTTTATGATGCATCCCGTCTGAACAAGCTGGCGCAGCCTGCATTATTGAGGCCCGCATCATGCCGCCTTCAAAGCCCCTCTGCTAGCCTCTACCTGCCCCTCAGAGCCGGCTAAATCCTTGCTGGAATGCATGCTCACTTGGTTGCCACTGAGATCTAGGACCCTCAGATTGGACAAGTTTTCGAGTGAGCTGCCCAAGGACTGGATGCAGTTATTCGCGGCTTTGAGATGGGCCAGAGAGAAGTTCATTGCGAGAAACGAGAGTGAAGTGAGGCTATTTGAGGAGAGATCAACGCGACAAAGGCCCTTCAAGCAACTCAAATCTTCAGCTGTCTGTACTCCTCGGCAGCTTAGGTCCAAGTATTCTAAAGCAGATAGACCCGACGGAGCGGAATCTCCACGTGAATGCTTCTCCCGTTGGCGCTCCTGCTTGTTTTTCTGCTGCGTCACCTGATCATGAGTGACATCAGCTATAAGCGCAAGGGTCACGTGCGGGAGAGGGGGCAGAGCAGCCCGCGCTGCAGCAGCAGCCGCTGCGCGAGCCTTCGCCTCCTCCCCTGCTTTTAGTGCAGCCACTGCCCACAAAGGCAGCTTTCCGCTGCTCTCATCACCGCTGGAGCTGCTGCTGCCGCCTCCTCGCATGTGCTGCTGCACGGGGCCTCTGCGATCACGGAGCCTCCGAGCGGGCGAAACATCAGCGCCATTGCCACCACGGCGGGTTGCCCGTGGATTTTTCCCCTGATCTTTCCTTACAGACTTCTGGCCGCCTCTAGGGCCCATTGCACTCCGCGTTTTCTCCTCGTCGTGCTTTTTTCGGATCTTGTTCTGGGCACGGGACCCCCTGGTAGCGCTGAGGGCCCCCTCCCCACTAGAAGGCCCTGACTTAGCTGCTGCCCCCTTCGCGCCTCCCAGCTCACTGCGCCCGCTACGCGACCCCATGATGATGTAAATATACTGCACGCTATGTGCAATGCACCCTTAAGGAAGGGGCCCCCTGAAAGGGAGGGTCTTCCAGTCCCGCAAACGCCAGAGCAGACTTTGGGAAAAGCGCTGAATTTTGAGGTCTGGTTCAATGAAATCCGCTGGATAACCATAGCCTAATGGTAGTACCGGGGAGAAGCAACGGGCAGGCGGCCAGGGAGGCTAGGGTTTGGTCTTGAAGTCATCGTAGGGGGGCCCCAAGCAGGTGGCCTCATCGGCATAGGAGGGCCCCACGAGGGGATACCCGGGGATAGTTTATGTGTTGCTTACCCGACCCGCATTATGGTCGTCTCTTGTCATATCTTTAAAAGCGTAATCTTATGCTTTCAAAACTACGCACCACGCTCTTGAGGTCCTCCAGCAAGGAGCACCCCATTGCACGGAGATAGGCTCTACAGTGATCCCGCTGCTGCTCTTGCGCCTTGCAGCAGAAATTCCACCCTTCTGCCGAATCTGGGCCAAGAAATGTAGCCGTAAGCTCTTAAGCTCTAGCTGGAGGAAAAATCTAAAGGAGCAGAGCTAAGGAATAGCCACACACTATCTGCGAAGGGTTAAAGCGCAAAGGCGCAGTTGAAAATAGGAACGCTGCAAAAGGATGCGCGGTCGTTTGTCTGCTGTACGCCCCACGCAGTCAGCTGCCAAGTGCATATACTTCCCATGAATCGAATACTGCTCTGCCGTGCTGGGCGCTCGTATCCTCAGGGGCCCATGTCCTACACTTCGTAGAGAGCCTCCCTCTGCCTATTTCTGGCCTTCCCATGTCTCTTAGCATCTCTGTATCGTTCCTGTTTTATTGTGCTGCTCCCTACTCTACGGCGTACTATCTGTGCCCCCTACTGAGTCGATTTCTCTGCATTATCAAAGGGTCTCAAATGAGCGCCCCGGCTCGTGATAAAATGGCCTGGGCTTCCAATGTATGTTCATTCGCCTTTCAGCGCAAACGCGTGACGGCCGCTCTCCCCCAAGACTGCTGGGAGTTAGTTGGCTCAAGGGCCACATGTGGCAAAGAGAGTCATCTATTAAACTAACTACCTGGCGACCCAGCCAGCTCGCTCTCTAGCCATTTAGCCAGCCAGTACGCCGCGTGCTCACTACAAACTTTGTCTGTATACTCTAGCGGGGAGCGAAAGAGATTTTTCTTCAACGGGCGCTTGTCCTCCCCCGGCCATTCTTAGCCCGTTCAGTCGCCTGTCGATAAGGATCGCTAGCCCAGTGGGTAGGAGTAGATAGCTATCGAGCTAGCTGTTGCAGCGCACCTACCCCATCAAGAGTGGCATCCTGTGTGCGAGGGCATCGATTGAGTTTTGGGTGAGTCCCACCTCTTTGGCCACAAGATAGAACGCCTGAGTGGAGCTGTTGGCCCTCTGTGCTGCCATAAGGATCTCTTTTGCACCCCAACCTCGCCGCTTCAGCTTTTCTCCAAGCTCTTTAAACGCCAGGGCCTCCCGTAGTGACACTGGAGGCCCAGAGGAACCCAAAGCCGCACGCAGATCCGCATAGGTATTACTCCGTAGGAGGTTTTTGAGCCGTGCCATGGCTGCTGCCTCCGCCTCCTGCTGCAGTTGCTGCTGCTGGTGCTGTAGCAGTAACACCTGGCTTTGCTGCAGTCGCTTCTCATGCGAGAACTGCATTTCATGGTGCTGAAAAGAAGAGTTTTCTCTGCCCTCCCCGTCTTGTTGGCGGGACTGTTCTTCTCTCTCCTCTGGTCCACTGGCAACCTCAGTGGTGGTGCTGGTAGTATCACGGGAATCTCGCCTGCTCCTGCCCCCTGCTGCTGCCGAATCACCTGCAGTGTACGGGTTCCACACTATGGTTGGCGTGGACGGCCTCACTGCTTTTCTTGGGGTATCGTCGAACTCTGCCGACTCGCTTGTTGCATCTTCTTCATCAGCGTCTACTGCCATATTTGAAGTCGGAAAAGTCCTTGTTGTCGTTCCCTTCTTGCTGTTCATGCTGTGCGCTTGCTCCTGCTCATCTTCTATCTCCTGCATTTGCTGGCTGCAAGGCTGGGTGCGCTGTTGCAATTGCTCGTTCGCGGCTGCATGAAGCTCGGCGGCAGCAACGGCGAGAGGAGCTGATGCAGCATATTCCCAAGGGGACTTGAGGGATTGCAAGGCCTTCCCGAGAGCTGCCAACTCATTCAGCAGGTTTTGCTGCGCGTTGATGTAACGCTGTGGACAAGGACGCCACCGCAACTGCATGCGTAATATTTATGTATCTATCTACGTATACATATGTATATGCTTATATGTATGTGTATGTGTGTATGGGTATATGTGTGTGCATCCCCGCTCATATTCTATGAAACTCATAAAGGATCTTCCATGAAAAAGGACGCGACTGCACGGAGGGCACGGAGCTACAAGGAAGCAGCATAAAAGCAGTATGATTAGCTAAAGTTAGAGTGCAGGAAGAACACGGAGAAAGCAAAGAATCGATAGTCAGAGAACATCTGATGGAATTGTACAACGGTAAGAAAGATTTCGAGGGCCTATACAGTGCCGGCATTCGAACGTTGTAGGGCATTGCGTTACCTCCACATCGGTGACAGACTTGTTGGCAGCATTAACGAGATGCGTAATAGCAGCTCTATCAGTGTCTCGCATGCTGCATCTGCCGCTGTTGGTTTTGATCTCGTGTAGAGACATGGAAACAGTTCTAAGGGCCTGGAATACGCGTGGCGAAAAAGACAAAGGCATGAGGTTCAAGCAGCTAGCCATTCGGGACGCTGCTGCTGCCATTTCGTGCTCTTGCTGTGGCTGCTGCCGCTGCTGCTGTACTGTGGAGCCACTGGCGACGGAGGGGATAACAACTGGCGGGAACCACTGCGGATGGCCGTCAGCACTCAGCCAGTCCATAGATATCCCATGCCTCAGTCTCCGCATGTCAGAGCTGCCGCCTAATTCTGGAGCAATATTGGCATTGGGAAGCTGACTGGATACAGCGAATGGCGTCGATAGCCATGCCCCCAGGGAAAATATATCCGCGGTGGGCGCTGCCGGTGCCTCTGGTTCTTCTTTCGATGTCAGACTACGCCCTGCATTTTGAAGGATTGCAGCGAGCGAGTTCTCATTGCTGTCGCTATTGCCCCAGGGAATGGAAAGAGACAGGTCCACAGAGCACGAGTACAGCACACACATTGCCAGCGAGAGGGTGCGAAGTGTTAAGAGCCCCATGGTGCCAGGTAGGATGACGAAGAAGTCCGAGCAAGCGAAAAAAAGCGTAAAAAGAGGAGAGAATGGGCCCAGTGAAGGATACCTGGGAGGAAAGCATAGGTTTCTGTGTTCCCGAATGAACAGTTGTCGGACAAGCTTTGCGCTATCCACCCCAATTAGCATGAAACATAGATCAACACTAGTTCTGAAGCACTCTGCTAAAAGAGACGATCAGAGAGAGAACCTAATGCACTCTTGGTTCCGGTTTCATCGGAGTGCCTAGCGCCGAGTGTGCGAACATCCAGAACAAGCCCCCAGCAGCAGAAGAAAATATCCTTATTTCATCCAGCAGTAGTCCTCTCTGCACCTTCAGACGAGAAGTCAGATATTGAAACCCAGAAAACTATGGACGAAAATAACAGTGGCGACACAATATCTATCTGTCGAAATCAGCAGCGAGCTGCCCTTCGGTGGGCGTCACCTACGGCAAGGGGAGCCGAGCAGCTACTCTGCTGCTCGGTTACAAGCGGCGACCAGAAAATATTCCTCAATTATTCTAGAATTAAAATTCCGCCTCATTTAATACCGCTATATATATTGCGTTTTTATTAGGTTTCCAAAATTTTGACTCTGTTTCGCCCGCGTTTGAATACTCTGGTGGACGTACGCCTCGTCCGGACCGGACGGTGGCGGTCCGGTGCCCGCTGGCTGTCACCGCTGCTCTCGGACGCGGAGGCCCCCTCCGCTCTCCTCATTATTTCCCGAAATAAGCATATTTAATAGGTAAATCTGATGCACTGAAGGTTCAAGCTGCTTTACTCTACGTGCGAGCAGAATGTTTGAAGGTGGAAACCCCACAGCGCCAATGTTTACTTCTACTGGAAGCAATGAAATCTAATCCTTACCACGCGTAAAACGGCTGTATATGTGCACAAACAGAGCACAAAAGTTTTTGAGCTGCCAAAATGATGGACTCAGACGCTTCAGGCTTGTGTACCCAGCGCAACGCAGGTATAACTGCATCCGTATACCTGCCTCTCCTTTTTCACTGCTTCCTCAGCAATCACTGTTTGCGCCTGGAAAGAGTATTGGTAGCATCCCTGCCCACCCATATCCGGCTGCTTCTGGCTTGCTCTCTTCTGCGCAAACTGCTCTAGGCCACTTCAGCTCTGCTCAACTGCAGCCCACACCACGGGCTCTGCCTTTCTTCCTAGTGTGGCTCCAGTCTTTAGAATGCATTTGATGCAAGTGCCTTATTTTATGTATTACCAAATGAAGTCATGGAATTGGCTGCCCCTTTTGCTGCTGAATACAAAATATGCCTTAAACTGAACTCAGGCAAGCGGGTCTTGCTGGCTCCATCTGCACTAGAAGCATGCACCGCGAAATATTCGACGTTGCACACATCCTTTTAAGGATTTATGTGTGCACTCCTACCTTTAAGGCGTTTTTGGCGTATTAAGCGTATCATCATAGCATATTCTCATAATTCGCAGATAGGGAATCAAGAAGCAGTTCCAGCATTAACCTCATGCATACATGAAAAGGTTTAATTGTTCAGATGGCCTCTCCTGCGGTTCACAGTGTATGATGCACACTTTGTAATAAGGACTTTCACCCAGTAGCTCTTCTCTGCGGCATCCGTTCTCCTTTGAGTTCTGATCTGTGCCTCCAATGCTTCACATGAGGTACCGATAGGGTGACACTTCACTCCCGAGTCTATACGAACTGAATAGATAGCAACTGAGTGTCGTCCAGAAGAGCTCCTGCCTTTCCCTGCCAGCATGCTTCAGACGTGCCGGCGTGAAGGGGGAAGGCCGCTAGGGTTCGCAGTTTCGCTCTCGCTAGGCACTCCAGCCATCCGAAGCTAGTTTCAAATGCCAAATGGCGCACACGCACACAACCTTGCGTCTTCTTGTGGCGCGCTAGTAATAAGCTGCAATTGATAAGATATGCGAAGGGACAGCCAAATACTCCAAAGGCTTGTTAGTTCAAAGTTAACTATAACTAGTTCAGTTTGAAAGTGTCTCTCTGGAACCTAGTGCGTGATTTCTCCCCCCGTATTTTAAAACAGACACTCTCGTCTACCTTACTGGCATGTCGGACCAAACTGCTTGCAGGAGCACAGACCTATCCTCACGTTCCAAGCAGGTAGTAAAGCGAAGGAAATGCTCGAAAGAGTAGATGTGTTCGTCAGCAGCGCAAATGAAATCGACGGGGGGAAAGGCGCTCACACTAGCCAACAAAGAGCGAGAAATTAAAGCGGTACAACTACCGTGCCACTATGGTCTGCTCTCTACGAAACGCAAAGCTCTGTGAACCTCCTACTACAATAAAAAAGACAACAAGTAAAATCTACGGAAGGGGTTAAGAGCTACCCTAATCCAGCAGTGCTTCCTTGCCTCATATTGCAACCTCTGCAAGCAAATGCAGCCGTTGCATGCAGCACCATCCCCTTCAACGCCCTCATGGAGGGCTCAGGAAAAATGTAGGGTCAACATATCTGGGAGTTCCCGCACATGGATCTGTGCGTATAGAGCACCTTACTGCTAACAAACGGCAACTTCTTCAGAAGAACGTAAAGATGAATGTAGCTTCTTTGTTAACGCGTTTGATGGGGAATGACAACCAGCAGAATACGCTAGGAATAAGCGCCTACAAGGCTAAGTTTGTCAACTAGAGAAAGTCACAAACTCTTTCACGCGAAGCAGAGCCTGCAAGTGTTTTCCTTCAACAGCGAAGCTCGCGTTCCCCACCGAATTTCAATGCAAGCCTGCGCATAGTGTCCCCGGCGCTCAATCGTGCAAGAAGTCCACCATCTCTACACTTTCTGTGGATTCTCCATCTCCATACGGGTCACTTTCCTGCATGGTAAGTCTGCGAATAATTCTGAGAACTTCAGAATTTCGTTAGGAAGGCAGTAGTAATGGTCTCTCCAATGCGTATTAGTACGTACGCGGCGACCTCAGCTGATGGGCCATTGACTACCCAGCGCAGCACAGTAATGCCTAAACGTGTTTTTTCCGATGACGAATCAATCGAATAACGGAGTCCAATGAGCTTCGTAAAACCGCATTTGGAATACTAAGGCTTGTCAGCAAAGGCATATGGGGGCCACATAGTTTCATTTTGCTGACTCGGGGTATAGGATTCGTTGTAGGGCTGAATTGGTCAGACACGAGTGAAGGTAGCTTGCTTTGACGACTGAAACTGTTGGAAGGAGTGTACGTTCCGGGTTAACTCGTGAGGTTTTGCCATTCAATGTGTTAAAAAGCTGCAAAAAAGTAAATTATTCAATAGGGAGAACTAAGTAAGAGCAGATTTAGGTGCAAATATTTTCTTTAAGCTGCAGGCCCAACGTGAGATGCATCTTAAGCCTCTTGTATGGGGGTTGCCCTCCGGTAACAGCTCTGCGAGTAGCTGCACCTAGCCATAATGCTCTTCTCAACATCAGGGCTCTTGTTATGTGGCTCTAATACATTAACTGTTAGAATTTCTATACACTGGGAGCTCTCTTATCTCTAATTGACTGCAAGGTATGCATACACGTGTCTTAGACATTAAATTTAGTGCTGGTGGCTGCCAGTGAACCAACGACGGTTGAGTTCATGCGGAGGTATCAAGCCCTACTGGGGGCTTGGTGTTTAGGATCAAGGCCTTTGAACTAAGCTTTCACGGTTTAAGGGTGTATTTGTTTATTGAAAGAAGATGTTTCACCGAGGCACCCATGCTCGTTGCCTGAGGTCCTAATTGGTGTGCCGACACGGTGAAGTACTGGGTTTTAAAGGGAAACAAGCCTAGACTTGCACATTGGAGATACTCATTCAAACTATCAGAGCATTTAATACGTGTTTATCGCTGCCAGTGAAAGAAACCGTGTTGCTGTTTAGGCAGACGGGCATGGCTGCTCGGAAGCCTGCTCGAAAGAAGAGGTCTAGTTCATTTTTACGTGTAAACGTTGCTATTCGCTGCACTCCTGGTGATAAAATGGAATTAGAAAACCTTCGTTAAAGAAAGTAAGGGGCGAAGTTGGATAATAATTTGCTGGGACTGGTGCTGGGCGTATGGCCAGGTGACCGGTACAGGAGTCGTGTCGGCTGCATTATTTTCCCTTGACGATCATTTGTTTCTCGTTTCACTCATTTTAGCTCAAAATCTAGCTCTATATTGATTTACTTCCTCCTGAGGTGTTTTTTCGAAGGCTCAGGATTGCCTCTAACCCCGTCGATAGGCACTCTCCTGCACCGCTGCTTTCACACAATGGCTTCTGGGGTGGTCCTTAAGCAGTCGGGCGTACGGACGCTTCCCAGGAGCACAAATCAGGCTTTCGGCATTGCGGAATACACCATACACTTCATCGGAACGGAGTCAGCGCACACCTACCCAGCCAGCAGAGTAGGAACCCTGTGGGGCCCATAGCGCATCGCGCGAGCAACGAACCACTCTGCATCAATTTCCCTAGGGTGAAATATGTGTTATCCTGGAGGGGTAGATTGGCCTGCATTCTATTGATGGATGTGATATACAACTACAAGGGCCTCATAGGGGCCTTTAGGGGGAAAGCGCAGGGCTTCCTTGGCGCTCTTGAAGTGTGCACACAGCTTTAGTAGAGGCCTAGAACACGTCTAATTCTGCTTGTTTGTCGAGCCCATTTATCTGCGGAGACCGTTAATCGCGAAGTTGAAGTCTGCGCGACTCGGGTCTTTGGTGTCTCAAATGGATGCCCCGTCAGCATGCAGTTTTGCACACATATTTATAAATGCATATATGGATATATCAGTGTCATTCTTTTCTCTCCGCGAAACCAACATCCCCCTGTATCTGCACTTTGGATAGGTTCAGAGGATTTCGTGTTTATGCACTCGTGGGCAGCGATCGCCCTCATAAATACGTGTGTTGCCGTGTTTGCTGTGCGCTTGCATTCGATTCGAATTCGCCCGTTGTACCCCTACCAGAGCATGAAAGGCACATGCACATACATGCATAGAGTCTCTCGTATAAGGTGAAAATAGCTAGCAGAGAACGGTGAAGGGGAAGGGCTAGGGAGGGCAAGAGAAAATCAGATTAAAACCAGTATAAGGAGGGAGGCCTGATTGCAACAGAGTTCGTGGCTTTCTGTTAATGTTGGAATCAATGCCTGATGCTTTTTTTCCAACCTTCAGCAACCCAAAAATAAGTCCCTCGGTTTACAAACGCGTGGCTCTCTTCCACTTGGACTCCGTCTTTTGCGGATTCTCCGCCTTGGCTCTTCGCACCAACGCCCCCACCATCCTCAGGAATGAAGCTCTCAAATACCCAGGTTAGTAGTCAGCGTAGATGCAGCACCGCAAGAGGGATTTGAGGCATGGGACCTATGAGCACAGGCAGCACCGTGCCTAGAAGATTTAAGTAGATTATAGGGATTTGTGACTTGCGTGTGCTTGCATCGATTTTTCGTCTTGAACCCACGGCTCACAACAATGCATCTCTTTGCATGTGGGGTAAATAGGCATACACATGTATTCCTTCGAGAGGGCTTGCAAAACAAGGGCTGCTGGGGAGTACACCCAATTCTTCATATTTTTCTTGTTCTGCCTTTGGTATGCACCTGCGTTCCTGCGCTGCAGACCTGTAGGGGCTGCACACTGCTGCCTTTGTTTGCTAAACTGGCTGCAGTGGCTGTTGCTATTGCTACCGCAGTAATAGCCAAAGCGCCAGTTCTGCAGCCTGCAGGATCGCCCGCACGGTTATCTAAAAGGGTGCTGATGCGTCTAATACTCCTGGGTGTAGCCGTTTCTTGCGTTAGTTGCCTGCGTCTTCCGTATCCACTATCCAGAGAAACCTGAGCATTGCCGGACATAAGGAGCGTTGTTCTCTGTATTAGGCTTGGCGCTTGCGTCTTTGGAAGCCCCCAGCGTTGCGCTCCTGAGAAAGTAAGGGCATCCCTCTCCTTTCTTGGAGATCCCCTGCAGCCGAGGAGGTTGCTTTCTCTGATCTCGTCTGTGCTCCATGGTGTCTCTTCCTGCGGAAGGGGCCATGCCTGTTCAGCTGCTTGAAACCTCAAATCTGGAAATATAACTGAGAATTTTTCTTGTCATGTTCTTTCTTGTGGTTCAACGTGCACCTGTGCGCATTGGAGGCATTGGTTGCCTCTCCACGCCTACGGTCTTCCCTTCTAGCCTTCCTTTCTCTGCGGGGGGCGTGCCTGTACACCTCAGGTGGTTGCGGCCAATTGTGCGGCCGTGAGAGAGTTAGACAGCAATGGCACCGTCTTTGGGTATAATGCCAAATTAAGGGACCATCGCAAAGGGGAGTTTGGACATAACGATTTTTATCCGGTTTGCATCGCAGCAGCGGAGGTCTGCTCACCCCCACCGGACGGCAGGTGGGATATATCCGTGTATATATATATATATATATGTGTCGGTGTGTTCCAACTTTTGGCTTGACACGAGTTTTGCCCTTTCGCCCTGCACGGCACGAGCTTAGAAAGAGTGTTTTTTTTCAGTTGTCCTCGATATCGCTTAGACACTGGATAAGCTTCAGCTTATGTAGGGCTCTGTTTACATCTCCCGAGGATATCCTGTTACGCTACAGGACCCTCCTACGAGCAATGATTTGCCTGGATGAAATCCGGGGCCGTCTTGCAGAGTCCTTTTCTCTCAAAAAGCTGAAAATCGACCATGTGCTTCATGGCGCCATTGCATCTGCTGCGGTTTACGGGGCTCTCTTGGGTACGCCTTAGCAATGCACATGCGGCTCAGCCTTTCGCTGTACATACACCCAGAGGCGGCCTATGAACCGCTTAGTAATTTTAGTGCGTGTTCTCAGGAGCCTCTCCAGAACAAATAGAATCTGCCATTGGGATGACTGTGGCGCACTACGTTCCGTACCGGGCCATCCGCTGCGGCGACCAACTCAGTGATTCTAAGGGTGCATCAGCGGCCTTCAGTGCAGAAGCCGCTGTCTTATGCATGCGTCGAGGTGCTTCTATATACACACACGATCTTACTCGCGTACACACCCGCATCCTTGCTAATGATTTGTACTGAGGTCCTCCGTGTTGCCTGGGAATGCGCCTCACGGTGAGGTGTACCGACACCTCGAACATGTCAGTACTCCGTACCTTGGCAGGGAGAGGTATCTTAAATCACACAGTGCCCTTTTCTCAAAGTCTTGGGCCTTGTGCATGCATGAGGCTGCTGCGGAGAAAGGAGGCTCTGCATGCGGAGGAGTAGCCCTACAAAAGGAGCTGGAGGTCTCTCTATAGCCTATCCAACGGCCTGAGCAGTGTACTGTTGGGCTGGTTGGATACAAGAAAATTATCCTTCGATGCCAGTCATTCTGGGTTTCGCGTTCGCTTCCTGCAGCAATGAACGGCTTTGCTGGTCCAAAAGATATTTTTAGAAATCCAGAATCGGTTTTTTGTTGGGTAGGTATCTCGTCTTGGCTGCAAGGGCTTTCAAGAACACTTTTATTCGCCCGTAGTGGGTGTCTGATCATCCCAGATTGGCCGCACGGACAGCACGATGTCGGAGCTTCGCGCTTTTGTCTCGAGTATTTGAGTGCTCTTTTTGTGGCGGTGTGGACATTTCGATCCGCAAGGGCAGCTGCGCTCAAAAATGTCGGAAAATATTGTCGTTCTCAACTTGTGCCATTTTTGCGTTTCCCCGTACGCCCTCTGGCGATTGGCGAAAGCGCGCATTCCTCAATTCATTTAAACAAGCGCACACGAAAAGTTGCAAGCATGAAGACGACGGTTTTTTCGTGTTCTCGTGTCAAACTTTGCATGCACACAGCGCCCCCTGCTTTTCTATGAAGGCTTAAACTCTCAGCACCCGTCCTGCTGACTGCCGGAGAGCCTCCGCTGTAAAGCTTTCTCCCGCGGTTCGCTATGTTACGATTCCGAAGGACGTCATTCACCTGTCGACAGCGTCCCTGTGTTTTGCGTGCTCAGAACATGCAGTCACCGGAGGGCGAGTCCCCTTTTGACCTTCATCTCACTATGGAAGGCAGTGATTTTGCGGTAATGAACATGCATTTTAAACTTGGGTTGTACGAGCACCAGTCCGCTGGAGCCTTGGAGGTGAGGTTTGAGATGCATTAAGCTTTTTGCAGGAGGGTGCCTCTCTCTTGACCCCTGTGCCTGGGTGTGCGAGCGTCCAGACCTGTGGGTGCTCCAACTTTGACCACTGGTGGTTGTTGTGCATGCACCGGATTGCCAACTTTTTAGGGCCTCATCCAGCTGCTTTCTAGACACCCGGAAATGTACAAAAGCCCAGATGCGATTTCCGCCATAGAAGTGCTGGCCTATCAGCCGGCTTTCGGCATAATCGGCGATCGTGCCAAGAGGAACCCCGTCACCAGACAAAGCGCAGACCACTCTATGGTACCACCCATGAGCCATACGTTTTTACGATTGTCCTTCGGGAGCAGCCAGTGTGTGCCTTTTAGTGCTTTTGGGGGGGATCCTCGAATCTGGGTCAGTAGGTGCCGCGTCAATAACGTTCTGCGCATAGGAGCAACCTGCACAGACTGATGTAGGAGGGATATAGGGTGTGTGTACAGGTCTACATCGTTGCGACGCTTTTACGGAAGGCCATAGAAATGAAAAACCTACCGAAGACTTCCGACGGCATCTGGTGCACCCTAATGCTTTCTCCCCACGACTACTCTAAGGACGCAATTCACAATCCCAAAACAAGGTAATCTTTGACTCTGCACCTTGCTGCTGCCCATGCGCCGTTTAAAAAACACCCAGCAGGAGATTAGCACCGGAATAGGAGGGGATCCCTAGCGCTCCGGTTCTTCGATTTCCAAAGGTTCCCATTTTGGGGGTTCCGTCCCTTCACCCTGCAGGGCGTTGATGGAGAAGGTGCAGTTTGTCCACGGGGGCCCCGAATTCGACAGCAAATATCCAGAAGGAATCCCAACACAGGTTAAAGTGACCTTGAAGGATGGCAGCAAGCTGGATAGCGGTAAGCCAACTGCAACATTCCTGCAAGTGCTGAAGGGCATTGTGCTGCTCCTACACGAATGCAAGTGCTGATGCGGCTGCTGCAAAAGACAATGTATGCACGGGAATGTCGTTTCTGTTGTGCCTATATTTTTTAGGGATGGTGCTGTTCCCTGCGGGTCACAGCAGCAACAGTAGTGCCAACCTGCAGCAGCTGCTAAACCACAAGTTTCGACTGCTGGGGAGTCTCGCCCTGCCTGAAAAAACAGTGGACAGCATGATTCAAAAGATGCTGCACTTGGAAAGTGCCTCTGCCTCTGAGGTACAGCAGTTGTACGCAATCGAGGAATTGTCGTTAAGGGCACCCATCGACTAACGCGAATTTCTCTGGGTGGTGACGCACGTACATTGGAGATCTTGAGGGTTGCTATCTAGCAGCAGCCCGTGTTTGCTTGTTTTTCAAATGCCTAATAATTGTGTATGGCTGCAGTAATTGGTGCCCGAGGGTCCGTATGCACCACTTTGGCAGCCCCAAGAGTGCGCAACCCTTCACCTTAGGATGCCCGGGTCAAAAGTGCATGACATTGTTGTGCAGATTAGTACCAATACATGCACACGTGCATGCAGGTAGATCAAGTAGCAAGCTACACTGGGGACAGGGCTAAGCTTTTGCGGGCCATGAAGCGAGAAGGACAGGGCTGTTAGCTAGCTTCGCGCGCATCAAAACGCTAGAGTGCTTCTAGCTGTATGCAGCAGCTGCACTGAACAACAGAGCGCGTGTACCAGCACTCTAAGCCATTTATCTGCAATGGCATGCAAGGGCTTTGCGCAACCGTCAGACATGCTTTCGCCCTGCGCTTGGCTACGCTGTCGGAAGCACCCTCCCAGGCAGATGTTGGTTTCTTTTGGAGCCCAAGAAATACAGCCTACGTACTGCTCCGCACACTGCGAAGCCGGTGCTGATTCAGTTTCAACTGCTGCCCTGATCCTAGTGGTGAGTTCTGGGAAGCGCACTATGAAAGGCCGAAATATAGCAGGGCTACAAGTGGCGCCCCCCAGCTTTCGGCCTGAAGCGTTATCAGCGGCTTTGGACTCCTCGAGCCTTTGCATTCCCTAAAAAATGTGCACTACGAGCTGTGCTTACACAACTGCGACCTGCCCATTCAAACATTAAGTCACTGCAACTCCTACGGCGGCTGCTGCAGAAGTCAGCGCAGAGTTCAGCATAATGCGTGGGTCCTCTAATTCAAGGTGCCGACCATATGGAGCGAACCTTGGTCTCGCAGTATATATCCTTGTTTCCATGACCTTCAGCCATAGAATTGAAACCCCGGCACGGCCCCAACCCGAGAGAACCCTTGTTCCAGCCTTTTCGGATCTCCCGTTGGGCCCCGTTGGGGCCTCTAGGGGAGCTCTTTGTGGCACTTTCAGGCGTAAGATAGGGGCACCACAGAAACTAAGGCTTACTAGAGCTTTGCCTTCTTGCTTGTGGAGTTGGTCTAGGGATGCCCACCGCCACTACAGGAGGGCCGCAAGGAGTGAACGGGGGGGACCTGGGGCCCAAAGCCTCGCTCCGAACAGCTGCCTCTGTCACAGTGCTGGGAGAGAAAGAAATTCCATATCATCCTTAAGCGTACGCAGAAGGACGAACGACATGCAAATGAGGCAAGCAAGTTGCCACTGGTGGCGAGGGCACTACACCTGGGGAGCACATACACCTCAGAACAAGGGCGCACAAAATACGAAAGGACAGACTTTCGGACCCAGATTACAGAGTCTTTAAGGGTAAATGAACAGGAATGACAGCGACTGAAGGATGATGACCCTCCCGACGTTTTGGGCTAGATCAGCGCGAGCCCGGAGACACTGCAGCTACCACCTGGGCGTACACCAGAGAAAAAACGCTCATGAAAGACTTGCGTTGTAACGCGCTATCTGAAAGAGTTTGCCGCAATAAGCAAGGTTTTTGCGGTGATTGCCACCTATTTTTCGGATAACGACACCTGTCATGTCTCAAAGCGCTCTGCGAAGACTCAGGCCCGAGCATACCGCGCTCCCTGTCACCATGCGCCTGATTTGTTCTTTCTTCATCAGGCATTACCTCGAAACTAGCCACTGTTTCCTCTTAATGTGCCCCTTATTGTTATACTTGGAGGAGTGCGTGGGACGATGGGGGTAACGGAAAGAAATGATATCTCCTCGCGCCAGCAGAAGACCCTAGCAGATACGCTCACCACGCCTCCAGCATAGGGGGCCCTGCCCCGGGAAGCGAACACCGTGGTGCCCTAATCCCTCATTGTCTCATCCCCTTGCGTCCTTCCTTTTTTTGTGTTTGGGTTTAGGGTTTAGGGTATCTCGATCCCTCGTAGTGTGGAAAAGGCAGACATAACTCCCCTTCCATACGGAAATTGCCTCAGCATACACCAAGATGGCTTATCTCCCGGCCACGCTGGCGCATTTTAGGGAGCGCAGCTACTGGGATAACTTTTTTAAAAGCAGAGGGGGAGAGGCATTCGAGTGGTATGGCACCTTCTGTGACTTTAGGGAGGCCTTCGGGATCCTGGGTCTCCTTCGGGGGGCCCCCAAAGCCGATGAAGGTTCTCAAGAGGGGCCCCTACTTCTCCATGTCGGCTGCGGCAACTCAACCCTCCCCAGGGAGCTCTATGAGGAAGGGTATGTCTTCCTGCTCCTCTTGTACACCCTACAGGCGTGTGCCACCCTCTAATGCGGCTGTTCGTTTTTTGCCAGGCAGCCAGCAAAAATGTACTTTGTAGGAGTTTGCGGATCTTGCAGATACAAGAGGATCGTGAACATCGACTTCTCTCCCGTTGTCATTGAAGAAATGAAGGCACGCTTCGCCGCTCTTCCATCGCTGGAGTGGCGTTGTCTTGATGTTCGGGGCAAGGGTCTCCAGGAGGCTTTCTTGGGGCCCCCAGGAGGTTCAGGGCCTCCTCCCTTTGACATCGTTCTAGACAAGGGCTTCCTGGATGCATTCATCTCCATAGATCACGAAGAGGCACTTCTTGCCAAGACAGGTCCTTCAGGCGTTCCTCCTGCCGGGATGCCAGCGGAAGGAACCTCTGAGGGAAGCCGCTCCGCAAAGGTTTCACCGGCAAGTACTCCTTATGACTACAAAAAGGCGGCATCTGAGTATTTTGAGGCGGTGATGGAAGTTCTGAAGGAGGGAGGCTCATATATCCTCATTTCTCTTCTCCAGGATTACCTCTTGAAAGAATTCGTAGGCTTTGGCTGTACAGTCTAGGGTTTCGGGCTTTAGACCGTTGCATGTTTCGTTTGGATAGATGTCTGCGCGCGAAGAGAGAGAGGTGTGGAGGCTCTACTTAGCTGCTTGGCAAGAGGCGGGCATGGCTTTTTTGGCTAAGCTGTATTCCAGCTGTCGGATCTAGCATGTCTGTCTCTGCAGGTTCGTTTCTTTCTGACCCGCCATGTTACAGTGGAGATTTTTCCATGCCGTACTGGGGACCCCAAAATGCAAGGAAGTGCTTTCGCAGGACGCCTGCAACCTTTCCTGATCAGAGTAAAGAAGGAGGCTCCCCCTTCAGGGGGGGCCCTGGGAGTGACCCCTCAGGTGTACGTACTGTACAGCTAGAATCCTGACCTGAAAGTGTTGAAAGTTTCTGAGCCTAAGGCGTTCCCTATCATGTCTATGCTTTAGAAAACAAGAGCTTTGGTGATGTGGATGTCTGCACACAGGCCCACCTGCACGATGGCAGGCACTCCTGGAAGAGAAGGCCCAGAGACCTTTCCTCTGTGGGAGCTTACGAGTAAGTGCATGCGAGAACTTTGCTTTCGGGGCTTTCAAAGTGCTCAAAAGCGGTCCGGGATTCGGGGCTTTGAGTTTGCATCTATTTGCGGTGACCATGTACTGCAACATCTCGTGCATTTTCCTCCTTGTGGTTTTAGAACCTCCCTTGCTTTTCCCTCTCTCTCTTTGGTGGCGCCAGAATTACCCGAGGGCGGATATTCTTTCCGAGTCAACTTGCGTCTCGTGACCCTTTCCGCGCAGCTTTCAGCATCCCTTTTTGATTCGTACGATTCGTTCTCTGTGCCTCCTCTTCGCCGTGGACAGTCTTCAGCTTGCTATTTTCTTGTCGACCTACACTTCTGTGGGTGCGCATCTGTGGAAATTTTTCAGAGCACGTGGCAGCAGTAAGCCGCTGGTTTGCCTTGGATGCTCTGGCGCGCAGTCAGAGTCCAGGAAAGAGGGCGATACTACATGTCGGAGGGGGGGGTGGCCCCTTCGCCCGTTGCAGCGTTGCGGTGTACGATACCACGAATCAAGCACATGCAAAGAAGGGGAAAACTGCCGCTCTCCTCGTTCCCCCAGGACAGGAACTCACTTGGACTTTCGCTACTTCTGAAGGAAATCAACAAGTATGGCGAGACACTAGGAGAATCCTTTAGGAACCCTTTTTTATCGGGGCTCAGGGATTGGCTTCTTTATCAAGCGTGGGGCTTTCCCGCATCGCCTCAGGCTTTCTCGCGGTATGTATGTCAACTGCAGATAGCGGATCAGCTGGAAACTTCGCGTTTGCTGGTCGTTACATTTCCTTTGGGGTTCGGCTCGGACGCCTTGCAAGAAGTGGCGCCTGTCCAGTGGCGTCGCACGATCGAGGAGGCCCAGAAGACCCTAGGACCCCTGCTAAAAGAATTCTCTCTACCTACGGAGGTGGGCTCCCGCGTGGTGCTGGAGGGAAAGGGGGGTTGGTGTTGCTTTAGGGGGGAAGAATCGCAGGCAGGGGCACGCGAGTTGGCAGAGAAACGAAGCCTGCGGCTCTCTCTCTTTCTGGGAGGCACTGCTCAACTACCGGCGGGAGAGTTGGGATATGCGTCAAAAGGTGGCAGCGTATTGATGGCCATCTTTCCCGCTTTGGATGCTCTGGGCGAGCCCCTTTTTGCGGCATTCATTCTTGCCCCTTCGGCGAGAGACACTGAAGGGCTTTGGCTGTGCTATCTGTCTACGTCATTCCCCAATTGTGCCGATCCTCTCTTTGCTGAGGTGTTTGCACATATAGGCAATCATTCATGCCAGATATATATCCATTATTTGCGCCGTAGATTCGCGCTGTAAATCTCTTCGTAGAGCCAGTCTCTTCTCGGCTGATTGACTGGTCGCACCGGCAAGCAGGAAAGTAAGGGGTGGGCGCTGAGGCACGGACAGCTTTAAGGCAAGCATACAGAAAGCGTCCTCAGTACTCCGCAGTGTTGTCTCCTCAGGATGCGATCCCCATTCTTACCCTGGGGGAGCAAGCCCCGGTGAGAGAGGTCTTGTGGCAGCAGTCCTCCCCTCTAGCAGGGCGTATCCTAGTGAGAGACGTGCAAGATACAACTGTGCTGGAGAGCGCAGCAGCGGCAGGGGGTTCCCCTGAGGGGGCTACCTCCACCGTTCCTCAAACCAAGAGAAAAGCCAAACAGGCCAAAAGGAGGAAAGAGCGAGACAGCAACTACCAGAGACTCATGCGACAACTTCTCTTCTCCTGCAACCCGAACACACTGCAGTCTGAGCTCAAGGTAGAGTCGCGGCCTTCACATGTAGAGACTGTCGTGCGCCTGAGCGCCGCAACATGCTTCGTGTTGGTTCTTACCAGTTCGCTCCCTAGGGCCCCTCTCCTTGTGCGACTCTTTGAGCTTCCCGTCACCAGCACCATCCGCTTCTCCTCTGCTCGCAATGTCTTGTAACGGTCTGCTATTTCGAGGGTGCCAGTTTGCCGTCCTTCCTTCTGGCTTTTCCCTGCAGCTCAGAGTCCCCAAAGGAGTGTCCTCCACCGACGCCTCTCAGGTGGAGTTTCTGACCCTTGATCCGGCTTCCGCATATTATTGCGCCATTGTTACGGGTGTGTGTGCTCGAGCGAGCCATCTTCTGTCGCATTGCTCCTCTGTGCTTTTGCCCCTATCGCTTTCACTCTTGTCTTATGTGCAGCTCTCCTGAGTCGTCTTTGTCGGCTCCCACTGCCGCCGGCCTCCGCGTGACACCTGCGTATATCTGCTCGCTGCCTCCTCTGGCGTCTCCTTCGAAACGCCTCACCCTCCCACGCTGTCTCTTTCCTGCTGATGCACTCTTTCTCGTAAATTTCATCGGGGCTCTGCTGAGGCTGTAGACCCTAAGGAATATCCATTTTATGGCACTTATTATGCTGCCCGACTCCTGTCTCTGGAGACGTCTCACTGTTGCTCAGCCCACTTGCACTGGGATGTTACTGGCCCCCGTCCCTCCCACTAAGGAGGCAGTCTAGCTTCAACACCTTCTGCCTACTGTTTGCGAGTTTCTCCAGCGAGCGAATACACCGATGGCTGCCCTCTTGCTGTGCAGCACTTCTCAGCCTGCCTGATTCGGGGTGTGAATATGTGCAGCTTTCGGCCTCTCGAAGAAGGTTGTCACCTCTCCCTGGGGCTCCATCAATACCATCGACGCGGTGCTTCTAGGTCTTGGTATATTATTGCAAAAACCCAGCTCTTTGCTCTCCTCCGCTTCCAGCCACCTTTTATTCGGATTTTAAAAATGATCGCCCCTGCCGTGGCACCTTTCCCCGGCCTCTGAGTTGCCTTGCTAGCGAGCTGAACCGACCCTCGTAGAAAGCCACATGCAACAGCTGGATGGTTTCGTGGATTTCCAAGCCGAGCGTTATAGCTGTTTTGTTTGCTCGCATGTGCGGTTTTCAGGGGGCGGTGTGCTGGGTGGAATGCTGCATCGCTTGTTTGGGAGCTTTGGCCTATCCCTAACTTGCGTAGAGCTTGATGCGGTAGTGATTCAAGTTGCAAAGCAGGTCGGTATCTTTAACTTCCCATGGCACAATAAGGTCTACACTGACACTGCAGGGGCCCTGTACGAGCATGAATGCAAATTTGCAAATGGATGGACACCAGCCTACTGCCTCGGGGCCGCACAGGCGGGGACAACTTTATGTTTTTTGTGGCTCCCTCATGCCTTTCTTTGAACTTATTGGTCGTTGCTGTCGTCGTATCCCGGCATTTTCCGCCTACTTCCTCCAAGCGGACGCAGGGGATGTCCTAACACCTAAACCTAGGCGCATGTATCTGTTTTGTGTGTAGTTTTTTGGCTTCAAAGAGTCTGAGAGTCCTCGTCTGCGCACGGTTTGCGGGGAGGGAAAGCAGTATGTGGAGGCCTTGCCTCCTGAATCCCTCGACCTCCTGATAATTGATATCAACAGCGGAGAGACAGCAGACGCTGTCATCTGTCCTCCCAAAGCATTTGCCGAGGCAGAGTTCCTGCAAACTGCTAAAGAGAAGCTGAGGCCGGGTGGCGTCTTTATCTCTAACCTTCTTTGCCGCTCTGAGGAAACGAAGAAGCAGGTGCGCGTTCAGTTGTCAACACTGCTCCTTAGGGCGATAAAACTGAATTGCTTTTTTGTGTCGTATTTTGTGCATATATGCTGGAATATAGATGCACATAGAATTTTACCAATTGATACGAAATCGATACTATTATTGCCAGAATTGCATGGTTTCGCTGACGGTCCATTCAGCTGTTGGATAGCGTCAAAAAGGAGTTCCCTTTTGCGGCCGTCATTGACGTACCTGAGGTGAGTCAGAACGACCAACTGATCAGGCCGCTGCTACGGCTGCCCAGAAAGCAGGCGTTTATGTATCTGGAGGGCCAGTTGCATGTTTGCATTTGGCTTCCTTATTTGAGGGCTGTTTGCTTTTCGGGTTGTGTTTCTCCCGCTAATCAAGTTTCCTGTCGTTCAGCTTACTAACCTTGTCTGCATGTGCACTCAGGGTGCTGGCGATTTGTTTTGTCTGCTCATGATTTGTCTCCTCAGGATGTCAACGAAGTCGCAGTGGCAGTGAAGGATGGCCCCTCTCCGCAGAATGGCCAAAATCTTGTTTCGTCTTCAGAGCTTTTCAAGCGGTTGCAGCATCTTGTGAGTCTGCTTCCTGTACTTTTACTCCTCGCTTTTCCATGCTAAACAAAGCCTGTTTCGTGAAATAACAAAGGCTGGTTTTAAGTCGTTTTTGCCTTCTCTTCCTGCTGCTACGAGTGTTATCGCTAGTGCTGGTGCTGTTGATACTGCAGGAACGATGCTTCTTGCAGCACACTGGCACCAAGGGGGGATGGCTTGTTGGACAGAGTATGCAGGACTGGGCAGGCCGGATTAAGCCATGGCCCTCCCCAAAGACAGCCACTCCCAAGAATGGTCTCTAGCTAGGCAGCTAGTTAGCCAGGGAGCTCGCTAGCCCAAGTGCTGACTAGAATCGCACCGCGCTAGCTGTGTGTTGAGGAGTCTCGAAGGCTTGTTTGCCAGTGGCGTATTTTTGTCTACGTCGAGGCGAAGCGAACTATGTGGCTAAATGTTCTCTTTACTCGTCGCATTTCGCTTCACCCTGCGGTGTAATGTTTTATTGGGAGACTCGCTGGCTTTCTCCTGCTGTTCATATAGATAGCTAACTGTCTTGGCAGCTACGCATAAATATATATGTATAGGGGAGCAGTCACGCATTTATTTAGTTTATTAGCTGCCTTGGTCGCTGTAGTAAGAGCCTAGTCAACTCATAGCAGCTGTAGCTGCATGGTGCACACCGCTCTACTAACGCTCTCCATTGGAAGACAGTTTCAGCCCCATACCCAATACAAACTTTATAGAAGTGTCTGAATGTCGTTCCAAAGAACGACTTTATGTCCTCACCTCCAAGCATTCCGGCATCAGGGGAGAGGTTACAGGTAAGGCGTGTCTTGCTGCACACACTAACCGCTCCGTGCATTCACAGCTAGTTGAACAGAGTATCATGCGCACCCCACACAGCATTCCGCGCTCTTGTACCGAATCAACAATATATTCTTCAATACAGCATACAGAATATCAAGCCAATTTGTCAATTCTTTACTAGTTTAATTGGGTACGGTGCACTAGAAAGTAGTCCCTGAGCGTAGCTTTCCCCGCTACACTTGTGCTGGGCAAGACATTGATGTGCAGCGAGGCAGATGCTTGGGTGTTCTCCGCTTTATAGATAAATCGCACATTGCTTGCGCACTTCTCGCAAGTGAGCCGCCGTTACGACGCCCTTCGATGCGACTGATAGAGGGCAAGTTGCTATGCTCCTCCACCTGTGCACCTTCATTGCAAAAAAGGCAGCTGGCTGTGGCAAAAGTTTCTGTAGGCCGAGAGAGCCATGCATAAGAAATCGAAGTATCAAATACTACAATTCTATCTGTTTCGTGTAAATCTTGCCAAACCCTATAAACAGTCGACCTCGCGTATTTCTTCAGCGGTTCCCTGTGGACTGGCAAGCCGTGTACAACAAGCGAACCCTCACGTGGTGATGTGTATGCCTTAATCGCTTTGATTCACACATGCGCAAAGGGTGAAGGGAAACAGTCATAATGGTCGAAGAATTGAATCGCTGCCGCCAAGCACCCCACCGTGCAACCCAGCAGCAACTACAAATGTCCTTCGAGGTTTCCCCGTGAGCAGATCTGCACTCCTTACTGCGCGGAAGCATTAAATGATTCAACAAATGGATGCAGAGGCTCAGAAAAAGTTTCACTTTGAAATGATACAATGATTTACAAGAACAATGGATGGACGTACAAGTGGTAATGGCACGGCACGAACACGCTGAAACAAACCATCAGGAAATAAGGGGAAACATAGACGATCCAAGCACTTGAGCTCGGTTTTCAATTAGAATTTGGCTCATGGGCAACTGCCACGGTACCCGACCCCTCCGATATTATCTGCCCCACAGTTCGAGACATCTGCCGCGTCTAAGATTCTGTGCTATCCACAGGTACTAAAATGTGCTAAATGGAGTTTATGGTCTGAAACCACAGGTTTCTCTGAATGCGTGCAAAATATAGTGTAGAAGCGATAGCCTACGATGTCATTTCTCCAAGCTGCGGTGTGGACCATGGCCCGGCTGGTGAGCTTCGCTGGCTCGGCGGTCCTATGCAAATTCTTGTTTGTATCGCTTAGTGCCTATGACTGTTCCTAATTGAGACCAGAATATCTGTGTTCTAGGCTCACTGACACCAAAAAACAGGCTCGTATAGAGGGCAGCACAATGTTAATGCACAAGTCAGGGATCTACCTATCTCAACAGCCTGATGACCGCAAAAGGACTTATTTCTCGCCTAATGTCATCATGTCTGCCTTCCTCTCCCCCTTTAGCATTCAGCAGTTTAGTCTGCGTCATTTCTGATAAAGCTGTTTTGCGTAACATATTTTGAGAACTCATCATCAGTCCTCTTTTCCCCATCAACAATGGAACACGCAAAGCACACCGCTACCCCAACCAGCCAGACCAGCTTGATGTGTCAAACGCAGGGTGTGTTCACTCACACTTCTGTGGGAGCAGTGGCTGAGACGGACAACACCGAATGCCGCGTTGCCCTTACACCTGCCACCACCAAGGAGCTCAAGCAAAACGGCCATACGGTTTATTTCCAGCAAGGCTTTGCAAATCGTGCAGGCTTTACAGATGAGCAGTACAAGGAGGCGGGGGCTGTGCCGTGCAGCTCCGCTGAGGAGGTCTATAAGAAATCCGGCATAATCCTCAAGGTACGGTGAACATTCGGGGATCCACAATTGAAATAACATACTCTTCGCATACAGTTGTAGCTCTAGGCTCTTCCACGCAGCGTGGATTTGTGTGTATATATTTACCAGAGCTGTTTGAGCCACATGATTATCAATTGAAGACACATCGTTTGCCTCCCCGACTTCGCGTTGCTTGCTTTTGTTGTTTTTGCCAATTTAGGTGAAGCCACCTCAGGACATGGAGCTGAAGCAAATCAAGTCCCAGCAGGTTGTCTTCTGTTTCATGACAGCCACCGGATGCTCGAAGAAGCAGCAGCAGCTTCTGCATTCGATGACGGAGCGCAAAGCGACGGTCGTCTCCTACAACACTCTCATGAGCTCCACGCCATCCACGACCAACGATAAGTGTACCAAACCCGTGCACAACACAATGGCTGAGATGACTGGATACTTGGCTGTTCAGCAGGCAATGAAGCTCATGGAAAGCAGTGGTAAGGGCACCCTTTTTGGCCAGGTAACAGGAACACCGGGCGCAAATGTGCTGGTCTTGGGGGCAGGGCCAGCTGGTAAGCGGGCTGCCGCTATGGCGGCTGCAGCTGGAGCAACCGTCACTGTTATGGATACGGACACTGAGGCTATGCGTTCCGTCTCGGAAAAAACTCCGAGCATTAAGACTGTGCAGTACACCCAGCAGAATCTGGAGAAGATCATGCCGACGGTAGACGCGGTTCTTGGGTGCGTTATTCCCTCTACCGGGAAAGCTCCCACTCTTGTGTCTGAGCAGCAGATGAAGATGATGCAACGCGGTGGGGTTGCCGTTGACGCAGCTGCCTCAATGGGAGGAAACTTTGCAACCACCAAACCCACAACCATCCAAAACCCCGCATACAGCTGGAACGGCATCACGATGTACACAGCCACAGACATTACCTGTCTGGCTCCCCACACCGCCTCTAAGGTTATTTCTCAGTCCGCCCTCGCCTCCGTGCTCCAAGTGGCCAACAAGGGCTGGAAGAAGGCCGTCATGGAATCTGTTGGCCTTCAGGAGGGTGTCACCATTGCTGAGGGCTCTGTGACCAACACCGCCATCGCAACCCACAGCCAGACCAAATTTACCCCCATTGAACAAGTCCTGGAAAGTGAAATTCAAAAGGTTTCAGACAAGCAGCAAAACATCTCGAGTCTCAAGCAGCAGCTGACCACCTTCCGTATTCAGCAGGGACCCTCCTTTACCATCGAAGCCTAGGCGAATAGCAGCCAAATTGTTCTTGCCATATTCTTACAAGCAGTGATTTGTTTTCACTGTTGTCAGTGAGGCGATTTGAACAAGCGACTTGTGTTATATATGTGTACTAATTCAGTGTATGGGTGAAATCTCTCCCATAGGGCTTTTAGCTCTTCTGCACTAAAACCAGTCTGCAGCTTGCCTGTCCCACCCCTTCGCGCGGTGGGGGCCAAAGTACACTTAGGGGCCACAGTCTAGATAATCGCGAATGCCTGTTTTCTAGTGCCGCGCTCTAATGTCTCCAGTGCGCCCTGGGTTATATTTCAGACCGTTCGGTCTCGAAGTCCACCCGCTGCATGATGGCCGCAGGAGCTGTATAGCCACAATTTTCCATACGGTACAATTCAGATTTGAGTAATACTTTAGCATGTAGTGCTGCCCTAAAGGCGGTGTTCATGAAGTGCCCTTGCCAGGGGGACCCTCGAAGGCTACAATACATGAAACGGTCGTGATTGGAGAGCAACTAGAATTCGCGTTAACCGTAGTGCTCCTAAGGAAGGATCGAGTAGCGTGGTCAGCTTGCATGGAAGCGATCAACGAACTTTTCGGTCCATCAATGTGCCCTGTGTTCTGCTTTGACATAATGGGTTGTCATTGATTTCTAGGTTAGTTGTCTCATTCTGATGTTTGCTATTCTGTGACTTCCGTTTTTTGTGTCCTCTTGTTGCTGTCTACCCGTGTCTGAATTTTCAAGGCTCTCTACCCACTCAGATACAGTTTTTTTCCCGTGTCACCGTGCTGGGTTGCGTGGTGTGAAATTCCTCCATTTCTTCGTTTTTCATTCTACAGTAGTTGGTCGCGCTATTGAGTCAAATAATTGTGCTCCCTTGAAAACTACGCAAGGTTTTGCGAGCAACTGCTTTTCCGTCAATTTCGATTCGGTGGGATCGAGTGCCTTTTTACATAGTATTTCTCATCGCAACATATGTGCAGCAATACATGAACACAACGTTGAGCTTAGAGCTGCTTTAATGGGCCTCTACAAGGTGCAGGAGTGAAAATGCAGTACCTGAACAGGAATACCTATGCCCGAGACGGATGTCACCTGTTTTATGAGGGGTTGAAGACGTCAAGAACCTGAGTGGTCTTGGTATATTCCGGTTTATTTGGCCGTCTATGTCACGGAGTATCCATTTTCAAATGAGTTGACACCAGACAATTCGACTTCCTGAACACTACAGCACCCGCCGTAGCGTGCCTGTTACTCAATGTACTAACCATGTCCTTCCGGCAGCATACTATTGTGAGGCAAGCTCGCTTGACTGCCGTAATTTGTAACTTTTGCTCACTGCTCTGCGTGATTGCTGGCTCGCGTTTATCATCATCTATCTTCGTCGTGTTTGTGGAGAAAGTCGCGTTCCCTGGTGTTCCTCACGTGTGTTGCACCCAGTTAGCCATAGGCGGCATTCTTAAATGGAGGAAACCTATTACTTCTCCTCTCCTTAATAATGTTTATTCATCAATTTCTTCGATGCGAATTTAATGTGTACACGGTGAACCCCACGCAACACATGAACCCCCTCCTTCCGTCGTTGTGGCACAAACCTACAAGCCCCATGTGACGCCAACACCAAAATGGACAGTTTCTTGCACGAAGCTCCCTGAAATATTGCAGTTGCCTTGCTTTTTTATGATTTACTCCCATATTCTTGCCGAAGCGCCGCTGGAGAGACGTTTCTTGTGCTGCCGCAACGGTAGTCTTCGATCCCAAGCAGCCACACAGCTTGAGGGCCGCCGAGAATCGGCGGGTCTGTTTTTGTCCTTCTGTATGTACGCTTAATGGGCACTGCCAGGCCTTGTATGCAAGAACTGACTGTGTGGCTCCTTTGACAGAATCGACCAATGCACGGCGAGTTCCTGCTGATCCCCCGCAGGAGGACTGACTGCCTGTACACAGCGAATTTCGCGCTGCTGAACCACAGACCACTGATCAAAAATTGCAGGACCCGTTGATTGGTTGCTGATACTGCAGCCGTCAGAAAAGCCAAGCTGCTGCTGCAGCCGAGGCAGAGTGTCAACAGCAGGGGCTTTGGAGCGACAAGAAAGTACAGGGGAACATGTGGTAACTGCCGGACTTGTATACTTCGCTGTGCTCATGGGGTGGCCTGCATTCACCTGCGCATGATACCAGTGAGCCGAAGCCTTGAGCTTTCCTGAGGCGGCATGATCCGCAACCAACCGCAGCAGCCAGTGCCTTCATGTGCACAGGATACTTTGGCTTCGTCCAATGCTTCAACGGTAGCAGCATCGACAGCGTTAGGTAGATTAAAGAGAGTTCCCATGGATGCCCTGGGTACTGAGAAGCAGCAGGAGCCATCAGTGGCCAGCTACCCCACTTCGCACTCCCTGTCTCATGCAGAAGCAGCTACCACACCAGTTGCGGCAGCAGCCCAGCTGGAAGCCACAGCGGACGGGAGGGCAGCAGCCTCAACTGCATCAAGAGACTCATTCTATGCGGCGTTCCCGCCAACAGCTGAGGCTACTCTTCTATCTCCTGTTGTAGAGTCGGCACGAACGTGCAGTGTTCCCGCAACAACAGCGGGCAGCACCATACAGGAGCCAGCAGCATCAGGAGCAACAAGGACTGCTCGCCAGGAGGCACAGCGGCGAAACGTCATGCTTTCCTTCGGTTTTACAATTTTGAGCACACTATTCCTCTCGTGTGCTCAGGGGCCCATCTTCGATATGTATATCTTCCTCTTAGGCAATCATAGCAATAAGTGGGCCTCCTCCTAAGATCGCTTGACTTTTCATCATTTTTTAAAGCCTAAGCGAGGCCTCCTGCCACCTCCTGCATTATCGCGTTCCCCCGCTTTTACTTTCGCGCTGTGTCCATGTGTATTCTAGAGCGTCCTCCTTTGTTCACCTTAAAGACTCGAGTTGCTGTTTCTGGTGTCTGGATGTTTAGGTGGGTGGGTAATACCGAGAGTCTCTCCGGGATCGTCTCCCTAATCGTCGCCGCCCCTGTGGGCTTGCTTGTTGACAAATGGCCTAAAGACATTATCTGCAAGGCAAGTGGCGATGGCGCTGCACGTTTATGCAGCAAGGCATTTCGAGACATCGACCCGTAGCCTCTAGAGGCACGGGCTCGTGCGAGAGCTGTTACGCCTAGAACGCGGGGAGCATGAGAGAAATGCCTGCCCTTGAAAGCGAGCAGCTACTCCAAAGGTTCTCGCGCTCATCGGGGACTTGTGTGTAGGCCTCCCGTAGAATATTGCCCTGCGCAGGCTGCCAAGTGTACAAACAGTTTCACAAGCTGTTCTTCATTCGACGTTCAGGATGGGTGCATGGAGACCCCACGAACCTCTGCGTTCAGTCTGGCCTTGTGTGTGTTGATCAGGCGGTTTGCATCGTGGGGCTGTTGGCCTCGGTTTTGAGCTTTTGGGGTGTCTCGACGAATTCGTTCTTGCTTATCATCCCTTCGCTCATTCTTTGGGGCTTGTTCTATGAAGCAAGCAACGGCGCAACTGGTGCCATCTTCACAGACTCCCTCACGCGCGGTCAGCGGACCAAATGGTTCAGTTGGAAAGGTAAGTGACAAGAAATCCGGAGGGAGGCAGCGAGACACAGACGCACACGAAACGCAAAGTAGTACTGAAGCGAACCCTAAGGGCGCCGCATGCGCAGTTACCACCCACCATAAAGAAATCCCTATTCGAACAAACTCCGTAGCGTTGGAGAGAAGCCCTAAACTGCATCCCTTCCCTTCGCGCGGCTTCGAACCCCTAAATGCTCCCGACATGCGAGATGATCTAGCCCTTTCCACCTCGCAAGCAATTGAGAAACACTGAACCGTATACACCCCCGTGGACTCCCTAGAGGCTCCACGAACGCCGTCGTGGAATCCTTGATTGACCTTGACGCGCTCCAGTCTTTAGCCAATTTCCAGGCTTCTGTTTGCTCATTGTGGTACTGCTGCCTGCTGTCTTTCCTGCAAGCTGGCTTGCTGCACTTTTCATGTGCCTCTTTTGTGCTGGCCCTTTGGATGAATAGGGATGATGCAAAGTGCTTCGACTGCGCTCTCACCACTGCTGATGGCTGGTTTCTTCAATGCCTACGGTGACAGCTGGGATTTGGCACGCCTGCGGCTGTTGATCCTCCTCGGCATTATCTTTTTTGGCCCCTCCTCCAGCTTGCTGCTTTGGTTCTTCATAGATCTCTACAGAGTAAGCCAGAGATGACCTGTGAGTATCAGGCGCCAGCGATGGGTGGGAGCAGCAAAGGGTGAAGGTGAGACCATGCACACCAGCGTTTGCAAGCAAACGCTGGCCTGCATGGAATGGAGGGAAAGGTGTTTGGCGTCTTTCGTCTTCTCAGAGAAGGCACAATAGAATCGCCGCTCCAACCGACAACTTCCCCTCTACGACAAATGACAGCAGCAGCAGCGGCAGCAGGGGAATAGCCACAGCAGATTCCGTCGAGGAACCCATGCGTAGGCTCCTATCAGCTACTCAAGAGGCACCTGAATCTTCATTCTCTGCAGCATCCGAAGAAGGGGACGGCGCGGGGCCAGCAGCAGTAAACGACGAAGAGCTTTCGAGGCTACCTCTTCTCTACAGGCACGCTATTTTCCCCTAGGGTAGACTTCAGAGGCCGCTGACTCAAACCTGGATCGAAGGATCCTACGTTTCAGCTGTAAAAGAAAGTGTCTGTGTGTGTGTCTGCAGGAGCGTGCCGTATATAATAAGCATTTCGGACTTTGTGCGCTCAATGGGTGCCGGGATGACTGTGAAGTTCTTTCCGCTTTTCTTTTCGAATGACTACAACCTGTCTCCTATCCACTTGTGCCTTCTCAGCATTTCCTATGCCTTTTCCGTTGCCATCTTTATCTTTTTTGCTTCCACGCTCTCCAAGCACATTGGTGCGACAGCCCCCCTTGACCCCCGGATTGCTAGCTCTGCGAGCAGCGCGCTCCTCTTCCCTCTACACTTCTCCCTTTCGTTGCATGCACACAACTAGCCGGCTCGACAGCTAGCAGCGAGCCTGTCCATTGCACAGAGATGGACGAGCTCAGAGCCTGTTTTCCCGCAACTGGCCAGCTGGATAGGGGTAGCACAAGTAAACGAACGGAGAAGAGGCAGCAGCAGGCGCATCTGCTGCTTGGCCTGTGTACTTGGTTTTCGCGGATACACTGGTCATGGTAGCTTTGCTCCTGTGTTACTCAGTCATGCGCGTCTCAGCTTGATATATATATATATATGTATTCATGTATGTGCGCGTACCTACGTTTGTGTGTATGTTTCTGCGGCAGGCCGTGCGCTTACCTCTCAGTTGTTTTCTCTACTTGGTTTACTTGCCTTGACGGCGATGTGCTATCTGGAGGATCTTCGCTTCCTTATTGCCGCGCACCTCTTAAGGGGAGGCATGCAGAATGCCAACTACCCACTCGATAGGTCTATGATTGTGGACTTTTCCAAAAGTAACGCCCACCGTACAGGCCCTATCCAGTAAAGCCAGCTTAGCCCACGGCATTCGATCCCGTTGAAAATGCACAGAAGACTATTTCGTTAGTTTCCTGTGCGCACGCTGTGTGAAACACCAGCACAGGCGACCCCCAGCAATCCGATTGAGGGCTTGGTCTTAAGGGCTTGTGGCTTGTGGTATATATATTTATATTTAGGCACGGATCGAGGAAAATGGAGTGCTATGGAGACCTTCACGTCCACCTTGTGGTCAGGCAGTGCCTTTCTCGGGGGTATTCTGGCAGATAAAGACTACAGGTGAACAGTATTACCCAACCTGATGAAAAAACTAGTTTCTTCAAGGCCTCCGTTGGGGCTTCTGATTGCCCCCTGCAGCGAAGTCCGCTGAAAGGCCGATTTTTTAGGGTCATCGGATCTTGAACGTACAGCGTTCAGAGGAAGAGCTCACTTCTACAAAGAGCGAATCTATTTATGTACTACAAGAACACAAAGACTGTGCTAGTGTGATCAGTTGTCGCTGGCTGTTCATGCGAATGTGGTCCTTATATTTCGCACCGCGTGTTGTTTTATGCGCTTTCCTTCCTCAGGTATGCCTTTGGTGTAACTGCGATAGTGTACGCCGTCGCATGGCTTGTCTATACGCCCCTCGTTTTCATCATCCCGCAAGCCGAAAGGGCCATAGGGATGCCCAGCGGAGGCCACCCTTCAGAGATACGGCCTACTCAGGAGCGCGAACCTGCATCCGACTCGACCCCCCTCATTGCTGCAGAAGCAGCCACTGTGGCAGCAGATGCACCAGCTGCCGGAGCAACTGCGACGGCAGAAGGAGCAGTGGTAACATCATCAGCAACCACGGCTACAGCTTCTACTGCGCCCAAAGTGACACACCCTGCAGAGCTGTTTTTGTCAAGTGAGCAGACACCTCCCACTGAAAGTGAGAGTGCCAGAAACATGGAGAGCGCGTCCCTTACTGATTCTCCCCCTATAGAAAACTGGGATTGCCCCGATGATGCCCCCTTTTGGAGATCTAGGGAGGGCAGCAACCTCAGCGTAAAAGCCCCGCTTCGGGCAGAATATGAATACCCAATGAAGGGAAAGCAGCATTTACAGCAGGCCCGCGAGCCGCTGCTCCCTGACGTCTGAGGCTTCGCAGGCGAGTGTTGCAGCGTAGCTTGTCTTTTGCGCAGTGCTTGCACCTCGCTCTCGTCCTCCGCCTCACAAACATACAACAGCAGCATTTTCTTTTTATGGCTTTCTTTGTTTTGGGGGCCTCAACCGAAGGCGTTCGAAGAAGACGCACCGCCGTACACGAGTCTTGGTTGCACGTCCCTTGCATGGGTAGTAGGTACAGCGGTTTGATAGTATGTGTAGGAACACATACCATCCAATATGTGCTTCTGCCCCTGAACCCCGTCTCGTGCTCTGCCATCCCCCCTCACTCACGCAGCATTCTATCTGATATCTGCGCACTGTCAGCCCGAGAGCAGCAAACCGGCCCTGCCGTCGTCTCAGTGCAACGGCGGCTAGCGTTTTGTCTGAAAGGGCTCTTGAGCCTCCACTAAGTCCTGTGGACGTGCTGCAGTGGAATCGCAGCCTCCACGAGCCCCCCCCCCCAGTATAGGTGGCCACACGGCCCACTGGTGACTCTAGCTGCTGGCTCGTTTTATCGGCAAGAACTTGGACATCAGTACGCGGCTGCAGTGCACCTGCAGTCAGCCTTGGACGGTCGACAGCTAGCTACCCCGGCACGTAGGCCACCGCTCGATTCTCAACGTACGCCCCACAAAGAAACCGAGAGGCTTCAGCGCAGCTGAAACAGCGAGATAACTCAAAGAAAGGTCTGCTGCCTCATGAACATTCTCCTACATAATTCTTTTGTTCATCGCTAGAAGTCGATTCAATGCTTCTCCCCTACGTCACAAAGCTAGAGCTAGCCCCCGTGACCAGGGAGTCGAGCACCCCACAATCTGTTAAAATTCCGGGGCTGTTATCCGGCCAGACGGGGGTACCCGAATTTCAAAGCGTGCCCAAGCAAGGACCAGCCCGGACACTTTCGTCAAGTGCATAAGTGGTGATATCTTCACCAAGCAGGAAAGGCCCCTGTCGCAGCCCGACACATTCGCGATCTCGTGAGAGACCACGGTAAACACCTTTGGACACGGCTAACCATGTAGCTAGATAGGCAGTGCACTAAAAGCTAGCTATCAAGCTAGGCAGTTAGCTACCTTGCTAGACAGCTGGCTCGCAACGCAAGAAACGTTCTCCAGGGCACCCTGTCGGGGTGTACGGGCACATGAATGGTTCAAAGCATATGCCCCTCGTCGTGAAGCACTAGAGATTTCCCTGATGTATGCCACAGCCCACTACTGAGAAATCACCAAGCTTGTAGGGCAATATTCCCCGTCAGGCTCCCTGGCCGCCTCCACACCGCGTGCAGGCAGATCCGACGAAATGCAACACGGGCACAAGTTGAGGAAAAGAGTGACAAGACGAGCATGGGGAAGAGGAGAGGGAGAAGAAAGTCTCCTTTTGCTCCTCTTAAGAAGCAACCAGACGCAAGTCCACGGCAGAGAAAAAGAAAGCAGGAGAGAAAATTGGAGGCAGGGATCGGTCTCCAATATATAGAGCAATGAAGGCGCTGAGAACTGCTAGTTGCGCACTTTAACGTCGCATATTTTCTGCATCATTTCGACGAACTCGTCAAAGTCAACCTGAGGCAAGACAGATCGAAGTAACGAAGAAGCAAGCAAATATGCCGCATGTAATATACACCTAAGTATATATCTAAGCATTTTTTTGAGGCCAAGGAAAAACGCTCTGCCGTAGCACGGCAGATGTGTACCCAGTGGCTGTGGGGCTGTTGTGGCTGTAAAAGATGGCTGACCTCTCCATCGTTGTTTTTGTCACATTCAACGAGGACCTCGTGCCAAGCCTTATCGTCTATCGCCGTGATGCCAAACAGCTACACCCAAGCACAACAGATATCAGACACTCGACAGAACATACTATAAAGCCACCGAATGCATGCAAAAGAATAGAGCCCTCCAGAGTTTGGAGCATGAAATGGTAAACAAAAGCCTGCAGAATAACACGTTAGATCGATAGGCATTAACTATTCCATCCAAACAAAAAGCATGGTTGATGGGTTTCCACTAGATTTCGGTCTTCGCATCAACGCATCTTAAAGCTTCTACTTGTTAGGGAATACAAATAGCCGCCAAGGAAATGACGCCGCAAAGAGAGAGCAAAATACACCGTGCAAGCCTTTCTCTTTGTAACAATAACAGAAAGGGTGCAAAGAAAAGACGCTACAGGGGAAGAGAAAGGACTAACTATACCCCTCAACTAATTGAGTTGCACTGTATGGGACGAAAAGGCAGAAGCTATGAATAAAACACAACACCTCTCCAGCAGCTACCTTGGCTAGCTCGTCATTCGTAATCTTTCCAGAGCCATCGCTGTCAAATTGCTGGAAGGCCTGGAGAAGCCGTTCGCGCGAAAGCAGCAGCTGTTTGTCCATGCAGACCGTTACAAACTCTAAGATGCGAACACGCATAAATCAACCGCCACAGCCCACATCCGTCACTCTATGATACCCGTTTCTACCACTCTCCTTCTTGTGCATCCCTCTTTCCCTATGTTCCTGTAGCCTGCCGTTCCCGCCATCCTGCCCAGCATTCCCCACTCCCCCGAGTGCTTCCTGCTAGAGGTGCATTACCAGAATACTCAATATAACCGTTCTTGTCGAAGTCAACCGTTGCCAGAATTTGGTCAACCTCCGATTCGATCGTCGCTTCATCCACTTCACCCGTCTCGCCCTTCCACTGGACAGCAAGCAAGCACACGCACAAAATAACAGGGAAGCGACATGTGCAAGAGAAGAAAGCGAGAAGTGAGCGAACTAAGCCCCGTACAAGCAAATGCGTGGATATGCTTTGCGGTATATAACTGGCAGCTGCAACAAAGTGCGAAGGGAACATTGCCTGATTTCAATGTGTGCCTCATGAAGTTTGTTGTTACATGAAGTTTGTTGCTACAAATAGATGCAGTGTCTGTCGCATGTATAGGGCACAAAATTTCTGTAGTTCTTTCTAGTGGCGGGACCATTACTACACTGTGCAACACAAAATACCTCCAGCAGCTTTCTGTATCCCTCAATCAGCTCTTTTCTATCCAGTTGCCCGTCCCCGTTTTTGTCTAGGGCCCTGAAGATTGTAGTTAGCTCCTTTGTTTCCTCGACAGTCGTCAGTTTAGAGCCCATAAAGAGCATTGCTGCCTGCGCCAGCTTCTGCGTAGACCTGAAAGAACGCCAACAGCACTCTTGCATCCGCTTTCAAATCACGTATCACATCATTCCAAAACGCCACAAAATGCGGATCAAACGGAGGTAGCCACACACCAGAAATAGAACCCCATACGTCGCACCCCTGCTTGACGGTTGCTTCCTGCCCGTCATCCATAGCTGCACGAACTCCCTAATATGGCTTGATAATCCCCGCAAAACAGTCTCAGCAGTCCACCAGCAAACACCGAGTAGCCTTTTTCCCCCTGCCTCTCGAGAAATATTAGCCCTTTCTAATTATGAACCCACTGGAATTTCTTCATATTGCCAAGAGCCCCAGTAAGTGCATGCTTGGACATATCTGTGTCTTTTTGCGCCGAGAATTTAACAATCCAAGGATGACTCAAGCATTCTTCGGCCGAAATCCTTTTACTTGAGTCATAGGTAAGCATCTTCCGCACAAGATCCTTCGCCTCCTCAGACACATGACCCCAATCTGGCATCTCGAACGAGAACTGAGGACGCGCACAGATCAGCAGAACCAACAAGATACAGTCCACGCTCCATAAAAGTCCAACGAAGAACAAACACAAAGAATAGCGAACAACAGAGCAGTCAGGGTTAGCACACCTTCATCCTTTTCTGCCATGCAAGCAGTCATACACAGATGCTCTCATTTTTCAACACCGCATCAGGTGCTCTTATTTACTAGATCCTCAAAAATCCGTTTGCCCCGAGCACGAATGTTCATATATACGTGCACTCCCTCACCACTTTGCGCCTCCTTGACCACACATGTGCATCGAATTGCTCTGTAGAGTGTTCCGCGGAGGCGCGACGCAGCAGGCTAGCAAAAACCTATCCCCAGCTCCTTACCTTGCCTCGTTCCACCCTCTTTAGAATCTCTTGGTCAGTCTGGCCGCCGAATGGCGGATAACCGCAAAGGAGGATGTAGAGGATGACTCCACAAGACCAGACATCGCACTTCTCGTCGTATTTCTTTCTCAGTACCTCAGGAGCAATGTAATATGCGCTGAAAAGAGCCACATAACGAGAGCCAAAAAACAACGACATGCGTCGACATGCGAATGAACGAAAGGCCTCATGCCGTGAAGGCGGCCGAAAGGCAGTAGAGGGTCTCCCTAGAGGCACGAAGAGCTGTAAAAGGGTGTCACAAAGCACCGTCAACGGGCGCATACAGAAGATTAGCCCAAGACAAAACTCATACAAAACAAAAACGCCGAAACACAACAGGGTAGCACGACCACGCGGAAAATACTTGAACAGGACTGTGCAAAGGGAGAAGGAATACAGTTATTGACGGACAAATGTGCATATATGTGCACATATATATATATATATATGAATGTATGTACATATAAATATAGGCAGACATATGGCACAAAGCATTAATCGTTGTGGACCTTTCATTTTGATCGCCAGCTACTGCATATGTACGCATTCAAGCAGGTACATGCAAGCGTTGCATGAGCACGCATAAAAATGTGAGTGCGTGTTTCCAGTGCAATGTATCAGGCTATATGGATTGATTAAGGGTGAACGAAATGCAAAGGACGACGATGGGCAAACAGAACACACACCGATTCGCAGGCAGCTGTACTAACAAACTCTGACTCGGGAAGCCTCGCCTCCTGCTTACGTTCCTAGTCTTTCTCTCATCTTCCCGCCAACCTCGTAGTGTGCCGATAGTCCGAAGTCTACAATTTTGATTAGAGCGTCCTTAGCTCTGCTCTCGAGTAACAGGTTCTCAGGTTTCAGATCGCGGTGGACGATGCTGTGGTTGTGCAGGTACAAGACGCCACTGAGGACTTGCTTCATGATCACTGCTGCATCTACCTCGGAAAATTTTTGACGCGAGATGATCTCGTCGAACAACTCGCCCCCCCGATACACTTCCATTACCTGGCAGAATAAGCGCCAGCAAAAAACGATAAGGAGAACACATGGATGCGCCAGACGAAGGAAGACAAGGCAGCAAGAAGACACGGACAGACGGACGATTCACAAGCACACCCCATGAGGATCCCAACTCACCCAAAAACCCCCCTGCAACCTTCAAGGTTTCGACGTCCGAAAAGCTAAGCCTCACAAGATAATAGTTCCTTTTATCGTCAAAGAATTCATATAGCTTCATGATGTTCGGATGATCGAGCTGCTTGAGCACCGCAACTTCCTCCAAAAGAGCGCCGCTGCTGGGTGCGGAAACGGAGGATTTTTTGATGATTTTAATGGCCCGTTCAGCGCCCGTTTGTTTGTCCTTGCACAGCAACACCTCCCCATAAGCTCCGCTGCCAAGCTTCTTCACTCGCTGGAACCGGTCGCTCAAGTGACCCCTCTGCTGCACGATGTACATCCCTGGCGACGCAGGCACACCATAGAGGGCAAGCTGGTTGATGAAACTGTCAGCCACAGCTAGCGCATGCTTGCAAATACGAGTGACCGCTACAAAAGCGCACATGTACGACACGAATCACGGGAGAGGAAACAAGCTCAGACAGGGCGCGCAGAATATATGCAGGGAAAAATACGCAAAAAGCACGAATGCATCGCGCCGAAGGATGGACAGAAAGGCCAGCGGGCGCATACAAGGCAAGACCAACACGCCTGGGGAGATACGACAGCAGGGACAATACTGGAAACATGTGAGCCGTGCTACAAGCCAAAGCAAAGTGGGGGGAGGAAAAAGTGGAGACGACAGGAGCTGACAAAAGTTGTTTGTCACGTAGAGAGCGCAGCCTCAAAAGATTCCAAAACGAAGAGGACACGGAACCGAGTTGCTGTTCTTGAAAGGGCAGCCAAAGTCACACTTCAGGACCACTAGAAGGATCAAAAGGAGTCGCCCCCAAGGGCGCAACTGAATAGAACTCTCCACCCATCGAATGGAGGACGAAGTGCCGAGGTACAAGCACTGTCACCTTCGAACACGGCCAATAGAAAAGAATGGAGAAAAGCCGAGAAAGCCCCCCAGAGACTAAACCACGAAGAATTCAGCTGCGGACCAAGGCGCAAAATAGGGCAAGAGAAAAGCACGTACCTGGAGTCATCGCCATGGCATCCTTCTGAGGCTTTTCGCCGCTTTTACCCTCAGCGCCGGAGGAATTCTGCGCCTGAGTCCGGTCGTCAGACTGCTTTTTTCCATCCTCAGCATTGGAGCCGGTTCTAGTCCCTTTAGATTTCGACGGGACGCACCCCATTTTCTTCCGAGTCTATGAGCTCCGAACCGTTAACCTTAACCCTAGGAACACAGACAACGAGACGAGGAGGAAGGCTTGGCCCATGCTTGCCCATTATCTCGGGAATGACTACGCGGGGGAAAGGCTAATTTCCAAACACGCATTCGTGCTGACGCAAGTGTATTTCACTACGAGCACACCACGGGCGGTAAGCCCCTGCTTGGCTGGTAGGCACGACAAACTTACTGCGTCTTGGCACCCCACGCGGGCAGGGCAAATCGGTGAGAAAAGAAACAGGTGAGCGGGCGCCTCGTGCTCAATCTGGGCAGAGTACACTCAAGTCAATGGCAAGAGCAGTGTGCTGCAAGCGCCACAGGGAGCCTACAAGCCTCACAGCCGAATATGCGACAAGGATGCAGAATACAAAAATGAAGAGCAAGAAAACTAAAATGACGATTTGGGTTTCGTTTCCTCGGGGCACCAGCAGCAGCTTGCTGTTGCCCTTATCTCTAGAGGAAGGACGCAGGCGGGGCCAAACCCTTCGCCCACGTAGGCATAGAAGAAAAAGTATATGAGCACGACAGCTGTGTATCCCTTGAAAACGAAGGACAACACACAGTCTACGTACGGGAATTACAATGAGAATTGCCCGTGTTGCAGCATCAGCTACTTGCGGCTGCGCTGTTCAAGCAATAAGGAGGAAAACGGGCTGTGTAGCAGCTCCTTTATGTGCTTTTAAATTAGGCTATCTCTGCCGAATTTCCCTACATTAAACAGAAACAGCCGCAGCCCAAAAGAAGCAGAGAGAGCCCAACATCGACGATATAAACCAGGGGCCCCAAACACCGCCACGCCGAAGCAGCAGCAGCAGCAGCCGCTTGTTGCGGCTCTTTCTAATTTTTTATCGAATCTTCGCCCAACACTGCGATTTTCCTTTGTTTGCTAGCATGTTGAAGAGATTTATGTGATCCTCGGCGGCACTTTGGAACGAAATGCCGAGGAAGAGGAGCACAGGTGTGTGCGTGGTCCATGGAAAGATCGTAGAGCGAGAACTCTACACAGCGGCTCGTGAGCTTGCTATACAGCTCTTTTTTCATCTTCAGATTCAGTTGTATTTTCGAAAGGGCCTAAATGGGAGCTCGGTAAGAAAGAGTGGTTTGTCCATTTAAAAGATAAACGTTCCCCGTAGGCTGGTTATCCGTGCATTTAACGCGCCAGAACTCGGCAAGCCATTGCTAACCTTTTTCTTTCCTTCGCTATACTATCCTCATCTCTTTCTTCCTCGTGAATGCCTATCATGCAAGTCCATTGTTCTCTTTTTATCGCTCCGCTATGCCATGAGCCCTGCACTCGCCGTCAGCAAGGTTGCGATGAGAAGGCATGGATTACAGGTGTGCCTTTGAGTAGATAATTCCTTCTCCATGTGCCGATTATGCATTATGGCCAGGGAAGCGGCTAACTGCAGCTACCCATTGGGGTACCAAACGGCCGGATGCGTTGTCAAACACGCGGGGTGTGGCGGGCCAAATAGGTACACTTGGAACACGCTCTACCACACTTGAAATACGTAACTGAGGGCTAATGAAGAACTGACAAATTGGTTTGTTTGTACGTAAATTTTAGTTTCCGCAGATTGCTGCTAGCGCGATACAAGAAGGAGTAATGCTACGTGCGTGCGTGCTGGATGCTATGCCGAACTAGCTGTGGATGCTCGGAGTGTTTTAGGGTGCAGATAGGCACGCCCAAGCAATATCTCCCCCCCATACCGAAGTTTTGAGGGCCTTGGGCACGGATGGGAGAAAATTCATATGGAATGCACTCAACAACTTTCTGTTTAGCTCATATCAACTCCGAATATGTGTATCTTCCTGCAGAAGCCTTACGTGGAGCGTTACACTTAGTTGCACCGCATGCTTTGATTTTTTGCTTTCCATTCATTCACCAGCTACGAAAGCAGTAGGAGTCAGGCTTCTTTACAATATGTGTTCGGGATGTGATGGAGTTATTTGACTCTCAATAATCGGCTTTCTTTGGCAACAATCTGAAAAAAATACCGTGTGGCAGTGAAAGTTGACGGTGGCGCGACGTATGTTGAGGCGGCACAGGCAGGCCTGTTAGGTGCTTTGAGCCCGGTGGCTTCCTAGCTGGTAGAAAGACATGACTTGGTTGCCAATAAAATGCTTGTGAATGCACCGATGCGGTTATACCGGTAATAGAAGTATCATGGCCGCAAGGGCGGGCAACTACTCGAAGAGAACGTCTGTTTACCCTGCAACTGGAGAGATACGCGTGCCCCTTTCGCCTTGCTTATTTGGAAGAGAAGAAATTAAGTGGTAACTGTAGTATTGTAGAGGAAGTCTTCACTTTGCAGGAATTACTACAGTTTACGCCCTCGAACAAGCCCTAACTCATTTGTTTATGCCAAGTGTAGCTAAACAGCAAGCGTGGAGGAAGTTCAGAAATCTATGCAGAGAAGTCTAGTGATACATACATCTCTCGAGAAATACACAACTTTGTTTTACAAAAGCCACAAAGTAGTCGAGCAGATGCTTTATCCGTGAGTCATCACAGGTCTACCCGAAGTGTCAAGTCAGGGGGTCGCACGATCGGCTACGACTAAGCAAGTTCATCAGCTTTAGGCCTTGGCAAACGAGGAACTGCTTTAGGTTTCAGAAGAGGAAGAGAGCTTGTATTTAGGGCCCATAGATGTCGGAGCTGTGTCCGCCCGATAGAGCCTAGAGCCAACGGTCAATCAGAAACAAAAGCCAAAGGGAACCCTTGCTTCTCAGTGGTCCCAGACTATCCTTCAACAGCTCATCTGCTTTTACTGTGGGAAAGCGTGTTAAAGCGGAGCTCAAACCGCGTGTAAAAGCCAACTAAGGCAACTACTAGGACTGGGACTGGCGGAAGCAGGCTGCTTGGCCGGCAAAGAATTCTCTTCAGGGCAACGGAGAGGCCCCCAAGCAGACTGCGGCATGATGAAGGGGCCTCCAGAGGATCGAGTTGCAGTTGGGAGCCTATCATGAGTCGATTGGGCGCTGATACAAGTTCTCACTAATGGTCCAAATTTTCTAGCATTACTTGTCAGTAGATGCTTGAAAAGTGGGGCTAAAATCAGAGGAGACGGCGCAGGAGTGCAATCTGCCTGTTCACTCGTGAGCATAGTCCCTGAGACTCACTTCCGCCAACAAGGCTACAACAGTCGAAGGATACATCTAGTTGGATTGTAGTTCAATCAGCATGATCCTCTACGTGGACCCACGCACCATGATGGTAGTCTTAGGTCGGCATCGGATGAGCTAATGAACAACGCCAGATCCGGTGAAATTTTGAAGCAACCAAGGTGCAAGCTCTACCTTCACGCACCTGCCAAGACATTGCAAAGCTCTATGAGCGTCTATCTTACTACCGAAATTAAATTCCTGGAAATGCTCGAATCGCTGCATTTTTTACTTTTCCACTACAGAAAGCCTAGTCTGTGATCTGGAACGAGAAGGCTGATGTAGCAGCAAGGACAATTATCATTCGTCTTACGATTCGTCCGGTACTGGCGCTGCCCGACTACAATCGTCATTGCGTCTTAACGAACGATACTCTTGACGTAAAGGTGGCTGCTGCTCTGTGCTCAGAGCCTATGGGTCCTCCGAAACAATGAATTGTTGATTGTTACTCTCAGTGCTTTGCCAAAACCGAATAGTGGAATTCAATACGGGAAAAGTAACTCGGCGCAAAATATGACGGCACCATCAACTGAGGGGCATTTTACTGTCCATACCGAACAACAGGTTTACTGTACCTGACGAAAAATTCTAAGGACTTCAACAGCCCTCGACTTTTTTGATAGCTTAAATCCCTCCTGCAATATGATTTACAATGAAGCACAATAAAGGCATCACCAAGATGGTCGCTGATGCCCTCTCGCGGCATGCCGGCAAATTATCGTCTTTCGTCTGAACCGCCCTTGAATTTGTCAATTCGCGGTTGCTCTACATACTGCATGTCTTACCCCCTTGACTCCATGGAATTTGCTATTGCTGCCAAAGTCTAAAATGGTAAAAGGAAGCGCATTTCGCGAAACAGGCATATGCGTTGTTACTCACTTCCAGCATCTCAAGCGGCGAAATTTGCCGTAGTCCAGTCTTTTGCAAAGCTCTCCAATTCTAGGGAGGAATAACACTGTTCTGAATATGGAATTTGTTGTTAACTTTTGGAGTCGAATTTTAGGACAGCATCTACGCAGTTGTTGACAGGCCCAGCAAGCGGCCATTTCATTCCGTCTTCCAGCTATGTCACGTGTCAAGAAATCGCTCATCGACTTTTACCTCGTAACTGAAGGCTTCCGATATTCCTTAGAGTGTCACTATGGGCAGGAATACAGCTAGCGCGTCCTAGTAACAATGCCTTTATGATGGGCCTGCATGCTGACCGCAATATAATCGTTGCAAGCCACTTTGAGGCACACGGAATGACCAAACGTTCCAAATACTTCTTTCTGTAGTGGTTATGACTCTAATCTAACAAGGATCCGATTGCTTGGCTTCACTTTCATCGTAAAACTGATTGTTGATGTATGTCAAGACAACCATACCCTCATCTTGCCCCTTCTCGTGCGCGTCCCTGATCTCTAGTACAGATCTCCTGAGCGCTCTGTACGTGGAACTGGTAATCCAGGGACAGCAGCCACCCTTAGCACCTAAGAGACTCAGAGAACAGCCGGATGGTATAGGCAAATGCATTTACAAAGCTTAAAGGCGCATAACACGAAATCGTGTTTTGCGCCGGCTGGCTGTGTGGCTCCAGCTTGGAGATCTGGTCTTGGTAGATTGGGAGGCTTTCCTTAGAGCACAAGTAAGTGGCCAGACTAAGAAGTTGGCGGCCGGGTGTGTAGACTCATTTTCGATTTCCTCATAAATCAATGCTGTTTTTGCTGTATCGATTCTCTAAAAGCTCGAGGTATTAGAGGAATATTTATAATGGCTTCCGAAGGAAGTTCCAAACTTTCCGGAGTATCCGTTCACTTTACGGCGCAGGCAAGAGAGCCGCTTGGAGGAACATGATCCACAGCGAGCCGTAAAGGTGCAGGATTCTACAGCGTAAACGGGCATCAAGTGGAGTGAAGTAAAGTACGCAAGCTTTATCGGTTGATGGGAAAACAGCTACGGACTTTGTTGCTTGCAGAAGAATCTGACATTGCTAGTCGCTGTGAACGGTATTCCTAGCATTCCTTTGTAATCATGAATCTTTCGCACATGCTCTGCTTTAGATGGCTACCATCCTCCACGCGTTTTGGTTGGGATGTTTTCTTTTGTTGTTAGAAATGTCTTCTATGTGCCCATTGATGCTCAGATCCGCTTAGCTATGCTGCCTTTACTTTCTTCCTTGTGCCGCTCTTGTGGTTTGGAGTTGACCCACCTTGATGCGCCGGCTGCATTTGCATGCAAACATGAGAAGCGGAGGCACTGTAACGCTTGTATTTTGGTCTTCTCTACACTTTAGAGTTCTGGCAGTAAGAGCTTGATACAGGTCAGCGCTCCAACAACAGTGAGCCATCGCGCAGCCGCTGCCACGTTGGCTTGGTCCCATGTTCGTTGTTGGCTAGTGGGAGTCCCTCTCTTAGTCTGTTTCACTTAGATCATTGGTGCCCACATTTCTTTTCCTCAGTTGCACAGCTTTCACAGTCTTGCGCAGCGGAGAAGTGACAATCGGGTGATAAATCTTCCTCTCTCATGCATATTGTGGATTCCGATGCACTGGCAAGGAACAAGAGAACGGGTGTATTAACCGGAGGAGAAGATGCAACAAGCTAAGGTGCATTAAAGACCTTCTACTCCACTTGTTCGATTAGCTGACGAATTAGTGAAGCGTAGGCTATTTGGTTCGTCTCTTCGTATATCTTGTTCATCAAGAGGTGCTAGAGTGATTCACTAGAAGAAATAATGTGCGCGTGTGTGCTAGATGATAGGCCGAACCAAATGTAAATGATCGGAGTACTTCGAGCGAGCAGGAACGCGAGCCCTGAGAGCCCCTCAACTTTGAGGCCGAAACTTTGGGGATCGCGGGCAGGGGAAGCAGGCAATACTTGGTGAGAAACACGGAATAGCTCTCTATTAACGTCATATAGAGTCCGCAAGAAAAATAAAAACAAACGGACCTCAGGTAGTACATAACGATCCCAGCAAGGAATTCCTATGCCCTATAGCTCTTACAAAACTTTCGGGCAGGCTAGTACGCGCCTCGTTAAAGGAACTTATGCTCTGCTGCACCGGTCAGCGATGGCACTGTCTACCAAAAAAGCCGACTGGCTGAGCAACACCGCCCCTCCCAGTTCTCCCGCCTCTCTCTTGCTTGCCCTGTCTCGGCCAGAAATAGCCTCAAGGGGAGCCAATGGGGAGTGTGCGGTTTCTTGGGCCCTCACGCACGAATTGGCGATTCTGCCCGTCAGCCTTCCTACCGCGTTTCTTTGTGCATGAATTTTGCAGCATCGAGCAAAAATGACCAGGAAAGGAGAGATAGAAAGAAAAATCAAAGACTGTGGGCTAACTCTGAGTCTAATTGCTCTCCACCTCGTGCGAGCGAGAGCAGTCACTCAGAGGGCCCCTCACAGGGCCCCCTTCACGGAACCCTGCTCCTGGGGCCCTCCTGCAGCTCGTTCGGGGTCACGGGTCGTTTCTTGGCCGTTTCGTGGGCATCACCCAGACTCCAAGCATTCGCTTTGCATTTGTTTTGCTTTCATTATTCGCATTAACTGCTCGTTTTTCTTCATCTCGCAAAGGAAGGAGCCCTAGGAAGAGGGCCCTCGGTATTCGGCATCCTGCCAGGCCCCCGTCATCGTGCCGTAGCGTGGGGGTCTGGAGCTTGGGGCAGCTTGGGGTTCTAAACCCATTGGGTTGCTTATCATTGTAGACGTAGGTGCTATGGAGAGTCCAATCAGACATAGAAACCCTCAAAGCAGAGCGCGCACGGGGAGAGCACCAGAGGGCGACAAGAGATCCTTCGGCATGGTCGATTAGAACAGCGCAGAAAAAGGCATCGGCCTCTCAGGCAGTTATGTGTTAGTGTGGGAGGGGGATACTGGTGAGGCGAAGAACAGTTTGTGCCTTTCAACCCATTTTCGCTGCAGGCAGACCTCGTTCAAAGATGGGAAAGCGGAAGAGCACTTCCATCAAGCCCAAGCCCAACCGAATTCCCAAACTGGACAAAGAATTCAACTGCCCCTTCTGCAACTCCTCTACGGCAGTGAAGGTCGAACTGTACGCTTTCCTAGACCCCCAAAGCTGAGAAGCGAGTTGGCAGCAAATCCTCGTTCTTGAAGCCTACACACGAGGCTTCGCAGGCCCTTGCGCTGTAGATGCCCGCAATATAGCTCCATGCCGTTAGGCGCCCATTCTCGGGCATGCCCTTGTTTACGGTGTCTGCAACCCCCTCCTCCCTTGATCCTTTCGCGTCCAAGCCATCTCTTGCTGCTTTTTGCTTGCTGTGTGCGCTTCATAGAGATCGCGTCCGGGGTATTGCCGCCCTGACATGCCGCGTTTGCAAGACAGCTTACAATCGGGCCGTATCGCGCTTAGAAGAAGGCATTGATGTGTATGGGGACTGGATCGATGCCTGTGTTGCAGCCAATGCAGCAGCCGCCAAGGAGGCCCAGTTGAAGCTCGAACGCGGCTCTCAACTTCCACAGGGGGGGGCCTCTAGGGGCCCCCCTTCGGCCGCAACCGAATCTCCATCGGACTCAGAAGCAGCTACAAGAGGCAAAGAAAAGATTGAGCGACAGGGGACGCCCCGGCGGGGCGGTTTTCAAGGAAGTGGGGGGGCCCGTAAAGTTTCCTCTGCCCAAAGAGGGAGCACGAAGAAGTTGGCGAGATCAACAGAGAGTGAGGCGGAGGGCAGCAGCAGCGAGGAAACAGAGGGAGTGGATCCTGAGGGGGATGAGGGTTCCCCCTCACTGAAGCGCTTGCGCGTGGACCGCGGGCGAGAGGGCGAGGAAGGAGGGGAAGCAGTGGGGTCAGAAGGTAGCGATACGGAGGGCTTACACCCGGCTGAACAGGGGGGGGATGCAGGCGAGAGAGTAAGGGCTAGAGAGAAGGGCGAGGCGGAAATAGGGGGAGTGCTTGAGCAATACAGAAGAGACGCGGAGGGAGAAGAAGAAGATTCTACCGCTCTCTTCAATGATGACGAGTGAAGGCTGCAGCCAAATAGGATGTGTTTTCGAGCGGAGGGGGTGGAGAAGGGAGGGGCAGGCACAGACAGTGTTAGCAAATAGATTCATCAGCGTAGCTATCTTGACAAGTCGTCGGGTAGGGCGAGTTTGAGTGCATTCAAATGGGATGGGAGAGGATGGGAGCGACTGGAGACGAAGCAGCAACACAGAGCTTGTAGCGGGAACAGTTCGCCAATTGCATCGGTTCCTTTCTTCGATACACGGGCAGACAGATGGGAGGCGGGTGCGCGGCGCTGGCTAGGACCGTGCCTGACGTAATATTTGGGAAGGGAGGAGAATTACGTGTGGTTTGGGAGGTGCAAAGGTTCCTTGCGGGTCGGCCGCCCCTCCTTGCCCTCGCGCTTCCTGGTGTGAAGTCACGTGAATTCAACTTTTAGCGATGCGGGCTATATATAGGCTGCACTCACCAGGCTCCCATCGTTTCAAGCAGGGCCCAAGCACGAGTGGCCCCGATGCTCCCATGACGAAAACTGAGGAAAGCTATTGCTTTTGTAAGGGGTAAAGGCCTTCGGGATGCAATTATGCCGTTGCTAGTGCTGTGCTGTCGCTCACAGCAGCGTGAGTAGCTAGGTCTCGGGCAGCAAACAGTCAGCTACAGTGAATACAGATGGAGAAGTTCATGTCATGCGCTGCTGTTGACGCCACGAAAGTGCAGCTTCTTGGCCAGTACACGGCAATCCGCAAAACGGTCTCACCGACCCGGTGCGGCCCTTAGGCTTTGTAGACGCGCAGCGGCTCCGGCTCACAAGAAACAGTCCATCCTTGTTCTTTTAAGGGAGTAGCTGGTTGGCTATGCAATGCTGCAGGTGAAACCTGCATAGGGAGACACTAAACTCCAGACTGAATAGAAAGTCGATTTTATGAACGTTATTGCGCTTTTCGAAAGAACCCTTTTTTTATCGTACCCACGCCCCTTAGAGACCCGATATAAGGGGATAAGGACAGCTAAGCTATGCGTAATAGCACCCTCCAAGCATTCCGAGCATTCCCAGCTAGTTGCACGTGTTATGTAGCGCACAAAAACATGACGGCGCGTCTTCTTGCATCAGGATAACCTATTCTGCAGGAAAGAAGATGTGTAAGCAGATAATTTTATCATTTGATTGCCCACTTTTTCTTGTTTGAATACAACTGGTTGTAAAAAGCGTTCAAGTGTCCCCTAGCCCATTACATCCCCTCTTATGCCTGAGCTTCGTGGAGTGAAGACAGGGAGGACGAGGAAGCGGTTTGGAGGGGACACTTGAATATGTTTAACTAAGTTTCGGCTTGAGTCGAAGGCTACAAATTTTCCCCTGGGGAGATCTTCACTACAGCGCTACAGGTGATGCTATCGGGTTGAATTCCGCTCAATGAAACAAATTATTGCTACAGCGAAGGAGGCGCATACTCCATCAGGAAGGCCACAATCGTCGGACGAATGGGCCGCTACTAAAGAAGGGACAGCATCGCCAGATATTGAGGGGGGCTGGTTCACCACAGAAACAGGTTGACTTCACTGGTACGGAGTGCTTTGCGGCCCTTGTAGGGGATACAGTGTACTGACTTATAACTCCTGGCCAGAAATGGGATGGCAACAGCAACATGAGGATAGAGTGTGGGTGTGTAAAGGAGGGGCTGACATGGCCCCTCATACAGGGAACTGATGCATTAACCGTTTGCTGCTTGAGTAATATTAAGCTACTGCATATCAGCGCGAATCTGCCACTACGTGCAACACCAGTAGCGAAGAAGTGGTGTTACGCTATGCTAACGAAATGGACAGCTTGTTCTCTGTGCTGTTTGCAACGCAAGAAAGTGGCCCATGACAACCCCAAGCACTGAAATTACCTGGTGCCACAAGTTGCAGTCAGAGATCTGGAGTCTGTTTTCTTGAAATTCCTATGGAATTGGCATTTAGATAGATATTATAATAATAAAGTGAAGTTTAAGGGTTTTCCCCAATAGAAAAAAGGTAAGGGTAACAGCGGGTGTAGTGACTGGTGCACGTTCTGGACTCTGGGTCGGAGTGTGTTATAGCCAAGCCGATAATTCGAAGAGGAAATATCAGAAATACTACAAGGGACAGTGAAATGCGGGTATTCGCTTGAGTTCGCTAAAAAAAATAATACCCCAGAACAGCTGAGGGATGTCTGTACTGGTCCACTGGTGCAACAGCTTCTATTTAGCTGGGTTGCTCATAGCTTCCCATTGTCTAGGACTTTTTCTGTTTGCACATATGTATGTTTCTGCTGCATATCTGGATAAGTATGACGTTAGCATGTCTGCTTACACTGCGGAAAAAAAGACAAAACCCCCTCTACACATACCTACCTGCCTTCTTTGGATCCGTTTTGATATATTTGACCTCTCGCTCACTTGCCCTCTTCTTCCCTCATTAGGGGACGCTCATGTACAGGCTTTATTCATTATCCTCCATAGCTATCTTCTTTGTTCTGCCGTTTCTTGATGGCCCCCTCGTACTCCTGGCTTCCCCTACCTTAACGCCGATCAGCCACCTTCCATCCGAAGAAGCTTTGATTCTCTCCTCCTCCCCGTCGTCTATGCATTTGCGTACTCGCCGCTACAGTATCTATTCACTTTTGGAGTACCTACAGGTTGCTCATGGTGTGCCTGCCACTTTCTGATCCAGACGCTCCACTGGAGCGCCTTGCCGGTTGGCGGTTGCTGCTATTTGTGGTCCTCGAATTCTTTCTTTCGATCTCTTTTTCTCCATATTCCGCCCCGGATACTCCTGAAGTCAGGAAAAATCTCGAGTTCCCTCCGACCGGCCTATTCCCTACCCCTCAAGGACCCGATACTTCTGCTTCGTTTCCGGTGAATGGATACCCTACATTCGTACAAACACTTGGGCCCATACTTGCACCTATAACTGGGAGCACGGCGACGCCGATAGAAGTTCATGATGAAATACTCGAACACTCAGATGCGAGAGATTAAATGACCCCCGGAGCGGCCCCTCTGAGGGCGGGTATCCTAAAGGCAACATCACGGGCCCATCGAGTGCATTCGGAAATGTAGGTATACTTTAGGACCTTTTGAGTGTGCACAGATGTGCCACCTTACTTTTCTACCTGTGGTAGCTGACTGCAAGAGGAGCAGATGGAGCAGGAACACCAACAGCAGCAGCATCTATCTCAACGGAGTCTACCGCAGTAGGCGCGACAACAGCACTACTTCAAGATCCTTCGCTTCCAATAAGGGTGAAATTCGTCCTTCTCGCTTTTCTACCTTTTAGAAATTCATTACAAACGGGCCCATTCTATTTGCTCCCACACTCATGTGCGGCAAAGAGCCAATGGCAAGCACTAAAGGTATATGGCCTCATGGTCTACTCCAAGGACTCTCAGTAGGCTTTCTTAAGGTTTGTATCAATACACAAGCTGGTACGCCTGTTGCTAATGCAACAGGAGCATAGGCAGGCATAGCGGCAGGAAATGCTGCCTCTCCCGATGGACCGGCATTTCACGCCGCTGCTGGTGCGGCAGCACCTGCTGCTGTGCGTGAGCAGCAGCAGCGGACTTCATTTGTACGTCAGTATTACCACTGACAACACAACCAGCATTTACGGTGCATCCAGGGTTGCTGCATTCTCCAAAATAAGCTTTTGTCCAAAGACTCTGAGGGCGTCGGCCTCTTGCGCCATCTCCTCGCTGGTCCTGGGGCTGTACAGGGAAAAAAAGATAAAATGAGTGCAGCCAAGGGATAAGGAATACACTAACTTTAAATGCAGATGAAGGACAAATGATTCGGAAAAAAGGAATCATAGGAAATAGGCACTTTAAGAGCCATTGTTTCAAAGTCAGCAAAGATCACAATGCACCGTGAGGCGGTTAGATAGCAGGAAGAGCAGAGCGGGTGACTCTTCATTTGGGATTGGCAGCATGCTATGCACTCTTCATGGCAAAAGAGGCCCTGGGACTTGAAGTATCCTGGAGGGAAGGAACAGAGAGGCAGCCGTGCGACACAGAGGCGGTGTCCGTGGGGATGAAGATCTATCGTTCAGGGCTAGAGAAGTTAAGCTCACATAGGAAATAGCAGTGCAAAATACTGAGGGAGGAAGGTGCGATATATAAAGACAAGTGCATGCACATGTATGCATAAGTATACCTGCGTCGATGTCGATGTATGCCAATGTACACGCACATATGGGCGCATGCATATACAGATACGTGCACAGGGAGCCAAACAAATATTTTTGGAAAATGATGTATGCATGCATATATATATATATACATACATGTATAGACATATATGTGTAGTTCAGTCATGCATCATGCGCACACACAGAAACACCCGCATGTGCTTGAGCATACGCAAACTGGAGTATAAGCGCACAATATGCCGATATTTACGAATCCACAATCATGTGCATACTTGTAGAGATACATGTAATGCACACAACAGAGGGGCAGGGGAAGTGTCATAGTCTAGAAATGCAGGTGCTTGCATATGCAAGTATATACAGGCTGGAAAACCATACATACATGTGCTTTCCTACATTGGGTGACTATCTGTGACGCGGAATAATTCGTTTCCGCGGCGAAATTCAAGCAGAAGTGTTTGTGTTTACAGAAGGAAGGGAACAGGACTTGCAATGTATGGGAGCAAAGAGAAGGCTTGAAGTATTCGTGCGAGATGAACGCGGCTGATGGCTAGAGGTTGGGTATGTGACTAGAGTTCAACATATAAAGATTGGAAACCCCTAAGGGGAATCATGGGTGCAGCTATCTGATTCCACGGTCTTACGGCCTCTCTTCGCAGTCTGGTCCACTGTGGCTTTCCCTGTTCATGTCTGTGGCGTCTATGGCTTCGTAGACCTCATCATTCCTCTTAAAGTCGGAAGAGGAGCGGGGAAGAACATGCACGTGAACATGTGGCACGGTTTGTCCTGCCTCTGCTCCGTCTTGCACGCTGACGGTCAGACCTTGTCGGTTATGCATGCGCCGCACGAGCTCCCCCACAGACTGCACGGCTGTGAACAAATCCGCAATCTCCTCGGAGGTTAGCTCGCTGAGTTTCTGAAGACACAAGAACACAGAAAAGAGGGTACCACAGACTAACAGCTCCTGCCACCAGATGAGGCCAAACACAACAAACATTGGACTGAATTTCCCGACCACGCTTCGAAGCAGAAATCGGTTTTATTATTTTGCAGAAAAGAGAATTCATATAAAGAATGGACTCGAGATGCGGGGCCCCTAGCGGCGGCGTGGCCCAATGGATAAGGCGTCTGACTTCGGATCAGAAGATTGTGGGTTCGAGTCCCATCGTCGTCACTCTTTGGTTTTTAACAAGAATATGAGTTAAATTCATATTCGTTTCCATCGCTCTCTAATGTGCGCAACTGCGCTCATAAAATAAACAGAAAGGGTTGTCCAACAGACTACGGCGAAGGGCATTGGCGTCCGGATGTACCTCGACGTTCCTCCTAGGAATCACCAGAGTGTGGCCCGGGAGAACTGGCTTTAGATTAACAGTTGCATAAGAGAGCGGAGACATAAAAAATACTTCTCTGGCGGGAATTTTCCACGGCCCAAACATAAAGTCCTCCTGAGGGGCGGAGGTACACAGCCACCGAGAAAGATGGTTCAGAATAGATTGCTTCATTTCCCGATGTAGGCAATCAATACAACATGAATCCTGAAGGGCAAACTATTCAACAACAATGGTACGAAAAAGGAAAATACGTGGCTCCCATGATAGCCACAGAGTATGCACGGTTGAGGTTGGGCCTGCATGGGGGGGCTCCTAAGAGGCGCCTGTTCCTCTGGACAGTACCGCAGCCGATTGATGACTGAGATGCGGAGAAAAATGTGTGTCCTTACACTTTGTTATCTGGCTTGTCTCGAGACAGAAGCCAAACCACTGCATAGCGAAGACGTCTCTGAGGTCACGAGGCAGCACTACGGTGCCCTCGTCGAGGCGTCCTCCTTGGCCTGCACATAAACCTGTGGCCCCTCCTGCAGAAGCTAAGGAATTCCAGTCCCTATGAGTTTAGAGAAGATTGAGGCTCAAGCCCGTAGGCGATGTCCAGTGATGTGCGTGTAGTTACATGAGGCTCCTTGACTGAGGAGACTCCTTGGTTTTACTTCGGCAGCACAATCCTCCCGAGAATCCCACCACACGTAACCCTGTGAAGCTCTCGACTCACGCGGCGACACCCATTGGGGGGCCCTATTTGACTGCCGAAGGGGACTCTTCGGGCATGGGAAGAAGGTCACTGAAAGACCTATACCTCTTATGCGTCCCGTGGTCAATACGAAACTTCCGAGTTCTCTAGTGTATGTTCCAAATAAACTCTCCTCCCCCCTGCCCTACCCTGCCCCTTTGCATCCCCTTAGGGTTACGGCGATTTCTGAAAGAGGCACAGAGAACCAGGGTGCTCAGCGGCTGCTGCGCAGGCATGCATTCACAGCTAGTTGCGCATAGTAACAACGTATGCCGCACAGAGATACCCCCGGCATCGATTCGTTGCGTATTGAGCCTAATGAACTCCACAGCCAATCAGATATGCAAACAGCAAAGCAAGCCGGTAAGGGATGATTCGTAGCGACTCCTATGTTGGCCATAAATCCAGCAGAGTAACACGTACCAAGATGCTGCGTCGCTTTCAACAGGACGCCTAATAGCCTGCTCCGGCCTTGAGGATGCAAAGGACTTTTTCTCTTCGGGCTATCTGCGCAGCTTCTGCTAAAGGGCATCGTTTGTTTCCGTGCACTTTGAAGTCTGCTGCGTGGAGCATCCCCGAAGGGACACTCAAGGGCCTTTAGTCGCCGGATTTCGCTTTTCACGGGTGCCTCTAAAAGCAACCCAACAGACCCCGAGAACCTGGTCGTAGGGCTACAATCCCCTTACGCTTAGCTAGTGGCGCAGTGCATCAAGTTGCGGTGAGAGCATCTGCAGCGGTGCTTAGTGCTAAGCGTTAAGCGGGGATCTCGAAAAAGTATACCGGAATTTTTTTCAGCTGCTAATGCCAAAAAAACACGGCCACACCAGACAGCACGGCCGTCTAAAGGGGACTGTATCGTGTTGCTGTTGTCGTTGTGAGTAAAATTCTACCTGTCCACAGCTAGAAATGCACACACATATACGCACCAAAACACAAACACACGCCAACCAGCCACAGCAGCTCCACCTACGCGTCCTGCCGGTGGGGTGTTACGAGAATAGACGCTTTCCAGTTGCTGCTGTACCCAAGAAGGTGTCTGTACAGCAGGCGATTGCTCTCCATGCAGCCTCGTCGGAGCGCAGCAGCAGCGTTGCAGAATCCGCTTAGGGATCCATGGAAGAGACGACTACGGCGCCCTTTCCTGCGGCAAGAAGAAGGCAGGCAGCAAAGCGGATGACGATAGAGGTCTCTGAGTACAGCAACCCTCCTTGACGGCGGGGGGGGGGGCAGGGAGGGAGGGGAGGAAAAGAGAGGGGAAGAAGGGGGAAAGTCAAAGAAGCCCGTTATAGCCCTACACGAGGCAATAATACGGTATAAAGGGTTCAAGACGTGTGTCTCACTGATCCTCTTGTTGGCGCGTCTCACAATGCTCTTCAGGCGAGAAGGGACAACTTTGGGAGAGACAAGGCCCTTACGGAGGGCCTCCTTTGGAGGGATTTGGGGTTTTTGAGGGTTTAATGAGGCTCGTGCGGCCTTCTTGGCTATCCCGGATCCGCCCAGTGCAGATCCAGAGACTGCCTTCTTCTTCTGGATGGTCTTGAGTGTCCGTACACTCGAAATCAGATTCTTGGAGGTGCTGCTGCTGCTGCTCTCGGGGCCATCCGTTTCCATGTCATCTGCAGCAGTGCTGGTGTTTTTCGAAAAGAGGGACCGCTGCAGAAGCGTGACATGTTGCATCGGCATGCATGCAGACCAGAGGTGTGAGGGCGAAAGAAGGTGTTTGAGCTGGAGAGTAGAGCTTACGTGTGGTGCGGGATAGGGTTCTAGAAGCGGGAGTGGGGAGTGAAGGAATACAGTCTTGGGTACTTGGAAGGCTATGAGAGAGGCTTTCTAGGTAGGCGGTAAGAAGCCCTTGTCTATATCGGACGGCCAGTAGAGGCCTCCTTTACGAAGAACCCCGAGGAGGCCCCTTTCCTCGTGACTCACGACTTTTTTGTAGATCGTTGATTGCATTTTCCCGGGGGAGTGCTGGACCCCTTGAGACTCGAGCGTTGCGGGGGCGATGTTTACGCTGTCCATCTGAGCATTCAAACTCATGAGAAAGTTCGAAACTTTGTTTGGCGGGAGGATTTTTATCGAGTTTGGCGTGGCTGTGCTGTGCGCCTTGAGCAACTAAGGGCTTCTGGGATTTCTGGAAGAAAGGAACCTGAAAGTTGGGGGAAAAATCTTTGGGGTCCACATAGGGAGAGTGTGCATCATGCGCCATGAGTACCAATTTTGTCAAGTCTTGGAGGCCTTTCTTCCTGGCGTTTTTCTCTTTCCGCGTCTGTTCATTGTGCTTTTCCTGGAGGATTAGCCATTGCAGCCTTCGCTGCTGGGCGCTTTTGCTGTTCTTCTTCGACATTTCCGAGGAGCAACACGGCGGGGCCCACGTAATTCTCGAAGGATCACAAAAAGAACGCACTTGCCCTTTCCCGCGAACCTGAACGAGCGGCGAGCAGGAAGCAGAAGGCAGGAGAGAAGTTTGGCTGTGAGCAGCGCTTGAAGGGCCCCAGAGAGAACAGCTGGATGCCTGACACAACGCCAGATACGCGCGAAAAGAATCCCCAGTACAGCCCCCGTTCCCCACGCCATAAGGGGCCCCCCTGCTGAGGGCCAGCCACTGAAGGGGGCCCCTGGTGGGGCCCCCCTGGGGGCGGGGGTTCAGGGGCCCAAGGAACTTAAAGGGCCTCTGGTCTGCTTTATTGGGGGAGGGGGGGTTCTACTTTCTTGTATACAGCTATATGCAAATGCAGGGGTGGGTAGAGCATTCTGGAGCTCTCTGAAAGAGTCCGTCGTGCGCTGGGGTTTCTCCAACAGGCTTGGCGGGTTCAGGTGTATCCAGCCTTCTCCCCCGCCTCCCCTCGTTCCTTCTCCTGCAGCTTGGTTTCGACTTCTTAGGGATATAGACCAGCTTTAGTGGCGTCTTTTGACGGCCTCTTATGTCTCTAACAGCGCCGCTCCAATGCTAACAGACGCCATGGGGGTTCCTGGGGGCCCTGCACGGGGGCCCCTCAATGAAGGGCCTACTGACCCGAAGCCCTCACAACTAAGATCCGAAAAACCGGCAAAAGAGGACGAAAGCAGACGAGAGGCTGCAGAGCTCCTGGTGTATGTACGCGGTGGTCACCAGCTGAACGCCGCCTCGCAGGAGCTGCAGAAATCGAGGCCACTCCAGGGGGCTTCGACTTCTGCAGACGATTTTGTGAATTTAGGCTCTTCAAGCCTGAATTTCGGCTGCTTGCGACTGACACGTGTTCTCGCTGCGATCGCCGACGGCCAGCACCCGCGGGGGGCCCCATCAAGTTCAGCGGATCATCAGAAAGAGGCCTTTTTTGAGGCCCTTCACCACTCAGACTGCTGCTGCCCCTGTGCTGCGCGCCGCAGCAGCAGCAGCAGCAGCAGCAGCAGCAGCAGCAGCCGCGGCAACACCTCTAACAAGGCGCTTTCCGAGCTTCCTGCGTGGCGAGTACTGGAGTCGATTCGCGCCTATTTAGTGTTTTGTCGCATGCGAGTCTTCGGGCAGAGGCGGCTTCCAGTCTCTGAAAGCGGCCGCAGCGAGAATAGCAGCTGCGGCGGAAGCAGAAAAGTCTGGAATACGGTCGTTCGGGAGAGTCTCGAGCGCTTTCTCTTCGAGGGCTGTGCAGTGGAGGCTGCCCTCCTCGGGAGCTGCAATTGCCCAGTCAACAGCAGCAATTGCTGCGACTGTGACGGCTGCATGCGCGCCGCTGCAGCGGGAGGACAGTACGCCCCTTCCTCTGCTGCAGTGTTGCGGCAGCTGCTCACCTTGCCGGAGCTTTTTGCAGCGGCAGGGGAAGGGCTGGAGGGGGGGGCCCCTGGCAACCAGGAGGCAATAAGAGGAGGTTCCCCCATGGAGCAGGGCGAAGCTTCTTCGCCCTCTCGGTTGGAAAGCTCCAAGCTGCAACTGCGAGTCGCAAGTAGCATAGCGGACGCCTGGAGAAAGCTGAAAGTCTCCTACACGGAGAGTGACACACAGCAGCAGCAGCAAGTCGATAGGCTGCTGAGCTGTACACACACGTTTGTCCTCCGCTGCGGAGCATTGCCGCTTGTCTCCGCCTTGCTGCTTCCCCTCTTGTTCGAGGGCCCCCCTCCTGGAGTCTCGCAAGAGGAGTCCAATGGCGCGTCTCGAGGAGGGGGGGGGCCCCCGCTGCAGCTCGCACACCCACAGAGCTCACGACGCTGCTGCCGCTCTGCGGCATGTTCTTGCTGCTGCAAAACTCCTCCGCTAGAAGATACATCTGGGGGGCCCCCCGTCAGCAACAGCGTAGCACACCTCCTGCGGTGCTGCCTGCAACAGGGGGCTTCTGGGGAGGCTCTTGCGAAGGCTGTCTTCCAGGTTCTGAACGTCTTCTTCCTGCTCAAGTGCCCACAGGAGCTTTCTGGCGTGGAGGAGGGGCCTCGCGACGGGAGTTCAAGTGGCAACGTCTTGACAGTCTGCGGATGGGGCCCCTGGGTGTGTCTCAAAGCTGTGGCCGTCACCCTGGTGGAGGAGGCCCCTGGGGGCCCCCCCATGCTGCTTCATTTTGCTGCTCAGCTAGTGGGAAGGGGGGCCCCTGCGCCTTTCAGACTGCCACTTGCTGCAGCACTGATTGATATACTTGGAGGATTCTGTCCAGTGACCGGTACATACAGCAGCTGCAGCAACCGCAGTGCAGCAGCAGCAGATACAGATACAGCAGCTGCAGATACAGACACAGCTGCAGCAGCTGCAGATACAGATACAGCAGATGCAGCAGATGCAGCAGATGCAGCAGATACAGCCACACGCTCGAGCAGCAGCACCGACTGTCCGGCCTGCGTGCTGCCGGGGGGTTCGTCGGCCCTGCAGCAGCAGCAGCAGCTGCTGCTGCGTGAGGTGTATGTACAGCTGCTGCATGCGCTTTTGCTGCGGTGGTCTAGCGAACAGCAGCACCAGCATATGACGCTGGAGAACCACGTGAAGCTGACGTTCTGTCTCCTTCGCTTCCTCCTGCACATAGCAGCGGCCAGGACGGAATCGGCAGCCACAAGGGGTGTCGTTTTAGGAGATTGGGAAGCTGGGCAGTTGATGGAAGGCATACACCTCCGCCTTCTCTCGGCAGAGGAGACATTGCGTTGCTGCGGGATGGCTGCAGCAGAAGGTTTTGCGGCTGCTGCGTTGGGCAGGGGCCCCCAAGGGGGGGGGGCCCTCGGAGACAGGGGCCCTGCGAGATTGGCATGCGAGGAAGACGACGATGAAGACGAAGAGGCCCCCAGCGGAGGCGAGAGGGCCCTTTTCTTTAGGGCCCTTAGGGATCCTGGACTGCTGTCGAGGTGTCGCCAGTTGCTGCCCCTGCTGAGTGTCTTCATAGCAAATGAGGCCTCGGAAGGGGCCCATTGGGGGGGCCCCTGGGCCCTCGGCGATCCTCGCCCTGTGCTATGCGACGTGTTGCATTCTTCTGATGAGGGCTCCCCAGTTGAGGCTTCTCTGGAAGCCTCATCGTCAGCATCCACAGCAAAACGAGCTGCGTCGGCAGGGGGGGCCCCCCCCCAAGAGGTGGCAGTGCCTGTCCCCACTGGGCCCTCCCCCACGATTGTCGACGGGGGCTTTGCTCTGCCTGCTGCTGCATCGCTACTGCAGGCTGCGCGGTACTCTCTCAGGGGGCCCTCTGCGGATGCAGCCGAGAGGCGCGATCCTGTAACGCAGTGTCTCCTGGGACGGCGTCAGGCAGCCGCAAAGCTCCCCAGCGATCCTCCAGGGAAGGAGGCAGTTGGAGCCCCTCAAGAGGCTGTTGCTGACAGCCATGGGGCCCCTTCGCATGTCGCCGTGGTGCTAGATCCAGAAGACACGGAAGAAGAAACAGACGAAGACGAGGCTTGTCTGGCCCAGCTCCCGGATCTGCAGCCGCTACTTCAGGGGAGGCCCCTTGCTCCTGTCTCCGGAGGTTCCCGGGAAGGTACAGGGGCCCCCCCTGGGGGCCCCCAAACCCTTTGGCAGGCCCTCGAGTGGCTCCTGGGGAACCCAGTGCTGAGCGACGTGTGCCCTGCAGCTACAGCAGCTGCAGCTGGAGACCCCCTCAAGAGGGGCCCCCAGGGGTCAGCAGCAAGGGCCCCTTCACAGCGCCTCATGAGAGAAGCAGCGGCAGCGCAAGCTGTAACGCGCATTGCGGTTCTGCAAGTGCAGCGATATCTGCAGTGGAATCCTTTGGGGCTGCCTACGGGCTGTCTCCAGGGGGCCCCCGACGAAGTGCGTGCCGTAGAGGGCTCTGTCACAGGCTTCATTACTGACCAGATGGAGGATGCCGTCGCTTTGCCGCTTCTGCAAGCTCTTCTAGGACTAGACTGCTCCCTGCAGCCTGCGCTGCTGAAGCCTCTTGTCACGGCTGCTGCTTCTGCAGTATTCGCTGCGTACTTTCCACTGCTGTTGCGTCAGCTGGGGCAACTGCTGCTGCATCAGCAGTCCTCGATTTCGCAGAAGCTGCTGCTGCTTCAAGCGCTGCAACGGGCTGCCCGGTGGCTGAGAGATGGAGCTCCTCGAGACGGAAGGGCCCTTTACACGGATAACAGTCTCCCGAAGAAGCCTCCGAAGCCTTCGCAGCTGAAGCAGGCAAACTCTCAGGAGGAACAGCCGCAACAGGGAGACTACGGGGGCCCCCCCGGCCCTAACCCCCTGGACTGCGAGCAGCCTGAGGGCCCCCAACCCTTGGCACCTCCACAAAAGGAGCAGCAGCGGCAGATGCAAGCACGTTTCCTTTCTGAAGTTCGAGTTCGCCGTTTCGCTCGCCCTTCAGTACCCCTCCGAGGGGCCATCAACCTTTTTGCGCCGCTCATGGAGGCCTCTCTGGGAGCTCTCGAGGGGTGCCTGCTGCCCCCTTCCTCCCCTCCCCCCCCGCTAACGCCTCTGCAGCAGCAGCAGCTGCTCCAGCAGCTGCGCGCGCACCAGCAACTCATGGAGGATCCACTTGTGGTTGCTGCAATCCTGATGGCTATTGGGGAGGTTTTGCGCTCCGGGGGCCCCGCAGTCGCAGGGGGCCCCGCCAGCAGTTGCTGCCTCCGAGCGGCAAGTCTGTTTTTGTACTTCAGGGGGCACACCGATAGAAATATACGCAGGGGAGCTCTCTGCGTTCTGGGGAGTGCTGGCACGCTTGTTCCTTGGGGGCTTTTCTCCTCCTGGCTGCAGCAACACCAAGCCGCAGCAGGCCTGGGTGTCGTGGATGCAGGGGCGAAAGCTCGAAGGGGTCAGTTCGAGGGGAGGCCTAAGCTTACAGACATTCTCCCGCAGCAGCTCCAGCGCTCGCCGAGGCAGCAGCAGCTGCAGCAGCAGCAGCAGCAGCAGCAAGCGCATGCGCCTTCCCAGGAGAACGCCACCCTCCCCCCAGAAACATCCTGCGGGGGGTTCGAGGGCGTCACGGATGCCCTCGCCATAACTGCCAAGACCGATCCTGATGAAAGCTGCCGCTATATGGCTTCAGCCCTTCTCGCAGAGTGGCTGCATCACTCAAGGGAAGAAACTGCAGCAATGTGGGAGGCAGTGGGGGCCCCTTAAAATGCCTTGCTATCCTGTAACTCTCCGTAGGGGCCTTGCGGCAAATTGAGACACAGGAGCCTTGAAGGCCGGGGTTCCCGGGAGAGAGGGAAGAGGATGTTGCTAGTATGTGCCTCTTTTAGTGGCAGACAGGGGCCTCTTTCTTACACTGCTCACGAGAGAAACTGCCCTCAACGAGAGGGGCTAGAGTCTACGGCTTCTAATACAGAGGGATTTTGTAGGATGCTGGGGCCCCTCTCCTCGCCTGTGAAAAGGGGCCTCCGAGTTTGGTCCTAGGGCCTTTAGCGAACATATTCTAGTTGGAGAGGCATTCTTTCCGAGGCAACCGCCTCGGAAAGTTTCACGCTCTAGGTTTCTATTGCCAGGGTGTGTTGTTGGCCCCCCTTTCCCACGGTAGAAGCAGCAGCCCCTATCAAAGGCTTGAGCCTCTTTGTGTACTCAGTGGTGATTCGGATTTCCAAGAAGCCACGCCAGTGGATACGTCTTTGCAGTGTCTGCATGACGGAAACGCTGGCCAAAGCACTCCAGCATCTCTTCTACTGCGAGCAATACAGCGGAGGGGCAACAAAAACATTCCACCTTGTGCTCGTGTATCCAGCTGCAAACACACTTCGCAGGCTCACAACGGCTGCGCAGGTGCTCTAAAAGTGCGTCATATCTCTCCGCAAGCCGTTGGGACTGAAAAAGGCCTAAAGCAGAGTCTCAGCCTGCCATTTCTCTCTGGCGCTGCTCAGCTACTCAGGCACGCGAACGACGAGATGGGGAGCTAAACAGTGAGAGGGAGCCATCGAGAATAGAGGCTGCCTTGCGTTACGAGTGACAGTGCGATCGATGAAGAATGAGGAGAACATGGGGCTGTCCACCCTCCTTTCGCCTGTGCAGGTGTGCTCTGTCTTGTTGTATTTCACGTGGCTAGGAGGTTTTGGCGTATGAACGCACAGCGGCTCAGACTCTCCAGTTAACTGTGCATCTGATGCAAGCTGCAGTACCCTCTTTCCAGCTTGCTGAATCGCTAGGCGGACCAAGCTAGCAAGAAAAACGGGAGGGCAGTCCCCGCGGAAAAAAATATACCTTCTCTCGAAAATAGAAACTGTTAGATGATTTCTCGACGACGTCCTCCTGCCACTTGCAATTTCGCTTCTCTCGATTAGTGCGACACGTTATTCTGTCAGGATCTCAACACACTTTTTTTGGTACCAGAAGTGCAGGGTTTCGTCCTCCTCTCATGGCTAGAAAACTTCCAAGGGCACCCTAGGCTCGGCCTCACAAGGTGAGGCTATTGGATATTATCCTAAAGCAGACACGGGCTTCCCAAAATTCACAGCCCGCATTCAGCAAGGAAACATATCTTCCATCTGCTGCAACAAGCAAGCGTTCAGGCAGCCTTCGGTGCCTAGGATATTGTATGATTCACACTACTGAGGGGGCTCTTGTTAATATATATATACATATATGTATATATATATATGTATATATATATATACGTATAGATGTATATGTATATACATGTATATATAGGATATTGTATGATTCACACTACTGAGGGGGCTCTTGTAAACATATATATATACATATATATATATACATATATGTATATATATATATACGTATAGATGTATATGTATATACATGTATATACATATAGGGGAGGGGTAGCCTTTAGCGCCAAAGCAAGCGATCAGCTGCACGATTCTGATGCAGCTAAGAATTTGCTGATAGGGCGCTATTCAAAGGCTGTTGAGAGAGGGTGGCCCTTCTGAAGATCCGTTTTACCAATTTTTGAAGGCCGCGGATATGCGAACGAACGCCCCTTCGGACTCTCCATAAGCCCAAACATTTTAACCCTGAATACCAGAGACACACTGAATGCAACAGACTCTGCTACGGAGGGCTCTAGGAGCGCTTGTTCAGCACTGCTCCTTGCTGAGGCGGCCGAGAGCAGGCCTGGTTGTTTGGAGTAGGTGAATTGACAGGGGCGGTTCCCGTGTAGCAGCGAAAAGATCTCTCCTCCTCGATAAAGCTCCATCCTAGATGCCTTCGGTGCCGCCCTTTGATGCTCACATACTTCTTTTGTAGCAGTTTCTGTGTACTCATATAATTGCTTTCCTATTTTGTTTTGGACTGCGTGGAGGGCTGTGGGAGCAACATGTAATATCCACATTGTATGCATGCCGGACAGTGGGCTCCTCTAATTTGGCCATGTTGTCTCTCGTGTGTTGCATCAACATGCTCAGCCTTCACAGCTATTGGCTTAAAGCGGCTAGGGCGCATGGCCACGGCAATGCATCTTCCTGTGTCAAGGAGCCAGTTTCACGCAATAATTGAGACATCCGAACAGCCAGAGCAAACATTCAAGTTTCAATCAGATCTGGATTTCGTGTACGTGTTGCAACTGAACGTGGTTCAGTAGAATTCCTTTCGCTACTTCTAGGCCCACCGCATGTGCTTAGTTGCAGTGAGGCCGTCCACACCGTTGCCCCTCAGGAGCTTTTAGGGGAAGCGCCAAGAAGAAATATCGGGTGTCTCTACGCCGCAGGAAGGACTGGTTCAGGAGGGGGGAAGCCCTCCCCGTGCCGCTAGCCGCTCGATGGATCGCGGCGCACGATCTGAGGTCCTCGGGAGCATCCTTTTTGGCATCCGCTAAGCTGCTGCTACAGTAATGAAATAATTATTTATTGTCAAAAGCCGAATAAGGGGAGGGTGGGGCGTCGAGCACCGGACGGAGGCTCGGGGTTGGCAGCGTGTTGTGCGGGGGCCCCCCCGTTGGTAGACGCTTAGGGGGGCCCCTCCGACCCGTTTGACAGCGCCTGCAGCCTACGGCAAGGGAGGCCTTGCCCCCTTTTGGCAGATGCGGCATGTTCGAGCTGACGGAAAGGCACAAATGGATGCGTTGAGCACAATTTTTTCGGGGTGGAGGGTTGCGGTGTATGCGTGACTGTGAGCGATTGCCGAGCGCGCACGTGAAGCGAGGCCGCTGCACGGCTGTCTGCGGCTTCAATGAGTGGCTCCCTCCGCTGCTCTCGATCCCATGTTTTAAGTGTTCCCTCTCTGTCTAATAATAAGTGTCTCTTTTGATTCCTCCGCAGCGACGAGGCCGCCTGCCAGAAACTCCGCTCAGCCTCAGCGCTTGCTGGCACTGGGGAGAAGCGGCCTTGTCGTCAGGGGATCCTGTGCTTGTAGGCTCCAGTCGGCAAGTCTGCCTCATCGATCTGGAGGCAGACTGGTCGGTCTCTGCGAGATCTCCGTCGCGCTGGAGCACTGCGACTCGCCAAGAGCACCTGCGAGCGAGACAGCGCGAGGAGACAGTCGCGCTCGGGGGCCTGTCCTCTGAGGGCGGGATTTCGAAGCCTCCGCAGCGACGTCTTCTTGGCTGCAAAAACTTTGCCTTTTGCCGCCGCTCTGCGGCTGCGTGTCGGAGGAGTCGTCTTCTCACCACTCGCCCCTCTTGCACTTGGCCACAGTAGGGGCCCCCCTTCGGGGGCTGTGTGTGCAATGAAGGCCCTTATTCTTGTGGGGGGATACGGAACGCGGCTAAGGCCGCTCACTCTGTCCGTCCCCAAGCCTTTGATCAACTTCTGCAACCGATCGATTGTGGAGTATCAGATTGCCTCCTTCAAAAAAGTAACGCGACGCCTTCCCCCCTGAGACGGCGGTCCCGCGGCAGGGAGGCTGCATGCGACAGCTCCATGGTGTGGGAAGAGAGGGCGAAGGAGGAGAAGGCTCCTTCTTGCCTCCCCTCTTCTTACGCTACGGTAGCAGGAGGCGTATAAGGCATCGATTGTGAGCTGCTTCCTCTCTCTCCGCAGGTTGGCGTGAAGCACCTGATCTTGGCCGTCGCCTACCAGCCAGAGGCTCTCATGGAGGCTTTGCGCGATCTAGAGAAGAAGGTAAACTCGGCAAGAAAAGTTTGTTTAGAAGCTTTGTTGATAAAAGCTTTGTTAAGAGAAGCTTTGTTGAGAAATTCTTTGTTAAGAAATTCTTTGTTAAGAAAAACTTTGTTAAGAAAAACTTTGTTAAGAAATTCTTTGTTAAGAAATTCTTTGTTAAGAAATTCTTTGTTAAGAAAAACTTTGTTAAGAAAAACTTTGTTGAGAAATTCTTTGTTAAGAAAAACTTTGTTAAGAAATTCTCTGTTAAGAAAAACTCTGGCGAGACGCGATGAGAGCCAGCTTTGTTGGGGACAGCAGGCCTGTGAAGGTTGGATGCGACAGAGACACATCGGTTTGCGTTTTCTTCTTTGTTTGGCATGTGTTGGATCCTTGTGCCGCGCAGTATGCACTGAAGATAAGCTGCTCTAAGGAAGACGACCCTCTGGGGACGGCAGGGCCTGTTCGTCTTGCAGAGAAACTCCTGAGAGATGAAGATGCGGAAAAAAGTTCACCCCAGCCTTCCGCGGGCGGGAGGCGCTTCCTCGATATCAAGACAGACACGGACTGTTTCTTCGTGTGCAACAGCGATATCATTTGCTCTTTTCCCCTGGAGGAAATGTGGAAGTTCCACAAGAAGACAGGGGCAGAAGCGACCATCCTGGTAGGCGCGTGGCGTTGACTCAAAGGGGGGAGGAGTGGAAATTTTGACGGGGGAGAGCGGCACCTGTGTGTGTGTGGGTGTGTGTGTGTGTCTGTGTGTGTGTGTGTGTGTGTGTGTTTCTGTGTGTGTGTGTGTGTGTGTGTGTCTCTTTGTGTGTGTTTGTCTGTGTTTGTTTGTTTGTGTTTGTTTCTTTGTGGTTTGTTGTGTCTGGTTCCTCGTGGCTTCCGGGTTATATGTTGATAGGCTGTGGTGGGTGGGGGGGTGGGGGGGAGGGGCTCTCTGCAGCGGGG